GCAAAAACTCGTTACAACATAAGCGATGCCAAAAAGTCGTTACAGCATAAGCGACGGCAAAAAGTCGTTACATAAAAAGCGACGGCAAAAAGTCGTTACAACATAAGCGACGGCAAAAACTCGTTACAGCATAAGCGATGGCAAAAAGTCGTTACAACATAAGCGACGGCAAGAAGTCGTTACAACATAAGCGATGGCAAAAACTCGTTACAGCATAAGCGACGGCAAAAAGTCGTTACATAAAAAGCGATGGCAAAAAGTCGTTACATAAAAAGCGATGGCAAAAAGTCGTTACAGCATAAGCGATGGCAAAAAGTCGTTACAGCATAAGCGACGGCAAGAAGTCGTTACAACATAAGCGATGGCAAAAACTCGTTACAGCATAAGCGACGGCAAAAGGTCGTTACAGCATAAGCGATGGCAAAAAGTCGTTACAGCATAATCGATGGCAAAAAGTCGTTACAGCATAAGCGATGGCAAAAACTCGTTACAGCATAAGCGATGGCAAAAACTCGTTACAACATAAGCGATGCCAAAAAGTCGTTACAACATAAGCGATGGCAAAAACTCGTTACAACATAATCGATGGCAAAAAGTTGTTACAGCATAAGCGATGGCAAAAAGTCGTTACATAAAAAGCAATGCCAAAAAGTCATTACAGCATAAGCGATGCCAAAAAGTCGTTACAGCATAAGCGATGGCAAAAACTCGTTACAGCATAAGCGATGGCAAAAACTCGTTACAACATAAGCGATGCCAAAAAGTCGTTACAACATAAGCGATGCCAAAAAGTCGTTACAACATAAGCGATGCCAAAAAGTCGTTACAACATAAGCGATGGCAAAAACTCGTTACAACATAAGCGATGCCAAAAAGTCGTTACAGCATAAGCGATGGCAAAAAGTCGTTACATAAAAAGCGACGGCAAAACGTCGTTACATAAAAAGCGACGGCAAAAAGTCGTTACATAAAAAGCGACGGCAAAAAGTCGTTACAACATAAGCGACGGCAAAAAGTCGTTACATAAAAAGCGATGCCAAAAAGTCGTTACAGCATAAGCGACGGCAAAAAGTCGTTACATAAAAAGCGACGGCAAAAAGTCGTTACAGCATAAGCGATGGCAAAAACTCGTTACAGCATAAGCGATGGCAAAAAGTCGTTACAGCATAAGCGATGGCAAAAAGTCGTTACAGCATAAGCGACGGCAAGAAGTCGTTACAACATAAGCGATGGCAAAAACTCGTTACAGCATAAGCGACGGCAAAAGGTCGTTACAGCATAAGCGATGGCAAAAAGTCGTTACAGCATAAGCGACGGCAAAAAGTCGTTACAGCATAAGCGATGGCAAAAAGTCGTTACAACATAATCGATGGCAAAAAGTCGTTACATAAAAAGCGATGGCAAAAAGTCGTTACAGCATAAGCGATGGCAAAAACTCGTTACAGCATAAGCGATGGCAAAAACTCGTTACAACATAAGCGATGCCAAAAAGTCGTTACAACATAAGCGATGGCAAAAACTCGTTACAACATAATCGATGGCAAAAAGTTGTTACAGCATAAGCGATGGCAAAAAGTCGTTACATAAAAAGCGATGCCAAAAAGTCGTTACAGCATAAGCGACGGCAAAAAGTCGTTACAACATAAGCGATGGCAAAAGGTCGTTACATAAAAAGCAATGCCAAAAAGTCATTACAGCATAAGCGATGCCAAAAAGTCGTTACAGCATAAGCGATGCCAAAAAGTCGTTACATAAAAAGCGATGGCAAAAAGTCGTTACAGCATAAGCGATGGCAAAAAGTCGTTGCAGGATAACCGAGTACAAAAGTTGGTTATAAACAATCCAATGGCAAATATTTAGGGGTATTGTGGTAAATGTGAGGCTGAACTTAGCTTCTTTTACACATTTGAGCGCCTTCATACTGTCTAACTAGGGTTGGATAGATGAGCTTTGTGCTTCTTTGGCGCGCAATATACGTGCAATATGGGTGTTTGTAATTTGCATTTGTAGATGCATCGTTTTTCTGCCGCTAATGGGACGCTGTTATCTAGTCCGGTGCCGTCCCTATCCCGTATTCCATGGTGTGTACATGCTGTTGCCGGACTCGTTTGCTGGTACTAAGCGTCTGGTCTCGTTGTACGTGTCGCACTGGGACAAAAGCTTGCCTAATTGCCGCTACCAAATCATCGGCCCATACCAAGATACGATCCAAAAGTCGTTGCAGAAGATTTTTTCGCTTGGAGTACGGGCTATTCGTCCTTGTTCGTCTTCGTTTGCAGACCATTAGTTATCATCTTCTTGTTGAAGGGGCTCGGAAAAATTCCCGGAATAAACATACCTCTGTCAGATGCTTTGTTATGGTTTTGGTGTTGGGAGTTCAGGGTTAGTTCATGAATCGACGTTGGTCATCGGTTTGATGGACCAGCTCTTGCCGTCGGTTCCTTGTCGTTTGTCATTGATTTCACATTTTCATGCACTTTATTATTTATTTGAACTAGGGGGCTTTCTATATGAACTATGTCTATGCTATTATGATACTTGGGTGCGTATAGCCGGCTCTTTCTGGCATAGCCAATGTTGATCCAATCTTTCTCGTCGCGTAACTTGTTGAGAAAATTCTTGCCGGTTGAAGATGTTTTTTATGTCGCGTTCAACCCAGTCCTTCTTTTTTATATACAATTTCACAACCATAAATAGTGTCCTGCTGGGTAGAACCGTCCTCCTTCCCCAGATGTGTTTCGGGCGTCCAAATTGAACGTCTCTCGTCATCCAGCTGGAAATCGTTGGGCCGGACGGCAATTTATGCTTCGGAAAATAAGTTTCGAAGAACTGGCGAAGATCCGCAGACGTTTGGACCACTTTTTCGTATAAAAATCCTGTCTTGGTGGTTTGGCTCTTCGACAGTCATCACGGTGTTTAAAACGTCCATGCAAGCTTCTTTTGAAAGCTGCAGTCCTATGTAAAGACATTGTCAATGGCTTGGAAAATACGGAAAGGAAGGTCCTTTCATAACTTTTGGACATACCCACCAAAGTGCTGCAGATCGACAGGATTGGATGGGGAAAGGTCAATGGTGCACCGCTAGTGGTTTTGCCATAGAGTGGAAGCGGGAAGTCATCGAACAGATGGAGGGTGTCTTTAGCTTTAGCTCCTGCGCCTGTCATTCTATGTCGCGCGTCTCGAGAGATGAGCCGATGTTGGAATGAGGTAAGACAAACACCTGCGGACGAAGGCACACGACGTGCAAAGAGTTGACCATCTTTTGCACGTTGGTGACTCGGCTGTCAAAGCTGTCACTTGTCTGGATCTTTCTGGCACAGCTTATGTTCACCCGGTCGTTCTCCTCGCGTGACTTGCTGACAAAATCCAGGATATTCTACCCGCTTGTCAGGTTCACCAGATCTAGCAGTGCGAGCCATAGGGAAACACGTTGTTTTCAACATGATCCAAGACACAGACATCACCAATCCGATCTCTATTAACATGGAATACAAATTTTTTCATGAGTATAGATACTAAGACGCCGCTCTTTGTTGTTGAAAAACTCACCTTTCAAAGAGAAGACTACTCAGGGGTCTATAAATACCCAGTGTTCATTGTGTTACAGATCATCCTATTTCCAGCCTTGTTGACATCTTGGGTGTTACACCTTCAATCGCAGCGGGAGCCATCTGGATTGGGATCTCTGGTCCAACATCGCAATGGTGGAGAACGTCAACAGGGCTCTTTATGATGATCTCCTTTGCTTCCCTTATATTCTCTGGAGTATGGGACAGACCAAGCATTTTGCAAGAGGCACCCTTTTCGTATACAATGGGGAAGTGTGCGTATGAAGGTATTTCGGAGAGTATCGGAGAATCCATTAAGGGAGAAATAAAGGCAAGGACAGAGAAGAAGAGTGAAAGAAAGTACAGAACTAGCGTTGCGTGGCAGATGATTTTTAAAGAAAACACAAACAGCAGAAGCTGATTGTCTTCCATCGACTGGGAAAAAATCGAGGTCTGGAGAAATTGGCGTGGGAAGGTGTTCACTTCTTTGTTGAACTACTAAATTTGGCTCTCTCATTGGCAACATCCAATTCAATGGACTTCCATTCAACTCACACCAGATCATGCGCGCCGTCATTCAAAAAAGCTACATACTTAATTTTCATACTATCATATTCTCCTCAATTTGTTCATTGTGTCAATGCTATAGCATGTTTAGTGCTGGGACTTTTGAATTCTGACCGTGCTTCTCATTATGATGCATGGCAAACCAAAGAAAGCTTTTTTTCACCGCAGGTTCACCGATAATCAAACCTGATAAATCAACTGTCTAGCACATTTTATGTCTTGTGATATGATCCATCAGTTTGATGAATTCAACGTGGTTTTGTGCCAAAATAACTGCCGAGACCAGACTGAAACCTGCAGCTGCATAATTGCACAATTGCGGAATTCACATGTGAAAGAGCTGACGTATGAATAATCAATGTTAACTTTGACAGCGATGATTCCCTATCATTGTCGGCGACTACAGATACACTCACGCAATCCCCAACGTCTGGTTGATCAATGGTTGTTCATAGTCGAACTCAAGGCCCGATGCAGAAATAGCGCAATCGGGGCAGTAGCATTTTTTTCTTATCCGCCAATTTTGGCAATGTCATGGAATAAGGAAATGAAAAAAACTAGATGTCTGCACTGCTATCTATTGAATGAAAAATTACTGATTTCACTGTGGCATAGAAACCTATCCGACCTCCCACCTCTAGTGTGATGAAATTTTCGGCGGCTACTCATTTTTCATCGTTTTCACCAACTCCCCACAGTAAAGAGTTTGTTAAGCGTTGACAAAAAGGCCATAACCAATGACAGTAACTAATTGTTGATCGTCATCCATCACCATTTTTCATGGATCGCATGTTGCGAGGTTTCCAACTTATTCACTCTGGCAATCATTTGGAGGCTTACTGAATGATAACTTCTATGTGCGGGAACTACTTGTGTTCGTTATATTTTTACAAAACGACTGCTCTAGTTTTGTGGTTCTAGTTGTAATTCTTTGCCTGAAGCTTGAGAGCATCCGACTTCTTATTGATCCAGGCCAAACACTGCTCATAAGCAGCAAACTGAATAGCTCCTCCTATTCATGTTATTGGATGTTAGATCACAAGTGAAAGCCAATCCATCCAATTTCGATCGATATACAACGTCTCACACTTACCCGGAGCGATACGAATGATGCGAAGCCATGAACCGCGGAAAATTGATGTGAATCCTTCGTTCTTTGCCATGCTCTTGATACAATCCCACGTGCTTCGATACAAACGGCCATCGTCTTGCATTCTGACAAGGGAAACGTCAGTAATCAACAAATGACCGAGTACGAGCTTCCGATCACCTATCGTGTTTTAACCACATCCGGAGGCGAGTTCAAGACCGCCACGATCACATTGGCCATGCCACCGCTCACCTACACTTTATGAATCACATGCAACTTGGGTCTCTTGCCTTACCATATGCTTCCATGGTGTCAAGGGTGCGGTGCGATCCGCCGGTGTTTTTTCTAACAAAGATTTGATCTCAACATAAACCGCAAATTCAACCAACAAACCTATTTTCTCCTCTTACTGACGTTTTTCCACTTGGTAATGTGTCCTCTTTACCCCACAATTGTTGCGCTATAGTCGCAAGCAGACCTTTGTATAATGTAAAGAATCTAACGTACATATTGAGTTTGCGGGTTCCGGTCCATCCACTAGTTCATGACATACCCTTCTGACGAATAATGGCCGACGTGGCATAGACTACTCCGTGGTATCGGCGCTGATGAATGGCATTCATCATCCGCTTTAGTCATTTCCAAAGGAGTAACGAAAACATAGCTGTTAGTAAGAGTCATTCAAGTCCCATATGCGTTATCGTATCGTACCCAGAGTGACAGCATGTGTGATACCCGTGCACACCTAGAAAAATTTCCCCGCTTAATAAAGGTCCCATTCACAAAACTTATCGTCTACCATTTACTCAGGCTAAACCACCTGAAGCGTGTGCTGGCAGAACGCCTTCCTTCCAATTTCTCAAACAGTGGTTTATAAAACGCCAGACCCATAAATTGAAGCGAGACACGAGGGCCAACAATACACAGCACAGGCATCGTGCCTCGATAAAATGCTACAGCCGCAGTCAGTATTCAGTTTGCCACAGGCTCACCCTTTCTGTTCTCCGTAAGCGAATAGCCATTGCCACTACATTTCTTCATATATCGCTGAAAATCAGAGATAGAACACGCACTTCGTCAAATGATCGATCCACCACTTGCCAACGAGCTGGAAGTAGGGAATCCGTTCTGGCTAATTAGCTCTTAAAATATGTGTGTGGGCGCCATAAAACGATAGCGATCATTCATCTTCAGGTTAGGATAGCCATTGGTGCATCTCACTATATTATGACACTATCGCTGATACCTCGAATTCAGCAATACCCTACTGACTCCAAGGCGAATATCCTGGATGTTCTCAATTTCAGCCGCATGCTTGCTCACATCAGCTGTGTATCTATGCGTAAAAAAGCTGATGCGGACTGAGTATTACAAGGACCATCTAATCTGTCGAAACAACATTATCGGGAGCAACGTGTAGGTACATGCACATGAACGTTTATGGTTATTTCCTAGTCTCAATAACGGTTGAGCATTAGGCGCTGTATGTTCGTCTGCAAAAAAGCCTGTCCAAGGAACAGTTGAAAAACAGTAAAGTCACTTTGTCGATGGACAAGTCAACACAATTACCGGCAGGAGTTTTGAACACAAATCAGAATCGCATCGGTTATGCAAACATGTCTTATGCAAGAAACTCTGCAAGCCAAGCTGCGAATGTCTACTTTTCAAGACAAATTGCACTGACGAAGACAATCACCACTGTAAAACAAGTTCTAGCAGACAATCAGCGACGAATTTAGAACATCCACTCTAGTAAGCGAAAAGTAAATAGTCAGTGGATAGCTCATCCAGCTGCATCACTCAATTGATCCAATTCATAGTCATTGCAAGTGACAGAACCAACGCTGTTCGACGACGGGTCATCAAGAACCGTTCGGCAACGCCAAGTTGACTCATTACACGTTGAAGGCGACAATTTCTTATCGGTTTTATCAATGCTTTAACTCTAGGTTCAAACAATTCATTTTCGGAGCTATACAAAATTGATAAACCGATCCAACGATCCAGTAAACGAAGCATCATATGTAAATAGCGCGGATGGTCTACAGAAAGGATCAGATTACAATGTAACCATAGATTGATCTGACAAAAGCGGTTCAAATAATACGTCTGGTCCGGTGACAAAACACAGTGCAGACTTTTGTAGCAATCATACAGTCACGAAGGATGCTGACAGAGCTTAGCTGAGTATTCTATACACTAACATAGTCCATGACCGCAACAATATCGAATCTTCAGTTTGATAAGGATGAGATCCTATGAGCTCTCATCGATTATTTTACTGACCATCGCCCATTAGACAAAGGAAAACAGCTACGAGATTAGGTTGTTACGCTTGAAACGGTGGGCTAGCCGATTGGAGGAACGACCCACTGATGTGGTGTCCAAAATCAGATTAAGAACAGAGAGCAATATTTTAGATGAGAAGAAGCGCGAACCAGTATATCTCTATTAGTTAACAAGAAGAGGGCAATCGTCGGTGACGGACCATTCATAATGGATCGGTAATTGTTTCATTTTCGGAAAAGGTTGATAATTTTGGTACAAGGCCACAAGAAATAATCGAGGAATTGCCTTGAACGATTGCAAATTGGCACAACATCAATAAAAAAAGGATCGGATGTATAAACCCCTTGGAACTTATCAGGTTGCCATATATTTGTCCAGTGACCCAGTTATTCAAATCATGACTTTTTCTGACTAATTTTGGCCACCGGTTTTGGTATACGCTGTAAGCAGTGTTACTCGGATTAATTGATCCATCTCGGTAATGAGGAGTTATGGATAAAGAGACATGGATAATGAGGAGTTATGGATAAAGAGATTAAATCGGTGTTCTAATGAAGAGACTCTCTCAGATGAAAAATCCCGTTCTTTCCTGTTTTGGAACACAGTCCTAGGTAAGTACGACAAGTTGTGGATATATCAAAGCAAGCACAACAGGCAGAGCCAAAGACGGAATACGGGTTGTGCCAGGAGATTGAGTTGGAGTTGTCCAAAAGTTATGAGTTAGTTCTTAATTCTTATGCGTTCAGTGTAGTCGGCTACCTTCTCCCCAATCTCTGCATTGATCCTGGCTATCACATCTTCACATGCCAACGATTTCATGAGGGGAGACCTTGCAGGGAGAAGGAGCTAAAAAATCAGAAGCCGCCAAGGAGCCAAGTCACGCCCAAGCACCCTGCATGAATGAAAAGCCAGTGACAGCTCATCTTGACTTCATATTTGAATCTGTAAAAAAAAAGAGCATAATAACCCGATTACAACAGTTGGTATCGGTCGGGGTCAATAAAGATGTGACAGGATGTTGTTCGACATAAAGATTTCAGTGGCTGGTTGAGCCTGAATTCAAGCAACCGTAGTTACCTGCAGCTGTTATCCTAACCCTTTATTCGATGCTCATTTGCACCGACCATGCCGTTGTTATCGACTGTTGCCAAGCATTTTCCTTCCAAGGCTGGGTTGTCCCGAGAACAGCATTTAACGTAGCAGCACCGTATTTTCGAGCGCGCCAAGACGAAGGACAAGCGAAAAAGAAACGCAAGACCGAACCAAGCGTAGCAGAATTGCAGACAGAGCAACATCATGAATCGATTAGGACTCTTTTGCAAACGGTCCTTGACGAAGTACAATCGGTCTGGTCTCGCGTAACTGTGGAGACATCAGATCGCCAAGACGAGCCAGCGGTTGATCCAATTAACTTTCCAGCTCTTCAAAGTCTAGTGCAAGCCAGCCAACGCTTCAGCAACATACCCGACGTTGACGGTGACAGCGAGGCTACCATCTGTTCTTTAAAAGATCCAGTTACTGAATGGGATACATTAAGTGTTTTCAATCGGATCATCACCAATCCTTCGAAGGACACTAGATCGCTTACTTTGTCACCGACAGCGAGGTACTTGATTCCGCCACAGGCCTCGTTTTTGATGAGTGATATGGAGGATATGTATCCGTTGACGGAATATGGTATAATCTCGATGATCCGTTCTGTGATTTGAAGGAAATTTTGACTGATTTAACCCATTCATGCAGCCGAAAAACTTGACGGATTCGATTTTGTGGTTCTTGATCCGCCATGGCCCAATAAGAGCGGTAAATCACTGAAATGGTCTTGCTAATGCCAGCGCATCATACTGATCTGTTCTCAGTACATCGCTCCGGTCACTACGAATCTCAGGATATTTACGATCTCTTCAAGATACCATTATCTTCGCTTCTTCGGTCCGACAATTCCGACAACCCAGCACTCGTAGCAGTATGGATCACCAATAAACCAAAGTTCAAGCGGTTTGTCACTGATAAGCTATTTCCGTCTTGGGGCTTGGAAACCGTAGCGGAATGGCACTGGCTAAAAGTAACCACCGAGGGCGAGCCTGTCATGCCCTTGGATTCGCCTCATCGAAAGCCTTACGAACAACTGGTCATCGGTCGTTGTAAACAACGTCCTTCTCCGGATATACCCCAGACGCGCGTCATTGTCAGCGTGCCTTGCAAACACCATTCGCGGAAGCCTCCTCTCAGAGGTAAGGAATTGCCAAAGGAAAGTGAACATAACACCGTACACTCCAGCTAATGCTCTGATGCAGAAATCATGAAACCTTATCTTGGATCCGAACCGCGTTGTGTCGAGCTATTTGCCAGGTGTCTTTTGCCTGGATGGACGAGCTGGGGAAATGAATGCTTAAAATTTCAAAACGAGAATTACTTTATTCCCGATAAATACAAGGAAGAGGATGCATGTGAAGAGGAGGGATCAAAACAGGAAAGAAATGAAAACAATGAAAAACAAGATGCATAAAAAATGTAGATATTAAGGGCAAATGAACAAGATAAATGTACAAATATAATAGAAAAAAAAATCCGAAAATCAAAACAAGTTTACCCAGACTGACTGGCCACCGATTCATCGTTCCCACGTACTGCTGCATTGGAAGAAGGTAAAGTGACCTGGGGACAGAATTCACGCAGGATGCTTGCCAGTTCTTTGTGGATTAAAGGCTTCGTCAAGTAACCATCCATGCCAGCATTCACACACATATCGCGGGCTGAGCTTTGCACATCCGCTGTGAGGGCGACAATGGGCAGTCGCTCGATATTGTTTTCCCGTTCCAATGCACGAATCCGCTTGGTTGCTTCAACACCATCACACTAAAATCACGTCGTAAGTAAAAAAAAAAAAAAGTCAGGTACAGTAGCGGTTTCTTTTTTATAGCTTACCTTGGGCATGTGATGATCAAAGAAACCAATACAAAAGTGTTGAGGCGAACGTTGTTGCCATAGTTGAACAGCTTCTTCACCATTGTTGGCACTTTCGACAATGAAGCCCATTTTCTCCAACTGCTTTCGTAAAAGTTTCTGAGCCACCATGTTATCTTCTGCAATCAGCACGGCTTTCTGCTTGAACCATTTCAGCTCATCGGCTTTGAAATAGTCGCTCATTCGATTGGAGGTCAGTTGCATAGGAGACGGGCTCGTTTTGGGTTGATCCAGTAGTTGTTCCAAAGTACGAAGCAGCTTGGCACGCCGAGCTGGTTTTGCCATCTTCACGAGTCGACCACGGCGATCAGAGATAGATTTGGTGGCTTCCGCGGCTATCTTGTGGCCCTCGGTGGCCGGTGTATATAGTAATACGATATGCAATTCGCATTCAGGATCGTCATCCACGGTCCGCAGTTGATGTTCGATAAAACTGTTTGGAATGGCAGGAATATCCAGCAACAAGATTTCGTGCTTTTCTTGCAAAGCTTGGGCAATGGCATGTTGAACATCGACGGTGCGTTTGACTTGGAATTCAGGTAACAAGGATTTCAGCATGTTGTAGGTTGGATCATGATACGTCGCCATCAGAAACTTGTGCTTCGACAGCAATGCCGCCCTGGAAGGTCGGTTGCCATCCACCTCTTGCGGCTTCTTCATTTTCTGCACGTTAACGACAAACCAAAAGTTGGAACCCTCATCGGGGGTCGACTCTACGCCCACCGTGCCCATCATCAAACGTACTAATTGCAGGCAAATAGACAACCCTAACCCTGTGCCGCCATACATTCTGCAAAACAGACTTTGAGAAACACGCCACATATTACAATACCTGGTTGGCTTTGTGACCTACCTCGTGGTGCTACCGTCCACTTGGGAGAACGGTTCGAACAAAAGACGTTGCTGATCCGGACGAATACCAATGCCAGTGTCAACGACTTCAAACTTTAATCGCAATAGAGAAGGGTCGTCCGCAGGTTCATCATCCAAGCGACATTTGATGACGACGCCACCTTCGTGTGTAAACTTGATGGCGTTGCCCAAAAGGTTGGTCAAAATTTGTCGTAAGCGCGACGAATCGCCAATGATGGTCTTGGGCACATCACGGTCCACGATGTAAGCAAGCTCGAGCCCCTTTCTTGCAGCCAACGAGCTAAGTATTTCAATTGTATCGGCAATGACTTCTCCGACTACCAGAGGTCCTAAATCCAGCACGACCTTTCCGGCTTCCAGTTTGGAAAAGTTCAACAAATCATCTGTAAAGCGAATATCAACCAGCCATTAGTACATGTTCCCCTCACACAAAAGCATCTCTACTTACCGATAATTCTAAGCAACATTTCACAGCTCTCTTTAGCAGTATGTACAATGTCAAGCTGTTCTGCATCCAGAGAAGTTTCAGAGAGAAGCGAGATCATGCCGTAAAAGCCTGAGAAGGGCGTACGAAGTTCATGGGACATGTTGGCCAAAAAGTCGGCCTTCAGTTTCATAGCACGTAACGCCGCTTCTTTGCTCTTTCGCGCTTCTTCCAGGGCAGCCTTTTGGTTTTCGATCATTTTCACGTTCGCATAGGTCACCTTTTGAATGCTCTTGAACAGTAGAGCGTTGGTGACGGAAATACCGATTTGCTGAGAGAGTAATCGAAGCACGCCTTCATGTCTTGATGTGAGCGAACCGACAGCACCTTCGATATAGATACAGCCAACAATAGCACTCTTATGCGTGATAGGCGTACAGATAACGGACTTGGCAATAGCAGCACTGTCGAAAAAGCGTGGATCCTTTTGAATATCCGCGATAAATAATGACTCTTGTGCGTGAATTGCATAATGAGCCACCCGGGTAACGATCGAATCCGCTTCTTCGGAAAGAAGTTTGGGTGACTTGAAAATCTCACAGCCTTTGGTCTGAGAACCTTCACCCATGATAAGGAACGACGAGTTTTCTTTGATAATAATAACCCCAGATTCGGCCCCGGAATTCTCGAGAATGATCTAGACAGGGTACGAAGGAAAGAAAAAAAAGGCAACGTTAATCATCTACTTTCGCTTTTTTACATCGTTCTTTTTGACACCATACCCCTAACATTTGCTTCATAAGCAACTCAAAGTTCATCTCGCTAGAGATCACTTGTGAGCTTTTCAGAATGGTTGCCAAGTCTACAACGTCCAACGTCAAAAGCGATTCTTCAGGAGTGGCCGCAACACCGTCAATGGATGAATCGATATTGGGGTCAATGAACGTCAGTTCACTCAATGCAGGTTTTGCGGGAGGATTGGATGATGAATGGGCCTGGTTCGTGATTGGATCGGTTTGCATAGATTGATTTTCGGTCTCAACAAACGTTCCTTGGGGCAGGCAGTCTTGATGAAGGCGTTCCAATTGTTTGGCTTTTCCGAAGCATGCCGTATGACGATAGACACGAACCGCTTTCTCCAGTAACATATTGCCGACATGATTCGCACCCTTACGTTTATAGTATTCGCCCGCGAATTCATAAACCATTCCTGTGCACATATTCCAGCATCCTTTCTGAGCCAACTCGAGAGCCATATTGTACAGATGTTCCGTCTTTTGCATATCCGATGTGAGTGAAGATAGTTCGGCATCAATGAGACAGGATATCACATGTAAGTTGGCAGGACTGTGAGATGAATGGATTATGGGTTGGGTTAGTTAACATGCCGTGTTGTATTCTTTTCGAGTATTTGACTTACAAATGCGAGGCATATTCCTTGAGCTTGCTGCGGTAAGCGTGAATCTGCGTGATGTATGAACCTGTATGGTCATTGCTGTTTTTATGAAGCAATCGAAGCATAGCCAAACAATAGCAGGTACGCATGATGTAGACGTGGCGAGTTGAAGGTTGCATTTCTGTCGAATTGATGTACTTTTCTCCCAGTCTGACCGCGGCTTCATCGTAGCCATAAAGGGTAAGCAAGGCAAGTTTCATTGTCTGGTAGCAGAACATGGGCGAGGTTGTTTCCATGCCGTGCTCGTTCATCTCTTTGAGAAAATCCGCTTCGTGAAACTCCTTGTCATCCAATAAACCTTCTTCTGTCAAATACGTTTTGCCTTGTAAGGCAAGGACAGCGCGGAGCACCGAGTTGACCAGCAGAACCGTATCCAAAGAGCTGTTATAGCTATAATGCAGAATGAATGAGATTAAAGCACTGACAGATAGAAGACTAGGACTTACCGTTTGACGTCTTCTAGGCAAATCTTGGCTTCCCTGAGGACGTCCGACATATTTTCACCATTAAAGAGCATGTTGATGACGATATTGATGTGAGAGTAAGTAGAGTAAATGCGATCGCCTCCCAACAAGGCTTGTTTGACCGCTTGACGGAAGATGGGGATAGGATCCCGGTAACGGTATTTCCACATACACAAAAACGCGCCATACAAATAGCGTGCTCTTGCGGATTCGGAGTTGTCACCGAATTTATCGCAAAGGGCAACCCCCACTTCTCCAAGTCGTTGTCCAAATTCGTAAGCCTTGAAGAGTTGCGTAGCGGCAATACCAAAGAATACAAAGCCAACGCCTGTGGATGGCGAGTTACCGTGATTGAGCGTTTTCAATAGAGAGCGAGCGGCGATACAGAGAATGGATTTAATTCGATTCTTCCAGTAAGCCCACAGACACCTATTAAATAGCATATAAAGATGGTAAGTACGTTGATCCCCACGACTAGACGACGAAAATGTCATTTTCTTACAGTTCCTCTAGAATGGCTAACCGCGTTCGAATCATTCGATTTTCACAAATGGGCAACTGGATGATATTTTCTAATCCTACTTCTAGCACCTTTTCTCGGGTGCTCTCATAAACGGTCCGCAGTTGCTCGTCTGTTACGTCGAGGACCAAATCACGGGTTCCCAACTCATGCAAGCATTCCAGTAAAATGGTTGCTTCTTCCTGCCGTCCTTCGAGCGCCCAGAGATAACGATGCTGAATACGATATGCAGCGGCTCGATCGATTGCTGATTTTGCATTCTTCAAAACTGTATTGATGAGTTGATGAGTACGCTCATACCCCATAAACCAACTGATTTCGGCCAATCGCGTATACAAATGCAGGGTTTCTTGATAATTGCTGTCAGGGCCGTCGGTCCATGGAATCGGGGTCAAAAGAACTTCAGCGGCTTCGTAATAGGAGAAGGCTAAATGATGTGCTCCTGAATGATAAGCTTTGTTACCCGCTTTGATCAACATGGCGCGTTGTTTGGACTTGTAGTCTTCTTGCTTGATAAGATGAATAGCCGCTTTAAGATGATCGGCGACCCAAAAGGTATCGATGTTAGGGTGGTTCATGAAATACTCGGCAATCTTCAAGTGGAACATGTCACGTTTCTCGGGCTTGGCAAGCATCATGGCTGCTTGGGAGTAGCGATCGTGCGTAAATCGGAACTCGTCATTGGACACTGCTTGAATAAAACCTTGTTGCAGAGCCGATTGCAGACCGTTGATAGCGTCGTATCCATTTCTTTTCCGCGGTAACAGACTGTCCCTGAAAGGAGATGTAGAAAGAGGAGGGGATAATTCACCATCAGCATCGGTCTCACCGCCTTCGTCGTTATTGGGTAAATCGGTTTCACAATCCATCATCAATCGTCGTACAGTTTCAAACGAGAAATTATTGCCCACAAAGGAAGCCCATTTCAGAAAATTGCGTCCATCCGGTGGCAAATCCTTCAATCGTCCGACCAAAAATTCAGTATCAATATTTTCACTGACTTCGCCAAGTTCATGATGCAATGCTTTTTCGATATCTTCAAGACTGTACTCCCAGCGACTTTGTTCCCAGGTAAAGTAGATGAATCCTTTCTTCTCCAGAGCAACAAGCAACTGACATGCATAGAAAGGATTGCCTTTGGTCATTTTGTGGATGAAATCGACGAGTGGCATCAGTAAAACGTTGTCAATTTCTTTGTGTCGATGCATAGCTGCGCGAACCAACTCCATCAGTGCTACGGGTTCCAAAGGCCCGATTTTCACATAATTGACCACCGAGTTCTGATTATTGATAAACCTGGATGCGAAACTTGACAGACCATCTTTTCGATACGTGATTATTACCAAGAAATTTAACTTGGCAGCAATAAGCGATTGCAAGAGTTCAATGGATGCTTCGTCTGTAAAGCACAGTTACCGGAGGAACACATTAGTTGCTCGATCTTCTTTGACGTATTATCCCATTGTTTATAATTACCTGCTTGATGAAGATCCTCCAGGAACTGGAAAAAAAAAAAAGAGTGAGCTTACGGACGCATATGATCCCAACAAATACCAATTACTCACCAGCGTAACAAATTTTGAGTTCACCATGACTTGAAATATTTCGATGAAAGCGGCGTGAAATCGCATTTTGGTTTCGCTGCCGTTCATCTCACTGTCAATATCTGGTTTCTGGAGTTTTGGGTCGTCCAAGATAGTGCGTAATTCAGGTACATTGTCGAGTAAGAGGGTGGGTAATTGCATCATGGCTTGAGGCCCGAGTTGTTCTTTCAGCATATGAGCGAATCGATCAATCTCGGCGGCCGGTTCTGCCAGGATGTTTTTGAGAAAGATGCTTAGACAGCGAAGAATGCAGCCGTAAGGTGTGGGTTGTCGGATATCAAACTTTGCAATAGCGATATATCCGTATTCACGAGCTACTTGCTGAATATTTCGAATTAAAAGCGATTTGCCTATGCGAAACAACACGGGACATTCGTCAAAATTGATCTCCAATATTTTAAATGGGGTAGTAATGCTTACCGACGCCGGAATTGCCATATATAGCGATCATTTCCGTCGGTCTTCTGGCTCGTGCAGTAATGTTGGGATGACCAAATGGCGATCCGTGAATACGTTTGATCGAACCATCCGCATATTCGAGTTTCTCGCCTGGCGTGCACTGCATCAGCAATCGATCGACGTCTTCGCTGATAGGAGGAGATGATTGAGATCCCATGCCGTAGTGGTGGGCTGTTCGACGAATGATGGCACTAATTAATTCAATCTCACGGCGTCGGCCATAGCAGCCACTTGGCAGTGTAAACACGCTCGCAATATCGTATTGACCCAGCAGAAACGGTGCAATAGACTGAAAGCGAGCACCACAAAAGAAAAAAAAAGATCAGCAAACACCCACGCAGAAAATAACCGGTTTTTGAATCTGCAATTTGGCATGATGGTCCTACCTGGGGATTTTCAGTCACAGCCAATTGACGCTGACACTCCTTTAAATCTTCGCGCAACCCGTGGGCACTCATATATCGTTCATCCGGCGACTGTAAGTGATGCAAACGCTACGTGTTACTTTTCATTAAATTCTCAGTCAACGCGTGTATAAAACTGACCTTGTTTGTTAGTTTTTCAATAATCATGGATAAAACTTCAGGAACGTCACTGCGCACTTGATGAACGGTGGGAATTTTTCGATTCAAAACATTGTGAACGATTTCCATGGGCGTGCTGTAAGCAAAAGGCATGGTTTGGGTAAGCACGACGAAGAATGTGATTCCCAAACTGTAGAGATCGGTGCGATGATCCGGTTGAAACGTGGTACGACCGGTTTGCTCAGGTGACATGTAGCTTAACTTTTGCCAGAAATTGTGAGCTCGATTGCGATGAATGGATTTCCGCCATCCTTGTGAAGTGAGGTTGGTTTCGAGACTACGCGATCCACAGCCGAAATTCCAAATTTTAACCGTGTCGTTTTTTGGCCAGAAAAAAGCGTTGAGCTTGATTTCACCATGAATGACTGAAATAATTTCAAAAGAAAAAATTGCATAAAATGAATATGCATAAAACTTGTTCTGTTGATCGGCTGGACTTACTTCGATGACGATGAATGAGTTCCACACAATTACAACACTGAATTGCGAAATCAAGGAAAGTGGATATATCGATGGGAAGTGCCAATTCGGGAGGAGAAACGGAATCTGGGATGTTGGGCAACGGAGAGGAAGGGACAGTAACAGCGAGCGCGGTTGAAAGAGGTGGGGAGGAGAGATCAGAGGAGAGAGAGACGGATGGCTGATAAAAATTGAGAACATTGGTACCTAACAAAAACACATAGTATTAAGGTTTAAGTTTTCCAGTGGGATTTTCTCCCTAGTGGGTCTGCCACCAAGGTTGGGGTGGTTTTTTTTTTTTTTTTTTTTTTTTTTTTTGGGAACTTCGTCGTTTTTACCGTAGTCTGGGAAAATTAATGCGACAAGGCCGGTGGGTAAAGTTAATTTCTCTAGAGGTATGAACAGCTTTTCTTTGGCGCCCTGATAACGAGCCAATCGTCTGGTGATGTGGAATTCTCTTTCCAGTTTAAGCGTTTGATACGATAACTTGGTCATTACGGGAAGTTGATCTCGATGCCTGAAAAAAGTGCGAAAAAAAAAAGATAATGTGCGATCAGTAACAGGACGCTCAGTAACAAACGCGAAAGACAATCAGAACACGACGGTAAAGAGGCAAAGCAGTTGTATGTAAGATGACACATGGAGAAAAAAAAAAGAGAAAAAGGTCATGTGCGCGCTTGTTAAATGGCGTACCTTTTTCCATAAGCTATGGCGACATCGTCTAATCCTTCCAGTACAGATGGTGCCTGAAAAGTGTAGCCACTGATCTTCTCAACATCGAGATCAAAATTGGAAAGCGTCATGGCGATGGCCTGACAAGGTTAGTGGCCACTTGAGATGAAATAAGGAAAGAAAAAAAAAATATAGTCTATGAAAAAGAAGTGTTCCAATTATTACTTCCATCACATCATTGCCAGCCAGAAAAAAAAAAAAAAAAAAAAGTGAAAAACTCAGAGTCGAGACATTCAGAGAACTCCGCCAAGACAAATGACGATAATGATTCATTCTCATACTTTGCTCTTTTTTTTATTTGGTTTTCAGATATCGGTTCTTTAAAACAGGGAAGAAATGTCAGGGCACTCGGTGGATCAAAACATCCGAGCACTACTTGGCAGAAATCAAGGTTGAATTAGGTCTTATTAAAAAGCGCATTCGAATGTCATTAAAGCTGTTCAACATCTCTTTATCTATTAGACGGCTCTCATGACCGTTCATATTCCAATTACTCATATTTCCACGGTCAGACTAATATTAACTGAGATTCTGACTTGCAGAAATCACTATCACCAAAGAAAGTTTATTTGTCTGACCGAATTCTGTTCTCTTCTAGAACGGGGTTTTCTGACAGTATTTGTTGACTCTTGAGCCAACAATGGGATAAACTCAATCCTTTGCAGTTGCTGATATACAAGAATGGAAGCAAAAGTAATTGGCATCAGAGTATGTGTGAAATGTCATCTATCACATCCTTCACAGCTTCGGCAAAAAACACCAAAATGGGGTCAGTCAATTTCTTCCAAATTTAGCCATCTTATTGTTGGGATCCGTTGGGATTAGTCCCATTTCCAAAGTGCGCTTAGCGCCGTGCGCCGTGGATCAACGCATTGGGTGACAAAAACCAAAACTCCGCAGAAAGTTTAATTTCTTAAATGTAGACCAGAAAAAGGACCAACCGACAGATCAAGTGATGATATGCATTGGAGGAAACCTGATGTTAGACTATCAATGCTGTTGATCGGTCCATGGAAGGAAAGATATCAGACTTTGGTTATGAATAATCGGAGATACAGTGTGATGTGTTGAACTTCCCCAGAATGGGAAATAGCTGGCTGTTCTATATGAAAATGGTACAGCCGAAATTGAAACCTTTGCCGAAAGATTTTCCTGACTGCAATTTTACTGGAGAAACGACGTATCAGTCTGGTAACGAATGATATGTCGCCATAGAGAAACACACAATGTGCGTACCAACAAGTAGTGAGAAAAGCAATTGCTTTGCTGTGTAGAAAATGGTGTAATATCATTACTGTAACTATACAGCACCGTTCATGGGGCTGCTGAACGGATCTATGGCCAAAGTGCGGTGTTCAATGACTTGCAACTGACTTGCTTTTGAAGCAACAGCACGTCTGTCTGTCATGTCACTGATAATCACACAGACAAGACGGAATATAGTAACGAATGGAGGATGATTTTGCTTCTGTTTTTATTTTTGCATCTGCTTCTGCCATAATTGGGTTATATGATGCTCTTCAAATGCGTTTCACTAATGACGGGTGACGATACATTGCAACATTCAAAGTCTCAAGTGAGCTTGTACAATCGCTGACGTCTCATAAACCAACTTTCCGTCATTGAACAGACATTGGATGGCGTTGAATCATTTTAGATTGTATGATTTACTTGATGTCCCTCGCTGCGCGCGCTTTGGTGTGTTCAGATTTTTTTTTTCTCAGCCTGCGAAATTTTGGATGCTAAGCCACCAATGGGAGCCAGCTTGGGAATTGTTTTTTTATCACAATTTTGGCACAGCATCCATTTCCCTTCTTCTTTATTACTCTCCGCCACGATGCCCGGACTCGATCTGAAGAATCTTCCTGAGCGCGAAGAAGATATTGACTTTAGCGATATCTATGAAAAGCACACCATTTCTGTCGATAACGACTTTGATTCCATCGTTGTGGTGGACGGTGCACCCATTGTCGATGAAGCCAAGGAGGAGAAGCTTCTTACTGTTTTGAAGAAATTATTCACCAAGGGTGCTGGTGAAATCAAAGAAAGTGGCATCTGGATGCCCATGTCGCCCAATGACAAGGGTAAAATGGAGAGCAAGGGGTAACTATTCTAAACCTTGTGTAAACAACAAATCCACTTGGGGATGACTTACACTTTTGCATGACGCGTCTAGTTACTTGTTCATCGATTTTGAATCCGTTGAATCAGCCCATGCTGCTGTCAAGAATTTGGATGGCCATAAAATGAGCAAGACTCATCAGCTTTCCGTCAACAAATTCACCGATGTCGAAAAATACACCAACATGAACTCTGAATTCAAGGAACCTGAATTTGAGGAATTCAAGCCCAAAGAACATCTTCGCAGCTGGCTTGCCGACGAACAGGCCCGCGATCAATTCGTCATGTACCGTGGGGACGATGTCAGCATTTTCTGGAACAGAAAGACAGAAAATCCCGAACACGTTTACAGCCGCACTGTAAGTCTATTACAACACATACGTCCACGATAGCTGAGCATGATGTACTGATAATGTGCCTGTAGAACTGGACCGAAACTTACGTTCAATGGTCCCCCTTGGGTAGCTACCTTGCTACTTTCCACACACAGGGTATTGCATTGTGGGGTGGTCCTTCGTGGAGCAAGATTGTTCGCTTTGTTCATCCCGGTGTGAAATTGATCGATTTCTCTCCGAATGAACGTTTCTTGGTCACATGGTCCAACGAACCCATCAGCCCATCAAAGATTCCCGAGGGTTCTCCCAATCCCTTCTCTGAATATGATGAAGGCAACCAGATCATTATCTGGGACGTTATGACCGGCGCTCTCTTGCGTTCTTTCCCTCTCGTCCAAGGCAACAACGAAACACAAAAGACCATTCGTTGGCCCATGTTCAAGTGGTCCGCCTCTGAAAAATACTTTGCTCGTATCGTTCCCGGCCAGCAGCTCTCCGTCTACGAAGCAGCCACCATGGGTTTGGTCGGCAAGAAGAGTATCAAGATCGAAGGCATCGTCGACTTTGAATGGTCGCCCGCAAAGCCTGATCAGGCTGACGCCCACCAGAAGGAAGATGTCCTTGCCTACTGGACTCCTGAAGTTGGCAATCAACCTGCACGTGTAACCATGATGACCGTTCCTTCCAAAGAAATCATCCGTACCAAAAACTTGTTTAATGTCACAGACGTAAGTATCATAAGCGTGCGCATCTGCGAGCACCTTTTTGCGAACCCTTATCCCGGAGCTCAAAGAGAATGGGGGTGGCTTTCAAAGTGGGAGCAAAATTATCTAATCTATTTCTGTTGTCTATTTTTAGTGTAAATTGCACTGGCAATCCAAGGGTCGCTTCTTGGCTGTCAAGGTCGATCGTCACACAAAGACCAAGAAATCCACCTTCTCCAATATCGAAATTTTCCGTGTTTCCGAAAAGGCCATTCCCGTCGAAACTTTGGAAATCAAGGATCCTGTTCTTGCATTTGCTTGGGAACCCCAGGGTGAACGTTTTGCTACCATCACTTCCAACGATCCCAACTACGGTGCCGCTCCCACTCAAGGTGTGGCTCCTGTGACGATCAAGACTCAAATTACCTTTTATTACCTTGATAAGAGCAAGGCCGTCGCCGGTTTCAAACCTCTCAAGATGCTCGACAAGAAGACATGCAACTACATCTTCTGGTCACCCAAGGGCCGTCATGTCGTCTTTGCCACCCTTCGATCCTCTTCCGTATTCGATATTGAATTCTACGATGTCGATTTCGATCCTATTACCACCGACAAGAAGGAGAAGGAAGAATTGGGCGCTACCGTTCAATTATTATCGACGCAAGAACATTACGGTGTCACCGATATCGAGTGGGATCCTACTGGTCGTTTCCTGGTCAGTGGTTCCAGTATGTGGCGCCACACTGCCGATCACGGTTTCTGCGTGTGGGACTTCAAGGGTCAGCTTTTGTTCAAGCAGAACATTGAAAAGTTCAAGCAATTATTATGGCGTCCTCGTCCCAAGAGTCTGCTGAGCCCCGAACAGAAGAAGAAGATCAAGAAAAATCTCAGACAATACAGCAAAGTGTTCGAAGAAGAGGATTTGGCAGCTGGTGACGCAACCGCTGCTAAACTTATCGCTGCTCGTAGAAAGGCTGTCGAAGAATGGTATGCATGGAGAAAGGCGGCCGAAGCTAGACTTGCCGAAGAACGCAAATCCTTGGGCAAGGAGCTTCGAACAACTGATGAAGGCAAATCCGAAATCATTGAAGAATGGGTGGAGGAAGTCATTGAAGAGACCGAAGAAATTGTCGAATAAGCATTTGCAACCGTTTTGCCATCATTTTTCTATAATAGTAAATTTCTTTTTTTTATTTTTTGCTTTGCCTCATCTTTAACATGCAAAAGATTCATCCAATCTCTTTTTTTTCTTTATCCCACGTCTTGCTTTTTTGATTGTTTATCCGATAATTATGACAAAGAAAGGAGGATTAGAGATTTAATGATAGAAGAAGAAAGAAAAATCTCAAAAAGAGAATGAGCGAGGGAAAAAAAAAGACAGATGCCCAATGTCAGAAAAGTTAAAGCGTCTGTAAAGGAATGCCTTCTGGAGGAGCCATATGTCCCTTTTCCACTGTTCCCGTTTCGGATGTTTCGAGCTCAGTGGGAGGAAGAGCGACAAGATGAGGCCACTGGACGAAATCGTCACCGTGCTGGATAGCAAAGCGCACACCAGAAATAACCACAGATATCCAAAAAGCAAGCAGTAACATGTAGGACGTTGTGGACTGGAATCCGGAATAACTGGGACGGAATACGTTCAGCCAGAACATGAACAAAGCAAACAAGAGGATGTAAGGAACCTGAAATGGAGCCACAGAAAAAATCAGCATACATGATCGTATTCAGCGAATACTCCAGTATATACTTACCACACGCACACGCAAGGGTCGGTTGCTCCCAAAAGGACTGTGATATTTGGCAGTGGCATTGCCACCTTCCACTTGGTAATTACCAAGGAACAAGTCAAACGCATCCTGGCGATTACCGTCCATAAAGTTATTCTTTGCATAACGTGTCAAAGAGTTTTGCAAATCTTGCAGAGCGCCTGATTTGGTACGTTGGCCCGTTCTACCACCGAACGCTGTCAGCATCCAATTTATGTTAACCCACACCTCTATTTTGGGGACCATCTACCTTGTGAAATCGGTTTTCAAGGCACCGGTGCCAGAGTATGTCGTACTGACAGCATTGGCATTATCGGCCCAGACTAAAAAATAACAAGCGTTATACATTTCAGAGACGCCATTTGCAAAGTTATGATGTTGCTTACCATTGCGGAAGATAACCATGAAGGATTCATGATTGTCAACCACATCTTTTTCCGTCAGAATGCCGACCTCTCGAAGCTGACGTGTCAGTACCCAACGAGCAAAAGTACTTTGGACAACGTTGGTGCGATCTAAGCAGTCCATACAGTTGGATCGACACACAGATGTTTGTACTTTAAGGGGTTTCTCATTAGCAGTATCAAGGTAGAAATAACTATGATGATCACGTTAGCCTCATGTCGAAACTTCGCTACATGGAGTGTATACAATGTTTTGAGACGTACCTTTGCTCTTCCAATTGATTTTGCAATTGATCCACCAACAGTTGAATACGATCCCATCGCATCTTCTTACACTCGTTGTGAAAGTCAAAATGGGTGTAGTGAAGTCGAGGGTCATTCAGTTGTTCAATAACCCGAGCATAGGCTTGACCCATAGGCAGTTCATATCCCTTCTTATTGATGAGATTCACCAATATCTGAGGACCATAGATGCGAATCTGTTCGTCAAAGTGGGCACGTGCGGCAGAAAGCTAAATAGAGGGATCCCGAGTCAACAAAAAATCAAACGGCCTTCGCTGCAATCTCTAAAGGATCACTTACGCTTCGTCTGCTTTCGCCAACCCACAAGCGAGGAGTGTACTTGAGGTTGATGACCTGTGTCCAGTAGACCGGAATAGAACCGCGGGTCTGAACATAGGATAAGCGAACCTTTCCTTGCATGGGCTGACTTCCTTGAGGACCATCGTACAACACCAGTTGTTCCGTCTCCACGAAATTGGACACATGGCCTTTGTCATCAATACCACGTGAAAAGTAGCGAGTGCCAGGTCGGTGACGGCTGCGACGAGTAATAATACCCAAAAGGAATGATTTCTGATTGATGGACGTCATTTGCAAGTTCACAACTAGTAAAAATGTTTTTCTTTGATAAACCATTCCATAACAGTTTCTTTGATCATGATTTTCTCTTACAGCCTTGCATCACCGGCAAAATAAAATCATTCAACTGAGGCATGTTTTTGGCCAGATCGATGAGCTTGGAAGAAATAAACCGGTTCCAGAAGAACCGTTCGTCGCTCTAATATCAGCAACAGGTGTTTAGTATAGCCACTATCACACAATAAAGAGGAGGCACCTACTCTTTGCCACAGCGGTGCAGACAACGTGTCGGCAGAAAACTGCGACTGCTTTTGCAAGTTTTGTGTCAGGTCATAATTGTAAGAGTAAAAGAAACTGTTCGACTTCAAATGGTACTCCAGCAACGTGACATAATGTTGTTCATCTTGAGCCTACACAGTGGATCACATCCTTCAGTATTTCGGCTATCCGAATATCATGTTTTGAGAACACCCAAATACCTGAAGTTCAGACAGTTCGGACAGGTCCTGGGCGAGGGGCAAGATCTGGAATGCCGAAATTCGATAGATGTCTTGGCCGCCAATGCTGCCAATGCAGTCACAATTCGTGATGACAATCATGTATTCGCCTAAATATAGATGATCAGGGTACCGTTGGCTTCACATCAACGAGGCACTAATAATCTATTCCCTTGCGAACTCATGCCATCTCCTATCGTTCCCCCATATGCCTCGATTTATCTCCATCTATCGTTTTTTACCTGCTAGGAGTCGGATAAAGCCCAGGATACCGTAGATATCACGCACGGTTTCCTGTTCGGTCATGGTGGGCACCTTGTCTGTTCTCAAAAAGCCGTCAGATACAATCTCTTTGTATGGTACAAGTGCATACTACCCGTGAGTTCAATGATGCCGTTATCGCGCTGAATTCGCAAGTTGGGACCTTGTTCTGGAGCCACGACATAGCCATCTTTGGCAATATACCTGATTGCACGATTTAGTTAATGACACAAAGCTCGATTTCCTCAAAACTTACAAACGCATCTGTTTGTGCATGATGAACGGTGACTCGAGAGACTGAGAAAAGACAAAAAGTCGAAGAAACGTCCAAGGGCTCCATCGCTTGGGTTGGAACTCATTTTGAATGATATCAAAAATACAAAGTCCGCGTGCAAGCTGATAATTTGACTTGCTTTTTTTGTGCTGTTTTTGGAGAACGATCGTGTTGTCAGTGGAAATAATAGAAATCATGGTACCGCCTTCCTATTCATTGCTTTATGCACCCCTACCTTCCGTGCGCACGCTCCCCGATGTCCGTATTAACAAGAAAGTGGATGTCGATCACGACCAATACTTGACTCGTCTCGGTAAATTATGTAAAGGCTTCGGTTCACGGCGGCAGTTTTGGATCGACGTTACCATTCTGGATCGGCTACATTACAAAAACATTAACCAGCATCGCCATTTCAGCCGATTCCGTCGAGCAGCCGAGGCATGTATTATGGGACGAAGGCACTGGTCTAGAGTTCTTTTTACAATCGATAATGACCCCAAGGTGATATTTTGTAGGCCCGACGATTGATCAAGCGCTTCAAAAGTCTACAAATAGACAAGATTGTCACCAACTTTTATCTAGCGTTCTGGGATGCTTCAAAGTAGGTTCATCGGCAAATATTTCGTATACAAGGGAGGAAGTGCTAATCAGCGATAGCCTACAACAATGTACGGGAAAATGGAATTACATCCCTAGCAAAGAATTTTCAGAATATACCATGCATCGACTCATAGCAGCCGCACTTGTGCTAGACAAGGTACCTCTTTATCTTCGATACCCCTTTTCTGTTTTGTTTAAATCAGCTCTGATCTCCAACTTTATCACAACGACAGCTGCAAATGGTTTTGATCGAAACGTACAGGTAGGAACGCTTCATTATCCTGTGTCTATTGATCCCAAATGCTAACAAAGAATAGAGAGCATACCACGCTTCTCAGATTAGAACATTTTGTATCGTTAGCTGTAGTATATATGAGCGTGACGAGTCGGCTGTATACTCTGACGCACACATGGGTGAAACAAATCGAAGAATGCTATGATATGCTACAGAAATGGCATGAAGCATTTCCATACGGGATGAAGCAAAAGGCCCAAGCAGCCTTCTTTGAAAAGACAAATCAGAAATGCAGTGTATCCACATTTCGAGAAGCCCGTGAAAAAGCACTGAAACACGCTTCCAACGAACGGTATTTACCTGAAAGTTCGTATCATGTCATGACACTGACCATATGTACACACCACAGCATTTCCAGTAAGCATCCAATCCATCTGGCAACTGAAATGATACTGCAATCGGTACAATCACAACCCACTTTGATGGAAACTGCCAAATCAATTGCCGCTGAACATGGTGTAGAGGAACAAATGGATTTTGAGGATCTGGGAGGTAAGTTCATCTCTAATTTCAACAAGGAGACGAACTGCGAGTTTGATGTGATTTGGAATTGTATAGAAATCATTCAACGGGACTGAACCACCACACCTTATTAAAAAAGTAAATGCTCGACGATCGAATGATGGAGAGAGAATTCCAAAAAAGGGCACGGGTTCCGAGGGAAACGAATGAGGAAATTAAGGTTACAATAACGCATTGTATAAAGTATGAATAAAATCAAACTCATCGGGTATGGAGCATTATACACAACTCTATTGTGAGAATTTGGATAAATTTACTAGTTCAAACTATTCAAACGGCAGCAAAACCAAAGAAAAAAAAAGCTCTTGTTATCTTTTTTCTTCCTTGTATGATATTTTGCTATGTTGATTTTATACGGTACGAAGCAGTTCTTTACATTGGCATGACTAAAACTTCGAACATGGCATAAATAAATTCCTTTCTGGATGGCTTTCAAAGGAAATTCGGAACTTTATCCACAATTTTTTCAGGGGGGACTGTACAAGATGCTTGATCAATGTAAAAGAGAAATCAAAATGCAGTATGGGGATGGAAAAAAAAAAGCCCATCCGGGGAAGTGTGAATGAGATATGCTGTAAAGTGAGTCTCCGTAGTTCATCTAAAGGGTTATCATGAATTCCTTGTGAAGACGGTGCTCTTGCGTCGCTCGAACTGTTGGGTAGGAGGTTTTATGAATAGCGATTGGAGGTTTGCAGAACATTCCTCTTTATCGCTATCTCGATGACAGCGGACGGCCGCAGAAGTTGGCGAAGGATCATGACCAAGGGCGGGAGGATCCAATGGATGAGGGGTAATGGATAGATAGGATGCTGAGAGCATATGCTTGATTTTTGATCGGGAAATAGTATGTCGCGCGAATTGACTAGCTGCATCCACCTGTGCCTTTGATTGCCGCTTTAATGACGAAGAAGAGCTCCGGCGACGAAGCTTGGGAGCTTCATGGTTCATGGCCGACACCGGAGAAGTGTTGTCTACGAAAAGGGACGGTGAGGATTTATACTGATGACGAGATTGGTTCAAAGTGTGCGATTGAAGGGCAGTCGATTTTTTAGACAAGGTGGGTACGCTCGTTGGGGCAGACCGAGAATTATCATCATCCATCGATGAACGCGGTGATCCTGTCTGGGAAGCCGCACTGTGACGCCAAAAATCTTTGCGGAAGATGGATGTCGCTAGCGACGTTTGAGAACTGAAACTTCCTTCGCGTTGTAACAAGTGGGATTTATCATGAGAATGATCTACATCCTCCAGGGAATAATAACGAGGCGAACGCTGGATGGATCCGACCGATTCATTGTCGGAAGCAGAGGAACCAGGACCATAAGAGCCCATTTCTGTCTTTGAAGGATGATGTTCGGCCCATTTGCGTGCAAATAACCAAAAAGCAGGACGATGGGCCTGTTTACAATCGGGTGCACTGGGGCATACCATTGGAATGTCGGTATCGTCTTCCAAACTCACGGGTCGACTGGAACCGGTACTCTCTGTACTCGAAGCAACACCGCATGTAAGGCTACCAGAGCTACTACGCAGTTCGCCGTTGCTGGGGGAATTGGTTGCTGTGCTGCAGGGTACCGCAGGCACCGCTCCCGTGGAGGCGGTTACTATGGGAAGGCCAGACAGAGCATCACCGGTTGATTGGCTGCGCATGGTTTTGGGTGGTTCACGTAGCAAACTCATATCATCCACGGTTTTCTCGCATACCCATGGTCGCGTCAGCTATTTGTTGCCGGAAACGTAACAATGATTGAGATGATCAGATCTCGCGAATCCAAAGCTTGAAATATGATGTACGTACCAGATACTGCGTCATAAGACATTGCTGCATTTCAACACTTGTATCACCTGTATCTTCTTCAGTGCTAAAAACAGGGTGCTTCTTCGTGGATGCCCCTCCTCGTAAAGCATAGGACAATTTGCGTCTTCGATTCTTGTGAAAGTCTTTGGTGTAATGAGCTGCCATTCCAGGTGGGTAAGGTGGAGATTGCTGAAAGCCACGGAACGCTTTCAATAGGTCGGCTAACCGTCCAGTCTGATTACTGCTGGTGCTCGTTCCTCCTTCCGATGATGATTTCTGAAGGGCAGTTAGATAGGTCATGTCGTGAATAAAAAGTCCCAGGAAGGGAACAGCCGGTTCCTGAGGCGAAGTCTTTTGCTGTGCACCTATAGTTTCTACCGTCACCAATGCATCTAATCGTTCTCTGTATTTCCCGTAATTGTTGGCCTCCGACATAAGCTCGGTAATCTCTTCCAGACGAAGCAGACTTTTCTTTGGCAAAAAGGCCCACGTCCGCTTGAGACGCTGAATAGGAGGAGTGCGCAGAGCCGAAGTAATAGCCTTCAATGTCTGGAAGTTGCGTAAATCATGACATTTATTCGCCACTTTGATCCAATGATTGATGTGTTGCGCTCTTCCAGACGCTTCCTGTTGCAGCAAGATGGAATGCTCTATCAATCGGGTAAGATAGTTGAAGAAGTCGGTGGACGCGACGATGGCAGGATGCGGTGTTTTGAGTGTATGCTGTTGAAGTGCTTCAGGAGGAATGTTACGGAAGATGGTAGAATCAATGAGTGTAAGCTGATAAGCAATCAGCATGGGAGGGAACTGCAAGATGGTTGGCACGGTGGTGGCTGACATGTGAATATTGCGAACACGGCTCAGGGTACCTTTGACCTCTGCGATGGAAGCAACATAATGGCGGGTGGAGGAGTCCAAATCGTCTTCTGCTTCCTGTGTGAGATGAGTCCCATCTTTTTTCTCTTGCTTTAGAGCGCTCAGATATTTCTCCAGATCTTCCAGCTTGAGCTGCATGGATCTGTAGACCGATAGCAGGGGTGCCTGAGGGATGGCGGGTACATACTCACTCACAGGTGCAGTGGTGGGGAGCACGAATCGATCTCCACTGCTAGTTTGCACCGCTACCAACTGCGTCGGATCGATCACCAAATTGGAGGGTAGAAAAATGTCATCCTGTTCGCAAAACCTTTCATCCGATGACAAGGATGCCGTGGAGGGGTATTGATTTAATTTTCTGAGCGCATCGACGTGCGTTGGGATGGAAGCAGGTAAAGACAGAAACGATTTCACGGCAAGAAATGCATTGATATTGGAAGACGACGAAGTAGAAACTGGGTTTTCTGTCAGGTTAGAAGTGGATGAGCGCCTAGCAATGACTCGGGGCTTGATCGACCGCTGGCGACCTGCAGCAGCAGCCATGTCTACAGAAAAAAAAAAATGACAAAAATAGAATCATGAGAAACGCCATGTGCGCGAAAACAATGATTCAGTGAATCCTCATGTCAAAACAACACTGACCATCATCCTCGTCTTCATCGTCCAAATAAGCGATATCCAAATCATCTTCCACATCCTCGTCTTCCTCGTCTTCCTCGTCTTCGTGTTCCGATGTCACACTGCACGGTTGCGGAGATTTAAGCGGTGCTGAACTGGTGATGGTAACAGCTGCTGGCGTGAGTGCATGAGCTGCTTGAGGGCGATGCATAGATAGTTTATATTTAGGACGAGCGGGTAACGGAGGTGCGGTTTTCTTCAAAGTCATTGATTTGGGTTTCGGCGGTAATGGTGGTGGAGTTCTCAGTTCTACAAAGTCATCGACCAGCACTTTGCTGTCCATAAACGACGTGGTGGGTCGTTTGTTGGTGATATCTTCGGCATATTGCAGACAAGTGCGTGCCAAAACAAAAATTGATACAAGGTGGTCAGGTCGCACAGCAACATCTATTATGTATGGGGTTCATTCAGGTAAGTATATTTCAAAACAATAAACAAGCCGTGCTTTCCATCCACTGGTTATAAAACTTGCATTGATCCACGAATTTAATTTTGTACAGTTCATTCACAGCAGAACTTAATGCTTGAAGGTAAAGTTCATAGGATGACTATAAACATAAAAAGGAAAAAATAAAAACAATCGTTCATTCAATCAAGCGTTTTTTCTCTTGTTGCTCGCTTTCAGTGAAAGAAAAGAAAAAAAATATATAGAAAATCTCCTGCATGCCGCGCTTTCCCTCTCATTCTTCAAGCACGCGCTTCAACAAAATTATTCAATGCTCAAACTGCCAGTTGACTGGACAGAAAAGCCAACTTACTTGCAAGTTACCACAGCCGAGACACTCTGCTGCTTCGTAAATGAGAGCCTGAATGCTGTTCATTCCGCGGCAATGAGCATGTCAATGGCGAACGGGACGAAGCGGAAGATATAGAAAGGTACACGACTAGCTTGTGTCGTGATAAAATGTCTCTTGGTTGAAAGGACGAGCCCAAGCACACAGAATAAAAGAAAAAGTGAATACAGTAAAACAGTAGAAGAATAGAATCAGGAAAGAAGAAAGCGGAAGTACAAGGAAGAAAAAGAAATGTGTAGAGGAAAAGGAGCAGACGCTGGATTTGGGGGTAAAGTTAATAGATAGAATGAGCGAGTTGGAGATCAGTTCAGACTGGAACAATAATGGAAAGGATGCGTCACCGTTATTATGGCGTGGGTGGTTCATCTTGTATCTCTTTTTTAGTCCTATTCCAATGAGTTTTTCTATTTTATTTACTGTTCACTCCTTTCTTTACCTTGATATCCCTGAGAGTCACACTGTATACCTCAAAAACAACAATAGTAGGGGCCCTCGAAACAAGGAGATACACCATATGGGGAAACCAAAGGATCTCAAAAGGGCCCGTTTCCGTGGTTCCTGGATCCTGTTTTAAACAAAGTCATTTACTCAAGTCTCGGTGATCGGCCTCCACATACAATTGTGTTTATTTTTATTATTATAATGATGCGGTTATAATTCCTTTCAGCGCGCTGCACCACGGTGATTAATACCAACAACATGTTCCGATGTCAACAAACAACATCTGTATACAGCCAAGACAGTGACAACCTCCTTGTACATCCCTTATTTTCTTTGCGAATTCAAACTACACATTTTTATCGCGTGCCAGAATTGAACCTTCATCAATGACTGGCATCTGGCTTTCGTCCTGTTTCCCATGCAACACACACTTCTGTCAAACATACCCCCCAAGAGTAACCTGAAGCCCCTAACTTTTTTATTTCACTTCGGTTCCCCTCCGTCTGTTGATCTCCCTTCACATCTGCTTTTCTTTCTTTTACTGACTACTGCCACCCATTTGCCTCAACTCTCGTTTTTTTCGGTTTTTATTCCATAGTTTTCCCTCTCTTAAATTATGGACGGACATCATCCTTTGTCGGAGCGGAGATCCTGTGATTATGGTGTCACCATGCCTCAACTTCCACGATCCTCCTCCATGTTGTCACCTCTTCTTCAGTGGTCCTCAACCGAGCCATTATTGAGCTCCACCCACTTATCGCTCGGACCGTTACCACGCCAACCCTGGTCCACCGACCACGAACCGCGCTTAGATCTGCCTCGTGAAGACATGTCCCACTTGGTCTCTGAGGACATCTGGAATGACTCACCCAACTTTCGACGATACGTTAAACAACGGGAAGCCTGGTTGAGCGAATTCTTGCTTTGGTTCCAATCCGTTCAACAAATATGGCAGCTGCAAAAAGGTGCGTGATGATTTTTCCATTTCGCAGATCGCAGCGTTTTTTTTATTAACCTCGTACCACCAATCCCTGGATGACTGATTGTGCATATCAGCGTATGCAAAATTAACTCGACAATTGATGCAGCAGACCAACGTTCTGTTAATCAATGATGTTTCGGAACACGCAGGTACGTTCATCTGTTTTGTACTACTGCCGTGACCTTGTGTGATCCATCGTTTAATACTGTCAAACCATAAGCGTCTTTATCCCATGATACGGTACCGCCATCCGTTGCCGAGCGTGTGATGGAGGATATTCTCCGTAAGTGGACTGCAATAATCCCTGAGTCAACGTAGAATGATCATAACCGTCACCATTTAGGTCCACTCTACAAGCAAGCTACGTCTATTCGTAGGATTCTGGGTGTAAGAACTAGGACGACTGTTCGACATAATCACTTTTGCTCAATCATCGTCTATAGAAATCTCGACATGGACTGATTACAGCCAGAAAGCAATTCGAGCAGGCCTCTGCAAGATACTGTACCTTACAAAAGACCAGGGGTCGAACAAGTAAAAGAGTGATGGATGTACGCAGGCTGACCCTTTGTGATTGCTGTTTTGTAGTAGTGTCTTACCCTCCACATCTATATCATAGGATCTAGCTGCCAATTTATACATTTGCAAGCGAACCATGTGCGAGATCACTTTTGAGTACATGAGCGACATGGCTTCGATTATCCAAAAAACGCGCACGCTACTCACAGAGCATGTAAGATCCGTCAGCAACTTTTTTGATTATTCAGAACAGTTGTTTACAATATATGTCTAAATACAATCAGACATCAACCATATTACAAACCTTACAATCTGAGAAACGGTCCACTATGAACCACCTGGAAAACATGGTCCGCTCTTTGCCGGAGAATATCGAACCTGTGGCTGACGCACAGAAATCGCCTTTTGATCTGGCTTACTCCAGGCCCATCAGCCCGGCAAACTCTATGTGTTCTTACAAACCATCCTTTGCCGACGATTATGAGGTTGGCGCCTGACAAAAATGCTTTATTATTATGCAAAACTATGAATGCTCATCTTGTGGCTATTAGATTGATGACCGCTTGTCATTTTATTTGCAAGAAAAGTTGGCAGTATATCACGATGATTTGAAGATCAATGTCGCTTCTCAAGAGAAGACTTCGCTGAGCAGGCCTCGGCCGTCTTCTCCGACATCATTCATCTCTTTTCTCAACAAGCCGCGTACCATGGTAAATACATTGAATAATTGTAGCTATCCCTTGAATTGATATTAATCCGTACTTCCTTTTGGCGTTTTCAGCATCGCTACAGCAGTTTGGACTCGTTGCTAGTAGATCCTAGTGCAGCTTTTATGGCATCTAAAATTGTCACCGAAGGTTATCTGTTTATGAAGCAAAAGTATGACGGACAAACCACATGGCAAAGGTATAATATAATATCGACCTTCCCATATGTCACTCTAAAGGCTAATGAAAACAAAGATCTTACTTTGAGATTGAGAAAGATAGTGGGATGCTGATGCAGCGTCAAGAGGATGGGGTAAGCCAAAAATGACATGGAACGCTAAGATGCTGGCGGCGTTTATAACATTTGTACTGCAGACGGGCTCGGCCGTTATACAACTGAGAACGATGGCATTCAAAGTACCACAACAAGAGAAACGTGACTTTGTAATGCAGTTGGTACCGTCCTTCCAAGACAGGTTAGCGTTAAACATTACAGAATTGACATATAATTCTGTTAACAAGGAAATGGCAGTGGTAAAGGGGCCATTTTGCAAGCAGAAACAGCGACAGATTTTGCCCACTGGTACAAGGCATTCGTTTCGTGGCGTAGCCTCAAATGCAAATCACAGCAAACCATGCCAAAAGGCCGACGTAGCGCTGTAAGGAGGAATCATACGAGCAATATCTGCTACAATTATTAAAGAATTTCTTCGTCTGTGCATCCGCAGATTCCTCCCCCGCGAAACGCGCACACTCGTAGCAGCGATTCATTGTTATCGTTTTCAAGATACTCAACCATACATTCAGACTCGGAAGCTTTGTTTTCGGATAGTGGAAAGGTGGGCGTAAGTAGCGTATACTGTTAGCTGTAATTTCATGTTTTTTTTTTTTTCATGGCCTCTAACACTTCAGCCAGCGTTCGAGTAGAAGCACTTTTCGATGTCCAGCAGGGTGTGATACAGAGGCATACAGGGATAAAGTTATCAAAACGGCTACTTTTCGGATGCGCGGTAGGTTGATGGCTAAAGTTGAAAGGCATTTCGACAAACCCATTTAACATGATAGCCCATTAGAATCTGCAGGAAGAAAGGAAGACGCCAAATCCGATTACTGGCCGTTGGTACAAGTAACGGTGCTTGCCAACGGCATCTTGCACTTTCACTGTGAAGATGTATGGATTGTTTATTATCACATAGGTATTGATAGTCGCATACTCACCACAATCTAGGTTTGGGATCAACAGGCTTGTTCGACGTGGCATCACGAATCGATTTATCTTTGCACTCTTTCTCGGCAGCAGATTTATTCTGTAGCTAAATCAGTGTTTCAATCATCATGTTGCTTTGCACTTCGCTCATCTCCTCTTGACACCTACTACGTTTGGACTAATACTTGCCAGGAACGTGATGAGTGGATGACGCTTCTCAAGATTTTCTGTGTACCAAGCTTTTTGCTCAAGCCCACTCCGGATACTATTGATTCGCATTCTTACAGACAAGGCCGAACGCTTACCGTACAAGTGGTGGAAGCAAGACATGTGCCTATTAACAACAAGGACCCTCCTTCAAATGAGCTTTACTGCGATGTTATCATCGACAACGAAAAGATTGCAAGTACCGGATGTCTTCAGCGAACAGCCACCCCTTTTTGGCGCGAAGAGTTCGTCTTTAGGTATGCAATGCCATCATTTCACGCTTTTTAAAAGTTTTCCTCATTGACGTTTATTTATTCAGAGATCTTCAAAAAATTCGACGCGGCGTCACTGTTCATCTCAACAGCAAGCATGCCAATAAAACGGATCGTGGCACATGCTTAGGTAAATAGAATGGTTACTTCGTTGTAAGCCGTGACAATGAGCCTTTAACTTTTCCGGAAGGATCGGTCTTTGTTCCGTTGGCTGAGCTCCATCGGGGACAGGACATGGTTGAAGAATGGCATGAGCTCCGAAAAGAAGGGCGACATCGCACCTTTTCCACTTTTGCCAGTCTTAGTGGGGTTTACAACCAGATGCCACTGAATGGCATCGAAATAAAATTGGCTTTCCGTCTGGAGGAACAAATTGTTTTACCGTATGACCATTACAAACACTTGGTGGAGGTATATTGATCGATGGTATTGTCCTGATGAACCAGAAAACTGATCAGACATGTGCTTAGTTGTTATCTCGGTTCGATAATGAAGCGATCTATGAGATTGCTCGTCAAACACGAAATCTCGATAATTTTGCGCAAATATTACTACGTATCTATGAGGCGCTAGGCCAGTCTGTGCGTTGGATCAAATCATTGATCGATTTTGAAGTCTCTGCCATGCATGCCGGTAAATTGACGCGGTCTCGGCCATGCGAGAGTTTTGGCTCCTTTGAACACGCCATTAACATAATTTTATTAGATAATGCCAATATCCTATTCCGGTATTAAATTTGGCGAACTGGCAACGATGGTTTCAAATGAGATGTCTTAACCATTTTCTTAATTTTTAGGGGTAATTCCTTGTTGACCAAGGTCTTGGACACCTATATGAAGTTGGTAGGAAAAGAGTACCTAGATCAGGCCGTCGGTGGTATTGTCCAAACCATATGCAAGTCCAAAGTTCACATCGAGGTAAGCATGGCAACGGAGCATAACAGTTTGAAGGCATGACAACATGCTGATCCATTCTGGGGCTCCTCCTCTAGGTCATACCGAGCCGGTTACCTCACAGTGGCAGCAATGACTGCCTCATTTCACAGTGTGAAAAGTTATCACATTACGTTCAGCTAGCCTGGAAAAGCATTGAAGCCTCACAAACTAAATGCCCTCCGTGAGTATAAACGGTAGTCTTGCATGACATCGGAATGGCTAACTGTGCGGGACCCTTGCAGTGAATTACGCGAGATTTTCTGTCACTTGCAGTCCGCCATTGTACACAAATTCGATTTGGAAAATAAGGCTTCTGGTAAACACCAGACAACACGTTTCACATGTGTGAGGTGGGCTACAACATATTTAGCTAAATCATCGGAGCTTTATCTGACAGATGTTGCACCATTCATTTCCCCTTCACTTTAGTGGATTCATCTTTTTACGTCTTATCTGTCCTGCGATCATATCACCCAAGCTATTCGATCTCGTTCAAGGTAGTATCTGTTTACCTTGTTGCTTAAGCGTACCGACCATTGAAACGTTTTTCTTCAGATCATCCCGATGCCAAAACGAGTCGCACACTCACGTTGTTAGCCAAAAGCTTAATGACACTGGCCAATTTAGTGGACACCAACATTACAGAAGCGTGGACGGTATATTTGGATAACTTTATCCAGGTAAGCTTCCATCATGGTACAAGAGAATGCATTAGCGATTTACATAACTGCTTGCAGAAAAATGCACGTGGATTCATGGATTTCATCAATTTTATTTCGGTGAGCGGAGAACCTGTTTCTATTTTTTCGATACCTGATGCTAATAATAATCTCTTATGCGAACCTTAAAATTTCCAAAGACCAATGAAAACAAGCACAACGAAACAAGCTGCGTTTCAACCGGTTTGACCTCTCTATGGCAACCTGTTTTGGCCTTGGTCCCTGAACAATTGAATCACATCATTAACACCGTGGAAGATATCCCTATCCCACCCTACAATATTGATCTGCCGCTGGAATTGGCCCGGTTTGTCAAAAACATGGCTCGACGGCATTCTGATCCCTCCATATCTTTGTCTACTTCGTCCTCTTCAACCTCACTCTCTTCCGCCATGTCGCTCTCCTTATCCACCGTACAATCACTGTCACGCATTTGCCAGCAGTTGGCCGCGCAGCAAAGCATCAGCGTCTTATCTAATCAATCAACGTCGCGGTCAAAACACCTTTCAGGTGTGATTGTCTGATGAGGCTTTAAAACAATGAATAAAAAAAAATACATAGTGTATTAAACCGCATTTTTTTTAACAATCTCGATCTCTTGAGAACTCATCTCCTATTCTCATCGTTCCTTGGTTTCTGAGATCCTTTTTTCTTCTTCTTCTTTTTCTTAAAGGAAAAATAGTAAAATAACTAAACTTTCTATATCTGGCTCAAAGGAGGGATTGAAAAAGGCACTAGTAGGCGTGTGTGTGTTGTCTTACTTCTACGTCTTGGTATCCATCATCAATACGAGCCAAGGGCGGTGGAGAGGATGATGAACCGGTGGTGATGGCAATACCGAAACTTTCTTGGCTCGCTTGACTGTGGCGATTGCTTGTATTGGAGCGCAACGACGAGGAAGCATTACTAGCGGCTCGACGGAGGCTGCCAAAGACTGATCGCACACCATGGCTTGCTTGGGACGCCGCTGAATTGCTACGTTTGGGTAATTTGGCGACCGCACCTGCCACAGCGGCCATGAATGACTGAGGACGCCAGCGAGTTTCTGGACCTCCACCGTCTCTGTGTGCCTCTTCGATATCATCGCTATTGTCCATTGTTTGATCGCCATTTTGACGCTTACGGCGATAGACAAACATGCCTGCAAGACCTGCTGCAGCCACACAGCCGATGGCTGCACCCACCGATATACCGATTGTTTTGTTCTCAGTCTGTGCGCTGACCGGTTTGGAAGGCAGGTTTTGGGCGGTCATCGACTGTTGATTTGGATCGCTCGGTTTTGTATCTTTGGGATCTTCAAATGAAGGTGCGGATTCACCCAATACGGGAGACACATTGGGAGTGGGACCGGCTGGAGCAGACGGATTCATGAACTGAGTGTAGCCTACACCAACGGTGGGTGTCACAACCGACGTGGTGGTGGTGGTGGTCGTCGTCGTCGTAGTGGTAGGTTTCTGCTTCGGATCTTGGGCCATTGCTCGAATGTTGCTGGGTTTGCTTTCCTTTTCGGCCTTTACAGACGATGAATCCGTGCCATGAGCCGAACTGCCGTGGTGGGCTGATTTGGAAGCATGATGTTTCTTCTTTGTCGTAGGTTTGGGAATATGGTGCGCGGAAGTATGATGCGTCTTGTGCGTCGTTTTTGTCTTGGCGTCCTTCGCTTTTAATTGATGATGATGAAGTGTCGCCTTTGTTGCTTTTGTTACCTTTGTTGAGGTATGTTTCTTTTTATGCGTCGGTGTAGCAGAGGTATGCTTTCCTTTGTGTGATGCCGTTGTATTGGATTTCTTTTTTTCATCCGACTTTTTTTCGTTCAACTGTTTTTCATTCGAGTTTTTTTCGTTTGACTTTTTTTCGTTTGACTTTTTTTCATCTGATTTTTTCGAATCAGACTTTTTTGGGATCCCCGTGGCACGATGAGCTTTGATAGTCGGTGTCGATGAATGTTTACTAGAGTGGAGGGATAAATTGGAAGCAACTACGGACGCGTGGTCACCGTGATCGTGGTCGTGGTCTGAAGTATCGTCGGTACAATGACGTTTTCCAATTGTAGCTGTGGGCCGAGTCGCACGGAGGCAGGGCATTCCAGCTATCCAGATACGGGTTATTCCAACTGTTACTTATTCTTTTTGAAGGATAGCGTAATAAAGTATGGGAGAAGAAGGAAAAGTGAAGAAAGTTTGGTGGGTACCTCTGCAACCGTATTTGACATTGCTTATGGCTCGATCTGTATAGATAAAAGTAAGGATGAATGAGCTTCCAACTGATACTAGACGCAAAACAATAGTTTTTGAGGTAGGGAAGTCGGTTTATGCACCTGCAATTGCCACAGCACTGGCAAGTATCAGAATGGAGAGCAACCAAAGGAACGCTTTCATGTAAGGTCTCGAGATGGCACTTCTCCACAGGCAACAGGAAAAAAAATTCACGAAAGGGATGGGTAATAAGGAATGAAAAGGATTGGTTTGAAGACAGGTAACAAGGACGATAATGAGTATAAAAAAGAGAAGGCCACTGAAGATTTCTTAGCATGCCATCATTAAATGAAAAATAAATCAATCGAAAGAAAAGGGAATCGATGCACGTTTCAACACGTTACACTCCGTCGCACATCAATTAGGCGTTGGCTTCATCCCAAAAGCAAAGGAAGAAAGTATGGCAACACGATTAATTTGGCTATCGTCCAAAGTTAAAAACCCACAAAGTCAGATTCCACAATACCAAAAAGGCTCTTTCTCTTTTTATTTCATAAACCGCGGGATATCCTTCAGCATTTGTTTCTTTAACAACAACCATCGTTCATTGCACATTTTCGCTCCATGGCGGTCTTTGAACTTGATTTCAACCTCCTTCCACTTGATAGAATGGCCGTGCTCCAGCATGTGCATAATCAACGTTCTGTCATCCTCCACCGTCCAATCTACATCGTCCATATCTGATGTTTCCTTCTTGTATCCTTCATCCTCTTCCTCGTCGTTCATTGTGTTCAGTGATTGTGGTGTAGGAGGTAATGCGTCTTCTTCTTCACACGGTGGCTGTTTTGACGATGCCTCCTGGGACTAATAAATAACAGGGCAGTGATGAGGCAACGGCACATAATTACAACCAATCATGCATCAATAATTCTTTATTTATCTCCCACCGACACTGTCTGAATGAACTATTTGTACTTACCTGACCCAAAGGGGAACAAGGGTTGGTCAAAATTGGAGAGGATGTGCGTCGTCGGGGTAACAAAACATGACGTATGAACGAAGCACTGAAAATGGTTTCATCCACCTCTGGTTTCCGTGGTCGGCCTCTTTTTCGAGGTCGAGGCGGAAGCTGATTGCCCTGTGATCCGATATTCAGCATGAAAAAAACCGAAAAAGAAAAGAATGCTAACCATAAAAATCCTTTCAATGAAACGGTACCTTTAATTCGTCTGCCTTGCGTTTACTGGGAGCTAAATTATATTGGTCCGCTGGATTAATATAGGTGGTCCATGCAAAAAATAACCAGTTATCTGATTTTCTTCCTACCATGAGACAACGTTGTATTGGCTTTTATCATGGTCGCTACGCTGAGATGAGCCGCATGAGGTGATCCCTGTTTTCGAAAGTTTTTGATGATCGTGTGCGTGGCCGATTTCGACAATCCCGACAAATCAGAGCACATCTGCTCAGTGGCCCCGGCTTGATGAGCGCCGACCACGAACCAGCAATCAGCTTCAGTGATTTGTGTTTTCTTCATCGGGGTGTTTAGGGTTATAAAGAAAGTGGTATATGTTTTCCGGTGAAAATGGAAAGAAAAAAGGGGCACCTGAGTACGTTGCTCGCATAATATCTTTTTTCGGGAATTGATTTCAACCCAAAGAAAATTAAGGTCTGCCTGAAATTTCGCCCTATTGCCTTTGCCCCTGAATAAGTCTTTTTTAACTGGATCCCGAGATTCGGGAGCCGGCCTCTATTGACTAACGTATATTCAACCGTAGAAAGTTCTTGGCTGATTTCTTCACAGCATAAAAATGGCTAAGCATGAGTACCAAAGGTAGTTCTGTTGAAGGCTGTTCAAAGTTACCGTTTAGCAGGAAATCCACGACTCGACAACGTCGGCAGCTTGAGCAACTGTCAACGTAGCCGTTGACTAGTTTGGCTTTTTACCGCAACGTGCACAGTTAAATATAACAATCCGCTAATTTCGTTTCATTGTTCTCTCCCAAAAGTTGATTCGCTTTTAACAGATACAATCGTACTACCTGACACTGCTTGTCTGAAAATCAAAAAAAAAAGTCCGTGGGAACAGCTGTATACTTAGAACCCACGCTTATTTTCACACCTTCCCTCCATTTATTGATCACTATGGGATATCTCAAACCATTCGCCTGATTTTAGTTCGATCGTCTGCACATAGAATTCATACAACCCTTGTTTGGCTCGCTCTTCGGTCTGAATTTGAACGAGACTTTTCCTCGGCCGTCGCCCTTTGATCCAATCATCTTCTATTTTTTGCTGCTGTATAATACTTCGTAGTGACGCCGGCTCCAGGTTCTGGTTGGATAATGGACCCTTGGATGATCCCGCTCGTCGAATAGGCACCATAGTAAATGAAGAACCTAGTCTATCGACGATATTCTGTGCCGGAGCCGGGATATCAAGAGCGATATTGTGAGGCCGCACTGACATGGTTTCGTCCAACACATCTTTTGATACGTAGCTAAAGTATAAATCAGAAACAAATCAGAAAAATATGTCATCGTGCTTTCATTGCTGTAGAAATCAAACTCACATTTTTTTGCCCTTTCCTTTCACTTCATCTACTTGAATGGCTTCAGGCAGGCAAGGTGAGAGAATTGGTGCAGGCTGTTTGGAAGACGAGTCTGCCAATGAAATAGGATTTTCCACCGTCACTTTACCCCAGACGGACTTAGACGATTCTGTCATTGTCGACATATTCGTTGCCAACTCTCTTTGATGGAGTTTTCGTCTCTCTTTTTGTGACAGCTTTTTCAATGCAGGCACCGCTGACGAAACCTAAGCATCCAGCCGGTCCACATAAGAATTATGAGTCATCCCATAATTTAAAGGCCACATTTTGTGGTGGCAAAGCTTACCTTCACATTGCTTGCCGTCGGATCCGTGGATTTGCCTTTTTCTCCAAGAATATCACGCAGTGAAGTCGTCGTACCACTACTCATTTCCCACGTTAGGAATATCTTTTTTAATAAAATATACACACATAAGTTTGGCTACTTACGTTGTTTTTGCATCTGATGGAATAGCCCATCCAGGTACGAGTTTTTCGTCTGGTACAGTTTTGTTCGCTTTTTCTCCTTCCAAAAATTCAGTAAGTAGGCGTACTTTTTTCTTTTTCGCTGGCTGCTTTCGAACGTTCGCTTCTGAGGGAACTGAGGGTCGCCTGCTTGGAGCAGACTGGGCTGTCGGAGATCCAGGTTCCTTGTCATGTTCAGGACGAATGGTTACCAGTGTTTCAAATTGCCGATTCGGAAGAGGCGCATCTCCTCGTAACAACGCAAATAGAGAAGATGAGAATTCATCGTCCTCCCGTTCCGCTATGCTGTCACCCATTGATTCGTTGATTTGGATCGTTGCGTGCACTTGCGCTTGCAAAGATCGGAATTGTTCTTCCAAGGTATGGATCGTTGTTGTTCGCAAATGATCCATCGTGCCAGACAACAGGAAATAGGGTAAATTGGAAAGGATATAGCGCTGGCAGACGGCTTTCAATCTATCTGCCGAGTAAAGATCGGTAGCTTCTACAAGTGTGATGGCGGTTCGTAGGTTTAAGAAATGGAGAAGGAAGGTCTCGCATATCGACACCAACCGAGGTAGAAGAAGCTCGTCCGCCACACGTAACATGTCCAACAAATAATCCAACATGCGCTCCGAGGGCATATCATGTAAATAAAGGTATATCTCGTCTTCAGCAACTTCCGTATAGATGAATCGTAAAACCACCTTCATAATATCCATTCGCAAATGCTTAAGGTCGACTTCCAGGTACGCAGGACCATTGCTTGTCGTGGTCAGTAACTGCTGTCGGCGAACCTCGCTCCAGGGTGCTTCCGATGATAATAAAGCTGTAAAGAAAGGACATCGCTGCCGAAGAATCACTTGGTCGGCCAGTAAAAACCCGTCTTGAAGTTGGATTTTCACATCACGGTATTTTGGATTCTGAAGCAAAAGCCTGAAAGCCTCTGACAGCGCAGGTTCAAGATTGGGTTCGTGGTACAGCGGTCTGTATTCCAGAGTGACACCAAACAGAGAGGCCAAAAATGACATTTCTTTCTCCAGTGTCTTCGTATCAAAATTGTTTTCTAATTGGCATAGCGGAGGCGTTGTAAAACCTTGACTCTGTGGGGATATCAGATCGTTCGTATACAGAAATTCCAAAAAGAAGTAGAAAGAGCTGGAACGGATTCCCGACACATTGATGTGGATCCAGTGATCCTTTTTCTCAATTTGGATATGCTCGATTTCGTCTTGACGTTCCACCAAATCTTCAAACCTTGCACATCGCGATGCGATGATGGCAGCGTGACCATAAAAGCGCCGATCCTTCACTGTAAATACGACGTTCGTGCTCTTATCGGCAATGCTCCTCCGTTCGATTTCCTTCCAAGCATTTTCAATCGCTTCTTTCCGCAGCGCTTGAGCGTGGTCAATAATGTCTTTCACGACGTCGGTGGCATTATCGTTTTCGGGGTCTAGGAGTGTTTGCTTTTCCTTTGCGAGCGCTCTCTGTTTCTCTCGTTCGATGTCTGCAACGATATCTTGTAAATGCTTGTTCACTTTTTTGAAGGGCAAAGCATGGCGCATATCTTGGATTAATGTCATTGGTTGAGAGAAGAGGTTGGTCAACCGGTCATCCGCACGCAAAGCAACAAAAGCCCCGCTGACATTGGCGCACACTTGGATACATCGTTGCAGATACGGGACACCGGTATACTTGTAGCGGGGACCGGCAGTGTCCTTGATTTTTGTCCCAACGTAGACAAGACCTGACTCGGTGCACACAATGACGTCGCCGTGCTGTCCTATACTCGCATCATGAGCGCCCATTCGCTTTTTCCCGCAAGTCCATACTCGCACGGGTTCGCCAACGACGACAGATACGTCGGTTTTTTTGGAGGAGGCTGTTACCGTTGCCTGACGTGACGTATTTGGTTTACATGTCCATACGTATACATCGCCTTGGTTGGATATCGCACCCATATAATCACCCGTTCCGACCAACAGTTTGGTGATGGTGTGCCTTTGAGTACCGTGAACGACAATATCCGGGGGAAAGCGGGCGATCGGGAATCTACCAGTAAAAGATGGGTTAATCAGAAATCAACCGATCCGATTAAGCTCGACTTACATCATTTTTTTCATCTGATAATCGCTGAGGACATAGACATCATGATCCGTTAAAACGACGGTGGCATAATCCTAGTATAATATTGTTGGTGATACTGTAAAGGTGACGAATACTGCAATGATGACCTACTGTTGCTTCTACTTGTCGTATGGATGGAAATGAAAAGGCCACCTTACGTGGCGTAACTTGAAGCTTTTCATCATCGGCATGATAGCCTATATGCATGAGATAAAAACGGTTCAGCCATCATGGAATTTTGTACCTTTATGGTCCCAGTTATTTACCTAGCTGTCCTTGGTTTAAACCAAAGGTGTAAACTTCGGTACCGCTGTACACCACCGAATGCACGCTCGACGCAGCGGCCCCTGTAAAAGACATGCGCTTCCAGCCAGGAATTTGGACTTTACGTGGCACAAGCTGCATATGATCGCCGCCAATTTCGTAGCCTGCATCAAAATTGAACATATAAGCATACAAGCAAGCACCCGTTACTGATTGCATCACAAATCCTTACCTAGTTGGCCAAATTGGTTGCTACCGAAAGTGAAAATATCATTGGACCCAGACACAGCAATGGTATGGTCACGACCAAGTGCGGCTGTAACAATGTGCTCCTTTGGCAAAATTGGAATAGGGACGAGTTGGGTATCGATTTCCTTGCCCGTACCGAGACGGCCACCTCGACCATAGCCGCAAACAAAGAAATTGTGTAACCGATCGTTTGTAATGATTGCCATATGAAATTTTGACATGTAGACGGACTTGTATGAATAAGGTCGTGATGTGTCGTAAGAACTCAAAAATTGCCTTTCTGGTTCAAGTGGCACCCGTTCGGGAAACGTTCGATTTTCAGAATCCCGTTGACCGAGCACGTAATTGGTATTGACGCCCCACGAATAAATATCTTTGGCACCCATAACATCGATGTCTGGAGTGTGGACTGAATCATCATCGTCGTCCGAGTCGTTGACTAGATTTTCAGTCAAAGTGTCATGCATAGGTTCAGTCGTCAAGAGCTCGAATGCTCCTAAGCCTTCGCTGTCCTGCAATGGAAATTAGTTTTCATTTTCGATCGACCACACGAGGAAAAGAGCTTGCCTTGATATTCAGATCGATATCGTCATGCTTGATCAGAAACATCGCAATTTCGAGATTTCCTTCATATAAGGCTCTATATATCTGCGATTGAGTATCTCATGGTTTGGGTTAATGGGACGATTTACTTGATTTACCTGTGCAAAGCTGTCCATCCATTTTCGCGATCTTGTATGTTAACGTCAACGAGAGGGCATGCCATAAGTGCTTTGGTGATCTCTATGCGATTCCAGCTGGCAGCGCAGTGCAGGGCGGTTCGGCCGAGAATGGATCGCTTATTAATGTCAAATCGCTTGCATCCTGCAGACTTGAAGTATCGTTGCAATCGTCGCTGATCCTCTTTTGCGAAGCCCAGATTTCGGATCGGCTCACCCAAGGCGAGAAGAATATAGTTATTGATGGTTTCTACATCATTATCTCGGACCGCTTTGAAAATAGAACTCATGAGACACCTGAACGAGTGATCGGCTGCGCACTGGGAATCGATCCACGAACGAATAGCCCTTTCGGATAATGAAGATCACGTGGATTTTTCTACTGGCTTCAAAGATGTGACCAATGACATTAACCGATCGATGATTGTCGCGCATTATATTTCCCCCGCGGTGGAAGTTTGCATCAAATGAATAACACAATTTATTAACCTTGCGCTCATCCAGTATAAAAGAGTAGGTTCCTTAACAGTAGCAACTGATATTTTTTTTGTTATTTATCAACCTGATCGTTACTAATGTGTCCGCAGCTGGAATTTCAGGTCATTTTGATCGTTGCAGGCAAAATAGAAGACTGTGGAATGAAATACTCTCGGACTTAGCGATCGTACCATTGCAGACGTTAGCACTAGAATGTAGATACGTCAGAACAATGAAAGACATTAATGCTGAGCACATGACGAGAATTTATTCGTAAGGATCAACTTTTTAAGATATGATTGTACAAGAAGCATAGTGTTTTATCGAACCTGTGTAAGCCTTTTGCAAGATCTTGCAGCTTGCACCTAAACTAAAGAAAAAAAAGGCTATCTCGCAATGAATGTCGCCACAATCAGTATCATCATCTCAAACACGTAAAAAGTGACACATTAGGTGGTCAACCACTTTTCGGCCAACCAGCTTGGACTTTGCTTACCACGTGTGATTTCATTTTTCTACCTCACGGCAAGTAATCCCGCACAATATCTGAAGAGATTTTGTAATGACAGATGTTTGACAGAGCGTGATATAATGTGCAACCTTGTGGAAAGGGATGTGGCACAGGAGGGGCTGCTTTTTGGACACTGTATTTTTTCATCAGAGCTAACTTTGTTTGGTGGTCAGTACCAGTGGATGACCCTGAAATTACGCATTGGCTAAGACTGCTTTTTCTTAAAAGCCCGTGTGTTCCAAACAGATGGAAACGCAAATCCAGAATCAGGTTGATGTGCTTGACACAGGACGGCGGTGTGCACATACTGAAAGTTCAGTTATATAGAAGCAGCATAGAGACTCTGAGGGTTTCTTGAAACTTTCCATCGCGTTCAATGTTCATCATACCCTTATCGGTTCCATCATCCGTAATAGCTCAACATGTTCATTTGCATCCTTCTCAACTATTCAGATTTATTTGATAACTTTAAAAAATGGTTGATGTTAATTGAGATAGCAGAATAAAGACTCATTTGACTTCGCTAGTTTCTTTTTTTTTTTTCTTTCATGTTCCAAAATGAGAATTTTTCTGAATAAAACCAACAATGCATTTCCTATGGTGTGACGTTACACATAGGTGCATTCCCCTTTTATTTGTCTTTGAGTTGTTCTTTCGATTAAAACTGCGGGATATTGCCCGATGTTTTGGCATGATTGCACTCCATGGACGAGACTGAAGCTAAAATTGATTTGCTGGGATCTTCAAATAACATATATCTTCGAACTGATAGCCATTATACAAAGACGTTTTTACACTCTCGGATACTGCTACTTTTTGAGACAGTTGCAGTGCTAGTTTGTCCCTCAAATAGGCTGGGAAACCAATATCCTCGCTCTGATACGCAACAATGACAAGGTTAAAAACAATCGTTATCACAGACGAACTTTGCCTTGATGAAATATGCTGACGTATGATAAATACATCACCATGTACTTCCACAAGATAAGAGGTTACAGTCGAATGTAGGAAACTAGGCTTTTGTCAGGGATACAAGACAGCTGACGGAGTAGGAAACTTGAAACTGTCAAAGATAAACAATGGCATCTGTGTCGATCACTGCCACATGCCCAAAAATGAAAACATACACACTCTTCTGTCAGCCCGTTTCCGAGGCATTGTAATGAAGGGTGAAGACAAATAAATAGAGAGAAAAAAGTAAGTTTTTTTTTTTTTTTTTTTTTTAAAAAAAAAAAAAAAGAAAAAGAAAGGAAAAATCATCTGTTACGCAACATCAGTTCCACTGTTTTCTTTCTGCTCTCAATTTCTCCTCAATGGATTCGCCAATACCGTGTAAAACACTTTCACAAACACACTCATATCCATTGCGCACAAAAGCGGACGCCTCATGCAAGGTGCTAGGTCTGACTAATATCTCGAGCAACAAACAAGAAGCCAAAGTAATAATTAGCAAGAGCCCGTTCCAGATCGTTTACCACTGCGATGTCGGACCCTCAGTACCTATTCCAATGGCTCCCCTTGCCATATCCGTTGAACCTGACGTGTGGCTGGAGTATCCAGATACCGACGAAGAAAACAATCTTGACCATGTCAAGGAAGATGGAGAAGTCCACTGTACAAAAGAAAATGATTGCCCCCACAAACTCTTATCAGTCGAAGAGAAAGCAGATGAAGGTGTGTAAAAGCAAAGGTAGCACCAAATTATTAGGGTTTGCAGATTTAACAATGTCTTTACATAGAATTAGATTTAACCAAGGAAGCAATCATGCGAGTTTTAAAGGCAGTAATGACTGTTGAAAAGCCACAACCTAAAGACATGATTTTATACGATAAAGCCATCCAGACATCTGTGGATCTCCAGAAATTCTTTGAATGCCATCTTCCGAAATATAAAGTACCTTCGAGTTCGATTATCTCCAGCTGGATGGCCAAAGACATACAATTTGGACGCGCAGAGCATATTCGGGTGTTGGATGATCATGATTCTTCCAAAATTTCAAGGATCTATGGTCGAGAAATATATGTCAAAAAGGAAGTGTATATCAAATCTGAAATCAAAAAAATCTTCAACCGCCAAGAATTTCTCAGGAAGTTACGCGAGGAGAACAACTGGGTCAATATAGGATATGCCAGAAAAAGCCATACAAACGACAGCTTCGCCAGCCGGATCCGCAACTTGCAAAAGATGGTGAACTCTTTGCATATTGATTGTCTTTGCTCGCAGGTGTTTGTCTCACCTCATTCGAACATCAGCTCATCTCTCGAAACACGGGACTGCCGAATGACAAATACAGGCACTAAAGCCAAAGACGCGTTACGATTTGTGTCCGGCGACTTTCAAGGTAATTATTTACAGAGAAGAATATATTGCCTATCTAAGTATTTTCATTCTTTTTAGACATGACCATGGCCATTGCTTCCTCGACTAACAAAGTACGCTTAATAATCCAGACGTACCGTGGATTAACGTCAAATCCGGTTGACTTACAGCACTTTGTTCGGTACGTCCAAAAGTTACGGACTGATTCTTAATCCCTAACCGTTCAATATAGGCGACTTTCTGTCCTTGAAGAAATATGTATAGATATTGGGTACCACATGGTAACCATAACAAGAGAAGAAGTATTAGATGGATCTGGGGCAAAACAGTTTCAAGCCCCTAAAGGACCACAGCGGCGAAGCACGCTACATGATAAAAGCCCTGGTAACAGCAAAGTTTTGATTCACAATTAGGAAGTCTGTAGGTAGAAATAAAGAAGTCTGGGAAATCCGATTGCAACTGTTGGTACAAGACACTTATGGCGAAGGCTGGTTCATCAAAAACTGAAAGTTAGTCACATAAAAACCGAAGGCCAAAGTTGGATCTACAAAACCGATGGCAAACGTTGGTTCATCAAAATAACGGACAAAGCTGGTTATACAAAACCGTTGGGCACAAGTGGTTCATCAAGATCGACGGCAAAACCTCGTCCATAAAATACCGGTCCGGACCATATGATTCTGACTTCGAAATACTGGCGGCATTCAATCAATCCATCTTCCATCCATCCATCATCCATCCATCCATCCATCCATCTATTGTCAATCCGTCTATCCTCCTCCATATCACTCACCCGTCATGCAACTCAGATCAGTCCAAATCGCTATACACATCACCTTTCGTTTATATTCAAGTAGCCAACTAGAAAACATATAATTACCCACATGCTCTCATAATAAAGAGACCAGTTATCTATTCTTTGATATATCTTATACACCTTATATATCTTTATTGATATTTTCCGTTCCTATCCTCTATATATTCCTCTGTGCCAATCCATTCACTTCCTTTTCAAGACCTAATCAAGCTACAGTTTTATAAGCTTCCTTAATAGTCAGCCTCCAGTTGGAAGGCAGTATTAAGCAGCAGTCATATTGGTCCAGTTGATGAGTTGAATCAGTGGTCGTGACATATTTTGAAAAAAAACCAACATAAAAGCCAAGGCCAAACGTCGTCCGTAAAAAAAACAACATAAAAACCAAGGCCAAACGTCGTCCATTAAAAAACAACGTAAAAGCCAAGGTCAAACGTCGTCCGTAAAAACCAACATAAAAACCAAGGCCAAACGTCGTCCATTAAAAAACAACGTAAAAGCCAAGGCCAAACGTCGTCCGTAAAAAACAACATAAAAACCAAGGCCAAACGTCGTCCGTAAAAAAAAACAACATAAAAACCAAGGCCAAACGTCGTCCATAAGAACCAACATAAAAGCCAAGGGCAAACGTCGTCCGTAAAAAACAACGTAAAAGCCAAGGTCAAACGTCGTCCGTAAAAAACAACATAAAAGCCAAGGCCAAACGTCGTCCATTAAAAAACAACGTAAAAGCCAAGGTCAAACGTCGTCCGTAAAAAACAACATAAAAGCCAAGATCAAACGTCGTCCATTAAAAAACAACATAAAAACCAAGGCCAAACGTCGTCCATTAAAAAACAACGTAAAAGCCAAGCCCAAACGTCGTCCGTAAAAAAAACAACATAAAAACCAAGGCCAAACGTCGTCCATCAAAATCAACATAAAAGCCAAGGCCAAACGTCGTCCATAAAAACCAACGTAAAAGCCAAGGCCAAACGTCGTCCATAAGAACCAACATAAAAGCCAAGGGCAAACGTCGTCCATTAAAAAACAACGTAAAAGCCAAGGTCAAACGTCGTCCGTAAAAAACAACATAAAAGCCAAGGCCAAATGTCGTCCATTAAAAAACAACGTAAAAGCCAAGGTCAAACGTTGTCCGTAAAAAACAACATAAAAGCCAAGGCCAAACGTCGTCCATTAAAAAACAACATAAAGCCAAGGCCAAACGTCGTCCGTAAAAAAAACAACATAAAAGCCAAGGCCAAACGTCGTCCATAAAAACCAACGTAAAAGCCAAGGCCAAACGTCGTCCATATAAACCAACATAAAAACCAAGGCCAAACGTCGTCCATAAAAAAACAACATAAAAGCAAAGCAAAAGTTGGTTCCATAAAAAACCGATGGCCAAAATTGGTCACATGAAAACCAATGACGAAGTTGACTGGAAAATTGGCTCGCTACCTGATAAGCTCCAAGAGTTTACTACTCATACGTCAGCTATTTCAGATGGAATTTCGCAATCGTGATCTTTATACTGCTACACTTTCTCAATCTGGTCTCGGCAGCTTTTGGTAAAGCAGCGCAGTTGTCAGCAATACCGGCTACTGCACAGAAACACGTTGAATTCATCAAACTACAAGACATAAAATGTGACTAGACAGTTGATTTATCAAGTTTGATTATCGGTGAACCTGCGGTGAAAAAAAGCTTTCTTTGGTTTGCCATGCATCATAATGAGAAGCACGGTCAGAATTCAAAAGTCCCAGCATTAAACATGCTATAGCATTGACACAATGAACAAATTGAGGAGAATATGATAGTATGAAAATTAAGTATGTAGCTTTTTTGAATGACGGCGCGCATGATCTGGTGTGAGTTGAATGGCAGTCCATTGAATTGGATGTTGCCAATGAGAGAGCCAAATTTAGTAGTTCAACAAAGAAGTGAACACCTTCCCACGCCAATTTCTCCAGACCTCGATTTTTTCCCACTCGATGGAAGACAATCAGCTTCTGCTGTTTGTGTTTTCTTTAAAAATCATCTGCCACGCAACGCTAGTTCTGTACTTTCTTTCACTATTCTTCTCTGTCCTTGTCTTTATTTCTCCCTTAATGGATTCCCCGATACTCTCCGAAATACCTTCATACGCACCTATACCCACTGTGTGCCAAAAGGGACGCCTCTTGCAAGACGCTTGGTCTGTCCCTTACCCCGCACAATAAACGGGAGGTCAAGGCAGCTATCAGCAAGAGCCCTTTCCAGGTTTTTACCATTGCGATGTTGGACCGGAAATGCCGATTCCAACGGCTCCCTCTGCCATTGTTAATGAACCTGACGTCTGGCAAGATTATCCTGATACGGAAGAAGAGGATGGTTTGCATCAAATCGACGAATATGATGAACCGCATATTACGAAAGGGACATTCCCCTATGACGAAGCAGAGGAAGGTGAGCAAAAGAAACATAGCAGCAATTATTGAGATTTTCAAAATTGACAATGTCTTTACTAGGAATACAGCTTTTGAAGGAAGCAAGCATGTATATCCTAAAGGCAGTTATGACCGTTGAGGAGTCCAATCCGGAGGACGTGCACATGTATGCCAGACATCCGTGGAACTTCAGAAATTCTTCGAAACATATTTTCCAAACCATTAAGTGCCGTCAAGCTCGACCATTTCCAGCTGGATGTGCCCTTTTTGTCTTACTTGTTTTGTTTTCCTTTTTGTGTCTCTTGTTTGAATCTTCCGCTATTTGCACTTCGCGTGCTTTATTTTATTTTGATGATAGATTAGACCATCGCAGATAAAAGCGATTAATTCTTTTTTCGAAATAAAAACATAATTATAACTCTAGTCTCTTACGACCTTTTGTTCTTCTCATTCATTTCCGAACACATAACAGAAGTATCCTTTGCTGTCATAGATTTTTGAGACGATCTTCGATCTCATCAATTGTCTCTGCGCATCCAACCGCCCATGGATCTCATATAATCGCTAAGTATATCTGGTGCTCACTAACTTTCCGCTTCTTCTTATTTTTTCCGCTACCATATACAGATTTTCAGTTACCCAACGCGATGTAAAGAGATGCAATTTGGACGTCCGAAACATATCCGGTGTCTGGACAGGCACGGCTCTGGCAAGAGGGCCTTCGTCTACTGTCGTAACTCTACTACATTAAAAAGAAGCAAAGGGCTGACTCTCACATAGAGAAAATCTTCAACCGTCAAGAGTTCATCACAAAGTTACTCAAGGAGAAGGACTGGGTCAACATAGGCTATGTCTGCAAAAGCTAGACGGATGACAGCTTCGATAGTCGAATCAACAGCAAGCAGAAGATGATGCACTCTCTGATTACATCAACGCATCCCTTGAGACACGCGACAGCAAGATGACAGCCACGGCAAGCAGAGCCAAAGACGCAATGCGTTTTGTATTAGGTGACTTGCAAGGTAATTATTTACAAAGAGGATATTGCCTATCTAAGTATTTTCATTCTTTTAGACATGACGATGGTCATTTCGTTTTAAACGAAACATGTTCGTCTGACCACCAGATGTACCGAGGATTGACATCGAATCCTGTTGACTTGCAGCACTACGTTGGTATGTTCAAAAATTATGAAATTATTCTTAGTTCTCATCCGTTCAATGTAGGCGAGTATCTGCGCTGGAACAAATGTGTGCCCACCTTGGGCATCAGACAGCAACGATATCAAGAGGCGAGACATTGAATGGGGGAAGGCGCAAAACAGTATGAAGTCACAAAGGCACCAGGACGCCGGAACACCCTAGCTACAAGAACCAAAAATTATAATACAGTATTATAGCTTGAATTCATGCTTTAAGCCTGTAAAGAGAAATAAATAACTATATCAAAAGCTACATATTGCAAAAATTGGTTCTCCAAAACCGATGGCCAACATTAGTTCATCAACACCGACGGCCAAAGTTGGGTCATAAAATAATCCTGAACTCCCATCACCAAAACTATAGCAAAGCAATTAACAGAGTTGCATTTTCTCATCGACTGAGAAAAGAGTTCCCTCATTCCATCAAAATGCCCGGGAATTTTTCAGTGCCCGTTCAACACGATGTTTCTCCGACGCCTTCATCCACTTGGACCGCGATCTTGGTATGGGCCGATGGTTTGGTTGCGGCACTTAGGCGCGCTTTTCTCCACGCGCGACACGTACAACGAGAGACCTGACGCTTAGCCTCCGCAACGCAAGAATAGGCATAGCGAACGCTGTTTCCCATTATCGACACAAAGCCTACAGCATCATCTTAGGTGAAAGGTGCTGTCAGCCCAGGCAAATGAGTACATATTCAAGAATGCGTCAACAACAACAAGTCCTACAACATCTGGATACGGGATGAGGACGGACCCAGACCAGATATCAAGGTCTCATTAGCGGCAGAAAACGATGCATAAACAAATCATGCAAATTACAAATGATCCCTGTTGCACTCATATTGCACGTCAAAGAAGCACGAAGCTCATCTATCAAACCTTGTTAGACAATATGAAGGTGCTCAAATACGTTAAAGAAGCTACGTTCCGCCTCGCGCTTACTACAATACCCCTAAACTTTTGTCATTGCATTGCTTATAACCAACTTTTGCACTTGGTCATGCTGTAACGACTTTTTGGCATCGCTTTTTATGTAACGACTTTTTGCCGTCGCTTATGCTGTAACGACTTTTTGCCATCGCTTTTTATGTAACGACTTTTTGGCGTCGCTTATGCTGTAACGACTTTTTGGCATCGCTTTTTATGTAACGACTTTTTGGCATCGCTTTTTATGTAACGACTTTTTGCCATCGCTTATGTTGTAACGACTTTTTGCCATCGCTTTTTATGTAACGACTTTTTGCCGTCGCTTATGCTGTAACGACTTTTTGGCATCGCTTTTTATGTAACGACTTTTTGGCATCGCTTTTTATGTAACGACTTTTTGCCGTCGCTTATGCTGTAACGACTTTTTGGCATCGCTTTTTATGTAACGACTTTTTGCCATCGCTTATGTTGTAACGACTTTTTGCCATCGCTTTTTATGTAACGACTTTTTGCCGTCGCTTATGCTGTAACGACTTTTTGGCATCGCTTTTTATGTAACGACTTTTTGGCATCGCTTTTTATGTAACGACTTTTTGCCGTCGCTTATGCTGTAACGACTTTTTGCCATCGCTTATGTTGTAACGACTTTTTGCCATCGCTTTTTATGTAACGACTTTTTGCCGTCGCTTATGCTGTAACGACTTTTTGGCATCGCTTTTTATGTAACGACTTTTTGGCGTCGCTTATGCTGTAACGACTTTTTGGCATCGCTTTTTATGTAACGACTTTTTGGCATCGCTTTTTATGTAACGACTTTTTGCCATCGCTTATGTTGTAACGACTTTTTGCCATCGCTTTTTATGTAACGACTTTTTGCCGTCGCTTATGCTGTAACGACTTTTTGGCATCGCTTTTTATGTAACGACTTTTTGCCATCGCTTTTTATGTAACGACTTTTTGCCATCGCTTATGCTGTAACGATTTTTTGGCATAGCTTATGCTGCAACGACTTTTTGGCATCGCTTTTTATGTAACGACTTTTTGCCGTCGCTTATGCTGTAACGACTTTTTGCCGTCGCTTATGCTGTAACGACTTTTTGGCACCGCTTTTTATGTAACGACTTTTTGCCGTCGCTTATGCTGTAACGACTTTTTGGCACCGCTTTTTATGTATCGAGTTTTTGCCGTCGCTTATGCTGTAACGACTTTTTGGCATCGCTTTTCATGTAACAACTTAATGGCCGTTGGTTTTCATGTGAGGACTTCGACATAGGCTGTACTGTGACAACGTTTGCCCTGAACCCGATGGCAAAGCTTGGTTTCACGAAACCGATGGCAAAAGTCGTTACATGAAAAGCGATGCCAAAAAGTCGTTACAGCATAAGCGACGGCAAAAACTCGATACATAAAAAGCGGTGCCAAAAAGTCGTTACAGCATAAGCGACGGCAAAAAGTCGTTACATAAAAAGCGATGCCAAAAAGTCGTTACAGCATAAGCGTCGGCAAAAACTCGTTACATGAAAAGCGATGCCAAAAAGTCGTTACAGCATGACCGAGTGCAAAAGTTAGTTATAAGCAATCCAATGACAAAAGTTTAGGGGTATTGTGGTAAATGTGAGGCTGAACTTAGCTACTTTTACATATTTGAGCGCCTTCATACTGTCTAACTAGGGTTGGATAGATGAGCTTTGTGCTTCTTTGGCGTGCAATATGCGTGCACTATGGTTGTTTGTAATTTGCATGATTTGTAGATGCATTGTTTTTCTGCCGCTAATGGGACGCTGTTATCTAGTCCGGTGCCGTCCCTATCCCGTATTCCAAGCTGTTTACATGTTGTTGTCGGACTCGTTTGCTGGTACTAAGCGTCTGGTCTCGTTGTACGTGTCGCATTGGGACAAAAGCTTGCCTAATTGCCGCTACCAAATCATCGTCCCATACCAAGATTACGATCCAAAAGTCGTTGCAGAAGTTTTTCGCTTGGAGTCCGGACTGTTCGTCCTTGTTCGTCCTTGTTCGTCTTGGTTTGCAGACCATTAGTGATCATCTTCTTGTTGAAGGGGCTCGGAAAATTTCCCGGAATTTCTGATGGAAAGAGAGGACTCCAGTTGATGAGAAAACGTACCTCTGTCAGATGCTTTGTTATGGTTTTGGTGTTGGGAGTTCAGGTTTAGTTCATGAATCGACGTTGGTCATCGGTTTGTTGGACCAGCTCTTGTCGTCGGTTTCTTGTAATCATCGTTTGTCATTGATTCACATTTTCATGCACTTTTTTATTTATTTGAACTAGGGCGCTTTCTATATGAGCTATGTCTATGTTATTATGATACTTGGGTGCGTATAGCGGGCTCTTTCTGGCATAGCCAATGTTGATCCAATCTTTCTGGTCGCGTAACTTGTTGAGAAAATTCTTGCCGGTTGAAGATGGTTTTTATGTCGTGTTCAACCCATTCCTTCTTTTTCATATACAACTTCACAACCATAAATAGTGGCCTGCTGGGTAGAGCCGTCCTCCTTCCCCAGATGTGTTTCGGGCGTCCAAATTGAACGTCTCTCGTCACCCAGCTGGAAATCGTTGGGCCGGACGGCAATTTATGCTTCGGAAAATAAGTTTCGAAGAACTGGCGAAGATCCGCAGACGTTTGGACCACTTTTTCGTATAAAAATTCTGTCTTGGTGGTTTGGTTCTTCGACAGTCATCACGGTGTTTAAAACGTCCATGCAAGCTTCTTTTGAAAGCTGCAGTCCTATGTAAAGACATTGTCAATGGCTTGGAAAATACGTAAAGGAAGGTCCTTTCATAACTTTTGGACATACCCACCAAAGTGCTGCAGATCGACAGGATTGGATGGGGAATGGTCAATGGTGCACCGCTAGTGGTTTTGCCATAGAGTGGACAAAGCAGCGCCAAAGAGGGAGACAGTGTCATCCACCAAAGGCTTGCCGGTAGGGGTGGATAGACTGGTAAAGACCCTGCAGATATCCTCTGGAAGCGGGAAGTCATCGAACAGATGGAGGGTGTCTTTAGCTTTAGCTCCTGCGCCTGTCATTCTATGTCGCGCGTCTCGAGAGATGAGCCGATGTTGGAATGGGGTAAGACAAACACCTGCGGACGAAGGCACACGACGTGCAAAGAGTTGACCATCTTTTGCACGTTGGTGACTCGGCTGTCAAAGCTGTCACTTGTCTGGATCTTTCTGGCACAGCTTATGTTCACCCGGTCGTTCTCCTCGCGTGACTTGCTGACAAAATCCAGGATATTCTACCCGCTTGTCAGGTTCACCAGATCTAGCAGTGCGAGCCATAGGGAAACACGTTGTATTCAACATGATCCAATACATATCCGACACAGACATCACCAATCCGATCTCTATTAACATGGAATACAAATTTTTTCATGAGTATCGATATTCTAAGACGCCGTTCTTTGTTGTTGAAAAACTCACCTAGAGAAGACTACTCAGGGGTCTTATAAGTATCCAGTGTTCATTGTATAACAGATCATCCTAATTCCAGCCTTGTTGACATCTTGGGCGTTACGCCTTCAATCGCAGCGGGAGCCATCGGGATTGGGATCTCTGGTCCAACATCGCAATGGTGGAGAACGTCAACAGGGCTCTTTATGATGATCTCCTTTGCTTAACTTATATTCTCTGCAGTATGGGACAGACCAAGCATTTTGCAAGAGGCATCCTTTTGGTATACAATGGGGAAGTGTGTGTATGAAGGTATTTCGGAGAGTATCGGGGAATCCATTAAGGGAGAAATAAAGACAAGGGCAGAGAAGAAGAGTGAAAGAAAGTACAGAACCAGCGGTCCGTGGCAGATGATTTTTAAAGAAAACACAAACAGCAGAAGCTGATTGTCTTCCATCGAGTGGGAAAAAATCGAGGCCTGGAGAAATTGGCGTGGGAAGGTGTTCACTTCTTTGTTGAACTACTAAATTTGGCTCTCTCATTGGCAACATCCAATTCAATGGACTGCCATTCAACTCACACCAGATCATGCGCGCCGTCATTCAAAAAAGCTACATACTTAATTTTCATACTATCATATTCTCCTCAATTTGTTCATTGTGTCAATGCTATAGCATGTTTAGTGCTGGGACTTTTGAATTCTGACCGTGCTTCTCATTATGATGCATGGCAAACCAAAGAAAGCTTTTTTTCACCGCAGGTTCACCGATAATCAAACTTGATAAATCAACTGTCTAGTCACATTTTATGTCTTGTGATATGATCCATCAGTTTGATGAATTCAACGTGGTTTTGTGCCAAAATAACTGCCGAGACCAGACTGAAACCTGCAGCTGCATAATTGCACAATTGCGGAATTCACATATGAAAGAGCTGACGTATGAATAATCAATGTTAACTTTGGCAGCGATGATGCCCTATCATTGTCGGCGACTACAGATACACTCACGCAATCCCCAACGTATGGTTGATCAATGGTTGTTCATAGTCGAGCTCAAGGCCCGATGCAGAAATAGCGCAATCGGGGCAGTAGCATTTTTTCTTATCCGCCAATTTTGGCAATGTCATGGAATAAGGAAATGAAAAAAACTAGATGTCTGCACTGCTATCTATTGAATAAAAAATTACCGATTTCACTGTGGCATAGAAACCTATCCGACCTCCCACCTCTAGTGTGATGAAATTTTCGGCGGCTACTCATTTTTCATCGTTTTCACCAACTCCCCACAATAAAGAGTTTGTGAGGCGTTGACAAAAAGGCCATAACCAATAACAGTAACCAACTGTTGAATGTCGCCCATTACCGCTTTTCATGGATCGCACGTTGGGAGATCTCCAACCTTTTCACTCTGGCAATCATTTGGAGGCTATTGAATGTTACGTTATATATATGCGGGAAATATCTTGTTTTTCTTATGTTTCACAAAAGCACTGCTCTAGTTATGTGGTCCTAACTGTAATTCTTTGCCTGAAGCTTGAGAGCATCCGACTTCTTATTGATCCAGGCCAAACACTGCTCATAAGCAGCAAACTGAATAGCTCCTCCTATTCATGTTATTGGATGTTAGATCACAAGTGAAAGCCAATCCATCCAACGTCGATCGATATACAACGTCTCACACTTACCCGGAGCGATACGAATGATGCGAAGCCATGAACCGCGGAAAAATGATGTGAATCCTTCGTTCTTTGCCATGCTCTTGATACAATCCCACGTGCTTCGATACAAACGGCCATCGTCTTGCATTCTGACAAGAGAAACGTCAGTAATCAACAAATGACCGAGTACGAGCTTCCGATCACCTACCGTGTTTTAACCACATCAGGAGGCGAGTTCAAGACCGCCACGATCACATTGGCCATGCCACCGCTCACCTACACTTTTTGAATCAAAGATTCGCACATGCAATTTGGGCCTTTTGCCTTACCATATGTTTCCATGGCGCCAAGGGCGCGGTGGGATCCGCCGATGCCTTTTCAAACAAAGACTTGATCTCAACATAACCCGTAAATTTCACCAACAAACCTATATTTCTAATGTTACTGACAATTTTCCACTTGGTGATGCCTTCTCTTTACCCCACGATTGTCGCGCTACAGTCGCAAGCAGACCGTTGTATAATGCAAAGAATCTAACGTACATGGTTGAGTTTATGGGTTCAAATTTATCCACTCGTTCATGGCATACCCTTCTTGTCGAATAATGGTCGACGCGGTATTTATTAATCCGTGGTATTTGCGCTGATGGGAACCATTGATCATGTCAGTTTGCTGTCGCACTTTGATCATTTCCAAAGGAGTAACTGAAAAACATAAGCTGTTAGTAAGGGTAATCCAAATGCGGTGTTGCTTTGTCGTACCTAGAGTGACAGCTTGTGTGATACCCGTGCACACCTAGAATATATTCCCCGTTAATAATGGTTTCCTTTCACAAAACTTATCGTCTACTACTTACTCCAGCTAAACCAGCTGAACTGTGAGCTGGCAAAACGCTTCCTTCCAATTTCTCAAATAGTGGTTTATACAACGCCAGGCCCATATATTGAAGGGACACACGAGGGCCAACAATACACAGCACAGGCATTGTACCTCGATAAAATGCTACAGCAACAGTCAGTATTCGGTTTTTCCAGAGGCACGCTCTAGCGAAACAAGTACCTGCGAATCCTTCTTCTTTGAGTACCTGACTGAACGCTTTTACAATGCCCTGATTATACCGAGATGCTACGCGAACGGACTATGGCGGGTGTGAGAATCCGTACAGGCGCCGACGGACAACTGTAAGAGTGTACCTGAAATCGGGTCTTGATCACATCGGTGGGCTAGTGGGAAATGTCAAGGTCCATGGCCTGACCAATGAATGTATGGAGATCGTTCTTTTTACCTGCATGAGAAGAACCTCGAGCGTTCCTGCCGCGGCTCCGGCCAAGGTCGAGTTCTGAAACAGTTAATTGAATGAGATGACATCCGCGAGATCCATACTTTTTTTTGCAACGTACCAACACACTTTTGCCTGATTTTGAATTTGACATTGGTTGAAAAAAAGACTTGATTTTGTGAAAAAGCGCGACCAAGGCAGAAAACGGCAGATTGTGTAACGCCTTTCAATCGAGATGAAATAAAATGATTCATGCAAGGTTTCGCCCATTGTGCCAATCAGAGTTCGAATTCAATGTGACGATCGATGAGCTTATTATTTGTATCTGTTTTCTTCATCTTTTCTCTCCCCCTTTTGCCAATCAACTGAAACTCGTTGAGCCATCTGGAATGATTATCGCACCCCTGACAGTGCATGCAATCGTGCATTCTGATTATGATGATACATCCGAAAAGGTTCCCGCACTGAGATGCGAAATGGATTATAACCAGGCTTGTGTAACCGTATGGGATGGTAACAGCACTGCATGCGTATTTTTTCTGGGTAATGACGCCTTTATCCAAAGCTTACATAATCTCTTACAGACACTGTCCAAGATAAAGGTACTACATGCTGTTGTATGTAGATGACACTTACTGACTGGCCTGTAGATAAACAGCGGTATCGTTTTTCTACTCTCTCTACGTCAAGAGGACAGACGGCTCTATATAGGAAAGAGGTGGACGCAACGGTTGAAATGGCCATGAGTGGTAAAAATTTGAAGCATATACGTTGGTCATCGTATCAAAAACTTGTAAATTTTCAGGATATAATGCAGCAATCATTCTGATGAGTATGGGGTATTGGTTGTAATATCATAACAAGCGTGGGCAACTGGCCGCTAACAACTTCTCTCTTTGTCTTGGTTGAAGCAAGGATTATGTTCATCAACAGCGGTACATTTCTCTGTCATTTTTGCGTGTATAAGGAATCTAATGGCTCGCTTAGATTGGAAACGGTGCGCTATCTGTTAACCAAGCTGGATAATGCTCTTGACGACAAAAACAAAAAATGGGAACAACAGCAGGGGCGCCGGATAGTGATCGATTACGTGTAAGGAAAGTACAATTAATTTCCCATCCGAATTCTCATTTGTGCGTATAGATGGCTAGAAATGGATGATGATACGTGCTGCGATATCTCACGTCAACGAACAATGAAGAGTACGTTGGCTCCAAAAGAACTGCTATCAAATGCCTTTGATCGAATATCAAATTTGATAGATGGTCACGCAATAGCCAGTGGAACTGATCGTTTGATGCTGCGCGTAAATAAGGCGCAGATAATATACAACCATATAAAACCCGAATCGAATATGCCTCAGATATTGCGCATACGATTATCCGATGACACTGCATTTCTGGCGAATATTATGCTTGCGGATATGCGACCAGTTCGGTTCCGATCGATGATGGATGAAATCAACGTGCACCAGTCATTTACTGTTCTCCGTAAGCGGATTGCCATTCTTACTATATTTCTTCATATATCGCTAAATTCAGAGATAGAACACGCACTTCGTCAAATGATCGACCCACCACTTGCAAACGAGCTGGAAGTAGGGAAATCCGTTCTGGCTAATGAGCTCTTGGAATATGTGTGTGGGCGTCATAAAACGACAGCCATTATTCATCTTCAGGTACCGATATTTATTTGTGCTTCCTCATTATATTTTAGCAGGATCACTGATACCGCGAATTTTAGCAATACCCTACTGACTCCAAGGCGGATATCCTGGAGGTCCTCGATTTCAGCCGCATGCTTGCTCACATCAGCTGTGTGTCGGTGCGCAATAAAGCTGATATGCGAACTGAGTATTACAAAGCACATTTAAATCTGTCGAAACAACATTATCGAGAGCAACGTGTAGGTACATGCACATGAACGTTTATGGTTATTTCCTTATCTCAATAACGATTGAGCATTAGGCGCTCTATGTTCATCTGCAAAAAAGCCTGCTCAAGGAACAGTTGAAAAACAGTAAAGTCACTTCGCCCATGGACAAGTCAACACAAACACCGGCAGAAGTTTTGGACGCAAATGAGAATTCCATCGATTATACAAACATGTCCTATGCAACCTTTCAGAAAACTCTGCAAGAACATGATGCTCTACGAGCCAAGCTGCGATTGTCGATTTTTCAGAAACAAATTGCACTGACGAAGACAAGTACCACTGTCAAACAAGTTCTAGCAGAAAATCAGCGACGAATTGAGAGCATCAACTCTAGTAAGTTAAAAGTAAAAAGTTAAGGGATGACTCCTCCAGCCGCATCACTCAGATGAACCAATTCGCAGTCATTGCAAAGCACCAAGACCAACGCTGTTCTACGACGGGTCATCAAGAACCATTCAACAAGGTACGCCAAGTTGACTCGCTTCGAAGTTGCAGCTGGACTATTCTTATCGGTTTTATCAATGCTTTGCCTGTAGTTCCAAACAATTCATTTTATGAGATCTACAAACATTGATAACAGATCGACCGATCCAAGGAATAAAGCATCGTATGTAAGTAACGCAGAATCATGGTCTACGGAAAGGGTCAGATCTTACAATGTTAGCCGTAGATTGACCCTACAAAAGCGTCCCAAAACAATACACGGCCCGGATTTATACCTCGTGACAAATACAGTGCAGACTTTGAGGCAAGCAAACAGAAACGAAGAATTCTGACAGAGCTTCGCTGGTGTGTTTTCATTGATCGTTTTACCAACCATCATCCATTAGGCAAAGGAAACCAGCCACAAGATGAGATTAATGCGTCTGAAACGTTGGGCTAGCCGAATGGAGGTACGATCCTATCGATGTGGAGCCCAAAGTCAAATTAAGAACAGAGAACAACTTTTTTAGATGAAAAGAGAAGAAGAAGCGCGATGGAACCAGTATATGTCTATCAGTATGCAAGAAGAACGCAATCGATGGCGACGAATCATTCGTCAATGGATCGATATTGTTTCATTTTCGGAAAAAGTTGATAAGGAGGCTACAAGTCCACAGGAGATAATCGAGGAATATTGAACGATGGGAGGTTGGCAGGACAGCGATGAAAAAAGATCAGATGTAAATTGTTGGACTTTATCGGGTTGCGATCCAGTATCCATTTATTCAAAATACGTCTCTTTCTGATCCACTTTTTTATTTGTATCATCGATTTAAGAAAACCAGCAAAATAAATCCAGATTGTTTTTATATAACGTTTTATGTAGCGTATACGACGCATAGACACTCAAACTGCTGTTTATACGATGTGCCCATTTGAGCCGGACCAGAGAGAAAGAGAAATATTACCATAAGAATGAATTTTGTGGCATTAATTACGTCAAGAACAAACTCCAGGGCGGAGATATGTCTCAAAGGGCGCCGTAACACAATGACCGTGCAAGCGTCGACACAAACGGACGTCGCATCCAAAATCCTGACGGAAACCTACAGCTTGTTTGAACGACACCTCCCATTGCCCCCATCGTTTCCGTGCATTTCAAGGCGATGTGGTGTGAATCCATCGCTGAACTGCCCATCAGTGCATTAGTCTCAGAGACAGCGAAAACTTATCGCATCGTGCCATGACTGTCTTCTAATATGTTCTGTCCAATTCGGGAAGATGCCACGCTTTTGGCATGCTGCAATAACTATTGCTGCCAATGGAGCGTATTGTATGCGACATTCATCTTTACTCTATCCAGCCTAAGCATGGAGGAGTATCCTTGCCGTGCCAACATCGGTTTTCTTATTTCCTTTTGCCATTTATCAGATGAAGCGCCGTTGTTTGTAAAGGTATTGCGACAGCGTCGTATTTGTGTTACACAGAACCCATCCAACATGGCGGACTTTTTCTTTACAATGTACGAATCTCTCAAGAAGTCTTACTGAGGTAAGCATGGCTTAGCCCTTATCTCATATTGCAGATAATAAGGTCATACATCATGATGCCATACTATTTGCTTTGCTGTCCAAGCTCTAAAGAAGTTGGAATAGTTATATCTTCTGGATGATCTTACCCCACCTGTTTCTCACTCTAAAATAACTGTAAATATTGCATGATGGGAATTTAAGATAAATGAGGATAAAGCGCAAAACCCGATGAGTTTTGGCTCCAAGAATGTCTACACGTGCCTAGACTTTTTTTTTGTTATCTCAGATAATATAAAGGATCGACCTTTATTGGAGCCAAGCGTGAATCAGGAATAGAGGCTTGTGTAAGGAACAAATTACAGTCCAGCTTATTATTGCGCGTCATGATTCCACTGGTCCATAATCCTTTTCTTGATCCTTTGACGATGTTTTAGGTGATGGAGTTTCATTTGGTGCTCATGCATGACATTGATTGGCCAAAATTCTCTCACCTTTGGGTCTGCACTTTATTTGAGACTTCACTTTCCATTTGTGGATAGCTTTTTTTTAGGGGCCATGCTAAAAATAGAGGAGCGATAATCGGCGACTCAAAAGGACGACGATCCCGTCACTGTGCAAAGAAGCTTAAGCAGATCGCTGTATGATTTTAGCGCTATTTGGCATCGACAAGTAATAAACACCGAGAGATCTCTTTTTTTTTCAAGGAGGATTTTTCTTAGCGCGATTTTCCCGCGTATGAGAGACATACTCTCGGTCGAGAGGTTCAGGTCTGTGTAACCTTGACGGGACAGACATAAATACCTCCGCCAAATTCCTTGATTGCCTTTTTTTTTCCTTCTTCTGCTCCCGTCATCTCGTTCATCTATTCCTCATCATCATCATGTCTGAAAGTGTTTTCGCACCCGTCAAGATCGCAAGATCAACGTCCATGACTCTTGAAGATTACCGAGCGCGCAAGGTTGCTCTTATCACTGGTAAGTAAAATTGTCTCGGTTCTTCCGACGAAACAGCTGTCAAGGAAGGAGCACGATGATGAGGAATGCAGTTGCTCATGGGGTTGTGTAGGTGTTACTGGTCAGGACGGTTCTTACTTGACCGAATTCTTGTTGAGCAAGGGTTATGAAGTCCACGGTATCATCCGTCGTTCCTCATCCTTCAACACTGGCCGTATTGAACACATCTACAAGGACAGACACGATCAAGGTAAGCCAATCAACCCCCACCGAGAAAAGAGGATCAAGGCAGAAAAAAAGGACAAAGAATATATTAGAAAAAAACAAAGGGAGAGAAGACGCATGCAAGGACATGGGATGCATAGGTAGTGAGTCTTTCTTGATAATAACCTCTAATCTTGTAATGGCTAGGCGTGAAATTCTTCCTTCATTATGGTGACTTGACTGATTCCACATGCCTGGTCCATATCATTACCCAAGTCCAGCCTACCGAGGTCTACAACTTGGCCGCTCAGTCCCACGTCAAGGTCTCTTTCGATATGTCCGAATACACTGGTGATGTCGATGCTCTCGGTACTCTGCGTCTCTTGGATGCTATTCGCACATGTGGCTTGACGGACCGTGTCCGTTTCTACCAAGCTTCTACCTCTGAATTATATGGTAAGGTGGTGGAAACTCCTCAAAAGGAAACCACACCTTTCTACCCTCGTTCTCCCTATGGTGTGGCCAAACTTTACGGTTACTGGATCGTCGTGAATTACCGTGAATCCTATGATATGTATGCTTGTAACGGTATCCTTTTCAACCATGAATCACCTCGTCGTGGTCGTACCTTTGTCACCCGCAAGATTACTCGCGCGGTAGCTGACATTCATCTCGGACGTCAAGACTGTCTCTACCTCGGCAACATCGATGCTAAGCGTGACTGGGGTCATGCTCGCGACTACGTTGAAGGCATGTGGCTCATGTTACAACAAGACAAGCCCGACGATTTTGTGTTAGCGACTGGTGAAACCCACACCGTGCGTAGCTTTGTCGAGAAGGCCTTTGCTGTCACTGGCCGTAAGATCGTTTGGGAAGGTGAAGGTGTGAATGAAATCGGCAAGGATGCCGAATCCGGCAAGGTTCGTGTTCGCATCGATCCCAAGTACTTCCGTCCCGCTGAAGTCGAACTGTTGCTCGGTGATCCTACCAAGGCCAACGAAAAATTAGACTGGAAACGAAAAGTCACCTTTGACGAATTGGTAACCGAAATGGTGGTTGCTGATATCGAAGGGTAAGTGCAACACAGAAAAAAATCCGCATATCTTTTATTTTCTCGTACTTATACATTCTTTTTTCTTAGATCTTTGAAGAATGATACATACAACTAAATAACATCATTTATCTCTAACTATTCATTGTTGAAAAATTATCCCTCATCTAAAAATCCGCTCATCTACCCCTTGTTTCTCCCTTTTTGATCTCCATATTCGGACAATAAATATTACACTAGATCATCATTGCAATTTCCGCACAAGGTATAGTTTTCCGTGCTTGTGTAACCTCATTACGGATCGGCCTATTTGCAGTGGGTGGGCATCTGAAATCGGCAACCCGGATGGGTCCAGTTTCTCATGTTGCAAAGATTGCCAAAACTTTTATGAAAATTTTTTGGCTTGTCAATATGCCCTTTTTTTCATTCCCTTACTGCACATAGAGCCCACCTATCCGAAATAACTGCTCTAGTTACAACAGCTGATTTTTCCCCATATGCCAAGGAAACATGACGTGATTGGACAACAGCTATTTACAGATATTTTGGTAAACTCTCCGCCCTGGAGCTTCACCAAACAGAGCTTTTTCGCAACTACGGCAAGTTTCCGTTTTCCTTTGGGTCATTAGAATACGTAGCGAATATGCCAAAATTGTATTCATTTGCTAGAGACCTTATGAGTTGTATTTAACTCAGTCGTTCCCAGTGCCTGGTTTTTTGGTTTTTGGTTTTTTTTTTTTTTCATTGAGATTACCGTTTTCTGTTTTGCTTGTCTGTGCGATGCTCAAAAACTTATTTATCCCGAGACCCCTATTTTATTTATTTCAGTGGAAGGAGCATTAGTTTATTTCTTATCCTCGATGTTTAAGGCTACAAAAGGTACGGGGAAATAGGCGGCAAGCCGATCACCCTCAGTCAACAAATTCTAAAATAACCTGACGTGCTTGCATTTTGGCTTCGTAAGTTCTCCGAAAGCAACATCACACCGTATTCATATTCCATTGCACAGTGCGATATCTCAATGAAAAGGTGAAGAATCCTTTTTTGCCGCCATTTCTCGAGGCGAACGACTGCAAGGGTTATGCACAGTCCGTATGCCCTATTTAGTTATGATGCTCCTGTGATAAAGGAGGGCCTCTTACTACTCACGAGTTGAGGTTCGACCAACAGAGAAGCATATATCATCCCCAGAAAAGGAGATGTTTTATCTGTGGTGTTCATTGCAATGATGAAGGTAAACTTGCTGTGACAACGTCACGTATTGCCAATGCTTTCAGTTTTTATCCAACAATGGATCTTCATTTCCTTATTTGCTGATTTGACAGGACCGCTTCTTCGCCCGATGCTTGGAACCTTGTATTCTTTCCAAGGGGATGAACCCTTGAGGGAGTATAGCACCATCAACTGATGGTTTGCCCGAATTCACCGAATAATATGCCAAGAGGAGTATGATAACAATTACAATTTTTTTTTTTTTTTTTTTTTTTTTTTTTTTGCAAGGTTGTATTTACAAAACAGATTAAGCAGAAGCATTGCTTTTCAATAATGAACAATGTTATAAATTGAAACCGAGTGATGAGAAAAATTAAAATCATATTCGATGAAATAAGTGAGATTACAATAGGGCGATGATAGGATCGGTAAATAAGTTAATTAGATTATGTCTGATATGGTGCAGATACGGACAACAGTTTGTACAATAGAAGATGACGCTTTTGAAGGGAAGCACGCATACATGTTACGTATTATAATCGAAAGCGTTCTTTGTACATCAAAAAGGTAGGTGACCATAGTCTGTCGTCCTCGTTGTCGGATGATTTGCCCAGACTATAACCCGTGGGCTGGTTTACGTCCATTGGCGATCGCAGGATCGAGCTAGAAGATGAAACTGCTGTTGATGCGCTGGAAGAAAGAGCTCGGTCCATGGGCTGGGTGCTAATAGGTTCCAACAGTTTTCCGCGACGATGTAACAAGGGCATGGAACTGTTTTTGCTCGTTCGAAGCTGTTGAACACGGAATCGGATAGCGCTCACCCACTCTCTCATCTCGACCTCCGAGTGGCATTGTATCGCCCATTGTTGTGATTGGTTCACCTGAAGTTGGTATAAAGGCTCGAAACGGAAATAAAATGACCGGGTAGAAGTAGGAACCACAAGCACTTCACAAATATCCCGCAAATATAGGGTACACAAAGGCGCCTCGGCATGCTAATTAAAAAAAGAAAATGTCAGCTTTCAACTGCTTCTTTTTCCATCTGCTTCATCCTTGCTTACTTCGTTTTCATAACATTGGAATTCGGTATTTGAAAGGATGCAGTAGCGTAACTGCCACCGAGAACCACCAGTAGGGTTCGATGTGAGTTTAGAAAGCCATCCTGCACATTGGTTGTTATTGGTCATGGTTGGATGATTGAAACGAGTGATGGGTTTGCGATAAAAGGAAGGACAGGGATTCCGAGAAATAGGAATTTACAGAAGCAAAGAGAGAAGAAAACTAGAGAAACAAGATCCCCACCTTCCGCACTCTTTATTTTATACGGTACCAGTTCATCGGCTCCCTGAACGCCTAATGCTCTTTAGGGAAGGCCATAGCAGGCTTGGGTGGCACGGATCATTGCTAATTTGGTGGGCGTCTCCTATTTAGGATCCCCTTAACATTGTGCTCGATCTTTTATGCTTAGTCAGGGTCAAATTTAAGCTCATCGACATAATAATGATGTAGTACCCTCACTCTTGATCCCACAGTCGTCGATACGAGTGAAACCAATGGCTCATAGTGTTACCAAAGGAGAACTCTATACCGATTAGTTGGCGACCAGCAGCAGTCGTGTTTCGTCTTTTTTTTTTGCGCGTTACTCGAGTTAAAAAAGTGAATGAGGCTGCCGCGTTCATCGGAATTGAATGGTTTGACTGGACGACGAAAATGGTTCAAAAGGGACAAACGATATGGCATTATGGATAGCCAAAACCAGCTTAGCCTATTTCCTTACTAAGGCGAGTCTGATCTCCGAGCAAACAGATCAAAGGAGATAAAGTTCATCCGCTGAATGTAAAAGCAACAAAACACATTGTTCTGCTGCAGTTCTCGGATAGGCAAATGTTGTCAAATTGGATTAGCAATGGGATTTTCCCTTGTTGCCAAGGTATTGATCTCATGTTGCTATACAACAAGATAAAAAGAAACGTGGTTCGCCTGCATTTTATTTGTCATTTATTCATCATGCACATATTAGAGATCGGCCACCCGAAGCGAAAGAAAAAAGGTTAAAACATGATCATTCTAAAATTACCAACGCTCATTTTTGCGCAAGGACAAAAAAAAATGGGGTGGGCGTTTTCAATCACGGGCCGTGTAGTGCAAGGCGGACGAGTTGAAAAAAAAGGAAAGTGTAAGATTCCATATGTGCTCCGGATCATCATTGCACGTTTTTTTATACCTTTAGTGCTGTGCAGAGCAACCACAAGGAAAAACTTGGCTATTTGAAACACTGGAGCTCCATTGAACAGTGAACGACAAGAAAAACCCGCCTCGGTTGATATTGAAGGTTTAATCATTGACAGAAAAAAAAGAATGCAACTCCGAGACGTTGAAATCGCATACAGATTGTGCTGCCGCAGTCTAACGGCTGACATTTTGCTTTTATTTCTTTTTTTTTTGTGGAAACCAATCTACTCTTGGTTTGCTTCAATTGAAGGCAAAATGATATGTCAAAGTCCAAACAAACGTAAGTTGTTTACATGGTCACCATCCGATTGTTCGTTACTAACAGTAACACAGTGGAGTCCTCAACCATCAAACGCAAATTAAGCAAGATAGAGGTAAGAATGTCGGCTTGAAAGGTTATAGAGTGGTTCCATATTCATGTATTGTTAGTGTCGACGGCGGCCCTTCAAGCGAAAAAAGCATAGTTATCATACTCCCAAAATGGAAAATCCGTGGTTACCATCCATCCATGCCACAGACGGTTCGTTAGTTCATACGCCGATACTCAACGATGAGCCAACGAAATGGTCAGCCAATGTCCAACTACAATATGACGCTATGATGATAGATTCGACCACTGCAGACTACCATTTGACTCATGCCGCGCCTACTGAATGTCTCGACGATTCAATCATGGACGACAACGACATGATCGGTTCGCTTGAACGAGGTTGGAGTGATGCGTATGACGAAGATTGGGACGCATAACAATGTCGTTTTTGTAAATGTATTAGCATCTTTCAAACATATTCTATGGCAGCATCTAAATTGATGCTTAATCCCGCACGTTGATATGGATAAATAATATAAAAGAAGTAACCCACAACCGAAGCTCGGTCAATATCACACACTCGGAATGCTGTGCAATTCTGAAATGGAATTCAGATATTCTGCAAGTTGATCCAGAAAGAATTAGACACCAAAGGTCTCATCTCCAATTTCGACTGAAATACAGAACGCATATGCATCCACATAATGATCAGCTTTTTGTTCAAGGCATAAGAATTAACAGGGCGACTGCATTTGCAGCTAGCAGTAGCACACCTAAAGAGACAGTGCCACGCTAAAAATTTCGACTTGGATATCATATCAGCGATCATTTAGGGCGTCATACGATAACTTTTTTCGTTTGTATCTTTATCATTCGACTCCTATATCGTTCAAGTTATCGAAAACAAATTCAGTTTTGGGGAACGCTCATAAATAAATGACGAAACAAATAAGTGGGACATGATTTATGACGTTTGCACTAATGCAAGCATTCCATCTATTGTAAACAATATTGCAATCATCTTTGGTAGCTATTTCAGAAATCAGCTGCAAAAATATGCATCACAACAAACAAAAAAAAAACAAAAAAAAAGGGTAACCGAGATGTAGGAACGTCGAGGCGGAATGGGCATGTCAACGCCATTGGGAATGGCTTGTATATGTCCCAAGAAGAACAGTGAAGGTCTAACGGCTGACGTAAAAATGCACTAAAGGTTATTTGGGAAGTCTATATGCAAAGAATAGAATACCCATTTCTGGAAGCTCCAAGAATATCATTGATCCTGTGACTCATAAAGGTCATCAATTGCAGGAATGACTCGGAAAAAGAAAAAAAGATTTGTCTTGAGCTGTATTTCTACATGATGTTCCTGAGTTTCAATCCATTGCAACACATCTTTGAACTTTGTGCTTTTCTATGTGGATCGCCCATGCTTTGTTCCTTGTCATTTGCTACTCGCTTGTCGTTCTCACTCGGGCTGAGGAGAAACTAGTCACCTTCAACGATACCAACTTTCGCTTCTTTGGTCGATGGCATGTCAATACATTTACCCAGAATCTACAAAGCACATGGCCCGGCGCTTATGTAAAAGCCGAAGTCACTGGAACAACCATTATAAGAGTCATCCTCGGCCAGCCAACATCCGTGTATGCAAAAGTCGACGACGGTCCGCTGAAGAAACTGGAGGCGACACCAGTGTCGGGTCAAGGAAACCAAAGCTGGGCAGAACTGATGCTGGGCGATCATTTCGACAGTAACCAATCGCACCAATTCATGCTTATCGCCACTGTCGACGACCCAGCTTTGCAGTTTCACGCTGTTGCACTGTCTTCTGAAGCTTGTACCGTTCCTCCAAGCCATCTGTCGGGACGTAACGTTGAATTTATCGGTCACGATCTTACTTTGGGAACTGGAACCAGCCATTCTTTTTTAACGGGCTACGCTTGGATTGTCAGTGATCTCCTTGGCGTAGAACTTTCCCAAATAGCTTATCCCAACGCTCGTTTAATGGATGATGGTTCGTCCTTTGGCATGGAAACCCGATACTTCCATGGTGGGGCATCTTATCCACCGTCATGCATCGTGCTTTTCTTGGCTCGAAACGATCGCGGTCACGAGGACGACTATGCCGCGAGTCTCACCAGATTTTTACGTCGACTACATACGCGAGCCAAGGATACGCCGATCCTTGTCCTTTCGGAACCGCTGGGCGATCTTTTCCGGGCATCTCAGGGAGCAGTGAATCAACTGTCCAGTGAGAGTCATCAAGATATCTACTTTATTGATACCACCAGTTGGATCCGTTATGGTGCTACCATGTTCCTTGATCCAGTGAGCACACATTGACTCCCATTCTCAGTATTTTTATTCTGTTTGATGTCCTCATTGTATTTGGTTTTTGTCTTTTCGATAGGGTCATTTTACGGATGCCGGACATGAAACATTTGCAAAGAAACTGTTACCTTATCTACAAGCCAAGTTAGCGGTCCCTCCGCAACCGCTTCCTAGCTTTCCACCCAATCCGAATCTTCCCGGACATTGGCAGACCATGGATCTCGGTGAAGCCAGCTCGATAGGTTTACCCGGGTCGGTATCCTTTGATGCCGATAATACGTTTACGTTGTGGGGTTCGGGCACGGACATCAGCAAGGACCGAGATGCGTTTCGGTACGTTTATCAGTCAATGTCTGGTAATGGTTCGATCGAAGCTACTGTGGAATCGCATTCCGCTTTTGCTGCTTGTGCGAAAGCAGGTATCATGCTGCGCGAACATTTGGCTTTAGGCTCGCCTCACGTGATGCTTGGCATGTCATCGGCGGATGGTCTGTTTCTCCAAACACGAGAAACAAACCTCAATGCTACTAGGGTGATCAAGAAGATGCGCGCTTCACCTCCTTATCGTCTACGTCTTGTACAGAAAGGGTTCAGTGTCACAGCGTCTGTTTCGAATCGAGATAGTGAATGGGAACCGTTCGCCGAGATAAAAACGTCACTAGCCCGTGATATTTATGTGGGTCTTGCTGTCACCAGCTGTGACACATCGGTAGTGAGTGTAGCCAAGTTTTCAAACATCAGTCTTAAAGGCGGCGTAGGCAGCGGTGGTCTCTCTCTTCCACGCTTCATAGAGCAGAAACCGAACTAAATCATCCGTTGTCGTCCCATGTAATTTCTCAATTATAAAAATATCTAACAGTAGACTTTGACATGAAAATAAGCAAGCTCCCATCATTCAATGGACTGTTACTATAAACGGCATGGTTTCCTGTTCTTTCAGTAGCTATACAGTATCAATTGACAATGGGCGCTCCCTGCTGCAACTGGTTCATTCCTGTTGTTGACAAGGGATGAGATAAAAAATGGGATTTTCGTAAGGTGCTCCTGATCATGTTGCGGCAATGAAACATTATGGGATAGAGAATGGGAACGAAATATCAAAAGCAAAAGAAAAAAATTGAAGCGCGGAACGTGTCCAGGGTAAAAACATCGCATTCACGATTATATTTCAATGGTGATCATACAATAAGATACAACATCTACTGCTTTTTCGGCTTGCCTTCGAAGCGAATAGGGGTCTGAATACCGCCCAACCAGGTAATACCAATAACGAGGATGACCAGCAACAGAAAGCTGACACCAATGCCCATAAAGATACCAGGAGTAAACAATTGGTATTTGGCAAAAATGGGCAAATTAGCTTGTTCTGCACGAGGGGCTCGACCAGTCAATGCTCGCTTGTTCAAAGGAGCCGTAGTCTAAAATTACACATTTAGTTTATTGGCTGCAACTTGCCTTTACACGCAATGACCCTACCTTGCGACCCTTGCTCGAAGTGTAAAGAACAACATAGTTATCACCAACGAGAGTTTCAAGCAAGTTCATGTATTGTTCAATATACTTGGCTATGAACACGTTCAAAATGCCGGGTTAGTTCACGTTCGAAACCAAGCATGCATTTCCAGGGAATATATACCATTTTCTTTCAATGTTTCGACATCCTTTGCTGGAGGCAACACAAAGGTAGTATAGAGGCTTCTTCCCTTTGGCATATAAAAATCATCTTCGTTCCCGATCAATTGTTCCAGCTCTAAGGTCCCTCGGTAAATGCATGATTCATTCGCTTCCACAGTTTATGCACGTTACCCTTTGCTTCCATGTGCATGGACACACTGTCGCACTTCATAACCATGATGGCGTTCATATCCTTTATATCCATTTCATCGTTGATATAGCTAATGTGCGCCTTTGTACCAGCTTTTTCATAGTGTTCCTAAGAGCAAAAATACATGGTTTTAGTTTGAAACGAGACTATATTTTTTTTTTTCAAACTTTTTAGACCACTAACCTTGACCACGGCAAAAGCTTCGGCAGTTTGTGAGCTTGTGAAATCGTCATTGTGAATCTATGTAACAAAGTTATTTAGTGTGTGTTTGCGTTGAACTACAAAACGTGAAAAAGTCCCACTCACCTTGGGCTGGTCAATGAGGGTCACGATCTTTGCATCGCAAATATTAGGCCCAAACTGAGAAGCAAAAGTATGCGGAGCATCGTCAGCAGCAATGACCAATTGATTGACAGGCTTTGGTTCCAAGTAACTAATTTGAATAACACAGAAATTAAGGTCAGAAAACCTCGGCATGGAAAGACAGCAAGGAGTATAATGAATTACTTTCTCGGTGACCACATCATACATGGCACCGTCTTCTCAAAAGCCAGTACGCTTGACACCAGCGAAAGGAGGGCAATGGTATAAATCTTCATATCCACGAGTCGGTATGAAAGGTGAAACGAAAAGAAGGCGTTGGGCATCGGTTGGGAGCGTCCCCTCTCCGTTGCCGCGTTTCAGCCACCGACTGCACGCCGTCCAATCATATCGCTGTTTGGTCTCCAGTATCCTGATTTGAAAATAATCAAAACTCAAAATAACAGGGCGCAAAGACCATGGTTGACCGATAGAGAAAGCCATGCATACTATAGCATATCTGTATTGAAACAGTTGCCATCACCACGATTCATTTCATAGTAATCCTGTAACTCTCAAAAATCAAACAATTCTGGTTAAGTGCCAGCCTCCAAAGTCATAAACCGGTCTCTTTCATAGTGAGGTTTGACAAGGTTCTTCAACAGCGAAAAACACTACATAAATCCATGCCATATTATGTGAAAGTAGACGTTGGGTGAAGGGGTATTCGTTGTGAGATGGCTGTGATTTCTTGGGGCTGAATGGGTCTGAGTGTCAATTCGATGTCTAAATTTCGTACCTCATTGGCGACTGGATCGACATGGCCTTGTATAATAATCTTCTGTCCCCATGACCCTTACCGAATTCCAGCAATACATAAAGGTAGCCATCCCAGATCCCATGTAAAGAAACCACTTTTTCTCACTTGAAAAACTTTATTATTATTAATCTTCACTCGAGAAAGGAAAGTAATGCATATGCTTGCTGTGTTGTTCATCGCTTTGGGCTTCTTCTGCAGCCTTGTCGCCGCCAATAATAAGCAAGTCGAGATCCTCAATAAGTGTGGCAAGACATTGACGGTGGGAGTGCTCACCAACGGTGCCAGTAAACCGGAACAATCGTTCGATCTTACGCCTCACGCAAGCCAGACGATCAGTAAGCAGGATACGTGGGGAGGTCGCATCTGGGGTCGCTATCAATGTTCGGGTGCCAAATCAGCGAAATGCACTAACCCACCCGGTGCGGACAATCCTGCTTCACTGGCTGAATTTTTCTTCAAGGGTGCTTACGGCAAGGACTTTTACGATATCAGCTTCGTGGATGGATATAATTTGCCTATGAAGATCGAGCCAATAGATCCTAGTCACACCAAAGGTTATACATGTGGTGCTCCTGCTTGCAACAAAATGCCTGACTGTCCACCCGAATACGCTATCAAGGATGCTACCGGCAACGTCGTTTCTTGCCAAAGCTCCTGCTCCAAGACTGGAGCGGCTGAGCATTGCTGTACCGGCCAGTATGATCATCCTGAGATCTGTAAGCCTGACCATCGCTCCAACACTGTCAAGGATACTTGTCCCGATGCTTACAGTTTCGCTTACGATGATCAAAAGTCGACGTACCAATGCACGACCCAGAAATACGTTGTCACCTTTTGTTAAAAGAAAAAAAAAAGAGTAGTAATAACACTGATAAAATTTATTGAATGTAAATCTTCTATACAAGTGAACAAAAAGTACAATGCAGTAATATTAAAACGAGAAAAAAAAACCAAAAGTGGACAGGAATATACATAGAAGAATGGATCCTTATTCTCTCAAACGAGACTTTGATGGGTATCTACACGATCCAATGTCGCGGAATGATGCTTAGTGCTGCTGTTCAACTTTTCATCTTCCATGTTGGGACCCGCAGTATGTGATTTGTGTTCATAGCGTGTGCGCCATCGTTGACCAAAGACCATCACAAGGACAATTAGCGCGATATTGGCGACATTGATAGCGGCAATGATAGTATAAAGGATGCCTGGTCCAGCAGCGTGAAGTGCTTGGGAAGAAAAAAGTGTAGCAATGGCTGCAGCAACTGAACGAACGCAGTTGTTGATAGCAACTGCCGAAGCAGAACGACCTAAACACAGAAAGCGATTTTCCCTGTGAATAACTATCCTTTTTACTTGGGTTTTTTTTAGAAGACGTAAGAAAACAATCAGATTTACCTGGTTTCGAATCCACCAGGTAGACCGAGGTAGGAGTGAAGGCCCACATCTGCCCGAGAGCGTAGACAAATAAACCGATCAACGGTGCATATACACCAATACCCTTTTCGGTGGTCCAGCCATAAATCAGGTAACCTGCAGGAATCAGAATAAACGAAGGCGTGGATGCACGCAGTCGCATCTCCGGCTGGACACAGTCTTTTGTCTTTTCCCGCAGTCGACGAACCACATAGTCAGCATGTTGTCCACTTACGACGGATCCAACCATCAAGCCTATGCCAAAGGCAAGATAGCACAATCCCACTTGAGACTCGTCGTAGCCATAGAGTGACTGGAAAGTATCGGTGATGGTCGGGTTCTAAAATTTTGCGTCAATCATTACTGTAGCTATGCAATGGAAAGAAAAATGGAAAAAAAAAGAAAGATGAATCATTAGGAGTAACGAGGACTCACCAAGAAATACAAGCAGGCGAAAATAACTGAATTGTAGCAGGTAATTACAATGACCGTTGGATCCTTGCACATACTGGCCATAGGACCGAATGCACGCCGTAACATGTGTAAAGTTGAGGTTCGCACATGGGGTTGTTGACTGCTTGTGGAATCTTTGATGCGTAGGGTTTCGGGTAAAAGAAACGCCACCATGACCAACAATACCCCACCTAACTCGGTAAAAAGCCTTGGTCAGAAATTTCCCAGAAATAAAAAAGCCCCGATTTTCCCATTTTTCATACTTACCAAGGATGGCTAGAAAATAAAAGGTAGATCGCCATCCAAGATACTGACACAAAGCACCTATTAGGAATGGATGAGTGACCTTGTAAACGTCAATGATACAACACTATCGAACTAATCACCCACCTCCGATGGTGGGACCTATATCATATAACGATGCCGAAACGTTAGCAACGAATATGAAACGACATAATCAATAATTATAACCCTACCGATGACGGGGCCAATGAGAGGGCCGATGTAAAAGAAACCATAGGCTTTGCCTCGATCGGCGACATGAATCGTATCTGCGATCACCCCGGCACCTAAAAAAGGAAATAATTGAGGAGATTTCCTCCGCTTAGCCGGACCTGCATTGATGATTTTTGAATTATGGTTATTGTCGAAATAACCCACCTAACGATTGACCAGCACTGGATCCGCACGCCTGCACAGCGCGGAAAACAATCAACATGGCAATATTGCGCGAATTCGCGCATATGACCGAGGCTACAATATTCAACACGATACTAATAAGATACATTCTTTTTCGACCGTAGTGATCGCTAAGGCTCGCCCAGAATAATGGCTTTAAGAAATCGAAATTAGTGATTCATCTTGTCTTGTCATTCGGGGGTGCACATACTGCGATGCCCATAAATACGACGAATGCTGATACGGTGCCATTGACTGCTGCCAAGGATGTGTGGAGGTCTGCTGCAACCGACAATAAACCGGGCATATAGATCATGCTACTGAGGGGACCACTGATACCGCACAAGGAAACGGTCATAATGATCATGGCTTTCCGGGCTCGCGAAAAATCGTAAGGATCGTCCTTAGCGTAAATGTTTCCCATGAGAAATTCGGCCCATGATTGTCGAGGGATGCCCGATGTTTGTGTGCCATCGTCCTTGATTGTTTCGTTCAAGGATTCGTGATCCATGAGATCGTTCTCGTATGGATATTTATCGTTCGATATGGAAGTCGTCATATTGATGAATATTTCATACAAACGAAGGGTAAACAAATAAGCAGTATAAAAATTCCGTTGATGTGAATTAGAAGAAAAAAATAAAAGGAAAACCGGAAAAGGCACTGTCTGATGAGTGATCCGAATCATTTTTCAAAAAAAATTCGATCTCATGCACTGCCGCTTTCTGCGACTGGTCACTCACTCCGCCAAAAATATGTCTCGCATTCTAACGACTGAACATTGTAATAAAAAAGCATGACTTATCTTTGCCATGGTAGTTGTATGATCATTCTATTTCTGCAAAATGACTGCGCTGTGAAGCCATTCAACACATGGTTAATATATCGTTATATAAAGTGTTTGCAATTCGTTATATTTATATATTACACATATTATTACATTTCTATAGTCGTTCGACAATTGTTGTTATACAGGCATGAATGGAAAATATATATCCCTTGGGCGACTTGCGCGACATTCTGTCTCAATTCATTTTAACGAGAGGATTCAAAATTCGGGAGGCCGGTATAAGTTGAAAGTTCGGATCCTCTTGGATTTAGATGCACGCGACAAGAAGTAATAAGAGGATAGTCATGAAAGGTACTGATATGCGCGGTGCATCGGAATGGTGATGCTTGGAAGAGAAGTCTGAACCAGGGATCATCTTTTTTTGCACAATATCTAAAAACAAATGAGTATAGGATGAGTTTCAGAACAACAGCGTTGCAACTATATCGTGTTCCGCACTTGCCTGATACTTTGCATGCATTCTGGGCTTTTTCACAGGAAAGAATATTGGTGGCTCGTGAAGAGTTGAAAAACATTGTCATGTTGGCAATGGTTAGCTGAGCATCTTCACTTGGTGGTCCGCCACTGAAGTTCGGATTGCCATCGGTCCAATGACTGACAATGATGCGACCAGCTGAATCGGGGACATTAGTGGTCATGGTATTGAGAACATGGCCGTCCACATAAAAGGTGACAGAACCTGGCAACCAGTCGAAGCGGTATTCATGGAAATCCTGCAGAGCCAAAAAAAAAAAAAAAAAAAAAAAAAAAAAAAAAAAAATTTGATGGATCAATCTCAGATGACTAGGCTATCACGTAAATTGCTTGTCCTTTGTACTCACCGTCGTCGGATTGAATGCGAGAATATGCTTGTCACTGGTTTCTGGAGCAGCGGAGCCATCCTTGTTATAAAGTTGAGGCTGGACAGCTAGATAGGTCTTCCATGGATTCTGTAGCCGGCTAAGGGTTTCAATATCGATTTCAGCGGTTCTATTTCGGTAAAAGAAGAAAGCTGCCACCGTTCCCGATATGTTGGAGGTTTTCATGTAAGCGCGATACGTTCCATATAAAAAGTCATCTCTGCAAATAAATGTCAGCTGGGAAGGTATTTTTGGGATGGCAATGACGTGGCTTGGCTTACCTTCGAGTGGCAAATGATCCAGAAGAGTGTTTGCCACCTTCATTTTTGACCGTTAGCTGGATCGTTCCATTGTTCACGCGTACATTATTGTGTTTAAACGCTCGTGCATAATCGTTTTCGGTGGCTCCGCGAAGGGTGTAATCCATCACCATATAGTTTCTGTCGAGACGCATACTGCGTGTAGCGTAATTGGAATAATCGGCATGCCACACGTTGGCCCATACGTGATTGCTTTCATCTTGAAACCCACAGTCGCACACGATAGGTTCGTCGACTTTTTGTTGTGGTTGCTGGGCTGCTGCCAGGGAACACGCGCCGATCAAGATGGATAGAGATAACAACATGTCTCTAAAAACAAACAAACAAACAACAAACAAAAAGAAACAAAGAGAAGGTATGGAGATTTACAATCGAGTTTTGAGTAATAAACAAATGGATGCCTATTTTATCATCTGAAACAGTGGAATTATTCTCCTTTAATTAAAAAAAGCTCGGAGAGACATACATGATTCATTATCGATAAGATTCGAACCCAAGATCTTTTGAATTCGATCGGATAATTAATTAATCATACTGCTTCTCATCCGGAGGTATCATAACACAACGTGTCTGTCCGAAAGTTGTGGAAGAAGATTAGGGGTAGATACTTGGTAATCAAGAGTCATCAAGGAACTAGTATAGGACGCATTAAAGTACCTTTGCAAAATCGAGAAGGGCAAGAGAAATGAATGAGGAAACGAATCCAGCTGTTGAACATACAGTGAGACCCATTACCATCCATAAGAGGAAGATTGAGCATGCAGAGTTCCGCCAGAAAAGCGTGTGCATTACACAGTATAAAATAAAAGAACGCTTTGCACGCAGTCTTATCCTTTAGCTTATCCGATTATATAACTATGCAGATGGCGTGCTTTCAGTTGGATTGCTTCAGGTCGATGTGTCAGATAATGGCTATTGATGATGTGAATCCATGGACGGGTAGTTGTGACAACAAGGTTATAATGCCGGATATGGGTGTGGCTAATAAAACCATAAAAAATAATCTCAGTGAAACTGGACTGGAAACTGCTGGAAGTGTTTTGTAAAACAAACTCACGTTATCGACAGTTGCGATGATCCTTACGCATCTCGCGAAAGTTTGTAACTACGAATGCGCCCATGACGTATTGACACTTCAAAGTAAGTGGTTTATGGTTGCGCTTTTCCAAAATGAGTGATATGCGAACGACTATAAACTGATACAAACAAATAAAAAATAATACAATAACAAATTTATGGGTAGGTAGGTCTTTGTAGGATTCTTCAAAAAAAAAGAAGGAATGCCTGTCAAGAAGTACCTGCCTGACTTTTTGTTCCTCTGATTATGCCATCCCACTGGCGGACTTCAGTCTGCTGGAGCTTTCTTCAAGTTGTCTATTATTGCGACGAACGTGCTTCATGAGAACCACCATGGCTGCTGGTGTCATTCCCTCAACACGTTTAGCAGCACCAAGCGTCTCAGGGCGAACAACGGCTAATTTTTGTCGGACTTCGTTCGATAACTGATCCATGCTATTAGAACAAATGATGATTTAGCATTCCTGATTTGATAGCATTTAGAGAAAAAAAAAAGATACGAACTTGGCATAATCAAGATTGATATCCAGTCTGAGATTTTCATCCCTTTTTAATGCTGCCACTTCCAGAGCTTGTCGTTTCAAGAAAGGCTTATATCGTCCTTCAATCATGATGCGTTCTTTAAGAGACTCGTCCAAATGATCCAGCGCAGGAACAAGCTCTCGGAACTGATCCAAGCTTACATTGGGCCAAGTTAAAAGATCCATGGCACTAGCAAGCCGCGTTAATAACCACGTTCAGCATAAAGCAATTCCAATCACGAAAAGAATATGTCTTTTTACCTTCTCAGTACACCATTATCATTGGTGATTTCCGACCCTGAGCCAGACACAATACCGTGTTTACTCCATTTCTTGACAGACATCTTGAGTCCTTCCAGATCCTCCATAACAGTCCGTAGGGCTACATAAGTACGATCAAAATGAGCCCATCGTTCATCCTTTACTACGCCAGCTTCGTAGCCTTTCAGGGTCAAGCGCATATCGGCATTGTCTGCACGAAGAAGAAGTCGGTATTCGGAGCGGGAAGTGAACACGCGATAGGGCTCCTCAACCCCTTTGGTGATAAGATCATCAATCAAAACGCCAATATAGGCATCAGATCGGTCAAGGATAAATGGCGGACGACCAAGAGCGCTTAGACCAGCATTGATTCCGGCAATGATTCCCTGGGCTGCTGCCTCCTCATAACCAGTGGTACCGTTGATTTGACCTGCCAAAAACAGGCCACTAATACGTTTGGTTTCAAGCGTAGATCTTAATTCTCGAGGGTCAACGTGGTCATACTCCACACCGTATGCTAAACAACCAAATATCCCTCTGTTGAGAAACACGATACGCTTGAACTCGGGTCGTCTATGCATCCTTTACCTGGTTTCACCATATCGACATTTTCTAAACCGGGTATCATGCGCAAAAAATTACGCTGAATGTCTTCTGGCATTGTGTTGGAAATTCCGTTTGGATAGACAAGATGGGTGTCAAATCCTTCAGGTTCTAACCAAATGGTATGACCGGTCTTATCGCGAAAGCGCTTAATCTTGCTTTCGAGCGAAGGGCAATAACGTGGCCCTTTGACTGTTTCACGAATATGAATACTCTGATCGAAATGTTGCTCAATATACTGATGAACAGCAGGATTGGTCCTTGTTTGATGACAGAGAATTTGTTGATCCTATCATTGGCGGTTACACGAGAGTCAAGCTTAGAAGCACTGGAAGCTCGCACTTACAGCATAAGGCACTGTTTTATGCAGATACGAAAACGGCATAGGAGGTTGATCGCCTTCTTGAATAGCTAATCCTTCGTAATTGATTGTTCTTCCGTCTAATCGCGGTGGAGTGCCTGTATAGTAGAATCTCGGTAAGAACAACAAAGCCCATGCTTTTCGTTGGTTCAAAATGATACAATACCTGTTTTTAATCGCGCAAGCTTGAACCCTGCACTTCGAAGTGATTTTGATAAACCGATGGAGGGCTGTTCACCCAGACGGCCAGCAGGCCAGGCTTTCAACCCCAAATGAATTTCGCCACCCAAAAAGGTGCCGGTAGTGATAACAACATTGGGCGCCGAAATGATCTGTCCATTGTCTAATTTTGTCATTGGCATTCTTTTTTAGAACTTTTCATGCATGATCGCCATAATAACCGTTCACGTACCTAGCCTCACACCGTGAATCATTGTTTGCGCTCCTTTGCTTTTCACCTTTTCGTATTCATGTTGATCCGTTCCTTGATCCATGACCAAATCCGCTACGCTGCCCGATCGGATCGTTAAATTCGGATATCCATTGAGGTATTCTTGAAGATGTTTCTTGTAGAGTTTGCGATCAATCTGCGCTCTCGGTCCCTAATTGAAATATGTATCAGTACTTGATGATGATTGCCTGTCCATTATATCACACTTACATAAACTGCAGGTCCTTTGGAGCGATTGAGAACTTTAAATTGAATACCAGCAAGGTCTGTATTCAAACGAAGCAAATTGGTTACTTGTGATGCTTTGCTGCAATATAATAATAGTTTGATAGAGATGCTTACCGGATATCCGGCCGCATACACCGTCGAGAGCGTCAATTTCTTTGACGAGTACACCTTTACCGACCCCACCGAACGAAGGATTGCAAGACATTTCGCCTGTGATAATGTCAAATATCAAAAAGTCAGTTGGGTTTGACTCATTGTTGCTGACACTTTCAATGCCATACCAATAGTGTCTTTGCTTTGAGTGATTAGCAATGTCCGAGCTCCTGAGCGGGCTGCTGCTGTGCATGCTTCTGTGCCAGCATGACCTCCTCCAATGACAATAACATCGAAATCAGGGATCGGCCGTGACATGGGTGCAGCGATGGAATGGAGCGACGATCTCTGCAATCGCCAAAAGCGATTGTGTCTTTTCGCTACGATCGAACGGATATATCGTTGCATAAGGGAATCGGAAAAAGACTAGATCCAAAGATCTCGATGCCAAGATTGCTTTTTTTTTTTATTTTTTCGGTTCCAGACGGGATTCGGCAAAAGCCCTCCAAACAAAAAATGGTGGAGAGCAGCGGAAGTTTCACAATCCGCTTCTATTTGGTTTGTTAATGTGCCTTGGGTTTATCGCACGTTGTATGTCTACGATATTAAATATCGATCCTTGTTTTTCTGAAGGGCAGAAAAACATGCGATATTCAATACCTCCATGAATGTATCCAGCTACCAAAGCAAGTACTTGATAACGACAATCGCAATAGAGAAAGGTGTGAGGATAAAATATGTATAAAGTAACAATAAAGCCAAAATCAAAAACTTATGTACAAATAACATAACTATAACAGGAAAGGGCAATCAGCAACTGTACTCTATCAAAGAGATCCACGCCATATGTCGTTGATCAGCAGTTGTCGTTGCACAACAGTCCATCAGCAGCCAAATAAAAAAGAATTTACCAACAAGCTGTCTATCACTGCTGCTACGTTTTTTGTTCGTTACCAACTTGTCATTTTCGGCGGGAATATGGATAAGAAGGATTAAAAAGAAAAAAAAAAGAAGAAAGAAAGAAAACGGTGGTGTATGATTTTCTGACCGGTTGACGAAGGAAAAAAGGGAATTATGGGGAACGGAGCTTATGGCCAGCCGTTGGCGATTGCTGTTGAGACTGACCGTGCTTTAGGAGCAGATGAGGAGGAAGGGACCATGAATGACTGTTTGGGTGATAGACCGGGAGGAGTTGGTAGGTGGGGGTTGTCTTGGAGAATAGTCTGGGTGCTTGGACGTTTCAGTTGCCGGTCACCGTCGATTTCGTCGGATTTGCGATGGTGATCTTTGGAACCAGCGGCTGTTGCTTTCTCATGCCCGAGATCAATGGATAAGTGACGAGCTGCTCGATCGACTCGCATAGATGACACCACATCATTTTCGCCATGTTGTTCTTCGCCAGTATGGTTTTCACGCATCCAGTGCATCAAAAGTTGATCGCCATAGTATTGAAGTTCTTCCACAGTGACAAACAATGTGTAGTTGTTGAGTTCTAAAAACTCCACTTCCAGTGTGTTCAATTCTGAGACAGGTAAGCCTCCCACCTAGAATAAAAAAAAATAACGTTATGAGCTCTTCCTTCTGATTGCCGATAACCCCCGGTATCCTTGTATCGCTTCCGTCAAAGAAAAAAAGAAAAAAGAGCTTACCTTTGCATAACGTGTGTTGGTATAGAAAACATCCGAAAACAATTTACTGGCGACCATCACGCCAATAATAATCAAACGATGAATATTATAGGAATCAATGCGGAACCGTGAAGATTGGGACATGCGATCTAGATAGACTAATAGAGCCAAAAAGCATTCATTGGAACATGGGCAATATTTGAGGATACGAGAAAGGTAGGCATGGATCGAGATGCTCGGCACAGCCCGTGCGTGGAAACATGTGTAGTTCGGGGATGAATGCGACAGTCTACGCGCACGGCTGCCTGTAGAATTGGTTTCGGTATGCAAACGGTCATTAGCTGCAGTGACCTTGGCAAGCAGCGATGCTAACAGGCGAATGGTGTCTTTGGGAGGATGATTGGCGAGATCGAAATGGCTCATGAAAAATGTAAGGGTTGAAAGAATAAGAAAAAAGAGGGAAAAATTACTGGGAGCACTTTTTTACAGCTGCCGTTGAATTTTTCCCAATTTTGCGTCACTCAAAAAACAATAACAGCAGCACAAGGACCTTCTCGATAACCAATTGCGAAGATGTTCACCTGGATCGGATGGTGAGGAGAGAAAGGGTATAATTGCGGCCATGTGCAATAACAATACATCATGGACACTGCAATGCGTCATTGCAGTATCTGGACTTCAATATGGGAGCTGCTTGGAAGACGGAGAACCCAGTGCAATCCAACCAAGTGTTTTACCATATAAAGAAGAAAAAGAAAAGCTCGAAAAATCACGTCCATATTTACACAGAAATCCAAACTTTCAAAGCACTGGATGTCTCGACCATGATGAGTTGCTTGCAGCAGAATTTGTTTCTACGATACTTTATGTGTTTCGAATTTTACGAGGTCAACGGACACAACAATGGCGGAGATTCTGTTTTCCCTTTAGTGGAAAATGCAACCTGTTTCCCTTGGTCAGGAAAATCAGAGTAACCCGCATCAGTATTTTCAAAGTAACAATTTAGAAATCGTCAAAACGACGTATCAAGTTGACCTCTATCGGAGGATTGTCTAATAGCATGCCAGTGATCGAAAAGATAAGAAACACGTAACTGTGTGTGTGACCTGGAGGAGGAACAATATATGCATGATATTATTGAGCAACCAAGTTTGTATCCGGTACTTCTAAAAGTTATTGAACTATAGTTATCACTATCATACAATTTTTTCTAAAAAAAAAACCATCCTAGATACAGAATTTATTCACAATAGACAACGGCAAGGCTCCATTTTATCGACCCTGAAGACGTCTTAAGCGTTCTTCTGCGGCTCTCGCTCTCTTTTCCCGCTCCAATCGCATGCGTGCTTCGGGTGACATGTTGGCCGTATTGACCGCATGACTGGAACCCAAGAGCGCTTTGGCAATCGGGTCCAATTTTTGAGGTTTCTTTCGCGCATTAGCAGCCGCCGCCGCTTCTGCTTCCATCTCTCGTTGGTGTGCTTCCTCCTTTTTGCATCGTTCTTCTTCGATCAACCGTTTGCGCTCCTCTTCCTTTTGTTGCTTTTGTCGTTCCTTCTCCATCAACTGCGCTTCCGCTTCTTTCGTCAGTGGGCTGGGTACGTGTGCTTCTTGTAACCAATTCCACTGATTGGGCAAATCGCACATACATCGGCGGAACGCATTTCGTGTCTCCTTGTTTTTGGCCACCTCATAAGCGGTTTTACCTATACGATTCTTGATCGTCGGGTCGGCATTGTATTCCCGAATCAATTGAGAGACAAGCTCCGGATGGCCATAATTGGACGCAATATGCAAGACAGACGGCAATCGCAACGTATCCTCCGCCTGAACGTCTTCGGGTAGCGAGGATGAGACGGGCACATCCGGATGATTGTTGATGTACGCAGTGACCACTTGAGTTTTGCCTTGTTTGATTAACAGCACCAATTTCTCTGTTTCCGAAGAAATCTGTCGTTTGGCATTTTCCCGCGTCGCCACAGGCGATGATTCCTTTTTACTGCGTGATTTCTCCAATTGTTGGCGTATTTTTTCTTCTTTTGCCGCTAACTTTTGTTGATGCTCTTGCAATACATCGGCATCCATTTCCAACACTTTCACAGTGGTGATTTCCAAAAAGACTCGTTTCACTTCATTCAACGTAGGTCTTCGCGTCGAAAATGGAATGCTTCTCAGGCGTGGATCATCTAATGGTATACATATTAGACTCGATTTGTCAAAAAAAAAGAAAAAGCAAGTGGGTCCGACTAGGTTACCTTTACGGAGTATGGCTTCATTATAGCCATAAATGATTTTCTTGTTACTGCTCGGTGCATGCACGAGAACCAACTCACTCGCATCAATGTATTTTTTCCATTGCGATAAAACCTCTCGGATTTCCTAATTAAAGACGGTGTGAGTTGAACAAATGACAGGTCCCGCTTTTATTGCTGCATACCTGTTGAAGCTGCTGCTCGTTATGGCGTCGAATTTGTGCACCGGCGGAATTAGCGTTACCCTTGGCATTATCATTGGCAGATTGAGCTCCACCTTGCTTTCTACGAGCTAATCCCAGTGGTTAAACAAAAATAAGCCCATTGAATACAAGTGATTTTACTTACTGGTATAGCGATGAAACGTTTTATGTTCCAACATTTTCATTTGCTTCTCATGTCGGGTTTCCGCTACGCCGGGACTTTTGGTGATATCGAGGACGGCTCCCGCAAAATGACCACCTCCCATGAGCAGCACTGTCCATATTCTAGGTTTGCCCAAGTATTGTTCGGCTTGTAATTTTTCAATCTTGCAGTTGTCATCCAGGGAGGTAAACAGGTTTCGATAGAGGCCGAAATGCAGCGAAGCCGGGTATAAATTCGAAGCTGTATACCATGTCAAGGCCGAGTATTTTCGTTGCAAAGGAGATAGTTGGAGATCGCTTGTTGCCTGCTGGATAAGATCAGCTACCACCGAGTCCTGCATCTGCTGTTTACCAACAAGAGTCGCAATCTTGTCATTGTCACGGCGGTCCTCTTCATCGTCCGAATCCTCGGAGCCAGAGCCGGATAAACTGTCACTCAGATCTATGACATGCAAGATCATATTAATATCATCCCAGGAATCGACGGAAAAATATATACCGGCTAACAAATCTTCAAACTCGGGCTGTGTTACTGGAGGTGCTCCGAGCACAAGACGTCGCTTGACATTATAGCGATGCCAGTCGGTTGCGAAATGTTTGCGATGTTCCGTTCGATCGTGCAAAGGAAACTCAATACCGCATGTATTACAAGCTAAAGCTTCTTTATCACGATCGGTTTCTTGTTGAATTTGTAAGTTTTCCAGTGCATAAGTCTCGAGATTCGATGGAGGCTGGGATTCTAAACGAGCAACGTCTGAAGGTTGATCGGCAGGAGAAAAGGCACTAATGAGATCTTTTGGTATATAAAACACACTGATTGGTTGCAATTGATGTGTGCTCATGCTGACAATGGTTGGGTTAAAAGTACAAAGGTTCTTTGAAGCGTCGGTACGAAGTAAAAAAAAAAAAAAAAAAAAATCGAACGGCTGGCCACCTGCCGAAAAAGGAAAAAAGGGCCTTTGGCACACAGAGGAAAAACAGGACCTCGTCAGCCGGCGCCTGCCAACCTTGATGAGTCATGAAATAGATTCTGCCCACTGTCTCATTCCGAATATGTATGATGGTTCTTGGCATGGATGAAAAAAACACACTGTATTTTCGCAGAAAATCCTGCCAGTCATGCCGTAGAAGGAATGAAAAAGAATTGTTTTTTTGTCTTTCTATGATATTTTTGCATGACGCCATCCTACAGATAAATGGCATGCATGAAAACTAAACCAGGTTCAGTTTAGTGGAATAACATCGATTCTGGCGATATACATTGCGATCTATCGTTTAATGGTTCATCAGGACACTATGTTCTTGTATGTCTATACTAAGAGGACTTCTGTGTGCAAGCATACTCAATGGCACGCAAAGAAGCAAAAGAGGGCTTTGATCCAACTTGGTGTAAGTTATGAACCAGATATTCATGTAATCTTTGCAGTTACTACTCCTCAATGTAACATACACGACACGATCAAAAGTCCAGGTTGAAATTCCTGTGCAATTCTCTATTTGAAAACTTTTGACTATACGGGGGAAAAAAGTATTCCGACAGTAGTTGACTGGCTTATTATTCTAGAACTCATCTTCAAATGATTGTATTCATGCAATATCTAATAGATAGTAAGGAATGCTTGCATCTACTTATAAGATTTTGGGTGTGAAGGGAAGAAATGATAATTTTAGTTCATCGGAATATGAAGTGCAGGAACAGTCAATGCAACTGCATGTGTGTCAAGTGGAAAAAGAATGCAAAAGTGGTTATCTTCACTGAGATTCCGTGTCATTGACGTCCTCCTCTTGGTATGACCATGGTGAAAAATCTTCTTCATCAGGCTCGGTTTGGATGAAATGCTTGGAAGTATCGGGAATATCGATAAATGTAGGTCGATTTTTCCGGTTCAATGATTGGGTTGGCGTGGTGAGTGTGGTAGGCGTTTCGGGTGACATATCTGGGCTGTAGTTTTGTGGATAAATTACAATTGGCTCTGATGTTGGTTCAAGAGTCGAGCCTGGAAGTCGTGGCAATACTAGTGGAGTCATTTTGATGAAGAAAAAAAAAAAGAATGCCGATTACACGAATTATGAAAACAACAAAAATTAAGAAATGGCACGATCTTTTTATATGAAGACTCCAAAAAAGGACTAAACTGTTTCTGGTATGGCGATCGGGCATCTCCTGCTGTTTTTTTCCAACTATAAACTGGATAATATCCATCATGCAACCACCAGTACTTATCCGCTGATAAATAGGGAATACTACATCAGCATCATCACAATGACTTGCAGAACCAGGTAAAGAACTGCATCTGCAGAATAGCGGGTTAATGACACTAGTGTTATAATAACAGTTATTTCCGACAGACATAATGTATTGTTCTTTTCTGTTTATTATTTCTGATGATGGTTCTTTGACTTGACGTCATGTGAGCAACACGAAACAGGTGTAGAAAAAAAAAAGGTCACTAAAAACTTTAAACCATCAAGGCACCATGTCCAATTTCCGCCCCGTCATAAATCGCAAACCCGCTCGACTCGCCCGCATTCCGGCAAGTGAGATCCCCGATATTTAATTAGGTATTCGCCATTTGGTCTAGCAGTAACCGTCTTATTCACTAGGCAGCCCTAAAAAAAGAAACAGGAATAAAAGCTGTATTAGCAATGTATCAGTTGAGTGGCCCGTTAGGTTTCACCAAACGGTTTTCAATTCCTCCTCTGTTCCCCAATTCCAGCCATTTCCGTCGTGAGAAAGAATGTGAAGATGGATAATAATTATCTCAGCATATTAGACAGGACGAACCACATCATCATGCACCATCCCCTTTGGTAGTACCGCTTACAGCATCATCAACGTCTTCCACACCATTATACCCGCCCGATTCCGCCGTTTTCCCGCATTGAGGAACCAACCAACGATAAAGGAAAAAAAAGTTTTCAATTACCTTGTTACTGTTGGAGCATTTGTAATAAATACTCTTGCAGCCAGTCTTCTTTTGCGTGGTATTGCCGTTATTTTTCCAAAAGTAATTGTCATTGTAGGGAAACTCGCGCGTCTCTACAATTTTAGTAATGGCTTGCATTTCTCTTCTGCGAGGTTTGTGGTGATCATTGTCTTCTGCTGCATCGGTATCAGGTTTCAGTGCAGGGAAGCCATATGGATCGGAAAGACTCATATGAGAACTATCACATGAAAATAGAACAAAAATTTGCGTTAGGAAACCTGGAGAAGGGGAGAGCGGAGTCTGTGGATAATCTTTTTTTTATTTTTTTATTTTTTTGGTTTCCTTTTACCTTGGTGTGGTCGGAGATTGGGAGGAAGTGGAGGATCCAACGGAATCAGTATCGCTGGCGGTTTCGGAGCAGGAAGGGGGAATTCTGAGTGTACCCATGGCCAGCATGGCAGCAGCTGCAGAGTGACGACGTTGTTGCTGGATGTAGTTCTCATCTTGCGGATATGATTTGCTGCGGGTGGAATAAGGCGCTAAACCACCTGTATTGCGTACAGAACAAGGAGAACGTCGTTTTCTTTTCATTTTCAAACTTGATCTGCTTTTGGAACTGATCCATTCTTTATCAGAATCCACATCAGAACTGCTTAATGCTTGCCGCCGTTGCTGGTGAAGATAAACATCTAGTTCTTTGGCACGCAGTTTCGCTTCTTCCGCTCGCCGTTTGTCTTCCTCAACTTTACTGATGAGGATGAGTTTTAGTAATTCCGGTTGTGACTTGTATTGTTCAACTAGATCTTGAAGATCATATTTGGTGGCTTCATGAGGATGGATGTGATTTGAAGACCGACTCGATTTTGATGGCGATAGTTGGACTTCGTTTTGAACAGACGTCGACGATTCATGAAGGGTATCGTTCTGTGGTGATGATGTAGAGGAGGACGAGGTTGACGTTAAAGAGCAAGACATTTTGGCACAACTGTGAATAAATTAAAACGGATAAAGAAAATAGGATGACAGGGGCAATACAAAGATTGTCTCTTTCGTAATAAATAAAGCAGTATTAAGAGAAGAAAGTAAAGAGAAAAGAGAATGAGAATGTTTTTTTTTTCTTATAGGATTTGCGGGGAAGTCCACTTTAGGAAATTTTGTTTTTTTTTGCATTTGCTTTTCCTTTTGCCGCGAAAAAGGCATTGGATCCCGAACCTCCCTGTTACCGGAATTTTCATGTGGCGCTCACTTGCTCATCCGATAAAAATTCGTCAAGCCGCCATGTTCGGTCGTCGATCCACAGGTCTTTTTTTGGGTAACTTAACCATCACCTCGTATATAGTTCCCTGGCCGGATGCAAAGACCAGTTGATACTATTAGTGTTTTTCAGCATTCAGATAATGTGGGAATACAAGTGTAGGCACTAGCGAATTGTATCATGTTGTTCATGACAAATGACTTTTAGAGAGCGGTATTTCAATACGCGAACTTGATCTTCCCACGATTTGCCGCAGGTTTCCACAGACGCCAGCTTTCTGTGGACAAGCTCCCTTGTGGTTGCCAAAATGCATCATATGGTCTCTGACTGGAAATAAAAAGTTCTAGATCCCATTCCACGTAACTGTACCAAAGGTTGTAACCTCGATTCGAATCACATCGATGGATTTTCTTGTTATGGTCCAGAGCTTCAGCAATCTCCAAATATTGCAGCATAAACGATTAGCCAGTCCTCCGCCAATGAACGTTCAAGTTTACCTTAGCATCCGTCAGATCGTTTTCTCAGCGCCCGAACCCTCTACTGACTTTTATTTTTTCGCGTGATGCCGCTCTCCACAATTCCGGGTGATGGGCTTCTGAAGGACAACTCACTGGGCGGAACAAGGATTTGGCTGGATACCGCGGTTGCTTGTAGCGTTTCGGAGCATCATGTATCGTTTGGTCACTACATGAAAATTTTTTGTAGTTCTCGAACCATTCTCAGACGGCATTGGGTTCCTTTCCCAACATGGGTGAAAGAAAACATTTTGGTTGATTTTCTATATCAAATCAAGCTGACGTTCCTCTTCATCCAACGCATACTGCTGTAGTTGGGTGAATAATTGAAAATGCAAAATTGAGTCACTGCTGTGTATGGATTGCAGCTAATGCAACCCTGTGATAGCCATCCTTCTTCATCACAGTCCTTCCCTGCGCATTATTGGGTCACCATAATCGCAATTCAGGATATTTCAGATTCGAGGGAAAAATTCGCCTGCTTGGTTATAAGAGGAAAGTAAATATAATCAGACATTAAGGCTAGGTAGCGAGCTTTGCAGAGACTAAATAAAGAGATGATTGATGCATCGGTGAGATCAGCTATGAAAGCGGTGCAAGATTGTGCTGCAGAAGCAGTAAGCTTTAAGGATGTACGTCATACCCTCAGAAATGATATGGTCAATACAATTCATACTCAATCGTGATATTGAAATCACAGACCCTTTGTCAATTCCAGAAGGCATCCTAAATCTTCATTGCTTCACAGAATTCCCGAAAGATGCGCGCTCGTAGAATCATGGCTATTTCAATCAAGGAAATTAGCAATGCATTCAAACACTAACTCTCTTACGCAGCTGGCTCATTATGCCATGCGTCTCTAAAGAAATGTCAATCTGCCCTTCTTTCAGTAATCCTCTTCAGCTTTGTTATTTTGATGAGCTGCCCATTTATGTGTAACCGATCTTATATCAGATTACGTCTTTGCTTCCTCACAGCTCTTTGACGAAACACGAAAGATAGCAAAGATCACTAAGCCACGTTCGTCAAACCTTGGATACATGCTTGTTTCCGGATTATGTTTTCCATGCAACAACTCATAGACAACAGCACTTAAGATGAGTCACTGTCGCAACTGATGACGTATGAGTTATTCTCTGCTCTCTAACGGTTAATGTTCGAGAAAAAGCGAATAAACGTGACCCATACCAATAAGTAACCCTTTATGGATTAGATGAGTCAAAACAGATAAAGTTGTACTCTGGAAATGGGTCACCAGTATCACGCAGAACTACACGTATCACGAACATTATGACAGATCTCTTGGTGCTCTCACGATGTCAGCCGTATTACCACGATCATTTACCGAAATGGATATCTGATATCCATATTTTAGCTCTACTTGTGATGGGACATTACAGCTTCACGAAACGCAAAAATATACTGCACGCCATTATAAAAAGATATATGTATGATATGTCGGTTCAATGGGCAGTCGTAAATGACGAATCCTGTTATTCCATGTTCACGCAGAAGTCTAATCGCCTATAAACCCTGAAAACACAAGATAAATTATCCTTCGTGGACTTAATATTGCCATTCCAGGAAGCAACAATATAATCGATATTCGCAAAAAATAGCAGAAAAGGAAAAACATGGATGGCAGACACGTCGTTGCTGTAGTTTTTACCGTGGGAGAGTCGCTGTTTAATTGTTATCCAATTTTTTCACCCAGACTACATTATCAGTCTAAATTCAACTTGATTTCATATAAATAGCAAGTGCCTATAAGGTGAGTTTGTCTTTTATGTGCCTAGTGTGAGCTTGATTTTTTTTTTTTTTTTTTTGTTTTTTTGGCTTTGTTGTTAGAGAAGATGCAATTTTGGATAAATATGGCCGTGGCTGGTTAAAGAATACTTGAATGTAAGCGGAGTTGATGACCTGGATTGAAATACTGACGTCGATTTGATAAGAGATGGTACACCGATGCTCGGTCTACCGAATTCAACTGTTGCTAATACAATGTATGGCCGGGCTAAATATTTATTGTTATCACCACCGAAACTATAATTTGTGATCCTTTACTTCATTACCATTTGAACTTTATTCTGTATCCGGGGATTGTCGCGAAAAGACCGCGAACGATAGCATACTCAGTGTAGCAAGATCGCAGCCAGTTTAATGACGATCAATTAGAAAAAATTTATGATGAATCACTTCATGCTTTGTATTAACCAACCAGGACTAGAAAGTCGACATTTTTTTTTCCTATTTGGCGTTTCTACTTCAATTGCCAAAATGTGGGGAACGTACATCGTGTAACCAATGATCCTTAAACGGTGTTTTTGGAAAGTATCTGAAATTAAAAAATGCGAAACCAGAATGCAAAACGTGACCATGTGAACGAAATGTTATCAAAAAGATAAGCGAATGGAGACTTGATATAAAATGTCAACCACTGTTAAAATAATTCCTTCCTTCATTCAAATCGTCTCATGTCATCTTCTCCCCAAAAGCCTGAAATTCAACACCGTGAACTGTATTCTGATGGCACTTCTCAATCGTCTTTCAGACATCGAGAAGTGTTCGGTATCAATATTCCTACCGAAGGAGGCTACTCTTCCGAGGAATCCAAAGAGTCGGCTTACGGGCATCCGCAGCATAAACACCACAGTCCTGTTTTGGGTCATGATCTCGATCCTGCTGCCGTCCAGGCGATTCGTAAAGCCGCCAATCCTGCAGCTATTGGCTTTGGCGCTTTCGCATTATGTGCTTTTGTGCTGGGTCTCTACAACACTGGTTTGATTACCGGTTTACCTCAAGTGGCAGTTGGCGTAGCCCTTGGTTACGGTGCGGTTGGTCAATTCATCTCTGGCGTCGGTGAACTTTATCTTGGAAACACCTTTGCTGGCACAGCCATGCTCACCTATTCGGGATTCTTTCTCTCTTATGGCGTCATGTTCACTCCCGCCGGCGGATTTCTTGAAGCCGCGATGGAAGCGGGGGGGCTTGAAGAGTTGAATCGTTGTGTTGGGCTGTACATGACCGGCTACACGATTGTATCCTTTTTATTTTTCCTCGGCACGTTCCGTCAACCTATCCTCATTCGCTTGGTTCTCGGCCAAGTATTTCTGACATTCCTATTCGCTGCTTTGGGAGGCTATACGGGCAACATTGTATTGACGAAAATTGGTGGCTGGTTCTCCTTTACGCTTGCCCTGACGGCATGGTATGTCATGTGTGCCATCATTTACGATGATACCACCACTTTTATTCGACTGCCATTCTTTTAATCGAGCTTGCTTAGCCTTTTCCATTTTGTCATATTCACCTTTCCCCGCATATCTATCCTCTTGAATCTCATCATTTTTACCCTTTCTTCTTTCTTCTGCCGGTTTTATTCCTTTAATTTTTCAAGATCATCTTCTAGTTATTATATCATTTTTCTTCATTCATCCGTATTCTAAAATTTACCAATATTCGATCCATCAAAAGATAACTGTTAACAGTGTCACCAATGCTCCGACCAATGTCTATATTTGCTTCCAGAATTTTCGTTGATACAATACATTGTAATACCATTGCCCGCTGTATTCTCTATTATGCATTGTTACCTAATTGATTGTTGACGACATGCACAACGTATAGGTATTTGACATGCGGAGCATCTCGATTCTGTCATCTTTTGCACGGTGTGTATAACATGTGAAATGATCCAAGTCATACAAATTGGACTTTTCATCGCAAGACGGTAAAATTTGTTCAAGCCACTCCTGGCTGGCAATGGTAAATGCAGCCACAAATCATAACAAAAAAGGTAAAGAAAAATCTTTTTCTCACTTTTGACCGACAAAGTTATCCGTGAAAGAACGGCAAGTACTGTATTGTGGACATGTTTACTTTAGTCATTATTAACAGAGGTTTTGTTGGCCCGGGCATCTTTTTGGTGATGTGTTTTTTTTTATCATATTTGTTTGTTCGCTTCCATGGCCCTTGCGTTCGTCTTGAACAGGCATTGATTTGCCATGAGTTAATTTCTGCAGAAATATTATGTTTCCATTTTGGCGAAACTGGTCATGGTTTAAAAAAGAAATGCGGGCTTCACTTTATGCTGCTAGTGAAAAGTGAGTTTTGCCTCATTTTCATGTAATAGAGCAATATCAGACAAAAAAGAAATCTAACACAATTCCCGCCAAAGCTCAGCGTATGTACATTGCTTGGATCACTATTTTATATCTTGACGTTCTGCCCCAAGGCGTTTTCCCTCATATCGTACTATCTATGAAAATGACTTTAATTCTTCGTTTGTAAATCATAAACTCTAAATCTCAGGGTTGAAGAGCGCATTATCTTCATTTGCGGCACCGCAAAGTCTCACGAAGTTTGCTCTGAAACACACACATAATAAACAAATGGGAAAGATACTTTCAAAGCGTATCAAAGTGTACCAAGTTGCACAAGATTATCACCTTCGCTTCTGTGATTATTCACAATAACCATTTTCTCTCCAAATCCAAACGTGATAATTGTGCAAGCATAACTACTGCCGAACTAATATACTATATAAGAGATTTTTATCTTGGAAAAAAAAAAGAAAGGATATGGCCGCATCGGTAAAACATCCCAAAAAACCCAGTGGGAAAAAAGTTGAAGAGGAAAAGACTGTGACCACACCTATGAAGAATGATTGAAAAGAAATATGAAAGGGGGATAACAAAGGGATACTAAAACTAATTACGGGAGACCGGCCAGTCGACACCGCACCATAAGTCGCGTTGGGAGAGAGCAGATCCAATCCTCCGATGACGATGCCTAAATTGACCTACTGAAAAGGGACAAAATCACCTCCATTTGATAGTAACCAAATCATTCCATGATTTTACTGACCTCTCTGGTCTGGTTTGATCTGCTCAATCACACCGTAACGATACCCTAAGTGACTTACTGAAAAGGGACAAAAGCACCTCCATGGATCAATAACCAAACCATTTCATGATTTACCTGACCTTTCTGTCTTGCTCTGCTCTGTTCTGCTCTGCTCTGCCCAACACCACCAAAGACGATACCTAAATTGACTTCGAATGATCAGTCGCCAAACCGTTCCAAAATGACACTGACTTTTCTTTTGTCGACCAGCAAGGGATGCGCCGGCCGAAGATGGGCCCGGCTGCTTTTGACACGTGGGTCTCGGAATCCTTGGTAACCTACCTTACTAACTCCCATGCTCCCGTGGGGTTACTCGTGTAGCTGGAGTGGTTGTTTCCGGAGAACCAACCGCGGTTGACCGCCGTGATATTCCGCATTTCCTACAAGGTCGCAAGAATCCGGCAAAGTCGAACCTGCTCCATATAGAACTCAACCCTCTCGGGAAAGCCCTATGCGAGTGTTTTTACCTGTTATATGACATTTAATTCAACGTAAGGGAAATTGTAACAAAAGCGACCATGTCCTCAAAATAGAACTTACCTTCAGGCTCACTGTCGCCAGTCTTGAGAGGCGGGTAGCGTTTAGGCGGCCGCTGTGTATTAGGTAGCCTTGATTTTCCTCCTACCAACGAAGCGTACCCCAGCTTAGGGCTCCAACAGGGTTGAAGTACCGAAGACCCACATCGTGTGTGTCTCCGGAAAGCCGGCTGAACAGGGGACGTCTTCTAGGCAGCCATGACTCTGACTCCAGTCAACGAAGCATACCCATACTTAGGACTTACCAATTGGTGTTGAGGTGCCGTCGATTTGTGGTACCGGCGCGGACGAGGCTCCAGGGGCCGTCGTGGACATGGGCTTCTTGTTGGACTTGTTTCGCATCGTAATTTTCTCCGTTTGAAATCGAATGGCCAGAGTAAAGATGTTAGTTATGAGTAATTACTCCATTTGAAGCCGACATGATGATAATACTTACCGTCATTTCACCGACCAAAGCTTCAGACTCTTGCTGGTCAACGTGGGGCAAAAAAAAAAAGGAAAACGTGCGCAAATGTTTCTCTGTTTTTTTGTTTTTTTTTTTTGTTTTGATTTATGACCGCGATTCACGGTGGCTTGACGTATGTAGCACCGCCACAACTGTAGTAGCTCTATGTTGTCCCTCCACTTTTTTGACAGCAGACTTATTGTGCATATTTCTTTCGAAATATATCCAACACGCTCTGCATGAATCCAAAATTGATCGGAGCGTACAGGCAAATGTCCGTATCACCTCACTTCCAGGCTGTGGTACAATCCGCTGCCAGTTCCTACCACGATACGAAGAGCGAAACCGAACAACCTCATATAATACGTCAATAAGTGCTGTGCAAAGACTTTTAAATGGCTGTATAGAATGATGCAGGACACTGTGCTTATTGGATTTGTTACTGTCAAAACCGAACCGTAATTTATGTAAAGGCGAAACATATTCAATCGTAACGAAGGAAACACAACGATGAGTGTTCCGACAATCTGAAACTGAAAATAACCACGCATTGACACGAGCGTAAATCAGGAACGTCCATGGTGATTAAGAGAGCTTCGTCCATGGTGATTAAGAGAGCTTCTTTCCCCTATTTTTTTTATCAGCGTAGTTATTTCAAGCATGTGCACACTGATGGAAACCAAAAGGCTGAGTGACTTTCCTGTGACGTGCAGAAAAGTTTTTTTCTGTTTACAGTTCATAGAGGCAGTCAAACCATTTTTCCGCCATTCCTCTCTTCTCTTTAGCCTAAAGTGCGCAGCAATGGGGCTGCGTTGATGACTGATGACAACAATTTTGACAGTAGTTTTTTTTGTTACTAAAGTTGCAGAACATTTCCTAACCCTTTGTTTCTTATCTCTCCACAGTAGGTTCACTGGTGACGAAGAACGGCGATTCCAGGCTCAAGAAGACAAGTTGCGGAAGACTCAAGAAAGAAGGCTCAAGGCTCAAGGCTCAAGGCTCAAGAAAGAAGAACGAAGGCTCAAGGCTCAAGCAAGAAGAAAGAAGAACGAAGGCTCAAGGCTCAAGGCTCAAGGCTCAAGGCTCAAGGCTCAAGGCTCAAGATTCAAGGTTCAAGAAAGAAGACGTCAAGACCTTTTCCGACCGTCAAGATCCCCCAGTGCACTTGGTGTTTTTGAGTTGGACTTCCTGAACTCTCTTTCTTCCTGAGAATTGGCTGTTGACTTCCTGAGCTTTTTGCTTCCTGAGGGCTTCGGCCTTTCATGGCCACCCTGCCTTTTTGTTTTGGTAAGTTATCTTTTCCTTTAATCTCTTTATTTTCTTTCTTGTTCTGTCATCACTTGTCATCAACGTTCTCGCCCCCCTGCTTCGTTTCCTTAATGTCCGTACCACTGCGTGGTTCCAGACTTTTTCTCTTTTTGGCCGCTGTCTGCTCCTTTCATTTCCATGGTGTCTCTATACCGCTGCTTGGTCCGAGTCTTTTCCTCCTTGGACCACTGCTGAATAACTGGGTCTAAACCGATGTTTATAATGTTCCTATGTATTTGTACATTCCGTAGCATCTACAAATAAATTACTCTATGATAAAAACCTTTTCTGAAGACAGACATAAATAAGTAACCTTTCAAATATCTAGTAGCTGAAAAAATATGCGCTGTATTGGCCAGTGCGCCGAACTTTCAGCTACGATGTCATCCTTGTCACCAGCATTGTCGCCCATAGCCTTCTCATACTTGCCAGGGTCAGAGGGTCGGTCATTGCGATCACTCTTACCGTATGCACTACCTTTTTGCACTTCAACTTCGATTCCTTTGTCAAGTTTCGTCGCCCAGTTCCAAAACACCCAGCTTGACGCCTTGGCATCTTGATACGATCAAAGAACTTAACACGTTGCTTTTCTTGTTCAAGGATCTGCATTGATAAATCGCAGGCACCGAGCCCGCGACAGTACTTGAAAAATGGAAAGTCTTTTTTTTCCTTGCAATCGTGTTGTTCAAAAAGCTCCGGTTGACTTGCAAGTTCCTTGACAGATTGAAAGTTGTTTGCTCTCAAGTATCCCTGATAGTAGGCGGGTGTGGCAGCTGTATGATTAGGCGGAAAGAGATGCTAAACTGTATGTTCTAAGCAAAGGTTAATTGCTGCCCCTTTGCGGAGGCACCGCTACTCCCGAACTGCGTCCAACTCTTCATTTGAGTCGTGTTTTGCAGACAGTGTTTTGCTTTCTTGATGCTCTCCGTAAGTTCTTCACCATCATAGAGGCACGGTGCTCCCGCTTACACGGTCTTCATCTGCATCCACAGATTCTCAATCGGGTTCAGATCCGGCGATTGAGCCGGTCACACTATCTTCTCCAACTTCTTTTCTTGTCTCTCTCTTTTTTTTTTTGGTGCGTTACATCGGTGCACCGGCGCCCCGTACTTCATCAACATCGAAATCGATGAATTCCTCCATGAACTGCAGTAACGACCCGGCATACACTTGATCAATGAAACTAGTCGCGGTGCGTCGAATCTTATCCATGATGACCAACTGAGACTTCATTGGTAGTCGTGATATCCTCATCTGCGCTGTTTGGTCCAGTTCAAAGGTGTATTCGTCGGTCCAGATCACATCTTTCCATTGTTCCATCGTCCATGAAAGTTCTCTAGGCCATACACTTATGCTTCATTCAGGGGACTCTGCCGTAGATCTCTTCTTCATCGCATCCGCTGTTGGTTGTAACTTCACGCAAGGTGTCGCGGGGGTTTTGACTTTTTATACCGCAGTATGGCACGCTTGCCCCTTTCGTTTAATTTTGCCGGCCGTCCCATACGTTTTGGTTCTGTTGGCACATAGTCTGGATTTTTGGGTTTGATAAGTTTGCAGATTCCGGATTTGGATCTATCACCTTTGATCGCGATTTCAAGCACCGGCATTCCTGCATCGTGCAACCCTTTAGTATAGGCAACATGAAAGATTCTTCGTGGTTTGAAAAAAAAAAATCAAATGAGGGAAACTCGTAAACAACAAATAAAGATTGGACAGGTTTTATTTTAAGCGGAGAAAGCGAAATTCTGAACAGACTTTGCGTAGGGGACTGCGCCTTGAAGAATAGCGACACTGACACAACATTGGTGCACCAATTCTTGCGTGCGCCAGTGTTATACAGCTGTACTTGTACTCAATCTATAGAGAACGATACCAAATTCGCAAACATTTAAAAACCATGGTGGTCGGAGTCCCTTTTCTTTGCAGTGAAATAAACCCAGAAACAAAGGGTCAAAGAAGAAGATTGGTGTTCATGATCCCCGACAAAGAGCTATTCTGCATTCTCATTCGCCGACATTCCCCCGATCGCACTCTGAAGTTGAAATTCTGGAAATTTGGCATCACTTCATAAAGTAAGCCCAGTTTTTCTTTTTCACATGATAGGTGCAGAGCTCCGAATATTTCCTTGAATCGAAAATTCCATCCCCCCAGCAAACATCATGTTGTTCTTTTTTAACCTCTACTTTATTTTGTGTTAATCTTGGTTTTCTATTAATTACCACCGCTGTTTTACATGTAATGGCCGTTTCGTCTTCTAAAGCATTCCCGCGTTCACAACCATGGCAACGATCGGAACGGGTGATTGATGTGCTGTTACCAAAGTACTATGAATATGATATGCTCGATGACCCTGGCCATGGCAACTTTAGTTTTCGTTCGACGACCACAAATCCGCAGAGCCAGACAATGACGATGGATGACGAACTGTGTATGGGCGATGATTGCGATGCGTTGTATACCGAAACGTTGCTCAATTCGGATTTTATGGATTGGCTTTACAACGAACATTCTCCTTCTACCAGCTCAACGTCACTGGAACGATTACGGATGCTTGTCGCACACGTGAGCCAGGCCATATTGCCACCCTTGACAAAGATCCAAGAACCACCACTGATATCACAAAATACCACACCATCGTTTCGATCCTCCACCTCCACTACCACATCCTCCTCCTCCTCCTCCTCCTCATCCTCCATCTCACCTGCATCGATCTCCTCACCACCGAATACCACGACTACCGTTCATTTACCTGGATCCCGTAGCAATAAAGGCAAACGTAAAGCGTGATACGACTCATCCGTGGATCAAAATTTTGTCTATCATGGTCTATCCTGGCAGGCGAGATCACTTTTTGCCTTGCGGAACTTTAATTGATTAGTCATGCAAATCTCAACCTTATTAAAATGTTTGGGAGTTATGCGCGCTAATTTTCAGTCACAAGGCAGTCACATTGGGTTTTTGCTACATGTCGGTTTTGATTGGGTAATTACTGAAAAACAAATATTTATGATTGGTTGAAAACGAAATGAATCACATGATTTACTGCGGTGGTTGAGTTGGACCTTTCCCTTTTTTGAATGATTAGACCGTGATACATCAATTCGATTTAGCAATTGAGCAAAACGCATTACACGGCTAGATTGATCTATTCCGTAACCCTTTTATTTTGCTCATCAATAAAAAAACACCCTATGTCATTCTCAAACGTTTTTTGCGCTTCTTGCAGTCGTCCAGGACATGCTCGCTCGACCTCGAGAAACTGTCCCAACAATCCCAGACGCGCCCAACAACCCAGTGTTGCTACGGCCCAAGGATCGGTAGAAGTTCGTTGCTCTACGTGCCAGCAAGTGGGACATCAGCGAAATAGCCATTCAGCTTGCCCATTGAATCCGAGGAGACTGGCTATGAGGGAAGCAAATGACAATGATACTGTGGAACGCATTCGTAGATTACCTGTATCCGCTGATGATACCGAGCTCCCCTGCAGACATACCTTGGGACGCATGAATGTTGTCTGCAATTTCTGTCAGGCATACATGTGGGCCAAAGAAAGCTCATCCGAATCGAACTCCAATCCGCAGTTCCAACTCTGCTGTGGCCAAGGTTCCGCTGTGCTTCCACCTTTGGAGCCTACACCTCCAACCATCGCCCGTCTCCTTCGTAGCGACAATGAAGAAGGGCGAGATTTCCGTGAGCAGATCCGCGCCTATAATATGAATTTGAGCTTTACTTCGGTAGGCGCCCAAATAGATGAATCCGTGGCCAACAATCGCAAGGGAGCCTACTGCTACCGTATCCAAGGTGGCATTTACCACCAGATCGGTGGTCTACTACCACCAACCGAGAGTCATACCCCTGCGTTTGCCCAAATGTACATTTATGATTCCAACACACAACTTAGACACCGGCATGCTGTGGCACCCTATCTGCAGAATGCCACCCTTCTCATTCTACAAGATCTGCTTACCGAAGTCAACCCGTTCGTGCCGTTGCTGCAGTCGATGGCCCAGGTCTTGCGTGAATCTGAGGAAGCCGTAGATGTGAGGCTACTCATAAGTGCGGAAAACACGCCTGATGTTCGTCGTTACAATGCACCCACAGCTAGCGAAGTTGGAGTGATCCTGGTAGACAGTACGATCACACCAAACAGTAGCCGCGATATTGTGCTCCGATCGAGAAGCTATGGGCTTCAACGCATCAGTGAAATGCACCAGTACTACGACGCGCTCCACTATGTCCTCATGTTCCCGCATGGTGATCTCGGGTGGAACATCCACTCACGCTCGCCAAGCGGTCGAAGCATTACCGTCATGCAATGGTATAGCTACCGTCTGATGATGCGCGATAACAGCCACGATTTGCACCTGTACGGCCGATTGTTCCAGCAATATATAGTGGATATGTATGCAAAAATGGAACAGAACCGACTCACGTATTTGCGGCTAAACCAGGCAAACCTGCGCACGGAACTGTACCGAGGTATCGTAGATGCGGTAGAACTCGGCGACAATGACCTCCAAAACGTCGGGCAAAGGGTCATTCTCCCATCCACCTTTATTGGCAGCCCGAGACACATGCGCCAACTTTACCATGATGCGATGAATATCGTACGTCGATGCGGGCAGCCGGATCTCTTTATTACTTTCACTTGCAATCCTCAGTGGTTGGAAATTCAGGACGAGTTGGCTCCACTCCAGACAGCTGTTGATCGGCCCGACCTTTGCGCTTGAGTTTTTAACATGAAGCGTAAAGCTCTCATGGAAGATTTGACCAAGAAGCATGTTTTGGGTAGGGTAGTTGCCCATGTCCATACTGTGGAATTTCAAAAACGAGGATTACCGCACCTCCATCTGCTTTTGGTGTTACATCCGGACGACAAGCCACGAACGCTCGATGATTACGATAATATCGTGTCAGCTGAATTGCCGGACAGAGAGAGATATCCAGATCTCTATGATACCATTAGCAAGTGTATGATGCACGGTCCGTGTGGAATAATGCATCCCAGGGCTCCATGCATGGAAAACGGCTCCTGTAAGAAGCGTTATCCGCGTTCCTTCAACGAAGCAACTATCGAAAATCACAGGGGTTACCCTTTATACCGTCGCCGCGACAATGGTGATTTCGTGGTCAAGAACCATGTCGAACTGGATAATAGATGGGTTGTTCCCCACAATCCATACCTCTGTGCAAGGTATAACGCTCACATCAACGTCGAGATCTGCACTTCTCTGGAAAGCGTCAAATACCTGTACAAGTATGTATACAAGGGTCACGATCGTGCATCAGCAGCAATGCATCGTGTTGACAACGACCGAAATGCTCAAGAGCAAGTGGACGAAATCACACGTTTTATCGATGCACGTTATGTTTCAGCTGCCGAGGCCGTCCATAGATTACTTTCATTTTCGATGCACCGTGAATACCCAAGCACGCAACGCCTAGCCGTTCATCTTGAAAACGAGCAGGCTGTGCAGTTTCGAGAGGATGAAACCTCTCAAGTCGTTGCCGATCGTCAGCGCGAAACAACGTTGACTGCGTGGTTTGCACGAAATCGAATGGATCCTCAGGCACGACTTCTCCTGTATCCCGACTTTCCCGCTCAGTACGTTTACCATTCGAGATCCCGTAGATGGGAACCCCGACAGCGTGGATTTGGTGGTACGATCGGGCGCGTGTATGCGGTTTCACCTCGCCAAGTAGAGAAATATTATCTTCGGATGTTGCTCTATAGTGTCCCCGGAGCTCAAAGCTTCGAACACCTCCGAACAGTGAATGGTGTCATTATGGCAACTTATCAAGCAGCTGCACGACGGTTAGGACTTCTCGAAGGGAATGAAGAGTGGTACAACTGTCTTCAGGAAGCGGCCACCTACCAGATGCCGTACGCTCTTCGGTTTTTGTTTGCTGTCGTTGTCAGTGAATGTCAGGCACCCAATCCTTTTGAGCTATGGATGCAGTTCCATCAGCAGTTGGCAGAGGACTACATTCATTTCTGGAGAACCCAAAATCCGGGCGACGTCGATCAAGTGGCGGCACCGCAAACCGTGTACGATCGCGCGTTGCTTGACATTGAAGATCATCTCAACCGTCAGTCAAGTTCTTTGCTCAATTATGATGGTTTTGTTCTCTCTGCTCGCCAAGAAATTGACAGAATGGGACGCCGTTTTCAGCTTCGACTCATAAGAGAGCAATACGATCTTATCGCAGATGCCGCCAACGCACCTGGAAGTCATGAACGCTTGAACGAAAACCAACGTGCCGTATACGATGCAATCATCCACAGTGTTTCGCATGGAAGCAATGCATCAGCCCGATTGTTCTTCGTTGACGGTCCTGGTGGCACAGGCAAGACCTTCCTCTTCGACAGTATCCTTATTGCAGTACGTCAACAAGGCAGAATAGCTCTTGCTGTGGCTTCAAGTGGCACTGCTGCATTATTGTTGCGTGGTGGACGAACGGCTCACTCACAGTTCGGCATTCCGTTGAAAGTAGACCAGCATTCAATGTGCCATATCCCACGACGATCCGAAAAAGCAGAGTTGATGTATCAGGCAGAGTTGATTGTCTGGGATGAAGCTACAATGATGAGCCGACACGTTTTCGAAGCCGTTAGCCGTACATTGCAAGACTTGATGGCAACCAGAGATCCCGCTCTGCAGCATGTTCCATTCGGAGGAAAGACTGTCGTTTTTGGTGGCGATTTTCGTCAGGTTCTTCCGGTCATTCCGAGCGCAACGCGTCCACAAACTGTCGAGCAGTGCTTGAACAAAGCTTCTTTTTGGTCTTCGGTCGAAATCCTACGCTTAAACACCAACATGCGCGTTCAACAGGCACGCTTGGTCAATAACGAGGATGCAGAGATTCTAGAGAACTTTGCCACATACCTTCTGCGCATTGGCAACGGACTGGAACCGAACCATGGAAACAAGGGCATCCGAATCCCAACACAAATGTTATTGCCATCCTCCGATTCGAGCGACCTCATCAGTGCAGTATACGGCGCCAGCCTTCGAAACGTTCCGGCAGCCGAATTCTTAATTGAACGAGCTATCTTGACACCAAAAAATTCAGACGCAGCTTTTCTGAACGAAAAAGTTATCGAGAGATTTCCAGGTGAAGTGCGTATCTATCGAAGTGCCGACAGCATGGACTCTGAAGAGCAATTATTTCACCAAGTGGAAATTCTGAACTCCATGAGTCCGGCGAGCCTACCACCCCAAGAGTCACTTTGACCAACGAATCGGACGAAAATGGAATTCATTTCAAGCGACGCCAATTTCCCATCCGCGTCGCGTTTGCAATGACAATAAACAAGGCACAAGGACAAACGTTCGATGCTATCGGACTATTCCTACCGGTTCCGGTGTTTGCCCATGGGCAGCTATATATTGCTATGTCACGCGTACGTAGACCATCAGCGATAAAAATCTTGATCGTTCGGGATGCAAACGATCGATCTACAGAAGTATGCACCAAGAACATTGTCTACCGCGAAGTGTTTGACAGCCAACAGCTGGATCGTTAAGTCCTTGAATCACGCACTGCGTTATGGTCCTATTTTGTATCCTCATTTATGTATTTTATGTTCCTTTATGCCTTTTATTTTGTGTTTTTCATTATTTCAGTACGTTTGATTGTATGCTTTTTTTGTCTCATGTTCCTTTACTTTTATACTTATGTCTGTTTTTTCTTCAAATTATCCTTTATCCCTATGTTGTGTTTCTATGTATGCTTTTTGTCCTTATGTTCCTTTTGATTTTATCCTTATGCTATGTTTTTCCCAAGTAATGATTTTTCTGTTATCTATTTTTGTCTCTTCCATTTAATATTATATGATGTCTGACTATTTCCGTTCCTGACTTTGCATACATATTGTTGTTCCTCTGTCGTGGATGAAGAACATGATCGTTATGTGGCGGTAGGTCAGGGAGGGCAAGCCCCCCGGGAAAAAGGAAAAGAGACTGAGCTTCATTGAATGTGCAAAGATTTATGAGTACATCAACTAAATCTCACCGAAAAATCAACCCGAATGGAGGCTTATTGACAAAAGATTAGAGTTAAGAGAACACCATCAAGCGGGACCTTTGGATACACAAATTCGAGTGCGGAGTTTTGAGCATTGCAAATGGAATATCCCATTCCAAACACATCTTTAATCAGCTACTATTCCCACTTCCCTAAGAGCAACATCCCTACTACACATCCAAAGAACCAAACTTTGTGATCTTCAAGATCACACGCGCAGCGATTTTGTAAATCACATGATCTACACTAAGTTATCAAGACCTGTTAAACCTTTTTTTCATCTTTCAACCATGCCTCGCTGCCCACTTTCACGATAATAGGCGAAACAATTAGCAGCAAGGTGCCGTTTGCGCCAGTTGTGGTCAAACAGAGCATCGTCGTCTTTCAAATAAAAATGTGAGTGGAGCTCTTTTTGAAGAAAGGTGGTTAATGATACGACTGGCGTCTTTGTAGCATCATTTAATTTGGGTTTTCTGTCAGTTATACGGTCATTTATACCTTTCATTCTCTTTCAATTTTCAATGAATCGAATAATACATAAGCAGACGTGCTTCGATCTGTAAACTCATGCATCAGTAGGGTGACTATTGTTTCATCCATAGGAAATCATTATAGTTTTGTCTTCAATTTTATCTCTCTTCCTGTTTGCTTGATAAACCCTCACTATCATTGTATCAAGATCCCATCCGCATTCATCATCCAGACCATTCTTATCCCAGTGTATCAAACTTGGTTAAATCGACTACCATCCTCAAAAAGGTAAGCGTCGAGTGGTCTACCATCGATTTTGCTCCGGCAAAACAGACTTGCCTCTTTTTTTTTTTCATCCTTCTTCCGGCTTCCGGTTTTTTCCGTCTTCTTTTCGCCTAACAAGTTCGGTATGCTACAACTTGACTTTCTCTCGCCATCCATCCATCTGGCGAAACCGGATAACGTCAAAGGCCATCGTCGGCGGTGTGACTTCTTGTTCATCGGAAAAAACGCTTACGTGTCCTCTCATGTTCCTCTCCTTTGGATTGCTTCTCATGATATGGTATTCAAGATGTCTCCCCGATTATTGTATCTTGTAGTTCATAGTTTGTATTTTGTATTTTATATTTTATATTTTATATTCATGTACATATTCTTTTCGCAGTCTTTTCCTCTTTTTTCCCACAGGTTTTTTTAGGAGGTTTTTACTGACGCGACCATTGTTTTTTTTTTATCATCATGTACTTTATTTGTTTTTCTTTCTTTTCATTCGGGGGACTCTCGATATCTAGAATCCAACTCGAAATTACCGTCACTTCTGGCCACGTCAATATTTTTTGCTTGCTCAAGCTGACACCACCAATCCATCGCTTAATTGTCCCTGGAAGCAATTTTATTTTCCGCATCGAAGAAGAAGCTTACCTGGCGGTCCGTATTCATCGTTTTTTTTTTCCGGTACACCATTTGCTTCAAAGGCAAGTCCAATTTCTTTTCATTTGCTATGATGTAATAAACATATACTAATTCAAAATTTTTTCAATGTCATATAATCCAAGTCATGTCAAGCGATCAATGGCTATCGAAAACTCAAATAACAAAGGTAAAATATCTTGACGAAAATTTGAATCAATCAAAGAGCTTACTAACTCATTTTTTTAAATACCCAACATACCCACACATCTTTCTAGATCTATCATAGCCTGGGCGGGATGGAACTGAGGGGGGGAACCAGTGCTGCCCTGCGCGTGTTCAGAAACAAATCACGTTGCAACGTATGCCATAGGGTTGTCATTAATATACCGAAGTTCCGTCAAGAGTTCTCGCCCAGGTTATGCCGTGTATGCGTTAGGCTTTTTGTCTGACGAAAGTCGCTCAATGTAAGAGGGCGACCTCCGGTGGCAGGCGGCATCCATTGCACAGCGGGTGTACGGCTTGTTTAAATAAAACTGACACATTGGCGACTTCCAACACCGCCGTCTCCTTGGGCGGACCTTTGCTGAAATTCGCGTTACCATCTGTCCAGTGACTGAACATGAGGCGACCTATGGTGTTGGGGACATTGGTATTCATGCGCCGAATTTCTTGTCCATCAATGTAGAACACTGCAAGGTTAGGCAACCAGTCAATACGATATTCATGGAAATCGGATGTCGGATCATATCCAAGGATATGATTGTGATGGGTCAAGCTGGAGGCTCTACCGTGTTCGGTGAGGCCCGGATGGATGGCAAAATAGGCTTGAGGCGGTTTTACGGCGCTTAACATTTCAATGTCGATCTCCCCTTTGGTATTATAAATATACATGGCAGCGACCGTGCCATTTACATGAGGTATCCGCATATAACTCCGGAAAGAGCCATACATGTAGTCGAGTCTTGAGAAGAACGCATCATCACGTGTCAGCAGATCAAAAACTCACATCAGAATGATTCAAATATTAGAAATCTAGAGCCTACCTCTTCGTGCCGATGCCACCACATCGGGTGCCATCGGTGATATTCTGATCGGGAACGGTCACTGCGATTTGAAGACCGTGGTTCAAAGCGACATTTTGTCGGCTGAAATGACGGGCAAATGTGCCTTTGTACTTCGCCTTGATGTCATAATTAGCAAGAAAAAAATCTTTGTAATTCAGTTTATCATGCTGTTGAAAGTCGTAATGCCAAATATCTGTCCATGTGTTTTGCTGATCATCGAGATATCCACAGTCACAGTGTTCATTGAGGGTAACGGCACGGATAAGAGAAAGAAATAAGAATAAAGCAAAAAGGATCCACATGGCTGAAATTCACTAAAAAATGTTAAAAAAGACGATCACTGCCAGCCATCCACCATCAGAGGAGGGTAGCTTTTTGACCCTAATTAAAACATGGATGACAAGCTTAGCAGGAAGCAAACAATGAATATTCCCGATACTCGATCTTTGACCGGTCCCTTGGTCTATCGGACACTTATTTGATTTCCCGATCAAGTTTTTTTGTTTGGAAAAATGTTATCAGACTATCCAAAAAATCTATGATGAAGCACTATCAAACTAGACTAAGGAACAAGAGAGATAAGCAGCGCACAGACCCTTTTATCGGTAATCATGTTATCTTTAGGCTCTTTTCTTGGGTTCTTTTTCGATTCGGATACCAATCTTTATGCATATGAAGAAATAAACAAAATAATAACAAAAAGAAAGAAAAAAAAAGGGTAGAGAAAAGAGAACGAAATTTACACTATGTGACTGAAAGTGTCAATCCGTAATATTTGTATATAAAATAAGCTGGCATCTGTTTGGATCCTTTTTTCTTCTTCTTCTCCTCTTCTCCCTTTGTGTTTTCTTCATTCAATAAAATCCATTGCTTCTTTCTTTTTTTTTTCTCTTTAATCCGTCAATCCTTGTTGTTTGCTCTGTCCGTAACCATTGTCGGCTTATGGTTTCGACTAGTCCCCAGTCACGATACGGCACTCCCAGAGGGTTACCATCACTGTGCCACGTTGACAGACCTGATTATTTTTCAATCCAGCCGAAAAGCGGATCGTTGTACAATCATCAAAGTGCCTGGTGGGCTTCGGCTTTGGACGACCTTCACAAGGGAACGGAAACCTCGGTGTTCTTTAGCCCTCTCACGCCTACACCATTCGATCCGCCTCAAGATGTGACTTGTGCCACAGTTCCGATTGTGACACCATTCCCTATCACACCACCCTCACCTTACACCACCCCCTTTCAACCAGCTCAAACCACCCTTCCGCGTGTGCCACGCAAAAATAATCGTAAAAACAAAAAAGACAAAAAAGGTAACCCAGCGAACATCTCATTGGATTCTAGAATAACTAAATCTTATCGTCTCCTTTCATGTGTGCTCATGTCAGTTCACGATCAGAAACCAGACGTCTCCCCTAACACCTCCATTGCCATTGATTATCCCATTACGCCCATTCACGAATCCGCTGCTCAACATCAGGATCTCACCAAAGTTCAATCCGCCGAACAGAAAAGACAGCGATTGTACAAAACGGAGCTTTGCCGTAACTGGGAGAAACAGAACCAATGTCAATACGGTGACCGCTGTCAGTACGCCCATGGAGTATGCGATCTCCGTCAAGTCGAACGTCACCCAAAATACAAAACGCAGACCTGCAGAACCTTTGAACAGACAGGCGCGTGTCCCTACGGTATTCGATGCACGTTCCGCCACGAACTCTCTTCTCCATTGACATCAGTTGCCCTCGATAACCTATCTGCTCATCCACAAACCTCACTGCCACCACGGAGACAATGGGTTTTCGACTCTAATACGGTCGACATTACTTTGACCTCGGAAGCGGAAAGTCTTCTGCCTCAAAAGTTATTAACTGATTTGGCCAATCCACCGATCAGTCCTTCAGCCGATCTGTGGTATCCCATGAATGCCGATCTTCGCTGTATACCTTTTTTCTAAACAAATCAAAATATCCTCACCCAAAAAGTAAGCACAAACCCATCCCAACATTGGTTTGAGTTGAAACAAAAAAAAAGGTATCCCGATAGCTTTTCTTTATTCTTTTTCCCTTTTTTTTCATGCTAGCTGCACTTTATTTAGTATATGATCGACTGTAAATAACTCTATATATCCTTTGACGGCGCACTTATCTTTCCTTATTCTCTATTGTAACCAAAACAAATAAACGAGCTCACTACGATTGGCACATGCACTCATGTATAAAATACAGAAAAAAAGAAAAATTAAAAAAGGGCAATGATCAAGATTATCGATCCGCAAACATCTGAAAATGGAGTGTAACCTGGCCTGTGCGGTGCACATGCGATTGCCAACACCCCTTTTGTCACCTATAACACCAATCAGGCAGGTACTTGATCTTAATGTTCATGTCTCAAACGGATGATCATGTTGGCGTTTTTCCCCCTTTACAAGACGCTTTATTCACAGAACATGCAGATGGAATAAGCGGAAACAATGGCCGGAATAATCGGGGCCTGGAATTTTTTAAAGGCACTGGCCCGTTCATGCAGCTTTCGCGCGGTTCTCTGCACCGGCCCGATAAGATGTCTCTGGGCTCAGAAAGAAGTTCATGTATCATTAGTCCGTTCATATGGTTCTATAAGCGGGAAACTATTCAGGCAAAGAAAAAGTCAGTAGTTGTTTAAGGACAAACCAAGTCGCCATGTCCAGATAAGAGATAAAAAAGCGCTCCTTGAATACGGTAAGCAATACCAGAAAGAGAAAAAAATGAGGGTGTCCTTTAAAAACAAACCGTTTCTCATGCACGAAAAACTCGTAAGTTTTAGAAAGACATCCATGCGGCGAACAAAAACCGGCTTTCGTTTCAAGATAATTCATTTCCGCGGAGGCAGTGGCTGAATCTGTTCACCTCGCTCTCTTATTTTGCACATTAAAAAAAAAGGCAATCATATTGGAGATTGGCTGATGATCAAAAATACATCCTATTGCCAAGCGAATCCAATAATAAGAATTTTAGATCTGCGTCCTTTGAATACTGTAGTGACTTTCGATTCTCTCCTAAGCAAGCACGCCATCTGGGCCTTGCCCCAGAGACGACTAGGTAAACAGTCCGAACAATGGAGCAGAAATGAGGAAGGCAGCGGAATAGAAACGGTATACTGTATTGTATATTCCTTGAGACTTGCTATAGTGTCTATTTCTTTACATTGAGTGTCCCCTGAGGCAAGTAGCAGACAAAATAAGGAAAAAAAGTCGAGCCGAAATCCAGAGTCAACCTTTATTAGCCGTGGGAAATTATACCTTCATGGCCATAAAATCCTGATCCAGCTCGTCTTCCTCTTTTGGAGACGGCGAGGCATGGATATTGTGTGGGGTCCCTGTCCGGGCTTATTTAAATATAGAGAGAGTCGCTTAATTATCTCAACAACGAAATGCGGAGCTTCTTTCCTCTTTTACTTACGTTGTCGCCGTCGTTCCCATCGTACCGCCGAAGAGTTGCTTCGATCTAGAGGCGGACGCCGACGCAAGGTTCGCTTGGTTTCAAGCCTCGCATACGCGTCGTTAAATAACTCTTGAATATCAATGGGGGCATCGTCCTTGTCTTCTCGAATACTCCTTCGTTGATCTTCAATGGCCATCAATATCACATCATGCAGGTTATGTCGCTCGTTCTGAGATGGGTATGGGTTCACGCTCAATAGGTTTGATCGTGGCAGCATTAATACATTTACTTTTCAACGCATACCTCGTATTCTTCATTAACGGTCTCCATGTCCTGATCGTACTGTTGACGGGAAAACGCAAGTTGGTATGTCATTAAGCATTCAGCGTCTTTGATCGTCTTATCGCGTTTAATTTCAAGATCCGCCACCGCATCTTTGAAAGCCGGATGCGTGCCTACAGTAACGACGTCGGCCATTTCAGACGCAGCCAATTCTTTTTTTAGTCCTTTCGAGGCACGGTGCTGGTAGGACCAACAAAGTCTTTACCAAGTTGAATACTCTGAAGTTCTTCCTGAAGTGAGGCCAGTTTTTCGCGGTAAACCCTATAGGCAGAATCGTACTTTAATATTTGCATGTTTTTATGCAGATCACTTCCGATCGTATTCATTGGCACTTACTCTTTGCTTTGTTCCCAAAACTCATTATCCATCCATGTTAGTAGATTGTTGTACTCTCGCAGGCCCTTTAATAGCTTCATTTCATGCTGATTTTCGTCTACACCCATTGGCAATGAACGAGGTTGATCAATCCATACGCGGATCCTGGGGCATACCTTGATTCCAAGGGTAGGAGTAAGGATCTTCCTGATCGCGATATTTCGTTGGAGAAGGGGTGGTGTACAAGGGCGAGGTTTGCCATACTGAACTGCGAGGCGACGTGTGAATCGAATGCCATGCCGACGACGGTTGTGTTGACGGTTGAGGTGGTAACGGCTGAAGCGGACGACCATGGTCTGTGCCACCATGAACATAATAGGATTTGTTAAAATAGTCTTCATGCATTGGATGCATATGTGGAGCTGGAAGTGGTAACAGTGGTTGAGGTGAGGAAGGGTGTCGCGTATAGTAAGGTTGAGCTTTGGCGACATCGTCTTGTGAATGGTAGGACGATGCCAATGACTTGGTGGATGGAGCAAGCCGCGAATCAGCACCTGCTTGCGCAACAATATAACCAAACTCGGGCAGCATCCTTGATAAAAAAAAAGGCACAGGTAGAGAGAATTATCACTAAATAGTAAAGAAATAATAAGAGACCAAAAAAACAGGTGGAGAAAGAAGAAAAAAAAAACCAGGTCTGACACGTTACATAAAAAAACACCCTCTTTTTGCCGCCGTTACAAACACCGATGAGAATTAAGAGGGGCAAATCCTGACAATGCAGTAACGGCCCGCGAGCTCTTTACGAAAAAGGAGAACCAAGGAAGATGAACACAAGAAATACCCCTCAAGGAAAATTACCCACACTGGCTTCTTCTCCCATACACTTTCAAAAAGACTTTTTTCTATCAGTTTGTCCATAAACTGATTCACTTCCTCAAAAGCACATGAACAATTCAAATGATAACGTGACCTCACTGCCAATCCGTGATATCTTCCATATTCAAAAACGGTATTGTTTACTGGAGCAATTTATTGCATGAATAATGACAATTCGTAATATCAATGACAACAAAATTTACGAAATCTCTTTTGAAATTATGGTATTCCCCAAGGTTCGACCAGTTTGGTTTGAAAATTTAAACAAGCGGATTCGCATGATCGTTTCGGAATCAAATCAGGAAAATGAGAATTGCAGATTCTTATTACGCATGACATGCACATTTGTCCTTTACTTCAGTATAAATGGTTTCAGGCAATGCCATCGAAACATATCAGCAGCTGGTTTCATTTTTGTCGATGGAAGCCATCTTCTTCGTTCATGGAAAAAGCGCATCGGCCCAAGGCGGCATCACATACGGAGAATTGATACATTTATTCAACGCATTGTTGTCAGTTGAGGGTTTATTCAGGTACAACTGCTATGTGGTAGAGATAGTAACTGCTGCAAGACCTGTCAACAGAGACTGTGAATATTGACTAACAAGTAGGCCAGGCAAGAAAAGTGAGCTAAGCAGAGCGGACGTCGATATATGACTTTGTAATCCAGCCCGCGGTCGATCGCCCGATCTTTTTGTTTCAGATCGATAATATAACCAAGGACCGAAAAATGAAAAATGAAAAAATCGAACAACAGATTCTATTTCCTTTATTCTTTCCTACTATTTGTAAGCCGAATCATAGAATCACATACACAGTCATTAGAAGGATCAACCGCGTCGCTTTCAAGACGAATGCAAGAATAACTGATTCTGCACGGTTGTAGCAAGTCACCAAGATTCCTTATCCCGGCCAATATGTTAGGGATACTCTTAAGAAGGAATTTTTGTGTCAACGTTCGACGACTTACAGGTTATTTTCTTTTGGATAATGGAGAAGGTCTTGACTGAAAAACTTATTGGACTCGTAGCACAATTTTTTTTCTTTTTCAACAAGCGAAACTCAGGCACCACAACACATGCCTTTTACGGCCTTGAGCAAATTTTTGGGGGATTGCGCAGCCATGCATTGACAATAAAACGGGATTCTTCTATATTATCGGATGAAGAAATTATCTATTTTTACTGCGGCGATTGAGGCCTAGTGGATAACGTGGTTGTATCGCGATGAGAGAAAGAGGAATCGCGATGCTTAGGAGCCGGGTTGCGCCAGGAGTGGGCTGACAGAGCCGAGGATTTTACATAATCCGGCGTCGCCAAATAAACAAAGCTGCCGTGTCCTTCCGTGGGTGGTGAAGATCGGGTCAGGCCTTCAGTGGATTGACTATCGTGATCCATTAATGCGTGCTTGGCAAACTCCTCGTTGTCGCCGAAAAACTTGGCAATCTTTTCGTGTTCCTTTCGCGACTGGTATCGCTGCAGTATCCACAGTGCTCCCATGGTGAGGAGAACAAACAGCACAATCGATAATCCCACTACGCCCCACAACCAGGAAGGAATCATACGAAACACTTCAGGTCCATTAATACATATACCATCGGCGTGACACGTCTCGGACAAGCATTCGCGATCTTGGTTACAAAATTGCCCATTGGGTTTCGCCGTGATGCAAGTCGATGTACGTTGCTCATCGCAGTAAGCGCCTGTGGTACAGTTATCGCGGATAATCGTTTGATGGATAGCATAACCTTGTGCATCGTATGTGACGAAATTAGTGCTAGAATAAAAATTTGTTCCCTTGTGTGAGTTTTTTCTTTCGGGAAAAAAAAGCAGTTGGCAGTAACTCACGTATCAGCGCCACAGTGAGCACCCAAAGGAACGCCTTTGATGTGACAAGTTGAATTGAGACAGATCGAATTTTGTCCCGCACATTCATCATCTCGTTGCTAATAGACTAAGTTTAATAATAATATTCGCCGGACAATGGCTATGTACAAGCCTACCATTTCGCAATGTCCTCCTACGGGCAATAACGGTGTACATTGAGAATTACTGTCGGGGCAAAACGTGGTGGAGTTGCATCGTGACGGTAAATTATGTGTCTGTGTATCCCAACTATTCACGACACTCGTTACTAGGAGATTTCAGGAGAAAAAAAAAAGATAAACCAAGAAGACAAGAGTAGTACTCAATGTCTACTCGAGTTTTATTCTACCTACCCTAGAATAAAGTCTGCGTTGGAACATCCTTTGAGTTGGCAGGTACTGGTATTCGCATCGCAGTACAGATAGACATTATCACACGAATCTTCGTATTGCCAACTGGCCCTGGAAAAAAAAAGAACATCAAAGTTAGCATGAGCCGTATCCGTGTGGGTGGTGTAATCGAGCTTACGAGTAGTAGGGATTAGGATCGCACCGCTCACCCATCTGAAGAGCGATCGTAGTCGCTAAATTGACCACGATGCATACAAGGACAACTTGAAAATGCATGCAAAATTGTCGAAAAAGAAAGAACTGCACGAAATAAAATGAACAGAGAAGTGCATGGAGCGGAAAAGGGTGATGTTGTTTATAAATACTGCGAAATGAGGGGATATCTTTTTATAACTTTTTTCATCATTGTCCAGGATCCAACTCTCCCTTATCACTGGTGCCTTACTTCAAATGATGATCACTGGGCAAGCTTTTCCGTGGGTGACCAGGTTTGTCTCTGGATAGAATATAAACTCCGGAGTAATCCCGTTATCAGTTCAGCTCAAGAACCAGTGAACCATCCATTTCGCAAAGCCAAAAGACAAAAGAAAGAGGCAAAGGGTCAAATATCCCTGAGCCAAAGCCACAGCAACGAATGAAATTTCTTTGCAAGGTCGCATGGCGCTTTAACAGGATAAAAAAAAATTCCTTGCCATCGTCGGCCTTGATTTTAACAAGCTTTGCCTGTACTATCTCAAAAACGCCTCAATGTCGCCATGGCATGCAACATGGTTCCTCCATGAGCTTGAATGAGAATGTTGCCAGTTGAAAACAGTCTTCCAACATATCCACTATCGTTAACCTTCTACCCATCGCATCTTTTATGTTCATATGACATGTAAACTAAACGTCATGAGATATAAACAAACATGCCTTTTTACTCTATCGACAAACGATTAGCGCGAAAAAAAAGTAACCAGCGATTGACCAGAGGATATTTCCATCCTAGGACACATCACATCCTTATTTGTTCAAAAGTGCAAGTTTTATCTTTTTTTTTCCTACTCTCCATTAAAAAAGCGATCCACTAAAATGGCAGAAGCAAAGCAAAAATGCCGATTTTCTTTCATCATGATGATCAAAGTATATAATGTGCATCAATCATGCAATACCAATGATTGCTATTTTTTTGCATGGTTACCAGCCATGGTTATTGAGATGGGGTGCATTTTCAATTAGGGTAAGCACGGTGTCCTTGGTTTTGAGGGATCATGTGATGCCTTTTTTGGGTTCCACTTTGTTGTAGTAATGCAGCGCAAGGCTATACTTTTATTTTTGTTCTTGACGATGAGTTTCATCGACTATTCCCATTAGGCAATTCGATTGGATTTTTAGAACGGTCATGGAATGGAACCACTCACGTGTATTTTTTAGAGTTTCCAAATCGAAGAATAGAAAGAAAGTGCTGCATAAAGATTTCAGAAATGGGCTGATTCTTTAGGCTTGTTCAATGAGTTTCCGACACAAAGCAAAGAGGATAACGAGACTTCTCCAAGAAGCTCCACTGTTTCAAAAAGAATAAGTGTACAGAAAAAGGTGGGTTGAAAAAAAGTCTCCTTCGTTCATCAATTTTTTTTTTGTAATTTATTGATGATGATGATGGATTAGTGAGACCGAGGAGATGGAAATAGAGAGGAGTAGGAACTAGCGATTAAAAAGGAAAGAAAAGCGACCAAAGTGCACGAACTACCTTGTAGTTTGTGTCACCGTACTTGCCCAATGGTTTATCCCGAATTGGGAATCCAAACTTTATTCGCATAGCCTTTTTTACTGTATAAAATAGAAATTGACTTGAAATACCATTTCCCTCTCTTTTTTTTTAACACCACTTCTTTGCTTTCTTTTCTCCGAAGACAAGCAGACGAGCAAAACACAAACATATATCAAAAAACAACTTGACATATACACCGCATTCGATCCCTCTCACCTATCATTTTCACATCTGTTCATTTTTTTTCTTGATACACCAAAAAAAAAAAAAAAAAACTTCTCAATTCCCATAACATCCATCATGTCTGCATATCAATCCATGTCATGTAAGCTAATCATGGTAGCCAACGCAGCTCCCCACACGATGAGTCTTTTTTCTGTACAAATATTCATCCTCGGTATACAATAATAGCTCGACGTCTTGATCAATTTCAAACACAACATGAACTAGCTCGGAATTTCTATGACGATTTCGATTTCTGCCCAGTTCAGTGTACCGAAGATGTAAGCAAGCTTCCAATCGGTAGTGGAGAAAAAAGAGTGAACCCAAAAATAAAGAAAAAAGACGGGGTTTTTTTTCCCATGGATTACATTGAACCATTGAGAAACTGACACTGGGAAATATAATAGGCGATTGAACATCGTGAACGAATCCAGCAACGGATATCACCTCACTCATCACCGAGAACGTCACCAACGATGGGTGGTTATTCCGTCTCTCATAAACTTACACCGCCGTCCAAACGAGCCATTCCGATTATCAACCCCGCCAATATGGCACCAGTGTCGGTCCCACTGAACCAACCTTCCTCGGCCTCTTTTTGGCAGCACCGTTACCACCAGCAGGCTGGTTACCATGACGTTTTGGTCCAATAATATATCTTTTTCATCCTTACATTACCCACATAGCCCCCTTCATCCTCCTTAGTTCCTGCCTCTCCGTTATTCTGCACTATATTCAATGTTCCCCTTCCCACTTTTGGTCATCCTCTTTTTTTTTTCCAATTTCTTTTTTTTTTGTGTAAAGCAGCCCCCTTTTTCGAATTTTTTTTTTGAATCTACAAAATCTTGCGCTCTCGAAAAATGTAAAAATAGATGGAACTCAATCTAAGGCTCTTGTTGTTGTTGATTCCACTGTTATAAATTTTGTGTACAGGAATTGGGTCAAGACAAATCTGTCACCTGATGATGTGTGGTTGATGCCGGCGCCGGCACATCATCCGGAGAAATACCCAACTTGGATGTCACCTTGTGCCTAATAAGTCACATCAAACATCAACCGCATGGGTTATTTCCATTTATTTTTCTCTTTCGAGCTGTTGTTACCATGCCTTGTTGATCAGTACCAATCGATCAATGCCATCTGCAGAAATTGCAGAGTTTAGTCATTGCGCTTTCTCTCTACATATTGGCTGAGGAGAAATAATTGCGCGTACCCAATAAAAGCATTATAAAACATGATGCTGAACGCGAATTTGTTTGTACCATGCATATACGTGAAACAACATTCCAACTGTTCTCTCTGCTTGAACCATTTGACATTTTCCTTATTATTTCGATAACAAGAAAAAGTCAATCAATGAATTATCACCCAGATTGAGCATCACTCTAAAATGACCCAATTTTCGTACGCAGGTCGAAGAGCAACCCTTTTTTATATGTATGTCACATTAAGCGTCGACGTTAATCTCTGAGCGTAAAAAACCAAGGAACTAATCGCCCAATGGACCAGTTTGATAATCAAGGATTAAGGCCGCGAAGAATGCCAACAGATACTGCCTTGACTTGTAGTCGCTGGGTCCAAAAAAAAGGCAAGTTTGCTCAGTTCATTGTGCAGTGCGTCAGTATGGCTTGTAGAAAGTCTTTTTCCAGCGTTTATACGACATTAGCATTTACTTGGCGTTCATTGGCCACAGTAACCCCGTCTATGCTTCTTCTTGGGAAGTAATGGAAAATCATGCATCAGTAGCGCAATAAAGTATGGCAAGGTCGGCTGAAGTCAACCATTGACAGAACCTGCGGGAAAGCAGAGAGAGAGAAAAAAAAAAGGGGGGCGGGGTTTCTAAACTGATCGATCACCTGTGAATCACAGCGCAAAGATGACAGATCCTTGAACAAGGTGAATCTTGCAAAAGCGACAGTTGCGTTCTTCATACTCTCCCCCGCAGTCTTGGTAACGGGTCCCCGACGGGCGGGTCTAGTTCCATTTTTAGCAAGTTTCCGAGCGATGGCGGATTTTATACATTGGGAACAAGTATGCCTAGTGCCAAGATCACCTTCGTTTCTTGATCTTACTTAGGTTTCACAACATCGGTCATGTTATTTGCTCGTAGACGTTTATCCATTTTTCTGGTTTCTGGTGCCTAGCATTTTGCCACTGTGCCGGCAAATGAATCAAGAAAAAAAAGGAGTCAGATGATGTAGGACAGAACCTTCAAGTAACTTGAATGAAATCGGCTTTTCCTTTTTCTAGTGAAAATGGGTCCGGTGGAAGATCCTTTCGATCTGATGACCGTGGTTGCCAGGAATTACATTTGGCCGCTCAATATCACCAATGGAAAAAGCTTATAGCTGTATCTCATTTGCAGACTTTGTCATTTTTGAATTGCTTTTCGAGTGAGTCGGTTTCTTTAGACATGAATTGTAGGATACTACTTCAGTAATATTGGATTTAGCGCATGTGGTGGTAAAATGTTAAGTATAATGTTTTGGTTCATCTGATGCAGGTTTATTAACCCGATCCCAATCTGGTTTTTTTTTCTTCGGTTTCGCCACTAAACTCTAACAGTATTCATTGTCTTCTAGTCTAGCATGTGTGTAACTTTGCAATGTTCAGGCTCACACCCTTTTCTTACGTAGGTCGTAAAACAAATGTTCCCTACTATCACTATCCGTTCTATAATGCATAAATACAGTAATATAGCGTTGACCGCCAGATTCCACATGGTAGAACCATACACAGAATAACGTGGATCTGTGAGAGAATATTGAGAGATCCACCACCCTTTCACACACCTAAACTATGGATTCGGTCGATCGATCAAAACGATTTATTATAACACATTACGCTTATCTACCACTGTTACACAGCGTAACAAAGAAAATACAAGTGCTTTGAATAAAGACCTCTTTCCATGACTCGATGCTCCATGGCTTATACATACAGTATTCAGAAAAAAAAACATATACTTGCAAGCAAAGATTTCAAGTGCAAGAAAAAGCTGCTGACCATATTTCTGCTGTGGATGCCATTTATAACGATCTAACTGTATCTGTTGTTGTCAGCGACATTGGTTGATTAAGGAGACGTCAGCGTTGTCTCTCCTTGGACAGAGACACGACGGTGAATCTAGTCAGAAAATCGCTCGCACCACGCCATGGATGAAATAATTAAGCTAAATGAATAAAACGTGCCATAATGGAGCAGATGTACTGGGTAAATCATTGAGGCCAGAACTGTCATACATCCAGGACATTCATTTTTCTGTAATGATACTAGTGGTGATGCTATAATTGGTTATACTTGTTAATTATTTGGATTAGGTTGAAATATTTTATTTTGAATCGGCCGCCACCTTTAACGACAAAAGTGCTGGGAATGTCCGTGGCATTATCCAGATGTTAACTCACGCCATGAGTAACAGTAGATAGAATTTAAGTTGTCGCAAATTGCAATAACAGAAAAACCAAATGATAGCGCTATTTCATATGAATAGGGGATGATGTTTTGAAACTCCCTAAAGGATCCAGGATCCCCAGGATCCAACATCAAATTAACATTTTGGCAGCAACAACAATGAGAGGAACACCATTTAAAGTCCTGATAATTACAATGGCCCTGTAGTTAAAATTTTCTTTCTCTTTTCTTTCACTTTTTTTCTTTTTCTTTACCATTTACAACCTCAAGATGCGTTTGATAGTAGCATGTATATTAGCCTTGCCGGCTTTGGCACTGGCCAAATCGAATGCCTATTGTAAAGGTCAATTTGCTAAAACGGAAGAGAACTGCAGCAAGTTCTCGTTTCGCAAACAAACAGACGCTGAACGTTGCGGAAACAGAAACAAAGGCATTGAATATCATGGCATCAAGCTTGCCAACTGCACAACGTTTGTATACTTGGGTTGCCCCAGCTCGATACGGCGGCTTCTGACATTTGAGTTTAGGTTTTACGACATTTCTGGCTTGCCAGAACAGTCTATTGACGATCACACAAACAAAATGGCTCATCTGATTACCAATGTGTAAGAGAAGAACCCATTCTTCGTTTTCACGACCTTTTCGTCTTCATTGTAACTAACACTTGGATTCGCCAGGTTTGAAAACGGTGACACGAAAATGGGTTATGCAGTAAGGATTCGTTGGACCTACCCCGCCCCCAAGAGAAACGCTCTCAGACCAGCAAATAATAATGGTTTCTTTTCCTTTTTTTTTTTTCAAAACTCTATTTAGGCGGTGCAGAAATTAGGTGATTGTCGCGGTTACACCTGGTAAGACAAGGAGTGTCTTTGGTGATCACAATAAGTGAATGATCTAACGAACGCCTTTTGTTTAGTGGTTATATCGGTTTCACAACCGGAACCAATGATGCGTTTGCTGTTGTGAAGGAATACACACGCAGATCGGCGAACAATCCGCTGGCTCGATACAAAGAAGAACTCGATCGGCTAAGCCAATATGATTTTGGTGATCCGCGACGCGATGACACAAGCGGTCTTCAGGGGTTTAAAGAAGCATGGAATCAAGCCGCATGTTCTGATCCAGTGTTCATCCGCACTCAGCTGGATATTGGCCACTCCATGTATCTCAAGCCATCTGTAAGATACGCAGCAAGTGCCGATGTCAGATCCAATCTCGGAAAAGCTATATTTTACGGTACGTGTAAAAAAATAAAAAATTATAATGGTCTTGGACCAGAAAGAACACGAATGAAAAAATATGTCCTTTGTACTTATCGTTTCTCTGTTAGACACCATTGTGCAACACGGCTGGCAGGTATATAATTTTTGATGGCATTTTTTACTAATGAAAAAAATTACGATGATTAAGTTTTTTTCTTGTTACTTTTAGTACGTTGAGCCTGATATCAATCTTCCACAAATTCTTTACTTGACGGGTCCAAAAAAGTCGGACGAAACTGAACAGCAATTTTTGACTCGTTTCCTTACTACGCGACGTCAACTTGTATGCTGTTTCCCGGGTGATGCATGGTAAGTGGACGGCTTGGTGGATAAGATGGTTGCTTTTTGATTATGGGCTGATCTATGTGGATGTCGCTCCCCAGGAACGATTCATCGGATCGTATGGCGGACTTGCAAAAATTGGTGGATAACTGGGATCAGAACAAAGATTTGAAAAACCCCGTTCACTTGCAAGTTTTCCAAAAGACGATCACCGGAAAGGAAAATATGGACTTTGACACTCAGAATTGCAAATCACACAAGATGAAAGACCCTGGCCAGGTTCAAGCAGTCGATCTACCGCTTCCGACCTGTCCCCAAAACTAGCCCAATATAAACACCCATAAAAAGTAACAGTTTGCAAAAAACAAAGAGCTGATCTTTATTTTTTTTTTGGAGAGAAAGTCCAGAAAAATAAAAAAGAAAAAATAAAAAAAGCATTAAAAAAGCAAGGAAAACAGTTTATCCGACACCCTTTCCATAAAATTCGTTCTTTTCTTATTGTCACCACGATACCCTGTCATCATGGAGTACCGTTACCTTGGCAATTCAGGACTTAAAGTCAGTATCCTCTCACTGGGATCCTGGATCACATTTGGTACTTATCTGTCATTCAAGTCGTGAATGGGTTGCGCACTTTTCTTACTCCAATTTTACATACATTGTATAGGTGGTCAAATTACACCAGGTGAGTCCATTTGACCGTGCTTGTCATTCCTATGGCTAGATAACAGGAATCTTAACACATCGAAACGCTTGTCACGGCTGTTGCAGATCAAACGAGCGATATTGTCAAGACAGCATTGGAGTTGGGTATCAATCATTTCGATGTTGCGGAAAGTCATGCCGGTAAGACTTATTTCGACACTCCTTTGCGACATGACTGAACAGCCATGGCTGATTCATATCGACCGTGATAGGAGGACAGGCGGAAATCGACCTTGGTCTGGCTTTGCGTAGTCAGAAAGGGCTTCGAAGGTCGGATTTTGTGATTTCCACCAAAGTGTTTTGGGGTGGAAAAGGAGCCAATGATCGCGGATTATCACGAAAGCACGTATTCGAAGGCACTGTCGCCTGTCTTCAGCGATTGCAACTCGATTATGTCGATGTTTTATACGCACAACGTCCAGGTACGCTCACGTTCCTACGATCGACTTTTTGTTCAATGGCATGGCCTTTTTGTTGCTGTTTTTTGCCACGCTTTTTCGAGGATTGAGATCAAGGGCTGATGGGATTGTCCTCTTTAGATCCCGATACACCAATGGAAGAAGTGGTGCGTGCATTCAACTGGTGCATTGACAAGGGCATGGCATTATACTGGGGTACGAGTGAATGGCCGGCACATATGATTGTGGAAGCCATGAGTGTGGCTAGTCGATTAGGATTGATCGCACCTATTACTGAGGTAAACGCGAAAAGAAGCAAGAAAAAGGAGAAAAGCGATTCTTTGTTGTGTGCGGGATTCTCACCTCTTTTCATCAAGTCACCACAATATAATATGTTAAATCGCGATCGTGTGGAGAAGGAATATCTTCAACTGTATCAAAAATTCAAATTAGGATTGTGCACCTGGTCGCCCTTGGCTTCCGGTAGGAGAAGGCTTCATCGAGAATGCTACTTTGTTTTTTCTTACTGATGACGGAATGTATACAATAGGCTTACTGACCGGTAAATACAATGACGGTGTCATTCCGCCATATACTCGATTGGCGATCCAAGATCATCCGGTCATTAACCGGCTGCGCGCTGGTTTTTTTAGCGATGAAGGACGGCGTAAGGTGGAGAAAATCAAAACCATGTGTGTAAGTGTACGAGATGCGAAATCTATCGGGAGCTCAGGGATGTAGTTGTTAACATGGGCACCGTCATCACAGGCGATTGCTCAGCGATTAGGCTGTACACCGGCGCAACTGGCCATTGCATGGTGCCTGAAAAACCCTCACATTTCTTCCGTGATCATCGGAGCCTCCACACCGGCGCAAGCCAAGGAGAATATTCAGGCTCTGCAAATTCGACATCTTTTGACAGACGAGGTGATGGTTGATCTTGACAGAGTAAGTGTCTAATGAAATGGGACACTATGAAGGGTAAGCATTAGCGGTAACCATCTATTCGTTTGATTTGTAGTTGCTCGCCAACAAACCTGAACCTGTCTTCGATTTCCGAAAATCATGAAAAAATAGCCAATACATATTACTGCAAAGAAACGGATGTTCACCATATAAATAGGATAGCAAATGTTCAGAGGGGGGTCAAATAAATTAATAATTGGAGGAAACATTTTTTTTTTCAGTGAGCAAATATAAACAAGAACCAACACTAAATAGATAACAACAAAAGAAAACAGCTATAACGACCAACGAACCTATTCGCAAAAACCAAATACGACCGCATTATACATGTATGTGTATATGAGACAAAGAGTAAAAAAGAAACATGGAAGGGAGAGGGAGAAAACATTAGATGAACGAACAAAGTATTTATAGTAAAAAAGCCATAAACCAAACAATCTTCTCTGACATGAGGCACTAGTCCACAAAAAAAATGAAATGTTTATCCTCATTTTTTTCCCACGGGCCTACCGTCAAGAGGTGGGACAGCAGTAAAAAATAACAGCGTGGAATGGGAATATCGCACCTTATCAGATCTTTGATCGCCGTGAAACCTTGGCACCGAGAAACGTACTAGAACCATGTGCAATGGATTCCCTTTTCATCCGGAAGACACGACTTTGACGGTAATGAAAATCCCATGGCTGACTGCTGGTGAGGACGAGGGGAACCGAGTCGACCATAGGCACGTAGTGTACAATGTTCAGATAAAGACAAAAGACAATGAAGAAGAAAAGAGAAGAAAAAAAAAGAATGAGGATGCACAAAGTTCGATATGAGGATTAGAATTGGAAGAAGAAATAGTCTTGGTTTAAAAAAATAGGGACGCGTCTCCGAAAGATGAAGAAGATTGCGCTGGAGGAGGGGCAGGCTGAAGCATGTCAAAGGATTGGTAGATGGACGTTTGATACACTGGTGTCACGGGAGCGGAATTCGATGCTGATGTCAGATTGGAATAGATCGGTGTCGTGTCAATGCTTTTGCTGGTGTAATCCATAAGTTGCGATGATCGATTCAAATCCATGGCGCCAGTATCATTGGTGCATGGTTGTGCGTACGTCAACCCATTGTATTGAGTTGTGGCATAATTGGACGATTGTGGCAATTCTGAAGTGTTCACATATTGATTGATGTACGTCTGTTGCCTCCGTACCATGTCTGTGGAATTGTTAAACATCGTATCATGTTGCATCGGAAGCATGGAAGGAACGGAGGGTGCGGACGGTAATGGCGAAGGTGTGGATTGTGAAGAAGGACAAGCAGATGTCACAGAATAATCTAAGGAAAAAAAAAGAATTAAATCAGCACCGAGCAAAGACAGAAATGGACATTCCAGTTCACTTACTGTATTGATCATGTTGAACCATATCGTTGGACGAACTTTGATGGAGAAAGATGGGATGGGTCGAGGAAAGGTAGTAATTGGACAATGGATGGAGCGACGGGAGGGAAGAGGCGAAAAAGTAAATGCCCGGATCATCCACCAGCAGTGGATGTAAGGCATCCATGATATTGTACTGGAGAGCCAATGCCTTTGCACGAGAATAGGTAACCCTAACAGAAATCCACGTTAATAAAAAAAAAATCATAAAGAAAGCACAATCATTGACATATTCAACATACCAAACCCCTTTAAGATGCATCGCTCCCACTTTAACAACGACTCGACCTTTTTCATTCTTCAGAATACCGTCTCTTTTGCCACGAGACATTCCGGTAACATTTAATAACTTGGTACCATTGACCATATCGTTATCTGAATTTTGAAAAATGTGCTTTAGTAACGATGGAAAGACGAGAGACGCAAGAGATAATATGTTTTTTACCTTGACGTCTAGCCACACACACGGTTCCTGTGTCAACTTGGTAACAGAGTGTACCTTCGTCTTCCCATATGGAAGTGGTGATTTTTGGTCGTGACTGGAGGTGCTGTAACGATGATGACGGCGGAGCGGCAGCAGCGGGAGGCGGTGGTGGCGGGGTAGGTGAAGTGTGTTGGTGTTGTATAGGCAATACTGGCATGGAAACAGGTCGTCGTGCCAATGAGTAATCTTCTACGGGAGCATTGCATTGCTCGAGATGAGCCGACGTTTTGTTGTTGGTTTGAAGACTGGAGGACACTGGAAAAGGCGAATGACGGGGAGTTGGCCATGACGACGACGCAAAGGGAGTAGACGAGTCGGCGGGACACCGCACCGCACTGGATGGATGTGACATGTATGACTGGTTATACTGGTTTTGATGGGTATCTGGCGCGTCATGATAATTCGTATTCGTCGTGGTAGGCTGCGTAAAATCGGATGGAAACGTCGGATCGGAATAACGATACATCGTCTTTGGTTTCGGTGTAAAAGAGGGGGAAGGTGGAGGAAAACGTTGGCAAGGAGTAACGGTGGACGGTGGAAATAAATGGGATGATGCTTGATGCGAGACAAACAAAGTTGACAAGATAAAAAAAAATCCCACTAATTGACAGCCCAAAAAGAGAAAGGAAAAATGATGGGGTGGAAAAAAAATAAATGAAAAATGGAAAAAAAAGGCACAAAATGATACAAGATAAGATATCAAAAGCAAGAAAATAATAATAATGAGGGAAAACGGTCGTAATATTTCCCCTTTTATTATTTTTTCTATGGTTTCTTTTTCGCTTTTCGGGTTCGGCTTTTTTTTTGCTGACGGCACGCAATCAGTAGAATTTCGTAGTAAATAAAATATATAGAAATACGCTGTTTGGACTGGCTTAAATCCCTTGTACAGCAAATGTACAGGAACCACCGCTTGAATAAAAATATAAAGAGGAAGGGGAAAAAAAAGGATGAAGGGAGGAAGAAGAGAAGAAGGAAGAAACCGGACCTTTCCTTTTTTCCTTTTCATCTATTCAAAAAAAAAAAAAAAAAAGGGCGACACCGCGGAAAATCAGAAACAAAAAATTTTGAGTGGGCAAGGACACAAATGCGAGGGATAATGGGGTCAGGGTGAGGGTCAAAAGGGAAATACTTCATTTTGATTGGCTGGTTTTGCACGGTGGATCATTTCGATCGCCTACAGAAAATTTGGACACTTGAGAATAAAAAAAAACAAAAAAAAAAAAAAAAGGTCCCAAGAACACAGTTTTTTTCCATCAACCTGATCGAGGCTGAATATGAAAATCGATAGGTTCGGTCCGTTAATGAAATCAAGAGACTTACTATATACAGTAATTGACGCACCAGCATTGTATCTTTCAAGTTGCCAGACTGTCTTCTTTTTTTCCTTTTTGCCATGACAACTTACGAATTGGTTTGACGTCTCACCTTGAAACATACGCCACGGGACTTTTATTGGATGAGAAAGAGTGAATCATCACTTGGATCATCACCATTTGTTCCTGAATCACAAAAATTTGGGTTGGATGATCCTTCTCAGAAAAAAAAAAAATAAGGTGGGATGGCTCTCACAGGGAGCCGGATTACAGTACAAATATGGAAGCGGTAATAAAAACTTCTCTCGCCACTGGATGGGGTTACATGACACGAGTATATACGCTAGCAAGGTGGGGCTCTCTTAAACGCCTCTGTTCAATGAATTTATTGAATTAAGAAAAAAAAGCTCTACGAAACAATGGTATTTTCATACAATATTTTATCTGGTCATACTTTTTTTTTGTAATTTCAAAAACCCATGTTCCCAAAGCGTATAAGATCAATCAATTTTTTTACGTAACGACCCACTTTCGAAAACATGAAGTTTTCTTTCCAATTCAGAGACGACAATTTTTTTATGAAAGTGAACACAACCTCATAGCACGGACGACGGGGCCACCAACCAAGCAAGGGCCATTTTTGTTTCATACATGTTTTACATAATATTTTTAGATCTCCTTGTTTCATTCGCCAGGTTCCTTAATAAAGTATTGGCTCATCTGTTATCCGCAACCCGGCAGCCGCCCTATGACCCTTTCGTGTATTACTGACACATGACAGAAACCAGTATTTCACGGAGGAATCACAACGTCAATTATGTTACCAAGCATGGTGGCGGCAATCTTTTTTTGGAGTTGCATTACTGCCAATGGCCCTGGTTTGATTACCTCTTTTTTAACCGGAAAACATTTAATGGAACACCAGAAACTACGAGTGGGGGAATTCCTTTACCCCAATGTAGGGTGGCTCGGCTCCGACCGGGTTTCCGCAGTAATTCTGACACAAGTCACTTATGGTAAGCATCTGGAAAAACGCAGCCTTTTTACATGTTAATATCAAGATACAAACCCACGACTTGTTTCCTATTGAAACGCAAATAGTTTAGGCAAAATGTATATCTGCGTGGAACAGTGTATTTTGTTACATCAATTCTTTAGCAATACGTAGTAAAAAAAAAGATGACCAATACAAACTCCATTTTTTGAGGTATTTTAGCCAGCATTGACTGATCGATAATAACTGATAAGCCAAGGGCACTATTCCGAAACCAAACAGACGGTGAATTACTCAGAATGAAGGATTTGGCGGGTGCCAACGGAATCCATTACTAACAAAAACCGTGTGAAAAATCATGCTTTAACGCTTGCCGTTGTTGATCTCTCCTTTTCTTTTTTCCACTCTGTGATCTTGAAATTATACTGCTGGTATTTTTTCCCAGCTCTTTCACCACTTCAATATAGAAATTTCTTTGCAACTAGTCATCATACGTCAAAGAAGAAACCTCGTCGTACTATCAGTCTGATTCGTTGGATTTTTTCTGCTATTGTCCTTGATCACATTTTTTTCTGTCTGGAATACACATCAGAACACATTCCTGGGAATTTCTAAAACATAAACAAACCAAGCTTCGTCGATCCAGTTTTAGCATAGGAATTCTTTTTGCAAGACAAAGTAAAATCTGGGTCTTGCACCCTATGTTCTGGATTGTGAATATTTTACTGTAAAGCAGACATGAAACATAGTTTTTGGCAACCAGCTTTATCTGATAAGAGAGCCCGGGGTGGGAAAGGAAAAAAGAGTACAAAATGCAAAACAATAACATCAGAATGAGATGGTAAGATGTGGAGCACGCGGAAGCTCCGGTCTTTGTAATCATAATAGTTATGGTTGGTTTATTTATTTCATGAGTAATTTTTTTACGGCTTTCTGGCTTTTCGGGGTGTAAGACAAAAGGGCAAGACATGCATACAAGTTCGATGTCAGGCATGTTGTCCTACAATTGGAGATAATGAGAATGGCTAGATTTTAAGAGCGAACGATTGAGTCCCATCCAATAATCATGGCCTTTAAGCGATCGCACCGATAGATTAGGCAAAAGTTTTTCATTTTTAGTCAAATCGGGAGACTTGGTCCTGCAGGCAGACATCCTCCCAGTTTTTTTATTCCTTGAATTCTTTTCAAAGTCTTTATTCCATTTCAAAGACTCTTTCTTCAAAAACATTGTAGTTTCGACGACGATGAAGAAAAAAAAAAAAGAAAACATCCGAAATACCTCCAATGGTCTGATATCTTGTCAATCACCTTGAAGCCCCTTGAACAGACGATTGGACTTCCGAAGGCCGATATGCAGGTTCACCAAGAAAGGCGATTTTTCTTTTCTTAGAACGAATCCACATGCCAATTAAAGCATAGTTCTGTTTCCTCATCGTCATACGTTGTTAAGAACAACAGTTTCGAAAGAATCAGCAGTTTCCGTGACAAAACTCTGACTTGTGCGAGGTTCTCTGAGGCCCGGAATAACCGGGCCCCGGGAGGAAACTTTGATGTCTTTTTTTTTTACCCTTTCTTCTTGAGCGTTGACGCGGTTGAAAAACGTTTTTTTCAAGTTGCAAATTCCACAGTGCTTTACTTTTACTCTTTTGTACAAGTGACAAAAATTCCGGAAGAGCCAAACTTGTTCTCGCCACGCAAGACGTTTGAGAAACATTCTTACTGGATTTATGTGGGCGTAAAGGTTGGCTTGTGTTTAAACGAAACCAGCCTTTGTGTCTAGCAACAGCGAGGACAAAGCAAGAGAATATAAATCGATGCATGGAAAATAAGAGCGTACCGAGAGCAGACGACATCCAAGACCATGACAGTTCTTCAGTTCCAGTTGATCGTCAGTAAAAGAAGAGCACTGAGTTTCGGCGATATCGTGGTTAAGAAACTTATTGTGGCGAGTTTGGTGGACATTATTTCACAGAAGAGTTGAAGACGATGACGGCGTATGGCATGCCTTGTGGCCCCAAGCAGTTGTTGGCTTACGATGGCTGCATTGATGGTGAAAGAAAAAGGAAACATTTACGGCAAACCTGGTAAACAAAAAATCTCTTTTCCGCTGACTTCCGTTTAGCTGCAACCTGTTGTGGCAGTTCAACTTCTTCTGCTGTGTTTCCGTTCAAAGCTTGGACTTTTTTCAACCGCGTTTCATTCTCGCGCAACCATTCATCTTTTCTTATGAGCCATACCATGGAAACACATTGGCAGCTGCTCGTAGTGTCCAGTTTCACGAAGCAGGTAACGGCATGGTGTACGGTACCGATTATATTTATTATCAACATATACAGGAAAGAGAAGAGCAGCAAGAACGGCTTCCAGGTTGCAGAATATCTACGTAGTGCTATTGCCACATCTTACGCAGCTCGGCCTTTTTATTTCGTTTTTCGCTCACATCAACTACAGAATATTGACGCGAATAAGATTCCGGAAATACTCTATCAGGAAAATCGAATGAGGGTTGCTCCTTTTCTTTTTCTTTTGTATAGAGAAAGGGATGAGCGGCATTTCTCCTATAATGCGTGTTATTACGTGTTGTTTGATACTACTAATCTTTACTGACCACAAAATGCGACAAAAGAGTTTATACAGTCAAGTGTCATTCTTCCTTAATATTTTTTTTTTTGGTCGGTCAACATGGGAAATAGCTGACATAACTACTGGGTGTTTGTAAACAATATATGCGCCATATGTTTTATACAAGTTGGATCGGCGAATAACGTGTGCCTGTTTTCGCGACACATAGAGAGTCCTGTTGCTTCAGGGAAACAGGCTTTCAGCGAGCAACGCAGCTTCAAAAACAGTTGGCAGTCATACTCCATATTCCAAATATTCATTTCAGTGCATAAGAACAATTGCAAAGACCAACGTGCTGAATTATCACCGCCTATAAACATCATGGCGTGTCAAAACAAATCATGAAAGCGAATAACAAATTAAACGCGATTACTATGCACAAAAAAAAAAAAAAAGCTGCACGTGAAGAAAAAAGAAAACCACGACAACAACATAGCTATTCTTATCCTTTATGAACTGCGACGGATTTATGGCATAGTCCTGTTACAGAAAAATCAACTTGCCAAAAATGGACGCGCGCAATCAAGACTCGGCGCGTTTAGTTTGCAGCGTCACTGAAATGATTAAAATAGCAAAAGTCGCGACAAATTCAATGGAAAATAAAGGCAATAATGGTCTGCTACTTGCCAAACAGGATCATAAAATAACAAGCCGTACACCCGCTGTGCAATGGATGATGGATGCCCCCTGCCCCCGGAGGTCGCCCCCTTACATTGAGCGGCTTCCGTCAGACAAAAAGCCTAACGCATACACGGCATAACCTGGGCGAGAACTCTTGACGGAACTTCGGTATATTAATGACAACCTTATGGCATACGTTGCAACGTGATTTGTTTCTGAACACGCGCAGGGCGGCGCTGATTGACCCCCTCAGTTCCATCCCGCCCAGGCTATGATAGATCTAGAAAGATGTGTGGGTATGTTGGGTATTTAAAAAAAATGAGTTAGTAAGCTCTTTGATTGATTCAAATTTTCGTCAAGATATTTTACCTTTGTTATTTGAGTTTTCGATAGCCATTGATCGCTTGACATGACTTGGATTATATGACATTGAAAAAATTTTGAATTAGTATACGTTTATTACATCATAGCAAAGGAAAAGAAACCGGTGTGGTATATCCACTACTTGTCGTATTATCCATCCTAGACTGGTGTTCCCAAACAGGAAAGATCGGGATCTAGACGTGTTTCCATTCTGAGTGAGCTTCTCTATTAGAACACCGATTGAGCCTCTTCATCCATAACTTGGATCTATCGACGAGATCAATTCATACAGGTAAAGCTGTCACATCACAGCATGTGGATCCTTCCTAATACACCTTATAACCGAGGACTGCTCACTGATAATCAATTCCGACTCAAGACTAAAGTATAAATAGGCAGATCACATTAATCGAAATAAAGACCATCCAACAGTCTCAAAGGATTCTCATTGTCTCTTTTGTTCTAAATTCTCTCATATATCACAACCGGACTTGTCTTTGAACCAAATGGTGTACCCAAAAAAAAAGACGAATATCGACCACTCGATCATTAAGAATTGAAGAGAATGGAAGGGCATATACAGTATAACTGACAAAAAAAAGAGCAAATCAAAACACCAGATCGCCTTATCATCAATCACCTTGACCTCTACCCACATTTATTTGAACGGCGACGATGCCCTGTTTGACCACAACTGGCACAAACGGCATCTTCTGGCTAAAAGAGGCGCAAAAAGAACAAACAAACAGATTCTGATAACTTAGTGTAGATCATATGATTTACAAATCGCTAATTTCCCAAAGATTTAATTGCTTAAGTTGTGTTCGCCCGTGCAACATTGTTTGCGCCTATGATTAGAGATTGTGGGTAAAAGTAAAAAAAAAAAAAAAAAAAAAAAAAAAAAAAAAAAAAAAAAAAGTAAAATAAGCCATCCTGCATGGCTAAACATTAGTTCCGTTTTCCACACTCCATCTGCATTGATCCTGATCTCACAGCAAAGTACACGCGTCAACTTTTTTCCTTTGTTATTCCAGCGATGAAAGAGTGCTGCATTGATCTGATGTGCTTTGTTGCTGCATGTTACAAAGAGCGTATTTCCATGGAAGGCACCGAGTCCAAATCAATGTCAAATTATAAACTCCGCACTGTACTTTTTTTTTTTGATTTCAAACGATTCCAATTGATTCCAATTGATTTCCGTGTAAAATTAGCCTGAGTCCATTGAACCCTCATTATACACGCAACGACCTTGCTTTGACTACACGTGATGAAGACGATTCTCATCCTGCTCGTTATCCGATCGGTGATGGACGCTAGAGCGGTGATTCATGCTTGATGTATTCGGACCTTTTTTTATTTTACCAATCCGCAGCAGTGTGACATAACAATCAAAGTTTATCACACCATCGTCTGGCTCCTATTCCGGAGCAGCCGCCAAGTCCTGATGATCGGTCTCTAAATAATTATTCATCAGGCTCCGAGAGTCGTGAACGCGCTTCTCAGGAACGCCACCTCCTCATCATGATTTGAGCATGGGCCAGTTTTTAATTCAGTGCTCTATTGAACTTCACAAAATCATTCGATGTGCTGACAACACTGCAAATCAGGTATGTGGATAGATCATGATTTAATGCATTCAAAAGCAGTGTTTGCAACACGAACATGATTCTTGTCATACTACAATCCACTGGACAGTTTAGGAACCAGAAACTTGGGATAGCGGGCAATGGCTGGATCCTCATGAATTTTGGCGGAAACAGTGATAGGCAGGAGTTTCCTGCTGTACCCAAGGTTAGATCAGCTTTTCCGAAAAAAGCAATAATCTTTGTTTTCGGTTGATGAAACACTAAAATATTGTATATGCGTAACTTTAAAAATTGCAGTAGGTTGCAAACGAAAGAGAGTAAATAACGCAGAAGCATATATCATTGAAGAGCATTTATTTTATATTTGCATATAAGCCATCTTGGGAAGTTTAAGTTGTTTTTCTTCTTGTTTGTTACTTGACAGGTCATGCATTAGAGACATGTCAAGAGAGTAAATTAAGTATTTGTGACTGCTCATTTTGGATCACGCGTCTGACGATCGAAAGGCCGTCGGTTTGCCACATACTCGACACCAGTAGCACAATGGCCATGCCATTAGGCGATCAAGATATCGAGTCGACGGACCATGTATTGGAAAGATTGGTTTTAAACGATCGCCAGCACGTTCCCGAAACCCAATCTGCGGAACCTGTACCGGCAATGTCGCTGGCCGTGGCCGTGCATCTTTTGTTCAACGTCCCTGCTCATGTTTTCGATAAAGCTGCAACCGATTACCAACAGCATAAAACGCTTGCAACGATTGCCAAAAGTAAGCAACTGATTCGTCTTTTTCTTTTTAGCAGGGCATGACTGACGTTTTACCCTCTTCAGGCTCGGTTTGGAGAGCCCTTGACGCAATTGCCACCTATATTAGGTCTCAAGACAATGCGTCTCTCTCTGCTATTCGTTACGTATATACGCCGATCAAAGATAAAGTAGGTTATTATTTTGAGAGAAATAATGGTTCCTTTTCGACTCGTGCGAAATAATGTCTTCCATCAGATCTTGAAACGCGATAAAACAAATGCGCTTGCGGGATTGCGGATCGCCAAATTCCTCTTGCTGGATCGCACGATGCACGATATATTCAGTCGATTTCTCGATACACAATTGGATCATCATGATAAAAAAAGCCAGCTGGCAGCTGTTATGATTCTGGATTATATTTGCAGTCAATGGCCAACGCTGCCGGAAGCTTTCGGTGCCACTACGCATGACGAGGTTTTGGCTATTTTAGACTTTTATCCGTCAGTCATGCGCATCATCGAGAAAAATAGGCAAGTCAAGGATGGGTCACAGACGCAACGGGAATGGATCATTGACATAATGCTTACAGTGATCAGCCGAATCTTTTATCCTGCAAAGCTTACGATGTGGTGCTCAATCTGTCCGCATATGCTACGCTTGCGACATCAATCCGGGAACCAACGGCGCGTGAACGACCGGCTTCCGATAATGAGAGTATCGTTATGATTGAGGAAGTCCAGCCGAACCAACATGGATATGATAAAGTCAGGAACATGTGGCGGGATCTGTTCTCTTTACTGCAAACGATGGATCGCGTAAGAATAAGCGTCACCCTGTCACCACCAAAATTATTAAATCACAGGCAATAGTGGGCTCGGATGGAGAACCCCGTCGATAAGGCAATTCTTGCAGAGATCCAGCAGCTTTTTTCTGTAGTTAAGGTGATGTTGTCGGAAGGCAACCTTGGTATGTACTCATTCGCTCCCCATTTGCATTATTTACTAAAGGACTCAACCGATCGCACTTGCAGACGCATTGAATGACGTGGGACACGTGTGGTTCAAGTGGACGCGCTTGCTGAAAACGAAGCCTCTCCTTTCCAAAAAGGCTGTGGTGGTTAAAAAACGTTTGGCGAGCTTGGAAAGCACGGTAAGCAAAAGCTGTAAATCTGTGGTGTGAATATAGGCTGATGGTTTTATCACAGGGAGCCGGCCGTGATTGCGGAGGACTGGCGTTGTATTCCAGGATGGTTACCTTGGCGATGATGCAAAAAGGAGCGTGGAAAAAACCGGAGGATCCGATGGATACGGAAGAACAGAATGAAATGAAGCTTGCAAGCGAACTTTGTCAGAAACTTGTAAGAGTGCATGGAAAATGAACCAACTGTTGTCATGTTCATCTCATTTATTCATGGGTTAGACGAATTGTTTCCCACTACCGTATCCGTATCAAAATCTCGGTGGTGATATTCTTTGTGCTCTATCGATATCTGTTCCTCAACTATTTCACGGAATCACACTACCATTGCCCGTGGCGGAAATGCTTGCGCACACCGATCGGGATCGCCTGGCCGATCTAACAGATACGTCACGGCAGCAACTGGTTACATATCTTTTACAGCAACCCCATGCTACAATACCCATCTTAATAAATCGAATACCTCCGGATGGTTCTTCCTCGCTTACTTTGGATACCCAGCTCATCAACGATCTCATTACAACCTGCGTTTCAGAAGCCAACAGCTTCGTTCTCGAGTATGTCCATCCATCACGATGTTGCTAAGAAAAAGGTTGTTTAACATAATATGGTCGATAGAATTTTTTCCAGAGAGCTATTGAAGAAAATAGCAACCAATAATACGGCATGTGAATTGTTGATTAAATGCATGCCCTGCCTTGGTAAGATACAAGTGACCCATCATTGTCCACAAACAGGCATGGTGAACCGAAATTTTCGTAGATCTACGGACGTTGATCCTTCATTTGATGCAAATGGCTCACAATCCTGATCCCCGTACAAACCAAGTGTGTAAAGCTCTGATTGCGAAAGCACTCATGGTGGAATCGTGGGTGTCTGACAGTATCTTGGTGTATTTGGATTTGATAAGGTGACCTTGATTTTGTGATGAATCAAAAAGATGGTCATTTATTGACGGCCATTGTAGGGACTTTGAACAGAAAAAAGCCTTTGTCGTGGATGCAGGAACGAATTGCTCGTTTGCGAACATTTCTCCCGCGAGCCTTGTCAACACTACTGCGTCTACGCTATTGTCAAGTACACTCGATGATTCAAGTAAGTTTGTCACCATTCGGTTTCAAACATTTAAATGCCAGGGCAAAACAGTGAACATGGATTTTGTAGGTACGCAATCCTTCACTATGGAATTAGTGTCTGTGATAGAATTGTGGAGTAACAAGGTAAAATCAAAAAAAGTCCATGACTGGTTGCCACATGGCACATTCTGAAATCTTTGTGTCCAGGTGAAACCCGAGCATTTGCGATCTGGGCTGGCCCAGCTGGTGCGGAAATCATATGGAAGCGCGCAAAGCTTGTCCTTGTCGATCCTTGTGTGGAAAGTGCTTTCACGCACGTTGCTCACCCAGCATCAGTTGATCTGGGTGATCCTTGAAGAGTGTGTAAAGCTGATAAAATCGCAACCCCAGCTGACCGAATCACTGATCGACGATGATTCAGCGGAAAGTACACTGGCTGTTCAGACTTTATTGTATGCTCGGTTAGCGCCATTGCTTATTTTGCTGGTAAAACGGGTTCATGGATCGACGGGAAATAGTGTGCGGAGTTAACCTAATCTACATTAGACGATGCCAAACAAAGTCTACGATGTCGTCAAGTTAGCCGACGATGCCCTGGCACGATTTCAGCCCAGTTTACAGGTTTTGGATATCCCTTTACAAAATATCAAAAGGGGTACTATCTCAGATGATTGCGCTGAAACCCAGCATGAGCTCTTGCAGGAATTGATTTACCGGTAAATATCATGTAAAGGACACCTAAGAACAATTGCTTATTAACTCTTTTTGCCTTACAGATCACAAAACGAACTCGAATATGAGCACGTAAAGCAACAGTCGAAATCGTTGATCATGAGAATTTTCTGCGCCTAATGGCAAAATTCAGCCGTTTGGATCATCTTATCTCTACCACACGTTATGACATAACTTCATGCAGTGCCCGGGAGATTCGATGGCTAGTTTATTATATAATGGGCCTTTCTCTCGCTATTTATTCTCATTTGTATATTATTCGCATAGCAACAGACACTTACGGATTTGAACCATACGAAAATGCAGCATAATCGAATTAAAACAATTACCCGGCATTTACCTACACAGTCCTTATTATTGAAATGCCACAGATCTAGCGGGAACAGCGCTAGCAGCAGTGATATAATTCAAAGTGTTCAACACATCGATCTGATGAATACAGACACCATTGGAGGCGATGACAGGTTTGGAGCATTGCATAGGTGCTGGAACTAAGTCGTACAAAATCAGAATGACATCAAATTGATAGATTATATTCGCCCCCCGCCAGATGATCTGATTGGATCAATTTGCTGATGCAGGACTTATTCCAGCTAGAACGTGGACGCTACGTGTTTTTGATTGGAAATGATTCGTTCCATTACCACCGCACGCTGTTGTACGCAATTGACTAGTCGCACCTTTGTTGCGCGACAGTATAGTAGTCGTGCTACTCAAGGTAGGGTGATAGTCTACCTGGATAAAAAGGATATACAACAGGCCAAGTGCTCATTTTGTTGTGATAGGTCGTATTCAAGCATGGGTGTGCAGATCAACAATGTCACCCAAGGTAGCAGCTCATCAGCCTGCTTTGGACGTCGTTAAAATGGTCACTCTTGTCACCACCGGAAGTGTGGCTGGTTCTCTGTTATTCAAAGAACCGGTGCAATGTCAAGGTAAATCAACAGACAAGGTGGGTGGGGTGGGTTGGTTTTGTTCCGCAAACAGTGTGACTTATATGACAGCACTCCAGCAATTGTTACGCAACCTCAAGCTAGTGACGCGTCTACCGAGGCCATGAAGGCGGCTCTTCGTCATCGAGAAAAGGTGCAGCCGGAACAACAAGAAACATCCAAGAAAGGAGAAGTCGCTTTTGGCATGGTGCTAGGTCTTGGTACAGGCTACCTCGTCAAGAAGATGATGAAAATGGCATTGTTGATGCTGGGCACTGCCTTCTTATTTTTGCAGGTAATACGGACATTATTGATTCTGTGAATATCAAGCAGGGACGTATAAAAGTTCCTCACACCTTGTTTGCGATGATCAATGCAGTATATGGCGTACAATGGATACATCACGATTCATTGGCATCGACTGGAAGGACGATACACACGTTCATTTGATGTTGACCGTGACGGACGAGTGACTCAGAAAGACCTTCACTCCAAATGGAGAATATTTATGAACCTCTTGACACACAAGATACCCTTCAAGGCCACGTTCTTGACAGGTTTTTATTTAGGAATCAGAATGGGATAAAATACGGTGGGCTTCTTTGAATACAAGTTTGCAAGCATGTTGGATCACAGGGATCCTTGTTTGCTTCCATGGGAATCACAAGTAGCATGTATTTATTTTATGAGATGTTTCTTGATGGACGGAAAATAGGCACCAGGTGTTTTCTTTGTCTTTTTTTCTTTTTACGGGGAAGGGTTTCTCAACAAGCAGCATTGGACGTCGCAACAAGAATGTTCCTCTTCACCGGTACAGTTGGCAGCAATGTAAGCTCCGTACATGGGAGGACATTTCTGGACACATTGACCAGGACCGAACCATCTGCAGTCTAAATCACACAACAACAAAGTAACAAACAACAGCATTAAGATCACGTCAAAATTATCCATCACCATAACATCATGGCACATGTCAGAATCAATATCTCCCATACCTGATACATCGAATTCTGTAGGATCTTCCTCGAGTTCGGGTCGAGCGAATACTGCAGCGAAAAGGGCGGACAGGAAGATCAATTGGAAACGCATCTTGTTTGTTTGGTTGAAGAATACAAATTTTTCAACTTTTTCTTTCCCGTAGTCTCTGCGTTTTCTTTTATACGAAAAAAAGGCCGTGCATCCGATCTAGGGGCTTTTTTTTTTGGTTCTGGAGCGCAGAGATTCCTCGCGGATGCACACGGGATAAGGGGTACAGGGAAGTAAGAGAAGAAATAAAGGCAAGCGATGTAGAAAAACGCGAATTTTAATATCCCTGTGTCTCGCAATGTTCATTCTTCGTGCCGGAAGGGGTCTGGGGTCGCTGCAGCTTTTTTATTTATTTATTTATTTTTCTTCTCAATGTTCAGTAAAGAAGATGATCTCAAGTGGAGGAACACCAAAAAATTCGAGGAATTTCATATGGCGAGATACCCAACCGTCAATGGGAGACTCCTGTTGTCCTGTCCAACCGCATCTTTATTTTTTGAGAATTTTTGATGGAGAAACCATTTCTGCTTCCGGGATGACAGTCGAACGCATATCCATTGGACATTGGTACGAACTGTATATATTTTCGGGCCATGTCAGTGAATAAAGTAAAAGCATGTTGCATGTTTATTGAAAAATATGCACATTGCTACTGCACAGTCATTGGATCTTGATCTCTTCTTTTCCCTGTCATGCAGCACACCAAGTGCTCCTCTTTATTAAGCTTTCATTAATTTGTAATCTGGATACTTCGGATCCCACATGAAATCGCGTACGGTCTTTTCCATGTCGTCCGGGTCGATGTTGTTTCGTGCTTCACCGAGCTCGATGGCCTTGTTAGCAACTGCAATCGCGACTCGCATACTGACTTGGCGCGCCTCCTCAATACCAGGGAGAAGACTATTGGTGCGTTTTTTGGACTTGCATGCAGGAGATCCATTGCTGACGGCTTCAGCTGCGACCATTATCATCTCGTCCGTGCAGTGTTTGGCACGGGACACAATGCAGCCCAACCCAATCCCAGGATAAACAAATGAATTATTACACTCTGCAATCTGGTATTCCTTGTCTCCATAGTGCACAGGATCAAACGGAGAACCGGTCGCAACCAATACATTCCCGTCGGTCTGTGGATCCAAATAAATAGTAACAAAAAAATCGAGTGAGCATCCTGAATCATCAAGAATTCATGAGCATCAAATGTTCATTACCCATTGGAACAGGTCTTTGGGGGTGGCTTCCGCCAATCGCGTGGGATTGGACAATGGGAAGATGACAGGACCGCTGGGACAATGCTCGGCCATTTCGCGAACCGTCTTTTCATTGAAAGCGCCGCCTTGGGTTGAAACGCCAATGAGAACGGTAGGCTGAGCATTCTTTACGACATCGTACAGTTGCGGATGCTTGTCTTTGGACTCCAATTCCCATTGTTCTATTTCCTTTTTGGGACGCACGTATGGTTGCTGAACATCCGACAATTTATATTCATCATCCTTAATCGCGTCGTTCAGTAATCCCGGCTTGTCAACACACCAAATCTTTTTCGCCGCTTCTTCAGCGCTGATGTCATACTTGTACTGCATGTAACTTCTGAGCTTTTTTTTTTAAAACATCATTGATCATGTATGTGAGTCAATCATACAAAAAGTCGATGCATATATGTCCTTTCGGTCGCCCTTACCTGATCTGCCACACCGATACCGGCTGTACCAGCGCCATAGATGACGATTTTTTGGTCTTGCAACTCTTCTTCTTTGACTTTTAAAGCGGCCAAAAGCGTAGCCAACGTAATGGCACCTGTTCCTTGCACGTCGTCGTTAAAGGTCGACATCGATGGACGATATTTCTGAAGCAGTCGACGGGCATTCGTCACGCCAAAGTCCTCCCAGTGTAAAAAGGCCTTTTTGAAATTCTTCTGCACGCATTTGGCAAAAGTATCGACAAATTCGTCGTAGTCCGACCCTTGCACACGTTTGTGACGCCAGCCAAGGTAGAGTGGATCCTTGAGCAAGTTTTCATTATCCGTACCAACATCCAACACCACAGGCAGTACGCGTGCAGGATGGATTCCGGCCATGGTGGTGTAAAGGATGAGCTTAGCCACCGAGATCGCCACGCCACCTACACCTTGGTCACCGATGCCAAGGATCTCCTGACTGTCCGTCACCAAAATCAGGTCAATATCGTCTGGCTGAAGTCCGTTTTGAGTAGCGCCTTCAAGCAACACAGTTTCAAGTTCGTCGGCTTCCGGGTAGTTTAGATAAATACCGCGACTACAACATATAAATGAAATGACTATGCAATCCATGACTCTCTGTATTGATGATGAAACTTACGGTCGTCGAAATACATGGGAATAGCTGGAACGAGAGGACCAGTGAGTTTTTTCACAATAGACGTGATAAAATCTGGATGAATGACGTTTGTATTACCTTTCAATGAACTCTCCTTCGGTGGGTGTATAAATGATCGGTAACACTTCTTCTAAATTGCGTAAAATAAAATCATAAAACAACACTTCATTTTGCTGCTGGACACCTAAAATGGCGAGACAAGGTAAACAAATGCATCAGCAAGTTTGCTCCACGTGGCATTTTTGGGGGGGTTTGATGAGATTTACTTTGCAGGAACTGATTTTTGACAATGGGACTTTTCAGTTGCTTGTACTGCTCTTCGATGCGGGCCGTTTGATCTTCCAATGAAGAATGTGTATATGGTAACAAGCTAGCCAGCTCAAATTGATCACGCTCTTCCTTTGAAAAGGCTGAGCCTTTGTTAAGCAAAGGATGGTTCAGCAACAATTGACCCTTTAAACAGGTTTCCACGATTGGTTGGTTTCCCGGTTTTTCTCCATAGGTATGCGTTTTCATGGCCGGCTTGAGGGTAAAAGGGCGATCCTCCGATTTGAGAGCTTCTGCAGATTGTGGCATATTTGATAATGAAAGAAGTGAGCGGGAAAAAGTAAAAGGAAAGCATGGGCGTAACACTGTTAAATTTTCATGCAAAACCTGGATAAAAATTATCCCTTATTCGGAGTGTGACGCTTTCCAAACCGCTTGAGAGCCCCACGGGCCCGTGAATGGGGGCTTATTTGGCGCATCTAAGCTCAAAACTTACTAGACTTCCCTTTGTTTGCCTATTAATTTTTTTTTGTCCATTGAACTGTTTGCCAGGTTTTTTTCTGCCTTGTCAATATGTAATAAACATTCGCTGTAATGATACTACCAAACCATTGCATCATTGTGAATGGCAGGATGAAACAATATTTGTATGGTCAGGAATAAAAATAGCGAACCCTTGCTATTCTGGGAGGTGGAGTCCAATCGTCTGTGTCACCCAGATATCCTGTGCCACTAGCTCTTGGCACTGCTGTCATGTCTTTTTTCTTTTTCTTTTTCCTTTGAATAGTTTGAGTAAGATCCAAAGGCCGGAAAAAACAGGCTTAGAAAAGACCGAACGAACGAAAGCGAATTCCCCCCCCCCCCAAAGAAAAGAACGTCAGAAAAGAAAACGGTTTACTTGAATTCATCTGGCTTTGAAATCTTGGCTGTTGTATGGGTTTTCCCTTTTGCAAAATTTCATATGGAGAACCCTTTCCAGGCACCCAAGCTGCAAACACTGCGAGAAGCATTCCCCAATGTTGATGTAGCGGTGATCGACGACGTATTATGGTCAGCCAACGGTAACCTGGACAATGCATTTGAAGCTTTGCTAGCCATGTCCGATACAGAAAGTACTGGTTCGACTCCTTCGTTTGGCTTACCGCGGCCAGTTCCTGCACCTCCATTACCGCCTCGACAAGATCCAACTCGAACTGTAACGGTACATATCATTCAATTGTAGAGAGAGAATAACCCGATCTAATTATGTCATCATAACGGTTTCGTAGGCAACACGATCCAACTCTTCCAATAGCCCCCGTTCCGCTCACGAAGAATTGGTGGCATGGCGCCAAGACCTCGCTCGGCGTTCCAGTTCTAATCGTTTGCTGGCTTCCTGTCGTAAGCTTGTGAACCATGTCTTTTTTTTTCTTTTTTACTATTGTACCCTTACTTACAAAGTGTTTGGTAGAGAGCACGACATCACGATATAAGCTTGAACCACCTTTAGGTAAAAAGATCCGAACGCGCATAGAAAATTTTCCCCACAAGCCCGGTAAAAGGATCAGTAATTAACCGAACCCGGTTTTTGTAGCGATTCGAAAAGTCTCCTCCATTGGCAGTCAAGCACGAGATCACAGACAGACAGTAAACGGCTCAAGGTAGGGCATGTCTAATGAAAGAGTATATCTAGTTGGATGACAGCTGGAATTGAAAGCGATGATTTCCTTTGCAGTAACAGACTGAATGATCCTTCGTCCCGCATGGCATCCCCTTTTTCTCGCAGTAATTTACAAAATCGCCCCTCCATCTTACAGTCATCCAGCGATTCGGCCGTTCATATTCAACCTACCAATCCCTTTATTTCCGTCAACGCTAATCCTCCACCACCACGCGCTCATCCTTTAATAAATGTGTCGACACCTGCCTTGTCGCATGCTTCTGTAAATCGACCACGAAACCAACTTATGCCAAACAACATCGCTATTGGTAAGCTCTTGAACATCATTCGTCTTGGACACTCTTATTAAACAAATTAATTTGGATCAGCCTCCTCGTCCTCCTCCTCCGCAATAGATGGTATCTTTTTAGATCATGATCTTGCCATAGTGTAAAATCACGCAATAGTGTCATACTAAAAGCCCGCAACTTGCCTTTTTTTTTCCCTGTAGTATCCAGCAGCAGCAGCAGCAGCAGCAGCAACCCATTTGACGTTGAAGATTTACCACCGCCTCCATCTTATGATGCTCATTACCGTGACAAATATGTCGATCCCAGTACTTTTCATCCCTAATATTTTTTGACCATCTGCCCAACCGAGAAAATACCAACATGTTTTGTAGATAGATCAAATCTGTGTATTTCAGTCAAATAAAAAAGCTAAACCTGTTTGGGAAAACAGACGGGACCAGAACGTCCTCCGCCATACACCATCAGGACTTTGGATCCAAGGATAAACGGATTGTCATTGTAAGCGACAAAATCGACCTTACGATGGCGCTGGATGATGCCGGCCGCGGCAGAGTTTGCATCTTTTTGCAGGTTGAAAATCTTGGCCGGATTCCATGTCACCAGACCCACGGCATCCGACAGACTCAGATCATGATTGTGGGCCAGATTCCAACCGGCTTCCCAAATCATATTGCGCGCATCGCCATTGTCTGCATCTGTGCTGGCCAGCGCGACACGGACACCGTAGCTGAGAAGGATATCCAATCCTGTCTTTTGTGTCAACGGGGGTCCAGCTAGGCATTCACGGGATTGCCATGTGGCTGGGTAACAACGAGCGGGCATGAGAATCACCGGCACATCCAACCGGCTTAGATGATTGGCCACGAGATAAGCTTCGGCTCCACCGAGAATAACAAACTGGACATCCAGCTTTCCCTTGGATTGCTCTTTCAACTGTTGCTTCATATGCAAAATGGAAGCAATCTCGTCCTTGTTATCTGTCTGAACCACGACCGGCAACTGGCCTTGAGCAGCACGAGCAAACACATTGACCGAACCGTCCTTGTCGGCATTGGATAAAAGTAGATCTCGAATAGCAGCAATCTGCTGCGACACGGTCAATTTGCCTATGATATCCGAAACGAAAATTAAACGAGACGGAATTATCAAATTCGATCAAGCTTCTAATTACCGGTATTTTTGACAGAGAAATGCAACGCCGTCTCGTCCTCAATGATGGTGTCATTGCTATCCAGAACTGTAAGGCCGTGGGTTAGATATCCCTTGGCCGTAGTATGCTGTGTGGGTGGCAAGGCGTCATTACGTACCTGTGTTTTGAGTACCAGTACGGAAAGCGACAGAAACACCCGCCAACAGATCGCCCATAATCAGTGGCTGAGAGACAGAGGCAGTAACACCTAACAGAAAGAAGAAGAAGCATGTTGATTTTACATCATCATTGAACTCAGAATCTAACCGCCAACCGTACCTGCTTTGAATGCTTTTTGGAGATGTAAACCATTGAATTTAAGACCATCAACAGCTCGAACGATCTTTTGCGGAAGAGCAGCGTCGTACACATCATTTTGGGCATATCCGTCTGTTGTTCGGGATTCGGCCTGAATTTCTTGCAAGCCCAACGGATTACCCGTGGAAATCATACCCTATGTTCTGTTTTCAGCCATCTGAATTTGTCATGGGCCAGTATTGAAAATGCCGTAATTACCGGGATCACGACAGCACCTCCCATTTCAAAAACAGGGCTAAAATGAGGCCAATCGATGTTACGGCGCCCACAGTTGGTACCGGCACATAATAATTTTCCTTCCTTCACCACCATGGAAATATCATGACCCAATTCGCTGGCATCATAGATTTCCTCGGGGCTCATGAATAATCGGCTAATATTACGAAGAACAAATGAATCCACGTTGTTGTCGCAAGCTTCATCAAACGACATTGGGTTATCGAGACCATGATCTTCGAGCTTCATGGAACTGGTTGAGACCGGAGGCAAATAGTGTCGATCCTTGCGATATTCCTCGTGCTTTCTTTCAATGGTCGCTTCGGTGCTATCTGTGACAACTTCTTCAACCGCCTTCGTCCAAGATTCTTTAAAGTCCAACTCGGTCCCATCGATAACGACATGTTTGGGTCTTGCTCCCAATCGCAGAGGATGTTGTTCCCAGACCACAATATCAGCATCCTTTCCGACTTGCAAACTGGATGGTGAATTGTTGCAACATTTTTAGTAATCATAACGAGCAAAGTGTAACATTTTCCACCAACCTGCCAATTCGATGACCCACGCCCAATGCATTGGCCGGTACACTCGTGAGGGCTCTCAATGAATCATGTTCGTTAAATCCGTAATGATAGGCTTTTTGTGCTTCGTGCAAAAGATCTCGCTAGAAAAAAGATTCATGTGTCAAAACGATGTGAAAAAACCACCGAGTTTAGAACAAGCTTGGAAATACATCTTACGGCATTCATCACTGGATGATCGCTCTTGAAAGCGACAGGGATGCCTGCCGCCGACAAGATCTTGGGAGCATGCACGTTTTGATTCCAAGCTTCCACCTAATTGATGAAAAAATTAATGATTTTTAGAGGCAAGAATCAATAGGTCATTGAAAGGCATATTGACTAAATTTGGTTACCTTGTAGCCCCACATATCTGGTAATTATGTCCCGAAAAGGGTTTTTAGATTTCCTTTTTAGTATCATGAAAAAAACTCTGTTTCGGGGGGTTGCCTCACCTCCGAAAGTGGCGATAGTGATATTTGATTTAGCGCGTTTGATGATTTCGGGCACTTGCCAAGCACTTAGCGCGTGATGGAAGGATCCAATTTCAAAATCAAATTCCAATGAATGATGTACCATGGCCTCCAGATCTTGCGGAAGATAGCAATGAACATTGAGGATCACCTGGTGACGCAAGAGAGCCACCAAACTCTCCAATTCGAGGTTTTCTGGGTATCGTTCGGATAGACGCGTGATACTGTCTTCGTTAATAGGCCTATCGGTCGGAAAAGTTCGATTGATTCTTTCCGCGGCATCACACCAGTCATCTTGTTTCAACATCAAAGCTTGGGCTTCTTCAAATCGGCGTCGGAATAGATAATTCTCACCCAACCCTGATCCACCAAAAAAATTCATGAATTGAACGGTCGTGCCTCCATCGAGTCCATCAGCTATTAAGCAACTTACGCGTCATGGGCATTTTTTTCAATTCGCCACCGTAATAGCCTTTGGGATTTTCGCCACATGCCATTTTCATATAACGCCATGTGACCTCCAGATCTTCACTCGTGACATTAGCAGTAATTAGCATATCTTGCACCGAGAGCGTGGGGACGGGGCGTAATTTGATTACGGCGGCTTCGCCCCCCATGAGGTTTCCAGAACCAGGCAAAATAAGCGACGTGGTAATTCCACCACTGGCAACAATCTTGATTCCTGGATCGCTCGGGTTAAGTGCATCCACCACACGGACCTAGCATATAAATTTTTGGTGTGGATTAACAAATTAGCAGTAACATGGCGCCGTCTACTTGGACATGGTATACAGGGAAGATGCAAAAAGGAAAAAAATGTGTGTAACACGTACATAGGGAGTAGTGGGACTGGTCATCTCATTTGTATCATCGAGTGCATCGAGGCCTGGGAAGCTGTCAACGCCCATGTGGGAATGCATGTCGACAATACCAGGGGTAACAACACGCCCAGCCGCATCAATCACTTGACTTCCTTCAGGGATATCGACTGTTTCATCAATGGCAGAAATAAGTCCGTTTTCGATGAGTATGTCTCCATCAAAGTATCGATCGCCTAACCAGAGGTGACCATTTTTGATCACCAGCGCCTTGCTGGTGGCAGATCGTGGGTTTCTGTGACGCAGGCGAGTAGTGTTCGTTTCTGCCAAAGCTCTCTCACGAATTGATTGGCATTTTGAGAATCCATGGTAAAACGATGCAAGCGAAATGCCGGGTGCCACCACCCTGGTGGCATCATCAAACCAGAAATTTTCGGCTTGGATGGCCTTGGTCGAAGCCGTGCTGGGTAGTTGACACGCTAAATACACGCATGCTCCACCAAATACCGTGAGCAAAGATATTGCAAGAGCAATTCGACTTCGTTGCCTCTTCTTTGATGTAGAACCGGCCTCTTCTCCAAGTAGAGGTTGAAATACAGACTTGTTGGCCATGTACCGTTTCGTTGACATTCTGCACAGACACGTCAGTAACAAGCAATGAGCCAAATGAGACAGGAGCTAGTTACGAATTCGTAATGACAGACAAACTATACACCAAGCAACGGATAAAAAGTAAAATATAACTGAAGGTAAAAGCAAGAAAGATAGAGAACTGGTGGTAAAGCCAGAAAAAATGACGAAGAGAATAGAGAACGAAGGAAAATAACACACACGCACACACACAAAAAAGCTTGTTGGGGCGGGGATTGATGCAGGAAAGGCAATGCTCGAATTGGGTGGGAATAGACGGTTGCATCTCCGATGTAATACCTGCGTTTTATGCGCCCTCTCAAAGTGAAAGATGATGGATCTCAAATATATGGTACCAAATAAAGCATAAACGATCACAGTAATGTATTAAGTATAATCCCTTCATTTTTTTTATATACACATCACATGAAGGGCATGGACGGGGGAGGGGGTGGAGGGTACATTAAAGGCGGCCAGCCGTTGGCAGCCGCCGCGGCCGCCGCTCTCATCCAATGATGTTCCTCTTCCTCGGGGGTCATGAACCGTCCTGCCGGATGATAGCCTCTGTAGTACTGGTCTGGATAATAATCGTGGTGAGCCCGGTTTCGGAATCGAGGCGATGCAAAACGTCGATTTCGGGAAGGTAAATCACTAGTGGCGCGCATTCGTTCGACGGATCGGCTACGTAAGCTAGGAGGGCGTCGTGGCTCACGTCGTCTTGGTGACGAATAAAGTAGCTCTTCTGGCATGGTTTCTTGTTTTGTTTTCCATGGTGTTTCAACTGATCGCGATCGTGTCCGGGTTGAAGCCGATGCAGCCAATGATGGGCGTCGCTGGTGCAGACGACTGCTGCTTCCAATGCTGCTGTTACGAGAAGGAGCGCCGTCCCTGTTCTGCATGAACGGTTCGTCAATCAGCGAATTTTCCCGACTGCGCGGCTGGTGTCTTGGGAGGGATGATTCAAGTGGAATACCGGTATCATACATATAATACTCATTCATGTCATCCGGCTCCTTATCGATGTCGGGTCCGGTGTCTTCTCGATCCCTCCAAGACCTTGCCGACAACCGGCTACGCTGTGAAGTCGTCGATCGAGGACGTTCAAATCCGACGCCTGGCCCATGATCCATGTGCGGTGGTTTTCGATCCTGCCAATGTGACCGTCTCGAACTTCTCGAGGGTGGGTAAGGTGACGATGAACTCGACGTGTCGGAATGGTATGTATCATCAAGGACAGGATCTCGTGCAATATCATTATCCGCTACCGTCGTTTGGGCTAGCGCTTGCATGAGCTGTTCCTGGGTGCGATGGATCTGTTCCATCATGGCTTGTTCTCGGCGCTGATGCTCAATTTCACGCTTATTCCATTCTTCGCGCTCGGCTCGGCGTTGTTCCTGAATAAATTGTAATTGACGCTGGATATCCTCTAGATCCTCATTCCAGCATGGAGGCGGGCCTTTGGAAGGGGCTGGCGACGATCTCGCAGAATTTTGTCCGGATACCTTTGATTCCGCAGGCAGGTGGGATTTGGTTGAGGCACGATGCGAGGTGGCACCAATCGTCATGGAAGAAGTGGACGATGACGTGGATCGAGCGGTTGGTTGCTGTTGTAGACGGTAATACTGGCCGCTGCTCAATGGATTCATATCTTTGGGTGTATTTGCATGCACTGTTGATTCCACTAATTGTGGATGAATCAATGCTGGCTTTGCTTCGTTTCCGCTCAAATTTCGGAGCTGCTGCACCACCGGTGAAGGAGGAGTAACGCGTTTTTCCAATACTGATGGCCTCAGCTCAATACATTCATCCTCAACGTAGGGCGACGGTTGCGCAGATAGTGATAACGATGGATCCTGCGAGAAAGACTGGACAAGCATGCTAACTTGGGACTGCGAGCTGGATACCGAGGCTAGTGGGGATTCCAATGCTGATTCATACACGCGATGGGAATCGTCGCTGCTGGTTACTGATGTCGGTTGTTGTGACATGTCTAATGTAGTGTCTTTGTAGTTGCACATTCGTCAGGAAAACGAACGGATTCAATAGGTTTTGTCTAAATGGCCAACGACTTACCTGAGCGGTGGCTGACAGCCGAAGGAACACTGGCCGAGGGTGCAGGCTGGGCTGACACTTCAATGATGTTATTGTTCTGTTGGGGTGGTAACATGATGGGAGATACTTCGATATGCTCTTGAGTGGAAGTAGGTGTGGGTTGTTTTGGGACCCATTCTACAATAAACACTTCATCATCCTCACTCCAGTCCTCTTGAGAAGCTCCAGTGGTATCCTGCGGAGGTTCCTCGATTTCGGTTTTTTCATTGTCATAGTTCCTTAAAACGGCTCTTGTGGGTGGCAACGCATGTCTCGGTTTGGGCATCACCAGTGAGGGAGGCGAACTGATAGGGCGAGCTTGGCTGCGTAGGAGGTCGCCATCACTTTTATTGGATACAAGGGTGTTTAACGGATGCTGATGGGTCGAAGGACGAGTCTCGGTTGATTTTGAAATTCTGGGAATCACCGTGGTTGGCACTGTCACATCATTGGCAGTGTAAACTTGACTATGGTTCAGCGATTTGTGAACATTCGATTTCTTCTTCTTCTTGTGAGAAAAAAGTTTGAACATGGAAAGCAATTGAAACGGTGAGTGGGCTGTTGGTAACTGGGAAAAGAAACGGAGGAAGCGAAAGAAGAGAAGAAAGGATTCTGGCTCATCATAATAAAAGAATTATGGGTTGACTGATGTAAACAACAACATTGCATCCATTTCGGATGGTATAAAAATGGTCATGTGGCACAAAATCGCTGTATCGATGATCAAAAATGCAACTTTTGTATGACACTTCGCATGGCGGAATTGTGTTTGAACCGCCAACATAATACCTAACATGGCAATCGGCCAATTATCAATAGCAGTGGTTCAAAGCAGTTGTAAATGAAAAAAGGAGGTCCCACAAGAGCACGACAGTGCTCCGTGAGGATGTCATGGTTCCATTCTTGCACACCAGCCAACTTTACACGCGATAGTCAGCATCATCATTTTACAACCATCGGTGATCGGATGTTTCCCATACTGCATACCAAACTCAGCTCATGAATGCCTGTCAAAAAGGGCGACTGATTGAACGTATATGATTTGACCCCTTTTTAATGATCTGAACCTGTCGATAAAAAGGACCGTTTTACTTGTTCATTCCCATGAATACTGTTCTTCGAGGACCAATGTGTGATCGTTCTTAATGACAAGAAAAAAGGATCATAATGATACAGTGACCTGTACTCTCTGTTATGGACTCGATGATGCGGTGCTTTTTCGGCCGGGTCATCTGAGAATAATTTCAGTTGGCTGGTATCCGTGGCTGAGGGGAACATTGCCTTTTCAGTGATGAGAATAACAAAAATTGCAGAAAATACCCGACTATAAAAAAATGCATGGCGTTGCTCCCATGGCGGCTACTGCGCGTTATGATTATATAAACAATTCATGTGTTTTATATAACCTGTCAATTGCAATGTCAGTAAAAGGCGGGAAAGAGGGATATGGTGTTCGAATCATATAGAACTTGACGGAATGAGGTGTAAATGTGGGAAATTTCAGGTACGAATAAGGCTGGAGGATGGCTACAATATATGCATGGAACGAAGAATGGCTGGGGATAGCATCACAGGGTTTGGGAAACCAAAAATTTGTGAGTGTGGTTCACATTGTCACTTCTTTTCAAAATACGCAGAATTGTTCATGATCAGAATACTGGTATCCAGTAGCCATTCGCCTACAGACAGATATTTTTGTACATAACCGCCCCATTCCTTGTCTTTGGGAGCCACGGGTCTATTTGATCAGTGTGTTCATCAGTTGTTGCTGCTGTCGTCAAGGTATACATTCATTCCACCGCACAACTTACTGAATTCCGGAGCAGCGCTTGATGGCCGCTAATGTTGTGCTTATAAGAAGAGCATCAATCGTGTAGTGAACAACTTTACCCAACATGCTTTCGGCAACAATGATAAAGAGGGTAAAACAAAAAGAAATAGAAAAAGTACGAGTGAATTTCAAGAGCTTAGAAGCGGAGTTGACCACATGAGCACATTCAAATAAACTCAAAAAAATTTATGTTGTGCTGATGTGCCTACTTCCTTTTTTTCTTTTCTCTAGAGTTAAATTTAATGACATTAAGATGATTGTTTCGCTTTTCTAAGTGTCTAATCGTTCTTTTTTTTTCTTGCTTTGTGTACATCTATGAGTGTGTTATAGATTGAAACATATGTTTCCATGATGTGAGAATGCGATAGAACCATAAGCCAAATTCCAGCGCTTCATAGTTCCACCATGCTTGGAACAAATGTTTCGTCAACCTCCAGTTTAGTCCCACCGTTCGGATTTGGTTCAAAAGGTACTGCTTCGTATCCAGCCATACAGCTTGAGCACAGTATCGTCCCATGATAAGGTATGTGTTTCGCTGATCAGGTACTACACTCAACGTTTCGTCAACGTGTCTCAGCAGGTCGTTCGTTTTCAAGAGCAGCAGCACGGCACGTGGTAATTTGCCAAGGATATCCGCAATCTCTTTCAAGAGTTCCATGGCACCCATCGACATGCGTCCCAATTCATCCGACGTTCTCATCGAGTTGAGATCCATTGATTGGATAGTGTCCCATTCTCGTCCTGTCAGCATGCATGCAAATATCTGGTATACTTCGGTGCCTCCCACCCGTAGTGAATATTTCTCGATGCCTTTTTCATCCCCTTTGATCAAAGCTGTCCATAGTTGTGCGTAGTCTGCCCGCAATTGCTGCGGTAATGTTCGGTATAATCCATGATCCAACAATACAAGATCGAAATTGAATCGACCACCCTCGTTTCTGTGGCGAATGATAACATTACCGGGATCTAAATGTAAGAGTTTGGATGAGACCCTAATAATTTATACACATCATCGACCTTAAATGAATACATACGTGGATCGCAGTGTACAAATCTATGGACAAACCAACATAAAGTAAGAAACTGTCAGCTATCCCTCGTCATTCTTACAGATTATCCACGACTTACCCATGCAAAAAGATCATTTCCGAGAAAGCGTGAATCAATTCGGAGGAGACCTCTTGTGGATTGATGCCATGACGCTTCATATATTCAAGATCATCAATCCGCGATCCTTCAATGACTATACATCAAGTCGTCAACACCTTTGCAATGGCTAGTCCATATCCTCATTATGCCACTTACACTCCATACACATGATCCGCCGTTTCGCCCATATGACTTTGGGAATAACCAGTGCGATTTTTCGTGCCTTGATTTCCTCTGCGAAATTAGCTTCCACTTGTCGGGCATTTTGCGCTTCGTGAACAAAATCGAGTTCCTTGGGTAATGATTCCCGCATTTCGTCTGCAAACCAGTCAAATCCGAAATCTGGGAAGGCTCGTTTGATAATGTCGAAAATAAACGTGACAGTCTTCATATCGATCTGACAAAATTCATCCAGAGACGGATGTTCGAGCTTCACCGCTACCCATCCATCGTATGTTTCATCCGCAGTTGAGCGTAGTCGTGCTTTATGTACTTGCGCTAATGACGCCACCCCAATTGGCTTCCAATCGAACTCTTCAAATACGTCTTCAATGGGTTGACCATAGTCACTGAGGAACAACTGACGGATCTCGTCTTCGGACGAAGGATCGCACCGATCCTGCAACACTGCCATGGTGGATGTCCACTCAATTGGGAGTAGGTATACCATGGCCGACACATGTTGCCCTAGTTTAACGTATACACCGCCTAATGTTTGCAAGCCCCGGAGAACTCGATTTGCACAACGCAAATGACAAGCCCTTTTTGCTTCTTCGGCTTCACTTTCAGAAGCATACGTGCGCGACAGCGTCAGTTTATAATCCAAAGCTACACGGGCCCCAACATAGCCAGATATACTGCATCGTTGAACAGCACTAATGACATGGCGGAACTGATCGTTGTTGTGGTATAAAAGTGTTCCACCTAGGCCGATGGCGGCCATACTGGACAATCCTACAATCGCTTTTCGGTTGGACGGTTTTGGACGACGTGACAAGGACTGCACCGAAGACGATGCATATTGACGGCTACACGATCGACGAAGCAACTGCCGGCTTAATGATATGTAGTGGGGTAGTAATCGTCTTTGACTGTTCATACAACGTTTTAAGAGACAAAAGGACCACTTTCATAAACTGACGTCAAAATGACCTTCCATATCCGGAGAAAATTGTTGAATGATCTGGAAGGCATCACCGAAAATCCCCAAATTGGATTTCCGCTTCGAACGGAATGATCCACTCGGACAAACGGAACGCGCAACAGCCGGAAGTTGTTGCATTTCACTCCACCGAATTCGCCCGGTCGCTTCTTACTCATAAATCCTGTAAAGGTTATTACGCGAGCCGTCAACGGTACTGTTGATGTTTTGAAGACTTGAGTTAACTTATACGCTTAACGCTAAATCCAAAAACAAGGGCTTCAAGTCAACGTCCACTATGACGCAAAAGAGAAACAGTACACAGCATCTGGTGAGCTAATGTTCAATGTGCATGTTCTCGGGATGGCGTATTTTGTGATCTACTCTACCTCTTTGAGTTAACGTTGCCACAGCAAAGGGATGAAATCATTCTCAAAAAAAAAAAAAAAAATGCGGCTCCAAGCATCGTTCATGACATGATTTCACCAGCAAATATTTGGATAAGCGGTCACCAGCTAAGATATTGGTTGTAGACCAGGCAGTTTATGCAATTGTAAATATATGCAGCCCTGAAAGATTTATTGTCAAATAGGGACAGCAATCCAAGTCCAGCCACAGGACCTTTGAGGACCGCCTGTTGCACAAAACCTCCTCTCCAGAACTGCGTGCATTTCCATATACTTTATGAAGAAATCTCTAATGGTGGAATGATCTAGCATTACTTGATACCAGGACCATTAGAGCCACCGAGATTTTGATTTTTCTTGGTACAGTCGCTATTTGATTTAAGAATCATCCCGGGAGCCACGAAAAATGATTCCTAAATCGAATTATTAATCGATTGATAACTTTTAAGCACCAAATAACGGATAAATAAACTGAGAATTCCACTTAAAGCGAGTATTCCTAAACCGAATGGCGCCTGGAGACCGTTCGGCTTCGGATTCATCCTGGGAAGCACAAAAAGTGATGCCGAAATTGAATTTGATGTAGAATACGACGTATAATAAAACTCATGATGGAAAGTTTTATAAAGTGAGAGCAAAATCGAACAGTGCCTTTATGCTTTGCCAAAATTATTCGAATCAAACGCACAAACGACAGCATTTCTTTTTTATTGAACACAAAATGGCCCAACCTGTTATTGAGGAGGGAAGCGGAGAAGGAGCACTCAAATTTTCAAGAGGAGCTTAACACTGATCCTGCAGATCAATCAATTTACGCGAAAAAACAGCACATCCATCGCAAAAGGAGAAATCAAGTTATAGGTACTGGTATTGCGATTCTGCGTGTTTCAATTGGCTGCACATCTGTAAGAACATTTTTAACGCAGGCAAGAGTAACTTGTTGTGGCCATGCTCACATGCGTTCACATCGTCCTTGGTCATGGGGCTCTCCGAGTTCCATCGCCGTTGCAACCCAGCACCATGGGAATAGCACCTGTTTCGTGGAGTGATACGTGAGCGTTTATTATCATAGCAACATTGAATACATGGTTTCAGACGAAACAAAAATAATACAAAGGAGTAGGGCAAGGTAGGGAAATTTTCTAGCATACAAGTAAAAGAGAGCGCGTAAAAACTAAAGCATTTCGCAATCAGGAGTCAGCCATAGTCTATACTGCACGCTATAGAGTGACTATAGTGCACATTGGTTGCTCATGGCAGCATGAGTAACATGGCGCAGCTCCTCTTTGCATTCCTTACGCGAAAGAAGAGTGAGGCGCTGAATTTCGCGAGTTTTGTTGCGGGAATCGAGCCAATGAGGTGCATTCGCGGTCATAAAGCAAGGTCACATCGAAGGTCCTCGAACGATTTTTGAAAAAGATATAAAAAGGGGGCGTTTCTTCTCATCTCTTTTTTTCTTTTGTGCGCCAGTTCGGAATCAGGGGCTGCTAGGCTGGTGGTTACTGGTAATGATGAGCGCTCCGGTTTTTGGTAAAGCATTCGGGGTATGGCGAAAAATCCGAAAACCATCTTCTAATGATAGGATTGGCCATCCTTTGAAGAGATTGTTTTCGTTCCCGTTGGCTCTTCCCTTTGGGCGCCTGACTAGTCATCAGCGCGGTCATTGTGGAAGGTATGTCGGTGGGTTTGCTTTTTAATCGCAACAAAGGTAAATGAAAAATAAAAAAGGCTTTTGCCTTCATTATTCTTTTTCTCAACCCTTTGTGGGTTGAATAATAAAATAAAAAAAGTGAGCTTAATGTCCTGTGGACGAGCCACTTTCATATAAAAAGAAAGTAAATGAAAACGCTTTGCTTAGATGAGATACAACATGGATAGACCTCTTTGTTTTATTTGTACCAATGACTCCTCTATTCAATAAAGACGTCCAATCAACGCCTCTTGCCCAAAAAGACCGTCCTCTTTATTCATAGGTTTGCCTGGCGCAGCTCACTCCCATCAACTATGCCGACTTGACCGTTAAACTGGCTTATTGGTTGTTCGTCCCAGTGAGGGAGATCACTCTTTTCTTTGTTATTGTCAAGATTGTGGATCGCAAGCACGACGAGTGATGAGGAACTGCTTTGGCGGTATTAATTTAGTCAACTACTTTTTGTAATGGTTATTTTTAAAGGCGTGTTAGTTAACCATCAAAAGATTGAAACAAAGAAAGTCGGCAGGAGGGAGTTTAGGTCGAGGGAGGGACAATGGAGCTTAGGTGACAAGTCATGAGGCAAGCCATGACTTGGTCCAATCTTTCCAACATGGCGGTGGTGGTGCTTTTCAGGGTTGTGAGGCCTAATGCGACAAGTTCACTTTGCACTTTTTGTGAATGATGATACTCGCGCGATCAACATTTGGAACCTTACAGGAACCAACACGGTAACTTGACTGTAAAACCATTATTCCTAAAGCGAAGATTGGATACCGGAAACCATAGAGTTTTCCTCTTGTCATGCAATTCCCGCATCTGCCCTTCTGAAACGATTTGCCAATTTCTGCTCCACGGTGACAACTGTGAGGAATACTTCATACAGTATCAAAAATCCATAAAGTGAGCGGTGGCTGTACTCGTTATCCCCAAGCGCAAAACTATTCATGTACCCGACAAATGTAAAGCAGGTAAAAATTCGATGTTTTATTACAATAAAAAAATAAAAGAATGAGAATGCAAGTCTAATGAATCTAATCTTCCTTCTTTTCAAACTTTTCAACAGGGAATGGCTTAATATTCCAGATCTTGTCGGCATACTCCCGTACAGCACGATCAGCAGAGAAGTAACCCATACCAGCGGTACACATAATAGATTTGCGAGCCCAAGCTTGAGTGTCTGCGAAGCAAGCATCGACCTTTTCTTGTGTCTTGAGATACGATTCGAAATCGGCCGAAACCAGATAGTAATCACCACCATAGGTCAAAGTGTTGATCAGGGGGTTGAAGATGGATGGATCACCAAACATGCCAGACTCCATAGCGTCGATCACCTGCTGCAAATAACTGTCCACAAGCACACCGTAGAACTTTTGGTTGTGTCGAATATCAGCCACTTCATCGGCCAAGGTACCAAACATAAAGATGTTTTCTTCACCAATTTCGTCGCGAATTTCAATGTTTGCACCGTCCACAGTACCGATGATCAGACCACCGTTGAGAACAAACTTCATGTTGGAGGTACCAGAAGCTTCGGTACCGGCCGTCGAGATATGTTGAGACAGATCGCTTGCGGGGATGATAATTTCGGCCAGAGACACGTTGTAATCGGGAATGAAGACAACCTTGAGCTTGTCCTTGATAGAAACATCGTTGTTAACGACATCGGCGACACTGTTGATAAGCTTGATGACGAGTTTGGCGATGTAGTAACCGGGAGCTGCCTTGCCACCAAAGATGACCACACGGGGGATTTGCTTGTCAAGCTCTTCGGAATCCATTCTTCTGAACTGGAGGTAACGGTAGATAACACCCAAAATGTTCATATATTGACGCTTGTACTCATGGATACGCTTGACCTGAATATCGAACAGAGCATCGGGGGAAACGGTGATATCCATGTTCTTTTGAATCCATTTGGCGAGACGTTCCTTGTTCTTGTGCTTGACATCCATCCACCTCTTTTGGAAATCGGCATCGTCGGCATACTTCTTCAAACCTTGCAATAGATCCAGCTTGGTCACCCATTCTTCGCTCTTCAGGGTTTCGGTGATCAAATTACGCAAGGAAGGATTGGCCTGGTACAGCCAGCGACGGGGGGTGATACCGTTGGTAATGTTGATGAACTTTTCGGGACCGTAATACTTGATGAAATCAGAGAACAGTTCCTTCTTGATAAGATCGGAGTGAAGGGCGGCAACACCATTGACAGTATGGGAACCGACCACGGCCAAGTAAGCCATACGAACATGTTGAGGATTGCTTTCTTCGATGATGGAGATACGATTGAGGAGTTCACGATCGCCAAAGTACATTTGTTCCACACGCTGCAGGAAGAAAAGATTGATATCGTAGATAATCTGCATGTGACGAGGCAAAACATGCTCCATCATGGGCACCGACCAACGTTCAAGAGCTTCGGGCAACACGGTATGGTTGGTAAAAGCAAATGTCTTCTGGACAATCTCCCAAGCATCATCCCAAGTAAGACCTTCCACATCAACAAGCAGACGTTGCAATTCTGGAATACCAAGAGTAGGGTGTGTGTCGTTGAGCTGAATAGCGACTTGGTTGGGGAACTCGGACCAAGGCAACTTGAAACGCTTGAAACGGTAGATGATATCTTGAAGCGAGGCGCTGACAAAGAAGTATTCTTGCTTGAGACGCAACTCCTTACCGACCAAATGGTTATCGTTGGGATAAAGCACGGAAGTCAAGTTTTCGGCGTTCTTCTGTTCACGGACGGACTTGTCATAGTCACCTTCGTTGAAAGAGGCGAAGTCGAAAGAGTTCTTGGGCTTACTCTGCCACAGACGGATATTACCACAGGACTTGGTAGCGAAACCGGGAATGGGGACATCGTAGGCCATGGCTTGGACCTTTTCACCGCCTTCCCACGAGAGACGAGACTCACCCTTATCGTTCATCTTGGTAGCCACATAACCATAAAACTGGACATCGTACAAGATATCGGTACGAGGGAACTCCCAAGGGTTCTCAAACTTGAGCCAGTAATCGGGAATTTCGTTCTGATAACCGTCATTGATGATCTGCTTGAAGATACCGTACTGATAACGCAAACCATAACCCCAGGTAGGATACTCAAGGGTGGCAGCGGAATCCATGTAGCAAGCAGCGAGACGACCAAGACCACCGTTACCAAGGGCAGCATCATTTTCCTGTTCAAGCAAGTCTTCGAGACGGAATCCGAGACCTTGAACACTCTCCTTATACTTGTCGGAAACATGAAGGGAGTTCAAAGCGTTGTCAAGGGCACGACCAATCAAGAATTCCATGGAAAGGTAGTAGCAACGCTTGGGGCTGCTCTTGTGCAAGCCTTCCTGGGTAAGATTCCATTCTTCGACCAAACGGTCACGGACAGAGTAAGCCGTAGCTTGATACACGGCTAACTTGTCAAGGTTGTAGACACCACGGCATACGGTGTTAAGCGTATGGTGGACGATATCTTCCTGGATAGAGTCGACATCGTTCTTTGGTTTGGGGATACATTTTCTCCATTGTTTGGTATGTTCTTCACTCAAGGGTTCACGACGAGAAGAACGGGTAGGGACAGAGGTAGTTGTGACGGGTTCAACGTCCTTGGCATTGTCCTCGTCGACATGAATAACGATATTCGTTAAACGTCTAGTCAATTTGGGCATCGACAAGCGACGCTTTGGAGTTCCGGGCACACTGGTAGGTGTATGGCTCATAATAAATGAGAAAAGAGAATGGGATAATCCCTTTTTGCAACCATCGAACGTTATTATATAATCCCTGGTTTTTTTCGAAAGTAATTTTTCTTTTTTGCAAAGGGTTATGTCTCACATTGGATTCCAGCCGTGTTTCCTTTATGATTTTAAGAAACGACCGATGATTTTTATTTTTCCATTTTTTATTTTTTTCATTTTCCATAACATGCTTTCAATCATATTTCCATGGATCATCATTGTCACCTTTCTGCATTGAATTGCAGATTACGAATGTTATTGACAGTTTGTAACTACAAAATGACGATCATGGAAAGGGTATCGAAGAAAAAAATCGCAAGTTTTTTGTTTGAAAATTTTCAGGCTCAGGCAAGTATGCGGTGTTTTTTATGTGCTCTATGCTTATTTCTGTCACGAGAATTTGGGGATATGCAACGCATTTTCTTGTATGAGCTGCCTTGATAACGATTAGCCAAAAGTATTGGTGAAACAAGGGCTTTCGAAATGAGAGAAATTAATCCCTCTGATTGGGTACAAAAGTTAAATATCGATAAACGATTAACGATAAAGCGCAATGTTTCTGCTTTCCAAAAAAATTGTCATCGGGAAAAGAAAACCCAATGTTATTCATAGGTCACGCTCTTCTTCTTGTTAAGTTGCATAGCCAGTATATCGTGTCAGAAATCGTAAACACTCTCGCTGTTCTGCTTATCATAACATTAACGTAAGCTTGCTATCAGGCCATGTGGTGGACCGAGTCCTTTTATAATGGAACCCCCAGTTTGACAATCAAATGAACCTGTTTTTCCATAAGCGATTCAATGTTCTATCATGTTTGATCTATATTTGATCCCATGTTCCATATATCCCAGGCATCTTTTCTGCTAAACTGTAAACATTTTGCATAAAAATACCAATCGAATTGGATGATATAAAGATATACTTGTGTATTGTGAGTGTTACAGGAAATTATCATAAATGATAGGCAAAAATTATACAATCATCCTTCTGAGAAAAACGACAAGTTATCAGTGGGAAAGAATAAAAAAACATTAAGGATGATTATTTGTATTCACATCGTTGCCAATGACTACTATCACACATCAATTAAGAGCTCATTATTATGTCATGGAGAGTTTCCGGCAGATTGTCGTGGCAACACCCTCCAATGTGCTGAAGGTAGTGAGCCCAATGATTTTCATCAACAAAAAAAAAAGCATACTCACAAATGGTTGATAGATTCAAAGTCCGCCGGAATTTCTCAACCAGCCGGACCAAGGTATCCCAAGTATGGCCAAGCCTAACTGAGCTCCTCCTCTTCCCCCCGACATATTCACAATGGTATGCATCCATAAGATGAAAAATAATGTATAGACCAACGATGCAGACGATGGATGATTTCGAAGCGATTGTGGATGGATGAAAGCGAAATTTTGATGGATACGTTGTTCGACATTTCAGCTGAAAAACGTTTGACATTTCGATGATCACTATGGGCCGAGAATATTTTTTAATTAGTCAATCGATAACCAAAATGAATCGCTGCATCGTTGGAACGAGTTTATACCTGGAATAATTGACATTTTGATGCTAATCATTTGTTTCAATGTAGGGTATCGACCTTAAGAATCACCACGTGAAGAACACCAACCGTACCGCTCCCAAGTCGGATAATGTCTACTTGGCTTTGTTGGTCAAGGTAAAATGCAGAGAATGAAGAAAATCACTTTTTAGCAACAACGAAAAGACGAGAATCTAATGCTGGTTTGGGACGTTTTTAGTTGTACCGTTTCCTTGCTCGCCGCACTGATGCCCAATTCAACAAGGTCGTCTTGAAGCGTCTCTTTATGTCTCGCATCAACCGTCCCCCTGTGACCGTCTCACGCTTGGCTCAGAACGCCAAGGATGGCAAGACCATCGTTGTCGTCGGTACCGTCACTGATGATTCCCGTCTTCTCGAAGTGCCCAAGCTTTCCGTTGCTGCTCTTCGTTTCACCAAGACTGCCAAGGCCCGCATCTTGAAGGCTGGTGGTGAAGTCTTGACCTTGGATCAGTTGGCTCTTCGTGCCCCCACTGGTTCCAACACCATCTTGGTCCGTGGTGCCAAGAACAACCGTGAAGCCGTCAAGCATTTCGGTATGGGTCCCCACAAGAACAAGAAGCCCTATGTTCGTTCCAAGGGTCGCAAGTTTGAACGTGCCCGTGGTAAGCGTGCCAGCCGTGGTTTCAAGGTTTAAACACACATTATCCAATAAATCGATGGAGCGGAATCCTGTCAAGGTCGACTCGTGTAAATTTCTCATCTCTACACTTTTCTTTCTTGTCTGATGTCTGATTTCTGGTGATATACAATTATGGACCGTTCCGGTTTCTCTCAGCACTGAAATTGGCTGTTGAACTCGATCCACACACGGTTGAATCTTTTTGAGTGAAAATTCTTCTTTTTGAGTGGAGGTTGGTTATGGAGGATTGTGGGACGAATGAGAAGAGTATATTTTATAATGCACTTGCGCGCTTGATGTGAGCACAAGGCAATCTATGCCAGTTTTTACTTTATTCTGCTTAAATATCTATTTCTTGTGCTTCTTCTTTAAATCTTCGACTTTATCTCTGATCTTCTCTGTCTTCACATGCTCTTCTTCGATTTTATGACGGAAAGCTTTCAATTTTTCAGCATCCTAATGAAGCAACAGAATGGATGAGTAACGTTGTCATTGACACTGGGTTCATTGGTCGAAAAACTTACATCTTGTCGTGCCCACTGATCTTCGGCGGCCTTTTCACGATCGGCAAATTTACCGAGACCAACACCTTGATCACCGCTGGAGCGTTGTACGACTGTAGAATGAGTGTACCGCGGCCACAAAGCTGGAACTTTTAACGAACGATAGGAAACGGACTTGATCAACATCACCAATCACGTATAGCAAAAAGACCCAAAGGAGAATTAACGAGGGCAAAAACTATGTGCCGTTTGATATTTAAATTTATCATGCACAAAGCAGGGGGTTTAGTTTGTTGGCGGGAATATCTGCAATAGCAAACAAGTGAATGCTTTTTTTTTTCTTTAATGTTTACATGTAATGGTCCACCCACTGTCCATCTACAATCAATCGTACAAGATAGAGTATATCATGTGGACTTGAGAAAAACCCTTGGAAGTTAAAATAATACTTTTGCAAACGTCGTGTTTCTGTTCCTTGCAAAAGACGGTTCTGTTGGTCGCACAAAAAAGCGTTATCCAATCGGCGATCTTCATGACTGAGACTGCGTTTCATTCTTGGAGTCTTTTCCGTTCCAACGTTCGGTGTTGCATAGCTGAGAAGAACCTGCAGCAGCCTTATGGAGACTAGCATATTTTCGGCTCCTCTTGTTCGAGGATTAACAGACAAAATATATGATAGAAGAAAAGCAGCCGCTCTTGAAATTGAAAGGTGCCTCCCAATTTTTTTTTGTCTTTCAATTCTCTTTTTGATTGTAGTTTGACCATCCGTTTGTATTGACACGCACACCGTACGCAATCTTGTTTAGACTTGTACGCGAGAACAACAAGGCACCAGAACGTATAACTGCCATTATTAATGCACTTGTTCAAGACTTTGTCTATTCAAATAACTCCAATGCAAGGTATGGAGGATTGATTGGTTTAGCGGCAAGTGCCATTGCTCTTGGACCTGTAAGTTTACTTGAAGCGCACTGTGTCACACCGTCGGAAGAAAAGTTTCAAAACGGGGTTTTTGGTGGTTTGGTTTCTGTAGGGAGTAGCCGAATACTTGGATATCATTGTTCCTCCCATCCTTTCGTGCTTCAATAATCAAGATCAGAAAGTGCGATATTATGCATGCGAGAGTATGTATAATATTGCCAAGGTTGCCAAGGGCGAAGTATTGCGGTTCTTTAACAGCATTTTTGATGCGCTGTGCAAGGTAAATACTATCTTTTGGAAAACCATGAGCACTGAACGTAACGATGGCATTTGCGGTTGAGCCTCCTTTGTAAAATTTGAATTGGGTTCTTTTAGCTTTCTGCGGATTCTGAATTGACGGTGAAGAACGGTGCAGAACTGCTGGATCGCCTTATCAAGGATGTCGTCTCTGAGCTTTCTACGACGTACGTTTCTCCGCATCAACCGCCTCTGAACCCGCCAGAAACAGAGGAACAACTACTGGTGCCTACATCTTTGCCTCGCAACACCGCATTCTCCTTACCACGATTCATCCCGTTACTGAGCCAACGCATCTACGTTCGCAATTCATCCGCTCGTCAGTATCTTGTGCAGTGGATCGGTACCTTGGATTCAATTCCCGATTTGGAACTCGTTTCCTTCCTTCCCGAATTTTTGGATGGATTGATCCAGTTTTTGAGCGATGCCAGTGAAGATGTCCGTGTTGCCACCAGTGTTTTGTTGGCCGACTTTTTGCAAGAAATCCGTCAAGCCGCGGCAGTGCGAGAACAACAACAACAGCTCAACTTTCGCCGATTTTTGAAAACCAAGGCAACGACGGAAGCCCAAGAAGAAAGCGAGACACCGAGCGAGGAGCAACCACATCCCAAACTCACCTCTGATAAAATGGTGACCGATGATGATCCTGAAGCCGATGTAGAGTCGACTGCGTCTATTCAGCCTGAAGACGACTTGGGGTCCGACAACGATGGGCATGGGAAAGGCAATTATATGCCTGGTCAAGGTGTCATTGTCAAATATGATCGTATTGTGGAGATTTTGGTACCTCATTTATCGTCGTCCGAAGAAGATATCCAACGCACGGCTCTTCAATGGATCAATGAATTTATCGCCATTGCCAAGGATGTCATTATCAAATATACACCCGAGATCATCAATGCAGTCTTGCCTTCCTTGGCTCATCCTGTAGATGCTATCCGCATGTTTGCTTTGGAAGTCAATCAAAACTTGCAGAACCTTGTGTTTGAATCATCCAATACCTATCCTGAACCCATGGCCAGCGTGAGCGATCCCTCCGGCCGCCCTTCGCAGATGAAGCTGCCACCCAATGTGTCACCGTCTGTTTTAGCCAGAAGCTATCGTTCCAATCTCACGGAAAGCAACAACGAGGATCCCTTTGATTACCAAACCACTGTTGCCAACCTTCGACTGCAATTTCTGAATGAGCATGAAGAAACACGAGTCGCTAGTTTGGATTGGCTGTTGATGCTGCATAAAAAAGCTCCTAACAAGGTATACTCAACATGGGTCGATTGCGCCACACAAACTAAAGAAAAATATCAAATCTTTGAAAAACGGCTGCATAGATTCTAGCTTCGGATGATGGTACATTTCCGGCTTTGCTCAAGACGCTTTCGGATCCTTCGGAAGAGGTAACAGGCTATGATAGAACCGATAATAAGAACTGGGTCTAATCAAGAAGATATCAAGGTGGTACGACGCGACCTGCAATTACTTGCACAAATATCATCCCATTCAGACCACAACTACTTCCGCAGCTTCATGATGAATCTTCTTTTATTATTCAGCACCGATCGGCGTTTGTTGGAGACCCGAGGCAGTCTAATCATTCGGCAACTTGGCATGAGTCTCGATCCCGAACGTATTTACTGCACCATTGCTGACATTCTGGAAAATGACGAAGTAAGATATCTCGCCAAGGCAATAACAAAAAATATGGCTGTTACTTTTTATCTCATCCTTTTTCTCCCCCTTTTCAGGATTTGGAATTCGCCAGTATTATGGTGCAAAATCTGAACATTATTCTCATCACGTCCTCGGAGTTGGCAGATTTACGCAAACGGCTCCGAAACCTCGATCACAAGGTATGGTTCCAAGTGGGAAAAAGGTTTCTGCGTTTTAAGACTGACTCTTGGTAACTCTTTTAGGACGGACAACGATTATTCATTACATTGTATAAATCGTGGTGTCATAATGCAGTAGCTACGTTTTCTTTATGCCTATTAGCACAAGCCTATGAACATGCTGCAACCATGCTGCAAGTCTTGTAAGTATTGGTCCTGTAGAGAGAGGCGCCGATGACGATCAAGTTGACCTGTTTTTTTTTCAAATGTTTTAGCGCCGAGCTTGATATTACTGTGAATATGCTGATCCAAATTGACAAACTCGTGCAACTGTTAGAATCGCCTGTGTTTACTTGTGAGTAATTGCGGTATCATATTATGCTCAAGCCAATTGATTTTTTTACACATGCGTCCACTACAGATTTGCGCTTACAATTGTTGGAGCCTGATCGATACCCACATTTATTCAAATGTCTCTACGGCATTCTTATGCTGTTACCCCAATCCTCTGCATTTTCTACCCTTCGCAATAGATTGAGTAGTGTGTCTTCGCTAGGTTTTCTTCATGTGATACCGAAAAGGTAGGTTACGAACTAGAACGGATTACGCTTTGTATCATGTATTCATCTGCTTCTGTGCAGCCCAACCATTGCGGAGACACCCAAGCCACGACAAACGGCTAAATCGGCCACTGCCACGAAACCCGCGGAAGAAAATCTGATCAAATTCCAAGAATTGTTGCAACATTTCAAATCTGTGCAAGCACGGCATGAGAAACAGCGCAAGCAAGGTAAGTTTATTGATATTGATGAAGGTGAAAATGGAATGTCACTGCAACTAGTTCATCTTTTTAAGCACTGCAAAATGTATCGAGAAACAACACATCCAAGAATCGTCGGCCTCGATTGGTATATGGTATGCATCATAATCATAATCTAGACCGAATATACCAACTAACTCGGTATGCAGGCACGTCAGGTGGGAGCAGTATTGCCAGTAATGGATCATCAGCACCAAATCAAACCAGCCACCGTGACGAGGTCAGCAAGGGAGGTCTCAGAAATGCCATGAACAATCTGACTCTTGGAAATGGGCATGAACGTTCGACAAGTCCTAACCACCCATCTCGTGGCACTAGCGCTTCCAGTCCCGCCACTCGCATGATAGGCAGAAAATCACGCAAACCATAGCCCAATGTTATTCCCATTATTTATTTCTATCATGTAACATAAATTTATGTTGATTCATCAACAATTTCTTTTTTTCGTTTTCCCTTATCATTCAAGGATCAAAAGATATACAAGAAGCAGTATTCGATCTCGGGTGGCATGATTCTAGACAGTGGAATATTTACTCGACCTTTTTGTTTTGTTCGAGTCTCGCCTCTTCCCACAACGTTTTGCCGGAGCAGGCGCATACTTTTTTCATGTTCTCGAAAGCTCCAGCGCTTCGTGCAATGATGCCACAAAGTACACCTTCACCGCTGGAACCGTCCCATTTGGAAGCCTTGGTATCGGCACGACCAAGATCGTCCTCATTCTTGCTGATAACCATACTTCGGCCAATAATATCCCATACTTTGACACGTTCGCTCTCAATTACAAGATCGCCCCAGCCGTTTTCATCCACTTCAACGTTGCCGAGATCACCGACATGGCCCGTATACTGATCGCCATGATCAACACCAGTAGGGTTGAAATGATCACCGGCCGACATCCAGCCTCTGGAAATATCGCCTAATTCGTGAATATGTACACCGTGTTTTCCGGGAGTCAAGCCTTGCACAGTCAAGTCGATCAAGCACGTTTCGTTGTCAATTTGAACAAAGCGGGCGAGTCCTTGGGTACCTGTGGGAATGGTAGCGGTAGGATCGGAACCAAAGGTATCGAAGATACAGACGGCGGCGCCAGAATGACCTTTGCCGCCAGAAACACCTTGACCACGAATAATCACGGTACGTCCCGATTCTTTGAGAGCCTTTGATACTCGCGAGGGCGGTGCTGTAATAGATAATTAGAAATGATTTGTCAGCAATTTCGTCGTACATGAAACTGGCTGTATTGGATGGCTTTACCATGGCCCTCCACTGTCACTCGCTGTTCCTTCAAATCGATATCAAAATGGTTAATGCCTGCACATATCAATAGACGTTAGCATCATTAGTTTATCCAATGTCGCACCATCGCATCATTTTACCTGGAAATTTCTTTAAAATGTCAGAAATGCTGTCCACGCAACTTTGGCATGTCATTTCGACGGCGAACTCGGTCTAATATTGTGCGGGTCAACACAACTTTAACCATATACAAATCCTCCAACGAACCTTGAAATCTTTCAAAGGAGCCGAGTGCATGTCCTTGGTGTCAGCCTGAGTGGTTGTAGTGCTTGTAGATGTGGGCATGGTGGATTGTGATTGTCCCATTTGGACCACAGGCTGTAATTTTGTGAAGTTTTCAGACAGCGCAGGAAGAGAAGGGATTCAAAGCCCGACAAGCGTAACGCGACAATTTTTCGTTTCGGAAAGAATCATGCCGAAGTTTCCGCCTCCCGTCGGTTTCTGACATCATACGGTGCTATTGATACATCAACAAACAAAAGGAAAATGCGCTTCTACAGTAAGCAATATTTGTATCAAAAGCATCCATTACATAGAGGCTTGTGTCACGAGAGCGACCATTCACGCATGGACCAATAGCTTGTTTGTTGTGCATAGTACAAAATCATCCTCAATTTTCTTGTGCCAGGTATCGAGCAAACGATTTGCACATGGCTCATAAGTTGGAAACAGCAAAGGCAACGATGTCCCAAATCTCATTCATGTACGTTTTTGAGTACATATTGGGAGTACCAAAAAAATTGTCGACAGATTCTTTTCTCATTGTTAGCTTTTTGATCGTTCAATTAAGCCATACAAATATTAACTCAATGTATCTGGAACTTGTATCCTTGACGGTAATGACAGAGCCCAATTGTAATTTATTAGCAATCAAATGATCAGTCTGTCACCTAAAATATTCTCGCTTTGATGCTTTCCTGCAATGAGTCTAGTTTTGCCTGCAAATGCAATATGGCGGCTTCCTGAGAAATCGACGTACAGCAACTTGCTCAAGTAAGAACTAAAGACAGTAGCACGGGTCAGGATTCATCAAATAGAGCTTGTTATAGCTAAATACTGCTATAAAGAGTAGAGGCGTAAAAAATGGATACGAAACGTATCGCTTATATCGGCATCTCACCGTCCTGTTACTGCTGCATGTGACAGCAAAAGTTTCGGATACATTTTCTGGCGATTTTCTGTTCGTTTTTGGAACACAGTCGATCTAATTCAAGTTCAGCGCAGCCTTAATACAATTAGGCGCTGTTTTTCCCCACACCTTTCTTCCTTTCTCCGCTTTGTCTGTTTTTGTTGATTTCTCTGCCATGCCTAAAGTTGTGATCCTCGGTAAATGTGCTATTAATGTGCAATAGCCACTCACCAATATGGCAGTATAATTTATGCGTGCGTTATCATCTAGGCGCCGGGGTTACTGGTCTGACAACTGCGGTGACTTTGCTCCAGGAGGGCTATAAAGATGTACTGGTGGTCGGAAAACATCTCCCCGGTGATATCGACGTTGATTATACGTCTCCCTGGGCGGGTGCTTCTATCCTTAGCTTTGCCCACAGTAAAGACAAACGTCTTCAAGGTGCTTATCGATTTTTCTGTTTTGCATTGTGTGTGTAAGAAAATCAGGCAATAGATCCGCTTACCATATATTGTTACTTTCTCTTGCCAATAGCCATCGATAAATATTCTCTCAAGGTGTTCCATCGCTTAGCCGATGAAGTGCCTGAAGCGCCTGTAATGTATTGCCCCGGCTATCAGTTTCATACCGAAGAGGACGAAGCCGATCACGACAGCACCTGGGTGAAAGATCATTACTACGACGTATGTTGCTTCTGAGCGCATGTTTTGCATTTGATTATGACTCATGTTTATACGATTTTACAATTTACTAGTTCGAAATGATTCCAAAGGAGAAGCTTCCAAAAAACACTGCTTTCGGTTACAAATTTCTAACATGTAAGAAAATGAAAAATCGTGCATTCTTTTTCTCACGTTGGGTCAGACAATGACTCACGGTTAAAACAGTCACTACTAATGCACCGGAGTACTTAATTTGGCTCGTCGACGTGCTTAAAAAACTCGGAGGTGATCTGAAGCGTGCGGAATTTGATTCTATCCAACAAGTCATTCACACTTACAAGGATGCCGAGATTATTGTCAACTGTTCGGGTATGGGTTCAGCTGAGCTCAAGGATGTACGAGATACCACCATGTATGGAATCCGCGGTCAGACGGTCCTGGTGAAAGCTCCGCATATCAAGACCCAGTGGTACCGCGATGGTAAATCATCAGTTTACAAAAGAACCAACATGTCTCCGAGTCATGGTTATTCATGAAAGGAATTAGGCAAGGGTACACTCACTTATATCATTCCTCGACCGGGTGGCAACGTTATTTGCGGTGGAACTTTTGATACCGTTAATAAGAGCCCTGTCCCCGACGAAGAGCTGTCAAAAAAGATTCTGCGCGACTGTTACGAACTGTGTCCTGATCTCACTCACGGTCAAGGTCCCGAAGCTTTTGAGATTGTATCGGTGAACGTCGGTTTCCGTCCCGGTCGGAAAGATGGTATCCGTCTGGAAAAGGAAACGCGAGGTAAGGACTAGAGAGAGATTGTCAATATTCTGGAGCTTTTATTCATGAAATATGATAATTTTAGTGCGATCGGACGGTCGTAAGGTAACCGTTTGCCATAATTACGGTCACAGTTCCCATGGTAAGGCGAACGATGGGTCCACATGATGGAACACATTTCATTTAACTGATTCATCAACGTTATCACTAGGTTTCCAATCCAGTTGGGGTTCAAGCGCAAAGGTTTTGGAATTACTCAAGGATACGACAGGCCGATTATCCAAATTGTAAAGAATAAAAATATCCAACAACATCATATCGCAATTGAAACTGGAGAAGCGGCATGTTGCAAATGATTATGGCATTTATTGGATCGTGCGGTCCGTGTATCGCTTATACAAAATATGAGAGGTGTTGTTGTTTGTCTCGGTGTTGGAGTTCAGATGGAAATGAAATAATTATACAATCGTCAATGATGTTGATGGCAGAAGAAAAGGAAAAAAAAGGCTAAAGGAACAAAAAGCTGAGAGAAGGGAAATACTAAGGCTTGATCAAATACAAATCATAATTCATGGGTTGTTTTTATTATTGAATACATTGATGGATTTTTGCAAGCAAGTAAGAATGAATAAAGAATAAAGAATAAATTATGAAGTCAAATTTGCATGTGAACGATAAGAAGCATATGTCGAAGAAATAAAATAAAAAATATACAAAAGGAAGCAATGGAAGCAATGGAAGCAAATGAAGCAAAGAGGAAATATACAAATGAATAATGAAAAGCGAATATGTGTCTGAAACCAGCGATGAATGGGGAGCACAAAGGTGATGATTCTTGTAGTGATCCAACGATATCATAAGGCGGTCCGTCGTAGGCCGTAGCGGAGCATCTGGTGCATGGCTTTGGTGATATGTATGCATGAGTAAGCAGTGTGTAGGTATGTATATGTGAGAATTGTTTGCGTGTGTGGATTGTGTGAGTGAACGATGTATATGTGTGAGCGTTTTGTATGTGTGTGAATTGTATGCATGTGTGAGCGTTTTGTATGTGTGTGAATTGTATGCATGTGTGGATTGTGTGTGTGTGTGGATTGGATGATGTTATCGAAGACAACGGGAATGCCATATTGTTTTGGTCTTTTTTTTTTTTTTTTTTTTTTTGTAGATGTGCCATTTTTGCTTGCCAGATGTCTGCAGCCGTGCCTTGTCGGGATGCGCCGTATGATCGTCATTTTCGGTCCAACCGCATTCGTAGGCAATGGAAACTCCGGCTTCGGTATGCTTCGTCCTTTTCTTGACAATGGAAACTCCGGCTTCGGTATGCTTCGCCCTTGACAATGAGAGACTTGCCAACCCCCCGCCAGTGATGACCGACTGAGTGCGACGCAATTCAAGCCACTTACCAGCTCCAACCCCACTAGCTCATTTGCCCGTTTCCCCAAGGCGCCCGCACCGCTCTACTCAACCAACTGCTCCCCTCCTTCCGCCGCCCTCCTTGCTTGGATCTCCAAGCAAACCATTTGCATTCAGTGAGAAAAAGAAAAGGGGAAGGGGAAAGGGAAGGGGAAGGAAAAAAAAAAAAACCAAGTTGCTGGTCGACGTGCCGAAAACGCCGAAATGTCGTAGTTTCGAGTTGCGGAAAGTCGTAGTGTCGACGTGTCGAATGTCGTGTTGCCGAAAGTCGAGTTGCTGGAAATCGTACGTGTCGCAGGGTCGAATGTCGAGTTGCTGGAGATCGTCGTGTCGTAGTGCCGAAATGTCGAAGTGCTGGAAATCTTACCTGTCGTAATGCCGGGTGTCGAGTTGCCGGATGCCGATTGCTGATTCGTCGAATTGCCGGTGTGCTGGTGGTCGCCGATCGTCGTGTTGCTGGGTTGCCGGGACTTGGTACGAACGAAAGAGAGGGGAGGGGGAAAAAAGAGGGAAATAAAAAATATGGGGGAAGGGAAAGGGTAAAGTAGAGAAAAAAAAGGGGGGCCAAAAAGAAAAGGTTCTCACTGAAAAGGTTTGCGAGTTACAAGGCTCACTGGATGACTTTGGAGGAGAAAGAACAGCGGCGAGCAGAGACAGTACGAAGCAACCTCGGATCATGTGGGGCTATCGCTAGCGAAGCCTTCACTGGCAGAGGTGACTTGAACCACGAACTGGAAAAGCAAACCACAAAGGGCTACTCTCCAGCCAAAGCGACACCCGAAGGCGCCACTTTGCACACCCAGCCGGTCGAAGCTTGCAATTCACTGGGTGACGAGACGCCTAATAAAAGAAAAATATGGTTAATATGACTATGTGACTCATATGCTGATGGCTGCTGGGCAACTTACCAGTCAAGAGGGGTGGCGGTGACGACGGGAACTATGGTGCAAATAAAGAAGTCTTAGTTATACGTTGTAAAAAGCGCACTGAACAAATAAACTGACCAAAAGTTGTTCCCGGGATGCACATATTTGGCCCCTTCATGGACGAAGGGACCAGCCTCTGTGGCTCCTTGATTGGCGCCACCAATCTTAACTGAAGGAGCCACAGAGGCTCAGCTTTGACAACGCGTGCCAAGGGAACGGCGACCGACTTGCCCTTATTGAGGGTCTTTGCCTTCTTTGATGGTCGCTCCTCAAATGGAGCCTGGTCATCGTCGGCTGCCCATTGACGTTTCTTCGGGCAGGCCGACGGAGGAGGACGGACGACGACGGTGGGCTTACCCGCGACCAACTTTTGCTTTTTGGCCGCGGGAACTTGAACGGGTTTATCGTTTTCGGCTGCCCGCTGGTGCTTTTGCGGGCAGACCGAAGGAGAGCAGACAGCAGCCACGTCATTGGCCCGCTTTTGGGCTCTGGGAGGGTGGGCGGGAGGAATTCCCGTCGGCCACAGTTCTAAGTGCGTAAAAAGTTTTGGTGAGTTTTTATGAATTTTTTATTGCGCGGATGGTTCTTACTGGGCAACACCGGTTCGAAATGGGGAGGGCCCAGATGAACCTTGACCTTCTTGCTGGGCCGTTCGTCCGTCTTGCCGATTTCCACGGCGTACTGCTTTCGCTTTCTGGTACGCACGTCGGCGGCTTCTTCAACGTGCGAAAGCTCTACAGTATCAATAATTTGCGTTAAGTTTTCTTAGTTCTGAGACTTTTTCGTTGCGCGCATTGTCCTTACTAGGGAGCACAGGCTCAAAGAAAAACAGGTGGTGCTTCGTGACCGCCTTCGAAATTGCCACAACGTGGCGCTGGCGTCTTTTAAAAATTCGGTGCAACGGATGTTGGACACCCAAGGCACGGGCGCGGGAACAAGCGCGGGAACGAGAGAGAGATCGAGAGAGAGAATGAGGGAGAGAACGAGAGAGAGGACGAGAGAGAGAACGAGAGAGAGGACGAGAGAGAGAACGAGAGAAAGCGTTAAGAAGCATTTTAACTAAAAAGAAAACAGTGAGAAAATCAGGGCAACAAAGCGAGAAAAAAGTTACTGAGCTATACTTACGAGTAAGTCAAGGAATTCTGTAAACAATAAAGAAAAAGAAATTAAAAATTGTCGCGTTTGATTAGAATAAATACTCAAAGAGAAAAAAAAAACCACGTCCTGATTTCCTTTTCTTGAACAATAAAAAAAATTACACTCGAATTTCCTTTTTTGGGCCGCCATTTAACTTAGCGCCAGCACCCTGTAGATTTTCTACTGCCAGAGCAAGCAGTGCTGGCAGTGTGGAAAGCATCAATTTATTTTGTAGCGGTTATTTCGATCAAAATGGGCCAAAAGCGTGCTGTTTCGTGCTGCTACGTGACAATTGCTCCTGGTTACACGATCGCCTGCTTACATGTTTAAAAACATCATAACCGTGAAATAGTATCCTATCCATATTATTCCTCGTATTAGATGTTAGCTGGACTTCACCATCGTATTTCCAATAGATAGCTCGATATGTTGATTTGCATTGTCTCGTTCGGAAGTAACCTTAGTACCTGGATGTCATAATTTCGGGGTTGCACTGATGAAACACAAAGTTTACGGTCAAAGCGTCGATCCGCCCCTGCGTTGACATTTCCCAAAACGGCTATTTCTTGACAAACACGGAAATCAGGAGGCATAAGCGTTGCATCCACATCGTCGCTGTATATTTTCTTGTTGAGGATAAATAAATGGGTTTCTGATCATGACAAGTAAGTTTGTGATGGAAATATTTCCATGTTTACATGCATAAATTGGTGGCGGATAATGATCTCAGTTCAAAATTTTAGGTGCCAGTCATGATCCCTCCACATTTTTAGAATCGCCATTTTTTGTTATCCACATTCATTCGAGATCATTTGTGAAAGCCTATCTGTTGCCCTCTAATTTAGTTATATAAATTTTTCATCTTATTCCATTATCATTATCAACATGTCTGCTCTGGTAAATTCTTAAACAATCTTCCCCTTGTCCATGCCACGATAAATCATAATGACAGGCGAACCACGGAAGATTTGATCAGTCTGCAGCATCCGCTATATATGACCCAATCCCCCGCGTAGATACGCCTTATGGTAGTGCGTCTCCATTCTTTTTCACCCTTTCCGCGATTCTCAGCGAGCCCAACAGTTTTTCCGCCCCTAATGCGTCGCGATACCATGGTCAGACGTACCCACCAATAAGTACCTTTACGAATATGTGTAAAAAACAGCAGCACTCCTCCCACATTATCTTCACCCATTATCTTTGGTTGGGGCGCCACTACCTGTATAAGATTCATAACTGCCACGAATAACGACAAATTTACTGTACGATTTCGTTGGGTGCGTTAGGTGTCATAGATGGTCGTTGTAATAGAGCCTCGGGCTGTATCAATGTTGACAAAAACTGTATGTTGAGTTTCCGGTCACAGTTCTGTAAGTGGTTACCTAAGGCTGCAATCGGTGTCGTACTGGTGTTCGGATCTTCTGCGTTGCTGAATGCCGAAATATAATTCACCATGTCCTCAGAAAAGTTTCCACGACGAAGAAACGTCTTTTCTATGCTTTCATCGTATGATCAAAAACCATCACCGAAAGATTGAATAGTTGTTTTCCTCACTCTCACGCTACTTGTTGTTATGGAACCAGTGGTTATCCAATTCTCAAAAGTCGCGCGATGTGTTGGTCATGGACGTTGCATAGTGAAGCAGCTGTATTCGTTTCTTCCTGTCTTTCCTACAGCCGGAGCAGCGTAAAATACGGCCGTTTTCGTGAAAATAGTAGATCTCCCGGTCGGCAGCAATCCACTTTCCCTATATGCTTACCTTGTCCGCTTCAAGACCTGACACATATCGGCAGACCCCCTTTCAATATGAATTCGGTTCATCTCGATCAGATGGTTCTTGCGAACATGGACAATCATCTGCTTATCATGTCGCGTGCGAAAGAATCTAAACCTAAACACCAGATACGCGTCAGCAACTTCGCAATTGACAACCCTCCAACCTAGACGTTAGAACTGGCACGCCCTCATGCCATTCTAACCACTCACGCACCAGGCATCCCCAATCTGCTGATTACTCTACCGAATGGAGTGACTTCCACAGTTTCCTTTGGCCCTTCGAAGATTTGCAACACTTAGCTTTTGGACGAAACCAATGGCTGAAATTAGAAGAATCCTATCGAACCAAAGCACCCCACTAAACAAGTACTTTCGCCTTGCACCAAAATCCGAGAAGTCGTCACGAGTTCCGATTTGTCGGTTAACTTGGTGGCCTACCTTACCTTGGAATAGCCTTGTTTATTACATTTTTATCGAGAATAAAGCTTAATCTCATCGTATAACATCTCAATCAATATTTACGAAGATGACGACATATGATGCTTGCCTGCATGAATTGGAGCAGGCCCGAATCTCCGTCCAGACATTTTTTAGGCCGCAGATATGATCCATCGGCGTCCTTGGGATGGCTTGTTACCCATTTTTGTATTCTGGGATTGCAGTAAAGATCAACTGAGTATTTTGGACTGGCCACCGAGCTCAACGGCAAAAATATGGATACGATGTAGAAGATCCCGTCTCGGACAGACTTTTTGGGACAGTGGGACATAATGCCTCTAAGTATCTTATTTCCACTTGGCGATCAGCAGTATACATGTTTAACAAGGGTCAAAGAATCCACTTGTTATGAAATCCAAAGAATCGCCCGTTTTTTTTTTATGATTGCTGTCAGTTATTGTCGTTGTTTGAATTTGGAATTTTAAAGAGTGAACATTATATACTTTATCATTGAAAACGAAGAAAAACAAAATTAGCACAGTTATGCAAATAAACAAGGGACAAGATGCATCACAGAAGGGATTTTATGATGCATTGGGAGCGCGGTTGGCCATCATGTTGGCACTGGCGATACCGCCAACATCGGTGGAGATACGTGTGATGGCAGCATTGACGCTACCGTTTCTTGTAAAGGCTCTTGCAGCCATTGCGGATGTGCGGCGGCGGCGCATGGCAGCATCTTCGTCTTCCACGGTGAGGTTGGCCTTGTCACGAGCCATGGCCCTTTCAAAGAGAAGATCGGGAAGGGTACAAGTACCGAGGGCACGACGCATTTGTGTATTCAAGTAGGACAAACCAATCTGGTACGAAGCATTCATCCAGCCAAAACCTTCACGGGGTACAAACTTGAAATCGGTACCAACATTGCCGTATTCGACTTCCACTTTGTGCGACAAACTAACCACGTCAAATTTCTCCGGAACCACACCATTGAAATCGACAAAACTCTTGGTAATACTAAGATATTTACGTTCCCAAAAGACTGATGTGAGGACCATGTTCGTACCATTATTGACTAGTTTATACTTACGTATACAGCCATCGATAGGCTAATCGTCGAGCAATGTCCATCATGCCATATTTTTCAAAGCCGACCCAGGCCATGATCTGATGCGGAGCCCAGCCAAATGGGAAATCCCACTGACGGTTGGGACGATCAAGCGAAATTTGACCACGCGATTCTTCGGTACCAGACACTAAACCACCGATGACTTCGAATTTGGGAAGCGATTTCTTGGTCATTTTCGCGGCTTGCTCAGCACTGGCGCAGCCGGCCCACAAAGCCCAAAAGGCAGTGACACTATCATAATCGGCTTGTTCCTCTTTGACAGTGTTGTAATCATAGTAAAGAGATTCTTCCTCGTTCCACAAGTATTTATCGATGCGTTCGCGACGTTGTTTTGCTCGCTCCAACCATTCTTCGGATGTCTGCTTTACACCGTCAAACGAATCAAGTTTGTCATCCAGATAATCGCGAATGGCATCAGCAATATCCATTTCGTATTTGTAGAGCAAAGCATTCAAATCAATGGTAGCCAAATTGGCGCAAACTTTTTCGAAGCGGTAGGTGGTATCGTGACCGGACTCTCGAACCGCACGATCGTGCAAGAAATACTCATCCAATTCCGGTTCCTTCACTTTACCGTCATTGTAGAGATCGTCGAATTCTTCAATGGTGACACCGTGTTTCTTGGCATAGGGAGCAATCACATGTCTGAAGTGGGAAGCTTCGGTTTCCGGAGGAATGCCCAGGCCTTCAGGTCGGTAACGAGACAGCATGGTCTTCTTGTCCAGTCGGGGTTCGCTCATCCAGACTTCGTGATATTCCTTGATGGCCGATTTAAAGATACGTCGAAGCCAATCCTTGTTTTCTTCTTCCGTGTCCGGATTCAGGCGTTCAAACACCTTGAGGGCCATGTCGGTAAGGAAAGGAGGCTGCGATCGTAGCAGATAGTAAGATCGATTGGCATTGAGCACTTTGCCGTAATACCGGATTTGATAGGCAAAGTTTTCGACCATGCTCCGAGCCAGCTCGATACGACCGTCCACCAGCAAACCAAGCGTAGCAAAATAGGAATCCCAACCGTACATTTCATTGAAGCGTCCACCGGGCACCACAAATGGCTCACCGACATATGTGGGGTTACCATCGTCGCCTTTCACTTTACGCATAGCCAGTGTCAGCAAACCGGGACGGTCATTGATGCTCTTTACGTATTCGGGAGTGATGTCCTTGGGAAGATATTCTACTTGCAGGTGAAGGTGGCTTCGGACTTCCGACACCTTTTTGTAAAACTCGTAAGCCTCCGTATCATCATGGGGTACATAAATACGCGGATTTCTATTGGTAGACCGATTCTTGGGATCGGGACAGATGACTTCAAGGCTGTCAGCGTCAATGCGTCTTGTGAGACCATCCCAAAAACAATGGCGAATCATGCGTGATAATCGATCGACGGGATTCTCATTTAAGCGTGCTTCATCAAGAACGATATGCTTGCGACCGTAATCGTTGGCCAATGCCAATTCTTGCAGCAAGTTGGACAACATATAAGTGCCTCTGATATCAATTTTTCGGTATCCACCGGAATCAGCCGTGCCCAGTGCCATGGTTTTCGGTCCCAAGTCATTAATGGTAATTTGAAAATCGCCATCGGTATCCTCCTGTTCCAAAATTTTGCGCTGTGTTTCCTCCACATCAATTAGGAATTTGCGTGCTTTGTTTTTATCATCTACAAAAACACCAAACGGTGTGACGGTTGAATGTTCATTCCTTTGCATGGCCGAGATTTATGTTCGCAATCATGGAATCACGAGCATCTTACCGTGCGATGCACGACGAATGCGTGCGGCGGACAATTCCGCTTGCGTGGCGATTTCTGGGCGGCTTCTCTGTAACAGTGAAGCATGCTAAGTCAGTTCTGTTCGAAATGTGCCAACCCCCGGCAAGGGTCATTCCAACGGCCAGTCCTTTCTTACCGTGTATGTTCGAGTACGGCTTCTAGCATTGTTGCCGGTAGTATAGTAAGTTGAAGCGGGCGCCAAGGCATCAAAATTGACGTCTTCACTAAAGTTACGTGCGCGAGACATATTTACAGTTAAAAGAAGATGAATGAAACCTAATTGAAAGCTTGCTAATTTTTTAGACGAGTGAATGATCTAAATTCTTTTTTTTTTTTTTTGGCCGTTTGTCTGACTTGTCTAAATTTTTTATGCTGTCGTCATAGTATCGGAACCATGACATTTGATACATTGGGGCTTTCTCATCAATGATGAGAAATAGCAACCAAAGTCGAATTGATTTCGTTATAAGTGTTTTTCTTGTTCTTTACATGTTTGACAATTATGCACAATGTACCCTTTGGCTGGCAGCAAGAGCACGGTGTCCCCTCTCTCCTTACTTTGTGCAACGCAAAATTCACCAAAATGATGCAAATCTACGTCATTTACCTTTTAACTCCGGGCTTTGTAACCAACAGGGCCGGTCCGACACTCACTGTTCAAACTCAGCTGATGTGCGTGCATTTCCAACCCCCCCAAAAGGTGAATAAGCCACTCTTTCGAATCTCCCGACTGACACTCAGGTCAGACAACGATGGTCCACGATTTCGACGCGATATGGAAAGATATTATACAGTGGCAAGGCGACATTCATAAGCAAGATGACGCCCTCAAAAGAAAAAAACCGATTCGTACCCAAGTAGGATTTACAAAACCTGGTACAGATAAATCTCGATCCAGCTCACCCTTTTCCCAACAATAGAATCTGCCTCCAGTAAGACGATTCACGGAGCTGATCATGGACGAAGGTCTCAAACCAGTGGGGCTTGAAACTCTTCAACATTCTCCAAAAGCTACTTCAACCACCGAGGCAATGGCAGCCTCATCTGCGAAATCAACAGGAACACCCGCAAAACGTGCTCAAGAGGAAAAAGAAAAGGTTGTTCAGTCAACATTTAGCGGTTGACAGATGGGCGTATGCTGATGATTTTTTTTATCACGTCTCAGGGAAATGCTTTTTTTCAAAGAAAGGAATATACCAAGGCCATTGTTCATTACAGTCAGGCCATTGATTTGGATCCGTCCGTGGCTGTGTACTTCGTAAACCGCGCCATGGCCTATCTTAAATTAAATAGGTAACGTTGCGCATAAAAAAAATCCTTGCGAGTTTTACTGTTAATCTTATATTCCTTCTCAGATATTTGGAAGCGGAACGCGATTGTACACGTGGTCTTCAATTGCAGCCAAAAAACGTGAAAGCACTATGGCGCCGTGGTATTGCGTTGCGCGAACTCGGCCGTGTGGAAGAAGCGCGGAAAGGTAGGTATCTGAATCCCCACAACCAACAGTCAGTTCCCCTAATAACTGTTACCTTGTCGCAGATTTTGAAGTCGCTTTGGCGCTGGAACCGGGAAACCAGGCTGTCAAAGAAGAACTTGGCAAGCTACCGCCGCTGAAATCATCCGGGAAGACATCAGCTACCGGAACCACCGTGTCGAAAGAGGTGAATTTATTATACAAATCCTATAGGAAGCGATGGCGCCATGGCGTACTCAACTTGGCACTCATAGAAGATCAAGATGCAAGAGCAGGCTGTGGAACCCACGGCAGCCACACGAAAACAGCTCCCTATCAAAGTGCTTGATGAAGCATACGTACCTGGCCAGTCAGGTATCACAGAAACAACCGAGTCAAGGAAAAAAACAAACGAGGGCAACGACATTGAAAAGCAAGCAATTGCACCTGCGACGAGCAAGTTCCCTGTAAAAGAATTGACCAAAGAAAAACCAACACCAGCAAAGCCGTCTGCTGCACCAGCTGCCACAACATTGCCCATTGCATCTCCCGAGAAATCCTTGCCAAGCAAGGTGACATCCACAGGACCATCTGGCTGGAAACCCGTGTGTCCAGCCACTAGTTTCGAATTTCAGAGAGATTGGAAGACGTGTAAATATCGAGGGGACGAAGCCTTGTATCAATACTTGCAGGTACTAATGTCTCTGATCCCTATTCTGGTGTGACTTTGCTGATACTTTATGCCTTTCATTGTGTGATCAGTGTATACCACCGTCGTCTTATTCAAAGACCTTTGGCTCCTCACTGGAATCCGATCAGTTTGAAAAGATACTTGATATTTTAGACCGTTTCTACACTCGGTAAGTTGGTCGTTTTCACAGGGCCTATTCACTATTCGGGATTTTTCGCTGAATGACATGCATTGGATGCGATGTATTATCAGAGAGAAAAGCGCCTCCGATATTTTTGAAGTGCTGCAGGGTTTGAGCCGAGTTCGACGGGTTGATATGCTGGTAATGTTTTTGCCCCCATCCCAAACCAAAGGTAAGCGAGGCATAGCCATCCAACCAAAAGCATACGTGGTGACTAAGCGAGACGTTCAATAGTGTTGGCACGCTTACTTGAGGGTGTAAGTGGACAAGTGGATAAAGACCAATTGGCTGCAGTCGCCAAGCCATTCGGTGTGCGAGTCTAAGATAGCTGTGTATCGGACATTGGAAATAAAAAGAAAAGTGAAAGTTTTTGCATATGGCCGATCTTTAAACTCCTTATTCTTGCCCCAATCGGCACCATCTGGAGCCCCAAAAACTGGTTTATTCCATCTTTATCAATTTTCCCTTACTAGACTATTTTTGCTTTGATGACTTCAACAACGTTATCTCTTGACGGTCGTTTACCTGGACATGCTGGTGCGCTGACAGGCGAAGAAACACACGCTTTAAAAAATTTATGGCTTCGTTTGTACGACCTTTTCAAGCAACCAGGAACCAAAGACGAACCTAAAAAGACTGAGAACGCAACTAAGCCAGCCGCATCTTCGTCCTATGGCTTTTTTGGTTTTGGCGCGAAAAAGGAAGAACCGAAACCGCAAGAAGTTTTCTTGGGCACCACTACCAACACGGATTACCTAAGTCTCCCACTGGACCAAGCTATCGGGTTGATTCCTGGAGCAAAGTTGGAAGCCTGTTTCTGGAATCTGGTGGCCACCGATAATCCCGATGCTACTCTTTTGCGCTTCTTGCGTGCTCGTAAATGGGATGCTGATGCTGCCTATCGTATGCTCATGAACTGTCTCCGTTGGCGAATCGTAAACCGTGTGGATGACATTGTTGCCTTGGGTGAGACAGGTTTGGCCGACGAGTTGGAGCGTTTGAACCCTGGCACAGGTGAATCTTTCTTGGAACAACTGCATTCGCGCAAAGCTACTCTTGGTGGTCCCGATAATCACGCACGAGGTGTATGGTACGTCATCCTATCTAGAGTATTTGTCTGACATACCCATTCTTATCTTTTTCACGGACTCAACTGATCTTGTATCGATATAGTTTTGTTAATGTCGCACGCCATCACAAGGAAGAACAGAGCTTGGAGGTGATGAAGTTGCTCACAATGTATATATTGGAGACTTCCCGTTTGTTCGGTGGTCATCCGAGTGACACTGTTTGCATATGTTTTAACCTCGAAAATTTCACCATGGCCAATATGGTAAAACGAACATTTGCACATGGCTTAAAAGCAACAGCAGCTCAATCAATCAATGGTTCTTTAGGATTTCGATTTCATCAAGTTCCTTGTTACGTGTTTGGAAGCTTACTACCCCGAAACGCTTGGTTTATGCATTGTCCACAAGGCGCCATGGGTGTTTTCAACGGGTAAAATATCAATACCTCTGTATTTGCATGCTTGTCTAATAACGCGCTGTAATACGGTATAGTGTGGACGATGATTACGCCCTTGCTCGATCCTGTCGTTGCCTCCAAGATCCGTTTCACCAAAACCTTGGACCAGTTGACGGAGTTTATCGCTGTGGATAATTTGCCCAAGGCTATTTCTGGCAAGGAAGACAATGCCAATATGGATGAAAAGATTCAGTTGGACGAACGACCCGCTCCTGGCCCATTAAATCGTCCTGAAACGCCGGCAATTGAAGAGTACAAGCATGCAATTGAAAAGTTCAAGACAGTCACTCAACAATGGGCTCAAAATACGTCAGATGACGATGATCAAGGAACGTTGGCCCGTCTGTCGCTCGCATGCAGTTATCGTGCAGCTCGCATCAAAGCCGAGCCGGACCTTCGAGGACCCACCATGTATCATGTCAAAAAGATGGTAACGATTAGCGACCAAGGCCGTTTGCTAATCAATCTATGTGGAAAGCAAGAAGATACCACCGAGAGAGTTTAAACCAAATACTTATGATGATAGCATTTTTGTACATATGGTTACCATTTTTTTTTTCTTTATTCGCTTCCAGAATACAACAGAGCACTTTTTTTCCAATTGGATAAAACGTCCCTCTTGAGAATAATTATGACCCGCAAAGCTTTTTAATACAAACTTCCATCCAACCCTATACTCGAATCACAATGCGTGTCTATTTTGAAAACCATGCAACTTTTGCTTTTAAAGTCTCTGTAAATGACATCGGGGCAGCCAACAAGTATGGAAAATGTGTTTGACAATTACCACCGCCCTCATCCGAATTCAGATGATGATGAAACTGTGACAAGAGACAAAAAGATCTAGTTTTCCAGATTGATATTCCGCATTTGGCAAAAGAGGACTTCTTCCTTTTATTGGGTTTGTTTTGGGCGAACGTCTTCCCCACTTTTTCATTAAAAAACATGCCCACGCCCTTATATTATATTCGATTTGCCAAACCACCTCCGGTACAATGCGTTGTGAATCAGCCCTTCACCGTGGTGTGGAATATAGAGAACGATCTCGGTGACATGGTGTACTGGCATCCTGTACCTGTCATGTGTCGGATCGAAGCATCCAGGACCGATGTCCAACTGCGATTAGCTCCAGCTCAAAGTAAGGGCAGTAAGAGCAAACCGATCAGTGTAAACCAAGGAGCACCAACGTCGGCGCCCGTGATATTGACATACGATCCTGCTCGAGGCGGTGGCATGGTCACTCGGCTGATGCTCGAGAGTGCCGGTTTCCAAGGTCCAATGAAATTTCGCTTGATATTTGAGCTAGCGGCTGGTGCCCGCCAAGGGCACGAGCACAATGTATGGAGGAGGGCTTTTCGCTTTGACCAATTCGAGCCCGTATGGATCATTCCGACATGGTCCGTGATGTTGCACGTGATCAAATCCGAAGCTCACCGCACCGCCGGCGATCGGCAAGAGGATAAGCAAGCAGAGAGAACATTGATTGCAAAAGACCAGCAGCTCATTAACATCAGGGAAGACGCCTTTCAAAGTATTGCTCGACACGTATGGTACGTTAGTGACGAACAAATATATAACGAACAGCGTCAATTTACTAACCGATCTGTGCTATAGGGACTGCGGACTGGCTATGTGCCATTACATATCCTACCGTATACGGCTATTGCAAAAGTATCAGCATATCATCGAATTAGGTAAGGTGTCTGTTCTGTCGCAGGGATCGATGTGGACCTTTTTTTAATAGATTTTATTCTTACCAGGCAGTGGGACAGGTCTAGTAGGCATTTATTTTGCTTCGCTACTGGAGCCTCGGACCATGTATCTGACCGATCTGGCGGACAGTATCGATATCGTAGAACAGAATGTTACACTAATGGAGCCGGGTCAAACCAATGTGGTTGTAGAAGCACTCGAATGGGGAGATAAAAAAGCTACACCTTGGATGGGACCGGTGGATCTTATTTTATTGACAGATGTGTTGTACAACCAAGGATCGCACGACGTATTACTGGACACGGTGGACCGTCTGATGCGGGGAAATACAAAAACATTGCTCGCGTACAAAGAACGCAATCCGGACGAACGTGTGTTTTTTACAAAGATCAAAGAACGCGGCTGGCGTTGTGTTCGGGATGAAGACACTGCCTTTTCATGCGAAATCTATTGGATCGAACCTGCATGCTAAATTTTTTTTGGCAACTCTTCTACAAATAAGCGTACAATGACCGAGAATACCCGACCATGCCAGCGGTCGCTTGCATGTATAATTGTTATTTTTCGTTTTATATAATCTCTCTGTACATATGCATAGATTTATTTACTTTTGATTTTAACGCTTTAAAATACCATAAAATAGATTCATTACACTGCCCAGTAATTGTTTTAGACTTTGCAGAAATCACACCCTCCTGATAGGGCCTGATCCAGTAGGTGACAGTAACAATCTAGGTCATTTTAAGGGCGTACTTTGACATCAAGTCTTATTGATATTGTCAGAAGATGGTGGACTGAGACGATTACGTGAAAGTAGTAATTCTGATTCAGTTAAATTGTAACGAAAGAAGGACCGCATTTAGACTATAACCATTCGATGGTTCTTTATTAATTGGAGGAATCTTGATCTCTCGATTACAAGAGGCGCAATTGGGGGGTAGGATTTTTTTTTTGGATTGTGGAGAATACGTCTACAATTAAACGCTATAAATAGCGTATGTTGCAATTGTTTTAAGTTAGAGTGGGTTTGTTCGAACAGGTTGAAGAGCATTTATCAAACTGTGCTGAGCATCATCCTGTGTAGAGTGAAGGGCGGTGTTACTGAAGAGCAAATAAAGAATAACAAATTTGTTGAACTTACCATTTCCAGCGACCACAACATGATGCCACCTAACTGGTTGTTGTTCACAAACTGAACCTTGGCACCTAGAGATCGCGGGTCGTCAAATGTAAGGAATTGTTGATGTTTATCATTGTAAGCATAGGGCGTCAAAGAAACCGGGTCCCAATACGAATGCCAGCCTGAAGCGTTGCGAAGAATCCCATCCTGTGCAATAGATCGCCATTGATATTCACCAGTATAGGCAGCCACGGCTCCCTGACAAGGATCCTTCTCCATATGATCGTACTGATCACCCTGAATTTGCTGTGTAGGACGACTGATAGCCACACCCATTCCAGAAGCCGCATTGATGGTCGTTTGAATTTTCGTAGTATAGCCGTAGAACGGAACTCCAAGCAAAATACGATCGCGGGGAATGCCTGCACTCACCCAGTTTTGAATAGCTTGGCTACCACTGACACCTCTTCTACTGCGAAGACCAGCATTAGCTTCGGTAAACTCGGATGTAGGGCCCATCAGATCGTAAGCCTATTGATAGCATGCGATGAGTTGCTGTTTTACATCGTAATACTGTATCCCCATGTTACCATAACGGCAAAAGCATCCACATGTTTTGCGAACCCACGATCCAGCCATTTGGAAGGTTCTTGGTTCATGTCGTTGAAAACGGTCGCACCAACAGCAGCCGTAATTAATTTACGTTGTTTAGGATACTTTTTGTCCAACTTTTCGCGTAAAACCTTGAAAAACTTTAACAAATTTTCGGTATCTTGAGGATGATTTTGGTTACAAGAAACGCCATCTGCACTATTTGGATATTCTACAGGTGAATTAGATAAGCAAGCAGTGATCAGAAATACAAAACACAAATAGTATGTACCCCAATCAATATCGATTCCGTCCAAGTTGTACTGATGGGTGGCTTCCACCAATTTGTTGGCAAACGCTTTGCGGGATTTTTTGTGACGAACAAGCGAGCTGAGGTGCACCGAACCAGTCCAGCTAGATCAAGGTTTTTGGATGAGCATGAAGAACAAAGATCAACACAGCGAACACAAAATAGGACTAACCCTCCGACACTCAGGCTGACTGGTTTTCCAAAACGATGAGCATGTTCTACAACTAAAGGGATACGTTAATATTCTTAACAATACCCACATCGAACAGCAAACAATAGATTACCTAAGCGCAGTCGAGCCGGTTCAAAACTGGTCAACTGACCATGTTCATCAGGGACCGCGAACGCGTAGTTCACACGATCTAGCTTGTGCCACGCAATAGTCTTGGGAAGATCCTAGAAAATTATCATATATGGATTAACCCACAGTTCTGTACTCCACAAGATCGGCAGATCAACAGATCAACGTACCCAGTCCACGACGTAAGTCACTAATTGCCGTCCAGCGGCGGTTGTAATGGCTGTGCAACCTAGCAACAGCAGGAGTATCCAAGACGATAACAAGCGATTCATAAAAAAGAAAATAACAGATTGACTACAGAGAAAAAAATAAAGTTGAAATATGGTGGGAATGGGGTGTCAAGCGAGACATTTTTATATTGATTTTGTTGCCACAACGTCCAAAAAGCGTAAGAATGAAAAAATCTACGAAACGAATAGCTGGTACGTTGTCATATTTCCCTGACAACTCCCGTCAAAATAATTGAATAAGGGAGAAAGTTTATTGGTTGTAAAAAAACGCAGGAAATTGAATCGAGATGGTGCTCGTCTGTTGGATGCTTGATCCCGCCTTTTTTTTTCCAGACTTTTTTTCTTATTACACGAAGGGAGTTCATATTGGAAGTTGACAACATGCCGACATCCAAGGAGCATATTCTGCAATGAAAATACAAGGCATGTCATACGATCAAAGTAAAAAAATGAACCAAATCTTTCCAAATAATACTAGTCGTTATGCATGTGAAAAAGTGAGAAATGATCAAGTCATCACAGAGCTTGTGTAATAATTTTTTTTTCTGCTTCAGATAGCTGAAACGCCATAAGATAAAGAAGGGAATAACAAAAAGGGGGGAATTCAAAGTTGCTAATATGGGTAAAACAAGGGAATCAAACAAACACAGGTAAAAGAAAACAAAGACAAGGGGTATAACGAAATCAGCATAAATATCTGTAATTGCATGGGAGAACAAAACAAGATAGCGTGATGAAAGATGAAATGAAGCTTAAACAAGAAAATTTGAATAGAATAAAACAGTGCAAAATAGCTCTATAGGACCTTACCACGTGAAGGTCTTTTGAATGCATCATCAGGGATGATGGTGTTGTCTAAAGGGAATCGTAACGCCACGCTTAATTCCTGGAGTTCTCGCGCCAATTTACTACGTACTAAATGAGAATCATGTGATGCTGTGAGGGGTTCCTCTCTCTCTGTCAGCTTACCAAGCGATTTGATGCCATTGATTGCGTTCTTTCAGGGCGCTTTCAAGCTTTTTGCGTATCTGAGCTTCTGGCGTCGGATGAGCTGGACGACCATCTTCCACTTCTTCGCTCGTTTCTGACGGTTGCTGATCCACGATGGAAAATATCTGATCTAGCTCGCCGTTGAATGCCTGTCATGAAAACAGCAGATGCGATCAATAGGTCATTATCCGCATCCTTAAACATATCATTTTCTTTTTCTCTTACCTCGTACAGCAAATCGTTTTCGGCCATAGCGTCCTGGTATTTCATATGAAGATTGGCTAAATCTTCTTCTTTCTATTAGAACAAGGGGTTTCGTCAATATAAGGACCCCCAGCCAAAAAAAAAAAAAAAAGATATACTAACAGAGTCAGTTACCTTTTGCAATTCTCTGGCAAGTTTACGTACAACTTCGCCTGTTTCTTCATAGTTCAGGTTCATATCTGCCCAGCGACGATTAAACTCTTTTTTCATTTGATCCATCTCCGAAATAAGTTTCTCAAACGGCATTGAGGATTGCAAGAAAGAATCAGGCGTAGTAGCTTTGACTTGGGCAAGAAGTTGGTTCACCTTCTTGTCAAAGGGTATCTCTGTCATATTAGTGAATAATTCATAGTTAAAAGGGGTATCACAATGGCTGTTGAATGTGGATGTGCTCGAACGACTTCCAAACGTAGAAAAGCCGCTGCTGTAATCCGTGGTCGATCCTGAATTGGAAGCCCCGCTCGGTGAGCGGAACAGCGAGGTGGAAATGGATGAATAGGAAGAGGTGGGTTGGAGAGGTCCAGGATGGTCGATCCCATGCGTTAAAGCAGCACATAACACGTTCACTCGTTCTTCTAAACGGTCGGATTCGGATGTCAATTTGTTGCGCAGAGGCTTAATTTCGTAAGACACGGTTTGACTTGGGTGAACACTGGGTCGGTAACAGCTTGCTTCATGCCGTTTACTATACATGCCGTGAAGATCATCCAAATACTGCCGCTGGGATGATGATTTGCGGAGTTGACTGTGTTGGCGTACAGACACGCTAGACGCCAAACGGTCCTCGTCATCGTCATCCGCAGTCCTGTTCCTCGTAGACGGGGCGCTTTTTGAATCGCTGTCTTGACTTTGAAAAGAACTGCAACTGGAAGAATAGTTACGCGACAGCTCTGTATCGAGGGCCAAGCTTCCGTATTCGCTGCTGATGCTCATACTGCGGGGACGGCGGGGACGGCGCTGGCTGCTGTTAGAAGCTTGCAAATTATGGTTGGGCGTAGTAGCGGAAGAGTTGCCCAAACCAGTAAAGAGCTTAAAAGAGGACATGCTGCGGCGACTGGTCAGTTCGCGTCGAATGGTTTGCCGCACCGTCTTGGTGCCTTGACGATGATGCGGCGAAGCTAATATGGCTAATCGTCCCACGTGTCGCAATGTGTTATCGCAAGCAAGTACTACACGGTGCATCAATAAACTCATCATTTTTTTTAAAAAAAAAAAACGCAAACAACACATGACGTACAGTTACCAAAAAACTGGTCTCGGAAGTGCTGGATATCGGCTTCAGTCTCGGCAGACATCTCCAATGTCGGTGACGGCATGTCGGTTACACACCCCACTGACAACTTACTCCGAATGGAAAATCTACACCACATCGGCATCACGCCATCCTTTTAGCAAACACAGTGTTCTGCTATTTTCGCCATTTGCAGTTTAACTTACTGATATATGCCGCTGGATTGCGCAAAGAGAAGCGCGATCATGTGCGGAGTAATGTAACATTTGCTCAGTATAGATTTGACATCAACCGAAGGCTGTTCCATATAGCATAGCGCAATATCGTTCTTATACACCATAAATATAATATAAGCGATCAAGAGACATGCCTCATTCTCCCATGAATGAATCCAAGAGTTAGCCTACCTTGTTGGGTATGAGATGATAATTGGACAGGCGGTAAATATTCGCAAAGAAATGGTGTCCTTTCCAAAAACAGTAGGACGAATGCAAAGCCATATCTGGTGAAAACATGTGTTACAATTTTTTGAAGCTACTCTCATTGGGCCAAAGTGGGCGACGCGTACTTACCGTTTTGTTGCCTGTGATTCGCTTTGGCCCGACCAAACCGTTCCAGAAAGGCTTGCCGCTCGTGCATCAGCGTGGACTGGTTTTTGCGAATGTAAGCATTCCCTTCCGTGGCGGGTGAAGAAAGACTAAACAGTCGAAGCCAGTCGTCTTGGAAATAGCCTTCGAGCACATCACGCGTTTGCGGGTCAACGTCCGGAGATGATAATGCCCCAGAGCCATTGTACACCAGCGTAAACGATGCGGCGAGATCTACATATACCACGAATATTATAAGACAACCGAGCCATTGACCTATCAATGCTGTCGCATTTGGACATAGAATTGTTTTTGCCAAAACAAAAAAGGAGGTTTACCTGTGTGGCCGTCGTGGATCTCAATATCATTCAGGGAGACCCATCCCTTGAATTTTAATTTCCGATCGATCCGTCGGTTGGATTCGCTTTTCCGAACCAATAATGATACCATTCCCGATTTATCGCGTTCGTGATCCAGTCCACAAAGTTCCATGCCATCGGCCGCATAGGTTGGTCTTCGTACCACCATCAGTTTATCGGTGAACAGAAAAAGAGTTACCGGACTGATCGGTTTGTAAGTTAACGCGTCTAATTCCGTTGCATCTAAATGGCATATCAGACTGCGCTGCTGGCTGAGTAATGAAGCCTAGAAATACGATAAAAAAGTAAAGCATTTTTATCAACACAGTGGCCTACTTAACGCTGACAAAAAGTTTCAACAATTACAGGACAGTTTTGGATCGACTGAAGCATGTTGTGAAATATACGGATCAGTTTGGTATGATAATCTTCGCTCATATTGGCGATTTCTTCCGCTTCCGCCAAGGATCCCGTCAATCCAGGTAAATCGATATGATCATCCGTAGTATGTTTTATCAGCTCTATAATGCGGTTGTCAGTTAATTCATCTTGGACGTAGTTCCTTTAATATGAAATATGAAGAAAATCGCTCACCTTTGAAAAACATGGTATACCGACCTACGCGTTGTCCTGGTAATGCCAAGTAATCATAGACTGTTTGATTTCCCATATCAGGACCGTGCTTATCTTTAGTTTTCTACCAGATCCGAATTTAGTAAGGGCCTTACAACGTGAGACTTACTGCAATGAGAACCATGGCACCAAAAAAATAAATAAGAATAAAACACCTACGTCGAGAAAGGCCTGGTACGATGCATTATGTTTTAATTCCTTAATGTTGAAGGCTTGGGCATTTTCAACCCCCAGCAAGTATTTATGGTAGCAACGAAACTGTTTCAACTAAATCAATATGTGGTCAATTGTCTGTCCTTACACAAAAAGTGATATACAATGGACTTACGTGTTTGAGGCACAGATCGCCAAAATTGATGCCCTGACCGGCCGCATCGCGATATCGGCATAAATCCTTGCAAAACGCTTCACTCACTTGCAAGATCTCCTCGATATTCATAAAAATTTTGTTACATTCATAGAGGCCTAGGATGGTTTGATGTTTGTCTTTGGTGCGCGTTCGTATAGGATGCACAATGAGCTGTAAGCATGATGCATGTGTAAAAATTTTTATCCAGAACACGGGATCAGTAACATGCATCTGCAGTGCCAGTAATTTGTCCCAAGCATTACCGAAATGAAGGATTTTAGATTGTTTGCATAGCTTATTTCCGTCCGTATAAATTCGTAAATCAAGTTTTGACGTCGTTCATCGTTCTATTGTGTTGGTTACCCGCCCCCCTTTCTGTTAGCTTATGTCAAACAACGTATGTATAGTTATGTAAAGTTACCTTGACGAAACGACGACGTTCAGTTACTGGGATAAGTGACGAGCGCCTGAGATGGCATCCAAGCAACGGGTTAGGTGCTGACGTGACAACTTCGAAGAACTGCTCGTAGGAGAGACTGGCCCCTTACAAAACAATGAACACGAAAAAGAAAAAAGAATCAGGGAATAATCAAAATGTTATTCATTTTTTTTTTTTTTTTTTTTTTTTTTTGTACGGGAGATCTCGGTTTACAAATCACTTTTTTCAAAGAAAAAAAAATTGATGGAATACCTAGATGTGGATCGTCAACGGCGGAACTGTCGTCAAGTAGAATGTCATAGTAGTGACACTGTTAGATTCGGTTCATGGTGACAATGTTAGGATAAAGGATACGATGCCAAGAAAATTGAAGAATCGGATACTGATAAGATTAAAACGATTAACGAGGAAAGAAAAAACTTGACGGGACGTACCAAAGGTTCCGTTACATCTTTGAAGGTGACATCGCTCCGAAACGAGTGACGGTCCTCTTCGGTCAGCTTGCGCGAGTAGATGTAGCCGTAACTTTCCAAGTTGACTTCGAGATCCTGCATCGTAGGGACGAAAGTAAAACTTGAAAGTCAGTGATTCTTCTTTTTGAGAAAGGTGACGGAGGCAAAGGAGAATGTGAAAATGGGTTAAAAGGGAAAAAAAAGAACACAAGTGTGGCCATTACCTCATTCATGAGTTGACTTGCGTCGGCTGGCACTGCCAATAGTCCGAAGAATGGGTACACAACGGAATGGCAAGGCTTGCCTTTAGGCACCCGCTGAGTGTCAATCCGTTCTCTGAAGTCCATCAAGGAATTGAGTGTCAAAAAACCTCGTATCATTCTCTTTCGATGCGTTTCACACACTGTAAGCAACTCTAAAGTGGAAAAGAATCAAGCAATAAAGAAATTGGGAAGCATCATCTTACTTTCAAGTTTCCTGCATTGATATCTCCATCCTGATGCGTCGGACGATCACTGATCTGCTGTTTGCGCGGAATCAAATCCCAATCTTTTTACACAAGTCGTCGCTGATAAAAATAGATTTCGCTTCCTCAAAGAAACAACCCTCCTTCTAACCAAAGCGATCTAAAAAGTTCGCGAATATGTCTAACATATCAGATAATGACTATTACCAATCAATATATAAAAAATCACCGCGAAATAACCTATAATTGTGAGCAAAGCTCCCATCCATCATAAGACATCTAAAAACCAAACTTGAAACATAATATCCAACTCTTGTGGCGGGTTATAGTGGCCGATGATCCGGGGATTCGGATGATAAGATGGCTGTTTAGTATATCATTTTCTAAAACGAGTTTTTCCAAGCCAGCATGAATTTCTCGATCGCCATATTGATCGCAGTTTGCTTCGATAAAGTCTGTGCACTGTCAACAGCTGCCTTCTCGTGCTTATACTCGGCGATCAGCCTTTTCGTCCGCTTTCACAAAATCTTTTCCAGGAAAAGCAGATCTTGACTCATAATAAAGTCTGATTATCGAATCATTTTTTATATGAAAAAAATGCAACGACATAATTTCTTGTTATTCATTTTATCTTCGTGCTGCTTGAGCTGGCTAAGTAGAGTATCCTTGAATATGTAACGTTGTGCAACAAAGACTGGGACTTCCATCTGAAATCATTAATGACTCTTTGATATACTGCAATAAACTTTGGGCAATAGCCGATAAAGTTTCAAGTTAGCAGGGGTTATTGAGTCCAGTATTTCCACTTGACGGAACAGATGTCCCTTTTCAGAACTATGTTATTGGCACTGTGATAGAATTGACAGATTTGCAATTCACCAGGAACTTTCTCGATCACCTTCTTATTAAGGAAAGCCGCATCTGTATTCTCTGCGCCAATGTAGCATGGTTAATCAAGCATTCGACAGTTGGTGCAACTTGGATATCGTATACTACATCGATGAGCTCGCTCTAATCGAGAGACGGCAGCAGCATCTCGGCTAGAATACGGATGCCACTGCTTGCAATGTTGGGTTCCTGTCCGTTACCACTACACAAAATATAACTGAGGGAGTCGTCCAATAACTTGCATTTGCTTTATTGATTTACCTTTGGTGGTTGCGTTGTAGAATCAAAGAGTCGAAAACTTCATCAAAGAGTCATAAGCCTGATTAAGGGGCCTGATTGGTCGATTATCTACAAATTGGACGCGTCCTTGCAAGGCACAGCCATTTCGCGCGTTTTTGCAGTCAAACCCAATAGCACTGTATTTTTCTTTTCGTCCATTTCTTGTGATTTATGAAAAGCTAAGCGTTTTAATTTTATGCAGTTTGTGCTTTGCCGCATGTTATGATTTTTTTTTTTTTGGTGAAGCATGATTTTGGACCCCCGACCTCGAGAGTATTCGGGCGGTGCGGGTGCGGGTCGGCATGAAAAATGTTTGACAATTTTCTGTGCCTGCGGGTTTTCTTTTTCCTATTGCCTGTTTCGATTGTCACGCTGAACATGAACGTGAGCGATAAGAGCAACAACGACTTGCTATTCATCAACTTCAACCAGGATTACAGTTGTATATCCGTAGGCACCAAGCGGGGTCACAGGATATACAACTGTGACCCTTTCAACAACTGCTACTCGAAATGTAAGTCTTTAAGGAATAGAATAGAATGTCCTTCCATCCTTTGCACCCGTTGCTCACCGTCTGCAATGATACAGCTGAGGGTGGAACAGGGATCATTGAAATGCTTTTCTGCACCTCGCTCGTTGCCCTGGTAGGAGCTGGCGAACATCCAGGTTTCTCGCCAAGGCATTTACAGATTATCAACACCAAGGTACGTCCTTGACGACCGTGAGAATGGCCAAACACAACCATCAGAGAGATAAGACATTGACCAACACTGTGATATTAGCGACAATCGACAATTTGTGAACTTACATTTCCAACATCCATCCTTGCTGTGAAAATGAACCGTCGACGACTTATCGTAGTCCTTGAAGAACAAATTTTCGTTTACGATATCAGCAATATGAAGCTTTTACACACTATTGATACGAGCCCCAACCCTTCAGGTACACAGGTGCCAGAGAATGATTTTGTTTCCACCTTTCATAAGCTGAGTGAGTTTGCCTGTTTCTGTAGCAATCTGTGCCCTGTCACCATCGAGTGAAAACTGCTACTTGGCTTACCCGTCCCGATCTTCCACCACTTCTCCGTTTGGCGGTAGCCATCAAGCCGCGCAACCATACTATGCAACCGGTGATGTGGAAATATTTGATACCCTGTCTTTGCAGCTTGTGAATATCGTGCAAGCCCACAAGACCCCAGTGAGCGCCATCACCATGAATTCGGAAGGAACCATGCTGGCGACCGCGAGTGAAAAGGTAAGGAAAACGATCTGCCGAGAAAAAGGGGGGAAGGACGGGATATTTCTGAAAAAGATATGATGATGGGTATATGTAACGTATCTGATGCTCGTAGGGCACTGTGATACGTGTTTTCTCGGTGCCGGACGCCAACAAACTGTACCAGTTCCGTCGGGGCTCGTATCCTGCCAAGATTTATTCCATGTCGTTCAACTTGGTGAGCACATTACTGTGCGTATCCAGCGATACCGAGACCGTCCACATCTTCAGATTGACATCAAGCGCGGGTTCAGGCGCCAGTGGCAGCAATGGTTACGTGAGTGGAGCGAACAACTATGACAGGCATGGTAACGATGTCCGAAGTCGGAGTTCGAGTGTAGGGTAAGCATGCAACAGAGGATGTTCCAATGTTATAGATGGGTTGAACAGTGCAGTGTTATTAGTCAAACCCTACGTCGATCCTCCTTGTTGGGTCGTAACTTAGCCGGTAGCGTAGGCTCATACTTGCCGGAAATGTTTACTGAGATGTGGGAACCTACCAGAGACTTTGCATCGCTAAAATTACCCAGTGCTGGTGTACGCAGTCTTGTTGCTCTCAGCAGGTAAGTCCTACATGTTCGAAAAATACGTTGAAGATTTTAACGCGTTCGCATTTTTTCAAAGCACCACACCGCAAGTCATGGTCGTTACTTCGGAAGGATACTTTTATCAGTACAATATCGATCTCGAAAACGGAGGTGAATGTGTTCTTCTTAAACAAAACAGGTGCGTCTAAAAATCGGGATTTCTCTGAGTTGTTGTGACGAGTTCTAATAACGATGTTATTTTAACAGTCTACTTGAACCTATTGAACATGATGTCAATAATCAAATGGGAGAATAGTTACTCGAACATTTTCTTCTTTTCTTTATTCTCCTCTTTTTCTTTTGACATCCAATATCATCCACTCGTTGCAGACATTTTATATGCATATTACAACTTTTTCGTTCGCGATACCCTGCTGTTTCCATCGTTGCTAATAAACCAGAACAGACTAATGCCGCTCGCATCTTCTTATCCACCTTGGCCTCCTTTGATATTATTGGAGAGTACAGTATGTGCAAACTCATTAAGGAATCTCGTACCCAGTTATATAAGCTTTGGGTGTTAAGGCAGTATTACTCCCAAAAACAAAAAAGGAAAAAAAAAAACCTTTGGAAAAAAGACACAGTGACTGGTAAGTTTTGATCATAATCATGAATGTAGAATTTATATGCGGGAAAATGATAAATGAGAATGATGTGTCATATTGAAAAGAAGAGAAGAAAATCTATTGCAATGCATTGTCACCGATTTAAAAATTCTTTCGCTTCTTGGACGCCTTGACTGGCTCGTCTTCAAGGATATCTTTGAACATTTCCTTCTTGCGTTCGATGCCCTTTTCTCTTTCCACCCAGTCCTCACGTTTTCGCTTGAACTGACCAATCTTGCATGTCCATAAAATACACTTGCCAATGTAATGTTCTGACAATTCTCGTTCACGTTTCAAAAGCTCGTTTGCAATGCGTTCCTGGAAAACAATTATTACTACTGGCTGCCATTACCTTACTTTAACTGAGAGTATTTACCTTCATGTCAATATCAGCCACTGACCAGCATTGCTCGACAATATGACTGCCGAATTTATCTTTTGCTAAATCCACATAACGACCCTCAAGATTTCGCAAAACCTTGCGCTTGATCTTGATGTTCACCTCAGGCGAAGAGAGAATGGACTGGTAAGCACGCGAACCGACCGGTGAGAAGCACCATCGGAAGGTGGTATCTGGATTCTGCGACAAGAAGCTACAAAATCGTGCCGGGTCAATAACGCAAGGAATCACATACGGAAATCAGCGTCGAATTTACCTGCTTATAACCAGATTGTTGTGTTCAGCCGGCATTTTCACAATGGCTTGTAATATTAAGGAACCTTGCAAATGGAAATTTCGGAGGTTGCGTTTGTCTTCTTCTGGCGAGTTTGTCCAATCCTATTTCACAAGATTAGTCCCAACCTTAATAAAACCGATGGGTGCGGTCAAATCGCCTACCTCCAAATTCCACATGCGCATAACACAATTGACAAATTCTTTGCGGTCCTGATTCTCAGGCATATGCAAAGCGTCGGTCAGGGATCGGAGAATCTCTTTCTCCGAGGTCTTGAGCGTAACAGATGCCTCGATGAGACTTCGGATCACACCATACTTTCCACCCTCTGCAAAAAAAGGCACGAATTAGACATTGCATGTACACAAAGAAAAATCGTGTCCACGATCTTGTCCATGATCTTGTCCACAATCGCAGACACTTACTGATCAGTTTTTCAAAGGATCCAGACAGTTCTTGCACCATCATATCAAATTGTTGCGGACTGCGTGCATTGGTCAAAAGATGTTGTATGACAAAATTAGCGATAGGATGTAAGCTGAATTTCTCCAATTTGTTTCGTAAGTATGTCGTATAGATCTTGTTGTACACAGGCGTGGGTGCCACTTTGGCAATGACTTCCAATAAATGAGAACCAACCGAGTCACGAATGAGTGTTTCGAACCAAGAATCACGATCTTTGCTCTCGGCTGTTGAATCGACTAATGCACAAAAAATCGATCGATGAGATAAAGACGCTCAACATCACAGACCAAGAGCTACTTACCATCAGTAACAATGCCCCACAAAATACGGTCCAGCAAAACCGTTTTCGCTTTCTGTCCCTCCTCATCGTCTTCCTGCATCTCCAATAAAAGCTAATACATATGCGATTTAGCGACGATGAGAAACAAAAAAAAAGCCAATGATGAATATTTTACCTGAAGCACGGGATTTGCCACTTGATGCACGGACAATGTACGCACTTCGGTTTCAGATGAGTTGATGGCCAGTTCAGTGCTCAGGGTGCGGAACATGTTCTTGAAAGAAGCAGGAACGCTTCGCGTAGATGATGCGTGAGCGGATGCCTAAAAAATATTATCGTCAGCTTTTGTCTTTTTGAGTGGCAAAGATCGTTTGAACTAACCTTGGTCAGAGTATCATTGTTTTCCGTTTTATATTTTGCTGACTTTTTGCTTCTCAAACGACCCTTTCTGTCTCCCATTTCATCCACACGTTTGCCAGCCAGCAAAAAGAGAAGGTAGCGAATCACATGCGAAGCAAACTGTTGCGATATTAGGCCGCCGACAACGGGTTTGATATCCTACCATGTGGGTCAGCATCCAATCCATCGTTCATCTGTGGAATCATACGAATAATAAGAGCTGTCAAACTACCTCACACATGCCGAGTACAAGTTCTTCCATGGACAACAATACGCCTTGACTCTCATCCTGTGGTTCAGGCCCTTCTGCGGGTTTTCCCTCGATCACTTCGCGTTCAACAACGTCGGCAGCTAAAGTAATAAGAGTCTGGCACACATGCGAAGCAAAGCGATGGGCGAATAATTCAACGGATCTATCAATGGCGTCATTGGTTTAGTCGATCAAGGCCAATGAGGACCAAATCGCGACATGGACTTACCGTCCGCTTAATTTATCCATAAAGACACGCAGTTGAAAAGCGTTGGAGATTTTCAACAGTTTTTCGAGAATGAGCGAGCAGGAATAGTTGGTGGTAAGACGAAGTTCGTTGCCCTCGACTTCACAGTAAACACTATCGACAAACAAGCGCTGATCTAAAGTAGTTTTTTTTTTTTTTTTTTTTTTCGTGATCAGTATTGGGTACAAATAAAGCACTGATCAAAAGACTAGATCACCAACCTTCGGCGGTCTCAAACTGAGGATCATCCAACATTTTCTCGACATTTTTGAAATAACCCAACATTTGCTCGTCAATTTCGCCAAAGGAAGCTGCTTGGAAATGTTGCTCTTGATACATATGACTCGACGACGCATTCTCCATTGGTTGATCTTCTGACGGAGCTTGTCCTTGGGGATCCATGAAGAAACCGCTCTCGCCACCATTCTCGGGAGTCTCTTCTTCTTTTGTTTGACGCTTTCCACGCTTCTTATTAGGACGTGCTTTTCTTACTGTACGAGGCATATTTGCAATAAAGTATGGAGTGTAAAGGTTCTTTTTTTTTTTTTTTAATTCAGAAAATAAAGGTGCCTTGTGACTCGGAATCCGATTTCTTGTGACGAGCATTTATGCTGTCGGCGCCATTCACACCAGCCATGCGCAAAGTCCATATCGCACAATCCATCAACTTTCTGATGCACATAAAAAATGGGAAATGATATGGAAGCATGAAAAGCAATTGAGATGATAAGGTTTCTGCCAAAGGTTCGTGATTCGGTTTCACAGTAGCTGTCGTGGCCATCACAATATACTAGGACGAGTATCTGTTTCAATATCGATTGCATAATCCCATATATGAAAGAAAAAAGTACATACACTGGGATAGAATAGAGCAAATACAGCACCGGACCGTAAGGTGGAAAGGAAAAACGTCATTGCTGTCAGAGGAAGACCGAAACCAAAGAAGTAGGCCCAATGATTCTCCGCAAAAGTCATCCGTTGTTCAACCGTCCACCCACGGAACGTTCCTTTGTATCTACGAAAGGGGATCAATAAGAGAGTGAGCAAATTTCCCAACCTAATTTTCAAGACAACATACTCGAAACAATAAGAGGCCATAATCAGGCAACTGGCTAGAAAGGAAAACTGATCTCCGAGACCAGGGATCAGACGCAGTAGCGTTACGAAAAGGGTGCAGCTGCCGTAAAAAATGGATACATAAATGGTGGAAGCTACATCCACAGTGGAATCCAATGAAGTTTGGTCATGTGTATGAAAGGTAGCGCGGGCGACACGACTGTAATAGCGCCCGTTGATAAGCAAGCAACCTAGATACATAGGGTAACCTGTCAATTTCTATTTTTTGATTTAGTTTCCTTGATCCGTTCATAAATCGAACCCAATCTACACAAAACAAAAAATTGATAGCGCCGAATCTTACAGAGTATGAAATGCCAAGAATATGATGCGTCTTTGAATCATACATCATTTCCAAAAGCAAGAGCATGCCAAAGTATACGACTCCATTGAGAATCAGAGTCATGAGCATGGCACGTTGCATGGTGCGCGAGCTGTGGTAAAATTCAGTTACGCGATTGAAGAAAACGCTGAAATCCATACGTACGATAAAACAAGTCGCAAGACGGTCGGCCATTGCAATGCCTGCACGAAACCCTGTAAAAAGAAGGCACCATGGTGCGCTGCTGGCAGTTCCATAGCAAAAACAATAGCGAAAAGCTCGCATCATCGTCACTGAGTCTTAAATAATTCAAAAGAAAAAATTTGGTCTGACCAACAAAGGATGAAGATCGCGCATAGTATTCATGCATCGCAGTGGAAACAGTAAGTCAAAGCAAGCCGAACAGCTTACGTGCAAGATCATCACTTTTCTGAACTTGTTCTTATGTGGAGGGGCTCCAAGATGATTTTTTAGAAAGATGAACGATTGGGCATTATCACCATAACAATGGCATAATAGCACCATGGATTGACAGAATCCACTTTATAACGCAGGGCAAAATTCGCTCTTATTGTATTTGCATCATGATGAGGTAAGCGGAACATACATTCATGGCGTTATCGATCATGGGAAGCCATTGCCTAGTGGTCTTCTGAGAAGCAAATCACTGTCGGAGTGTGATACCTGTTATCGGTTTCCTTTTGGAAACAGTGGCATGGAATAAAAAATAAAAAGAAAAAAAAGATACAAGCTTTTCCTTTCTTGTGCGGAATGCAGACCCATCTACTATTGCGGGAACATCCGAGAGCGCTGGCTCTCCGTCCCACTGTACTCGAAGAAGCACCTTCAGGTGTCTTGGTCTTTGAGCAACATACATCGTCTTCCGGTCGTACCGACAGAGCTGTGGTTGAACTGCTGGCACCGTCCGACTTTGAGGATTCTCAATGGCGCATACTTCACGCTCGTCCCGTGTTTGGCTGTTTAGGCCTCATTAATATACAAGGAGGTAAGGCGTCATTTTATCGCTGCAATATGACCTATTGCCAAACTTGGCGTCACTCACTTTTTGTATGGACTTGGTTAAAGAATGCTTCGTCGCTATTGTGACTGATTGTGTATCCGTCGGAAGAATACGCGCTGGCGAAGAAGTCTACAAGATTCAAGCCGTCTCATTCATCTCACTCTCGTCTTCCAACTATGACGATATTGACTTTGCTGTCAAAGACACTCCCGATTCAGACGACTGGGACCAATCCAATCCGCCGTTGGTGATGCAGCATCCCTGTGCGCAACTCCACAAACTATTCTCGGTGGGCAGTTTTTACTTCACCCCCGACTTTGATCTGACAAAGACCGTTCAAGCAAGGTAAAACTGCAAACGATAGCCAAAATAGCCACATGGAAAGATGCCCTGTTGGTCTTACCAGTGTATATATATATAGAACGATGGAGGGATCGAAAGGCACGCATTCATTTGATGATCATTTTCTGTGGAATCAATTTCTGATATCCGGATTATTGGAGTTTCAATCAAAGATGAGTCCCAAGAAACAACGAGATCTTGAGCGAGGCGGGTTCTTGGTATGGTGCATTCACTGGAACGAGAAATGAGGGAATGGGCTATTTCATGGTGATGATAGGTTTTCGCTATAAGGGGTTATGTGGATGTCACCAGTATCACCACGGATAACGAACGCTACGATCTGTCTGTCATCTCCAAGCTCAGTTGCAAGCGAGCAGGCACACGGTTCAATTCGAGAGGCATCGACGACAATGGCCATGTTGCTAATTTTGTCGAGGTACATAGTGAAAGATTTCCAGGACAGTTTTGCCTCGTCACAGCAAAATGACAAGGACCATACATCTCATCACTTGCTTCTTTAGACAGAAGTTGTGCTGTATTCCGAACGAATATGCTACGCTTTTACTCAATTGAGAGGCAGCGTTCCTGGTAAAGAGAAAACATCTTGGATATGGAATACTGGATGAATACGCTGACTGGATAATTTCAGTTTTCTGGGAACAACAGGGCATGCAACTTGTCAACCACAAAATTCAAATATCACGAGGCGCTGGCGCAACACAACCTGCTGTGAAAAGACATTTTAATGAATTGCTTGACCGTTACAATAGAGTATGTAACGTGAATTTGTTGGCTGAAAAGGAGAACACGGGGGAATCATTGCTGGGCAATGCCTATAATGCTGCTGTCAAACAACTTCAGTTGCCAACAGAAAAAGTGCGGATGGTCAACTTTGATCTGCACGCCGAATGCCGTGGCGGAAATTACGACAATGTCTCCTTATTGATGCGCTCTATTCGCGATAATCTCGATGATTACGGCTATTTCCTCATGGATTCCGACGATAACCACATCATCTGCAAACAAAAGGGCATCTTTCGTACCAATTGCATGGATTGTCTCGATCGCACCAATCTCGTCCAGAGTGAACTGTCCAAGGCCGCCCTTCTATCGTTTCTTCGAAACCGATTCACGGACCATCGTCGCAGTTACTACCTCGATACGATCTTAGCTCGTCATGCACATTTGTGGGCCGAGAATGGCGACGGATTATCCAAGATTTATGCAGGCACAGGAGCCCTGAAATCCGCCTTCACTCGTACCGGCAAAGTGACATTCATGAATGTTTTAAGTGATGCCACGCGCTCGGTCAATCGATTTTACATCAACAATTTTCAGGATAAAGCGAGACAAGAAGTCATTGACCAGTTATTGGTATGGTGGATAAATACAGCTGTAGACAATGGATCATCAAGCTAATGAGATCTGACATGGCGTTACAGGGAAAATTGGCGGGACAAAAAGGAATCATTATCCATGATCCAATCAGCGACTCTGTCTCTCATCTCATGCTCAAAAGGTACGACGATGCAGTTTCCGTGAGTGTTCGATGGATACTGCAAGCTGACATAGGACGTGGCCTAGATTGAAGGATTATTCCTCGAGTCGCAGCATCACCATTTTCTGTGGCACTTATAATCTGAACGGTAAATCATACAAAGGAGAATCTTTGGAACCATGGTTATTGCAACACTTTAAATGTAAGTGCTTAATATATTGATGCTGAATTTGAAAGCGTAATGAATGATCGGATGGCAGGGAACCATGAAGAACCCGATATCTATGTGATTGGTTTCCAAGAAATTGTCGAGTTGTCTCCGCAACAGGTACAAGGATGATAAAGCATCAGTATGAAATATGAATCAAACCGTCTCACTCTAATAATTAGGTCATGGCTACCGATGCTGAAAAACGGTAACGAGGAGGCCGGAGTAAAGGACAGCAAAGGTGTGGAATTCTCACGCGCTGCTTGCTAGAAAAATATGGGAAGTGCAAATTGAACAGACCTTGAATTCGCGCCCTGGAGGAAAATCAACATATGTGTTATTACGCTCCAATCAGCTTGTTGGCGCTGCACTCATTGTGTTTGTCAAGGCAGATATCGTTGAAAACATTAGAAACGTAGAATCAGCAATTAAAAAGGTAGGTGTGGCGTCGACGGGGCGTTGAAATATGGAGGAGGGAGGGCTCAACGGATCATCTTTTATTAGACGGGCATTATGGGTATTGCAGGAAATAAGGGTGCTGTAGCCATTCGTATGGAGTACGGTGATACCAGCTTTTGTTTTCTCGCTGCCCACTTTGCTTCAGGTAAGTTACATTATGACCGTCCCAGGTTAGATCGAGAACACAAACTCATAGTACACTGTCTACGCAGGTCATTCTAATTACGAAGACCGCAATGCCGATTTTCACACAATTAATCAGGGCTTGCTATTCCTTCGAGGACGTACCATTGACAGTCATGAGTGAGTAAATAGTAATACACGACGAGGTAGATATGTCATTCTCATGGAAACTATGTGAAGCAACATCGTTTGGGTTAGTGACTTTAATTACCGAGTCTCTCTACCCAATGAAGAAGTAAGTCATCGGAATTCCTTCGACAGATTGAACATGTTATTGATGTATGTTTCTATAGGCACGCGAATACTGTCGTCAAGAGAACATTGACGCCCTGCTCAATGCTGATCAGGTAAATTTGGGTGTGTTGTGATTGCATAAACTTTCGCTTACCGGGTTTTGACAGCTTATTCGAGAAATGCGGCATAATCGAGTATTTCCTGGTTACCAAGAAGGTCAGATCACCTTCATGCCCACTTATAAATATGACAACGGAACCAGTACCTATGATACAAGGTATTTGCGGACGCATATGGATGATCTCCCCGGGAAAATCCCCACTGATGTGGCTGCTGCGTGTACCTAGCGAAAAACAACGCGTTCCCGGCTGGACAGATCGTATCGTTTACAAAGGAAAATCGCTTCGACAGATACAATACGATCGCGCAGAGCTGTTCACGTCTGATCATCGTCCTGGTAAAGTTTGCTTTAGACTGTAGCTAGTGGGTTATCCTCGGTACTAAATTCTTTGCTTTTGTAGTTCTGGCCTTGTTTGAAGCAGATGTAAGATATAAGCTCTACATTCCAAGGGAAGTGACGTTGCATGCTTAACCCTTGATATTTTGTCACAGATTGTTACGTTGGATCCAATAGCCAAGGCCAAATTAGAAAAGGAGCTGTATAAGCAAAGTGCCGGCGACATGAATGGCAAGGCGATCACGGCATCTCCAGCCGCGATTTCCTCTTCCCCTCCCATCCTTCCCAAACGTAAACCTGCACCACCGCCCCCGAAACGACGACCTTCGGAAATTCCTGTGGATAATTTACTCGATATTTCCTTTGACAGCCCATCTGAAAATCAAGCATCCAAATCTTGTAAGTGAGAAAGACCGTGGCCAGGTTCTAATGGAACACTCATCATCGAATACAAAATGAATTTGGTCCGAAATAGCCTCAGCTACATTTGCGCATGGAAATTGGTGGGACGATGGCTCTGGTAAATCAATTTTTGACTTGCATGCTATATTACGAGTACTAATTTGTAGAATATTTTGCAGAATTACCTAAAGCAGACCGTCGTCGTATTTGTCAAGATAACCCATTTGAGCGTGGTTTAGGATTAGGTTAGTCCATAAGCTGTCCGTTCCAATGTGCAAAGTAGAAGCTCATCAATGGATTTTGCTAAATAGACACTTCTGCTGGAACCGAACGAGGACTGTCTGTAGGGACGCCTATGGCGGATAATTCTTGGATTCCTATCAGTCCTGTTCCTGTTGATAGTCCCAACAGCAAGCCAAAGGTCTCCCCTGGATCGGTCCATAAAGCGAATGACCATACCAAAAAGACAAGCGTATCGACTGCCATTGGTTTCTGGAACAATCAAACGTCCGGTTAATGTATCAAACATTCCCTTGTATTATTCAGTTTCTATATATCATTTCAAAAGTAATATCGACGTAATTTCCAAATGCTGCTAACGACCGGTTTCTCCTTGTAACTATATTATTTTGTGTGCAGTTTTTATTTTACACAGATTGATAGATAAATAAAAAGAAGAAAAAAAAAAGGGAAGTCATGTCTTGTCAGAAAACAGTATATATAGGGACCGAAAGAATGACCCGATGCAAGCCAGGCTTGTTGCACTATCGGCAAGAAATCTGGTCAGAAGAAGTTAATTGTTTAGCTGGGGCAAATATCCGGCACTTGCTGTTCATCATGCGCAATGACAATTTCGAGCACCGCCTTAATGGGCAAAGAAATTTCCACGTCATGATCTTTGTGCCTGTGGAAGTGTCTGTTGTTTCCTCCATCTCGTTCCATGCTGCTGTCAAAGATCAGAGCGCGATTGGCAGCCAAACGGGGAGCTTCTCGATTGAGCATAGAGAAGCGCCGGAAAATAGGTCGCATTCTCGTCAAATACGTACCGATATTAAGGTAGTGCGACTCAACTTCATTCGCCCAATGTTGATCAGTCACGATTGACCAGTCCCAACAGTATCCTCCTGCTTCTCACAGGCGTGATATGGATTTTGTTACTGCCTTACGAAGGATACAATAAGCGAACCTATATATCCGAGAATGCGCTTCTACCAGGACAGGTAAAAATGGTTGACAGCATTCCAGCCACCGCTTCTCGCTGATCGATCGCTTGATGAAACTAGGTGAATGTGCATTACAACTATGACGATGTCCGAGCTGCCGAGCAATACAGATCTCTTTTGGAAGATGTTCAGAGCAAAGACAGCGAGACGTAAGAATGGCTATCGTGCGATACCGTCGTCACCTCTCACTTATCACGACCCCTTTTATAGGCGAGCCAAATTTATTCAGTCCGAGTTACGGCATGCCGGATTTTCATCGGTTGTTCAACAGTTTGATACGGAACAGACAAAGGTAGTGAATCAATCAACCGCGAATGGAAGGGGATAGGTAACTGAACCCAGCGCAAATTTAGGGTGTCAATGCGTTTGCCATTTATAGAGCACCACGCAGCGATGGCAAGGAAGCTCTGGTGCTGAGTGCTCCTTGGATGTCACGGACAGGCGACTGTAAGTGAATATCTTGGGAAGGAACATGGATGGTAAGGAGGTACTGACTAGACCGTGTAGATAATACAAACGGCATCGCAGCCCTGCTTTCAATTGCGAAATTGTTTAAACGTAAATGGAGAGAAAGAATTTGTTGCATATGCAATGATGCGAGGCTTAAAATGATATCCTGTGTAGGAAACGTATTTTGGTCCAAAGACATCATTTTTCTCGTAACTGATCAGGGTATGACGGGCACGCAAGCATGGTTGGATGCTTATCACGGCATCGATCAAGCGGATAACGCCATGTCTTCGTCATCGGTCGTCATGCCTCGATCCGGTGCTATTCAAGGCGTCTTGAACCTTGACTTTCCTGGTACCAATGATTACGAAACCTTGGGTGTCTTTTTCGGTATGGACTTGGACTACTGATGACTTGCTTTGTTCTTCTTGCAATATGGCTGAAATAATGTTCAAATTAGAGGGCGTCAACGGCCAGCTCCCCAATCTCGATTTGGTCAACACGTTGATGGTCATCGCCAAGTCGACTGCACGTATCCCAGTAACGCTTCATGATGATACTTTCCATCATGCCGAGAACCAGCCTTTCGGGCATTATCTCGATTCTCTGCGTCATATGTTTAGCACCATCCAGTATCAAGCACTCGGACATCCTTCTAGTGATGCTGGCTTGTACCTTCGGTAAGTGCTTCTACGTCCTTGGACACTATCTGTATCCGATCGCAAGCCTCACTCATCTGCCACAGATATAAGATTGATGCGGTCACGATTCACGGCATCTTAGGTACCACAAATCTTCACTCATTATTTGGTTTTCATCGTATCGGCGTGTGAGTGAATGCCTTTTTCCCCCCCTATCTGGTGAAATGATTCTTGTTGAACCAAGAGGCTAATACTGCGTATCAGATTGGTAGAATCGACGTTCCGAAGTCTGAACAACTTGTTGGAACATTTCCATCAATCATTCTTCTTCTATCTGCTGCCTCAACCTGACCGTTATGTCTCCATTGGTGTATACATGCCTCCCATCATCCTGTTTGCTTGCAGCTTGATCTTTCTAATATCCTTTTTTCCTACAAAATAATGTCGCCGAATGGGATGTGACTATTTCTCGCTGATGATTGCATGGATCTTTATTTAATCCTTAACCATCCACTGCACTCACTTGTTCTCTATTATATTGATCTAGACACCTTGGAGAAACCACCTGTGGAACAAGACAAGCACCAGTTCCCGCCAGCATACTCACTCCAGAAACGCGATATTGGTCCTGCATTCTCCGTTTTAGTGCCTTCTCATCTCGGTGGTTTGGCGATTTTTTACGTGATGCAATCCAACATTGGTTATGACGCCCAGGTAGCACTTTAACAGAAAAGACAAGTGTGAATTAAATATATTGACCGAATGTTGGTAGGGTCGTTTGGTACAATTCAGTATGGCTGGAGCTGTAGCGCTATTTACATCCATAGCTTGTAGTACCTGGATCTCTCACCGCAAGGTATCTGGTAATGCCAGTCGCATTCTCAAGTCGCTTTGCTTGGCAGAAAGTGCTCTGGTCATCTCGAGCGTGTCACTTCTCAATTTCGGCCTCGCTCTTATTACGGCTATTACCATTGTGATCCCTTATATTTTCGTTCGACCTACACGCTACTGGGGCCTTCGTATCTTTCAATGGGTACTGCTCACTACTATTTCTCCTGCGGGTTTAGGCGTTCTTTACTCTACGGTATTAGGTGGCTCTCTTACCGAAGCGTTATTGGTGATCCAACTTGATTACCAAATTGTTTCTTCTTGGCTGCTAACTTTTATCTGTGTCGTGTATTGGCCCATCAATATTGCCATGCATGCATTGGTTTTTGCAACATCATAAAATTTGAGTACCGAATTGACAAAATCTAAACTCAAATGTGTAACAGATGTGCTCGTGCGTACTCAAAAAAAAAAAAAAAAGTGATACAGTAATCTTATATTGGTCAAAAGATAATGGTAAGGGTTAATTCATGATCATATGTACTGTGAGATGGTAAAATACGACACGGTTGGAAACAAAGGTTATCAAGGTGCATGCACCGATAAAAGCGTGGAGGTAATGAGAGAGAGTTTAAGGAGTGTGATAAAGATATGTTTGACATGGCTTTTGTGCCGTGGCACAGTGCCAATTAGTGTACGTCTGCATTTGAGCCCACTCCGCCGGCAGAGCTTCTATGTAAGCATCGTACTTCTCATCAGTCATACTCATAAACCGGGACAGCCATGGCTTGAGAGACTTTAACAAGAACATGTACTGACTGGCAACTGCTCTTACGAATTCTGAGCGGTGCGTTCCGACAACGGTAATATCATGGTCGGAAGAGCATGGTGGTGAGTCGTTGATTCGGTGGCTTTGATGCAGCCAGCCCCATCCAAGCGGGAAAGATTGGAAATCGCTTTCCACCCGCCGAAAGCCGCTGATCGCCAGCAAACTTGCAAGCCGACGTGCTGAAGATGGGTCTTGTTGTCGAAGTGAAAATGCGCGTATCACTGAGCCATGGAAATGGACACCGTTAGATTAGCATGGACTTGAAAAGAGTGTCAAAAAAGAACAAAACCTACATTTATCATTCATTAAAAGCTCCATAGTGCCACTGCATTGTGTTTGCAAGTCCTACGTATAGAAATGATATGGCCCGTTAGTGAATATATTCCTTCAGCGTGGCATTTGCAGGACATACCGGCTCCACCAGCTCAATCCAGCCACCAGGTTTTAGGATACGCAAGTATTCCTTGAGAAGAGGCAACCACATGTGGGCTTTCAGATACCAGTTCATATCTCTCTGAAAAATAAAATCCACACTGTTGTCGGGCAAGGGCAATGGCAGGATAGTAAGGTCGCATGTTCGAAAATGGCAGTTTTTTGGTTTGATGTCGTGGGGATACACATTTTCCAAATCAAAACCTATGAAGGTGGATCGAGGAAACGCCGTGCTCATCTCCATGGTCCATGTGCCCGGACCACATCCCATGTCCAGCACGATGCAGCCTTTCTTTAACGCAGATTGGATGGGTGCTAAAAACTCGCCCCTGAATGCCGTCCTTAAGAGATAGTGTTGTGCTACCATGCGGTCTTGCTCGTTTGTACCGTGAGTCAACACGCTGTTACGATGCAGATCTGTATGCTGAAGCTTGTATTTGGTGTTGAACAATGGCTTTTTTGGTTTGGGAGACGCGCAGGTGTTGACAGAGGGACTTGGCTGAGACTCTGAATGAGAATTGGTGGTAGGTGTGTCAAGACGTGCGGTTGGTGCTGCAATCAGCGGTTCGTATACAGGCGCTATAGCATCAATGATTTCGGGTTTCATTTCTATGGTTCGGTCAATGTAATGAAGAAGACACTTGGGCTGTAGTGTGGGACGCTTTAATTTGCTGGATGGACTGTATCGAATGCTAGCACAGGGGACTGGACTGGCGGGAGAAGATGGGCGTGACGTTTTACCGGTATGGGGATGCTTGATGGAACCAGCAATTGAAGGATACAGTTGTTTCTGGTGATGTAATTTTTTCATATGTAGTGTATCTCGTCGATTATCCGCACTAATACGGGGTGATCGCGATCGTATGGAACGATGTTCGGGCGTGGATCGCATCGCGGTTCTCTGGCGATCATTATTCACTTGCGAAGGTGAGCTTTTGGACTTTTTAGTTTTGAATAGTCGTTTGAGGAACGCGTGTGGTAGAGTAAACTCGGCGATCATGGAGGATGAAGGATGTAATAAAAGAAATACAGTTGGCAAAATAGAAGCGGAATAGCTTCTTATTTATATAAGGGATGCTTTGTGAAAGAAATGGACATAGGAGCAATAACCGCAATCCAATCATCAGGATGGTGATGATCGCTTAGATGCATTTGAGGATAAAGGAGACTAGTGTCACTTGCATACGAAAATAAGGTATGACCCTTTTTTACATCGATGTGGTAATTGTATATGTGTGCAGTGTTGCATTTGTTTAAAGAATCTGTTGTATTCATTGCAAGCGGGCCGATTCTCAATGATTGAACAGAATACCAATCCATACCCGTCCATGTATTACGGAAGCTGGGAGTTTTTATGGCGTGCTACCAATGATAGACTCTGAAACAGGCTTCATTCCTGGAATCGGGGTGACCATTACAGTACTTTTCATCCCTGGTAAAGAAGGACCGTGCTTTTTACTTTTATGGAAATTACAACAACAATTCCACTTTTTTTTCGTCGGATCTACTTGATCATGGGACCTTTGTGAATTCATCAAAATCATCAGCTTTTTGACAGATCGTCCGGCTAGCAAAACTATATGATTTCTATTCCTTAATGAAGGCACAAAAAAACAACGACATCACACGTTATGCTTTCTCATCTGTCATCGGATAATGACGGTCACCACATCGATGAATTAAGAGCGAGAAAGGAGACTTTGCTGACAGGTTGGTTCTGGTGATTGAATTGTCAGGTTTGCGCTTTAGAAAGGTATACTAGTCTTTTTTCGTCCAGTAGGCTGAAAAAACAAATATAGTCAACCTCTCCTTTCCGTTTGGTGGCAAAATGAAATGAAAAAGCTCTTCCCCCTCCCCCCCTCCCCATCCCCCTGCAGCGAATTCGGACCGCAGAGTAGAAATTGACTCCTGATCTCTGACAATCAGTATTGCGGGACATTTTTTTTATTGAGGATCTATGAGGAGGTGGACAAGTCTTGTGAGTTTGGTCAGATGCATTAGTCAAAAAAAAAGGTTGAAGTTAGTATGAATAAGTTGGCCGAGATGGTATACACGCTTCATCCGTCTTATGCGACAGATGATGCTGAAGCGACCTCTTGCTTGGCGCCTACTGCTTCTTCAGTCGCGGCTTGAGCCAGTCGCTCCAGTTTGCGTTGTTCACCTTTTGCTTTTCCATGATCGGCTGGTAACGCAGGACGGAAATAGGGCTATACAAGAATAGGCACGATTAAAATGAATTCATTAGCTGAAAGGGATCAACAAGGGGAGCGTTGTTTTGTTTACCTGACACCGCCAGTGGGCGTATCTCCGAATTCCCTTTTCGTCGGCTTGACCGGAGCCATCGGCTTCCCCCGTGGACTGGCGATCATGTTCCAGTCGCTCTTTCATGGCCATAGTGACGTCCCACAACTGATCGAAACTGTTGGCTGTGGCTAAACGTGCTCGGATGTCGGTATGATGAGACAAACTAGGTTGAAAGATCTTGAACAAATGGGCTTTCATGACCCCGGGGCGAGTAGGGCACATATCACGACAAATCTCCAGATACTCCTGAGCCATTTCCCAAGTGCAAGGAGGCAGTGGCCGTTGAGTGAAAATGGCTGGATTATAAAGATTGCCTTCCGCACTCATCACACCGTCAACTCCGGTATAATCGATGCATCGTTGAACATCTTCGTAGTACAGGATGTTGCCGTTGGCAATCACAGGAATTTTGACAGCTTGTTTCACCGCTTTAATTTTATCCCAATCAGCTAATCCGGTATGATGGCCCTTTTGTTCTCGCAGGCGTCCATGCACAGTCAACATTTGCGCTCCAGCCGCTTCAACCATCTTTGCATAGGCAATCGTCTTTTCCACCGATTCGAACACCCGAATTTTCGCGGTGACCGGGATCGCCAATTCTTGATGCAGGAGTGAGATCATGCGAGTAATGAGATCCCATTCGTCTTGCAAATAGGAACCGTAGTGTCCTCGCTTGGCGATATGCTGAGGACAGCCCAAATTGAGATCCACAGCGTCACAGTCATTTTCAACAAGTTTAGCTGCCCGCAATAAGATTTCAGGATCATTGGCACAAAACTATGAACATCAGCCGTCAGTCTCCGCAGATCAAAAAATACGGGAGTCGTCGAATTTCCCCACGTACCTGGACAATGAGCGGACGATCTTCCTTATCAGTACTCCACTGTTCGTCTCGGTATTTATATCCGTGCGTCGGATCACTGAAAAGCTTGGCGTGAAACATGGGGGTATAGCAGAGATCAGCATTGTAACGACGACTGAGGATGCGCCAAGCTTGTTCGGATTGATCCACCATAGGGGCGACAATAAACTTTGGGGATCGCAAGGTTTCTCGGAAGAAATCATAGCCGGAAAGCTTTTTTGGTGTAGAAGTGGTCATTGTTGTAAGCGTTCTTCTTGTCAATTGAAGTACTGGATTGCGGGCCAGCTTCAAAAACATAACCTCAAGAGGAAACCCACTTCCCCCTTTGGAGAGAAAACAGCTACCCGAACTGAATCCGCAGGAAATTTCGGTTTCACAGTCACAAGCACGCCCAATGCCCGAAACTGACAGCAAAATGAAAAAATCCACCAACACGCTTTCGCAGGCAGAACACCTCTTTTCAACTCCAATACAATATGCCCGATACAACTGATATGCCGGATACAAATAACATGGACACGGACAACCTCAGTTCTTCTGACATGTCTCCTCCCGAAAATAACGTCGAAGTCGTTCTGGAAACGCCAATGCAATTGGAAGTGACCGTGGAACAACCCGCACTGCCGCCACCCGCGCCTCAAGAGGAATCCGAAACCGAACAGGCGCAAAAGACACTGAATACACTTGAACTCATACCAGAGATTGCTGATCAGGTAGAAAATGCAGTTACAACCGCTGTTGAGGATCTCAAGTTTGTTAATTGACGTGATTGGACAACAGCTGAATCAAGACAACAGCCAGTACGATTTGCATGTACAACTCATTAGTCTTTTGCAACAAGCCGATCTCGCTGACCAACTCGAAATGGCTCGCGAAAACATGCATGACATTTACCCCTTGACCGAAAGTAAATATCGATAGCATGCCCGGCTATAGAAAGGATGTGGTTTTGACGATCGAATCTTAGATATGTGGCTCGATTGGATCAATGATGCGAGAAAGGAAGCGCAAACGGAACAAGGGGAGGAAAGATTACGTCAGATATATGGTGAAGCCGAAAAAGACTACTTCTGTAAGATGATCCTACAATGAGTGAGGAAAAGTGGCTGACACTGACATTAATTTTTATTATTACTATTCTATCAGCTATTGCTATCTGGAAATCTTACATTGATTTTATTTTGGAGAAGTTCCATTCCCAAATCGGTACAGATGGCAAAGAGCAACCGTCCATGGATGATGTCGCCGAATTGATCGACAGCACGCGGGAAGATCTATTAAGAGCCGTGAGAGCGTGTAATTACCATGTCTTGCAGAGTCACGAAATCTGGAATCCCTACATTGATTTTGAATTGGAGATCTTGGAGGTAAGTATCAAATAATACAACAGTAAATCCTCGCCTGCTTAACCGTTCTTGTCCAGCGTTATCCTAGGTAATTAGGAGGTATTAGTTGCATCAGTAAATCAACATATATTTGACAATCATATTTAGCCCTGATGGATTCGCCAAAGTCAAGCAACTCTTCTTGGAGCGTTTGGACGCCTTACACATTGGTAAGCGGTCTAGTGATATCAGAAGCTAAAAACAAAACTGTTTGCTGACCTAATTGTATTTAGCATGTGAAGAGACTTTCAACAAGTACTCCACTTTCATCAGCACATACGACAATGCCAATTACGAAAATAGTCTCGTTGAAGCCAACAAAATTTATGCAAAAACCAAAGAAGCTGCCGAAGCGAGAGACTATTACGAGCAGCAGCTGGTATGTGAACCAAACCCCTTCCGCTTCCCGAAAATTTCCTCTTGGACTCATCCACGATCCCATCGTATACGATTTGCAGAAAGAAACTGGATATTCCCTCGATGTATTTTATCAATATATTGAAAACGAAAAAGTGGCCAGCCAAAAGTTCAGCTTAAATTACGTCCGCAGTCTTTACGAACGCGCCATTGCATTTTACTGCACCGATGTCGGTTTATGGAACGATTACATCTTATTTTTGGTAGGCAAATCGAGGAATGCGGCAACCATGGCATTTTCTAAAAATGATCATGTCTTAGATGGAAAAAGCAAGAGTTTTGGCTTTCTTGGAAACGATCGCATTGCGTGCTGTTCGAAATTGCCCATGGTCTGGCATGTTATGGGCCCATTTGGCGAGAATCATGGTATGTAATCAACGATGTACATACAAGCAGAAGACATAAGATAATGTAGCTGACCATGGCGATAACAGGAATCAGGAGCTCGTTCCAAAGAAGAAGTTACTGGTACAGTTTAATCGGAAACTGTAATGTGTTCCCTCTCACTTATCTTTATTCGATGGTATGCAGATATCTTTGATCGTGCTTTGCGAAACGAAACATTATTATCCAGTATCGAAGATCTGGTCACAGTCTTGATGGCGAAATGTGATTATGCGCGACGTCAAGTCGACTGGGAAGATCGTAAGTAAATGGAAGTTGTCTGACGGTAAAGAAAGCAATGACTGACAGCGAGAGAAATGACTAGCCGATGACGAAGCGGTCATGGATCTACGAGTGACATTTGAAGAGTGTCTTGCATATCTTTCTGAAGGTAACACAGTAATGAATGGATGGAATATATTGATGAGTTTCTTATCAACCCAATTGACAGCGCATCCGAAAACGGGCGATCCTTATTACCGTATTGAGCGCTATTATGCCTTTATCGAGGTAACTACAATGCTATATGCCGGGATAACATTTGATTTGAGATGACTTACAGAATGTCATTTAAAGGGCAAAAGGCTGGGAAACGAAGCGAAAGCACGAGAGCAATGGGATACCATCATCAAAAGACATGGTAAAGATGCCGAAGCTTGGGTCCGATATATTGAATTTGAAAGGTGCGTCAGCCTGTTGCGGAAGTGGATAGCCATTCGCTGATTCTTACCATATTCTCATTATGCAGATCACTTGGCAATTACCACACGTGTGTTTCCTTATTCAAGCAGGCTATTGTCAAACGACTCGATTACCCTGAACGTTTAATGGACGCTTGGCTTACCATGGAACATGAAATTGGGTCTGTGGACTCTGTAGAAGACGCTCTCGTCCGTATCAACCACAAAACCAATCTCTTGACTCGAGAATGGCAGGTAAGCTTGAGGATCCAATGCTAAAGTATCTGGATGAATAGTTACTCATTCTTGCTTTTTACAGTCTGCCATTGCTGAGCAACAAGCACAGGAAGAACGTAAAAAGGAAAAGGAGATCACACAAAAGGTAATGTCCATCACGTCACCAAGTTATGAATTTAACGTTGATTTGTATCATGGTGCTGCTACATTATAGAAAAAGAAGGCGGCTCACCGAGCCAAGCAAAAGGAAGGGCCGAAAAAGGAGGCTCAAGGCACAACAGAGACGCAACCTGCAACCTCTGCATCGCGGAAACGAAAAGCGTCGGAGGATATGTCGACTGACACTGCAAAGAAATCAAAACCGTCCCAACGAGAAGCTACAACTTCTAGTGAATTCAAGGCACCAGAACCACCCGCTGCGAATCGTGGTCGTGGCGCGGCAACGACACGCGGTCGAAGGGGTACAAGACTAGCGATGCCTTCCCGACAGACTCAGAAACCAAAGCAGGAACAGAGTGAGGAACCATCCTCTCTTCCAAAGGACCCAGAAACCAAGCCGGCAGAGGAAAAGAGTAATGCTGATTTCCGAGCCATGTTATTGGGTAAAAAGTGAAGAAATGTATCATAATAAAACAATGTTTGCTCGTTGTTTATTTAGTTTGATTAAGTGCTGATAATAGTCAATAGTCGTGTTACGCTGGTTTAACCTTCAATTAAGTCATACATCAAATCTAACAGGGTGGCACTCGACCAGGCCTGGGTCGTGCATGAATCCCAGCAAGGAGCCGCATCCTTGTTTGTCAACTCGGCAAGACCAGCCCATGGATTGACAGTGATTTCTTTACGATGGGCACGCAGGATACGAGCAATGTCGTGAGAAGTGAGAGCGTCAAACTTGAAGCAAGCGCGCAAGAAGAAACCGGTTAACCATAACCATTCGGGACCTTGGTGATAATTGCGACCTTTGGCGACACTGGGATCATCCGAGTCATCGCTGTTGTTGTAGTAAGGTCGGTACTCTTGATCGGCCGGATCTAAAGTACGCATGCCCAAAGGTCCTAAAAGGGTTTCGCTGGTAAACTTGAGGCAGTCGCGTGCATGGTCCTTGTTAAACAACTCGGGAGCCACGCACATCGCCGTGGGGAAATTGGGACGGAATTGATATTCGGTGTACGGTTTGGTAGCTTTCACCACATCCTTGTAGATGCCACGACGATGGATGATCTTGGGAATCACATCGTACTGATCGTCTTCGGATGCATCTGTAACGAAAAAGAGTTTAGATGGCGCTCTGCAATCCCTGCATCCGTCAGTGCTTACCCTTGGGAACGTAGTAGAGACGCTCGAAATTCTTTTGCAAAAGGTCGTTCCAATGTTCATAGGTAATATCCTTACCGTTCACTACAGGTTCCGGTGATATGTTAGCATAATGTACGATAGCATCAAACTACCATAGGTTGACGTACCTTCTACACCAGTCCATTTGAATTTATTGGCAGCATTCAATTCAAGGATGAAACGCAGGGCACTCTTGAGAAGACCGGTGATTTCCACAGGGGCACCATCACGAGGAGTACCGGGCAAGCCCTTGTTGTGAGCCTTTTCGCTTTCACCCATCTTATCCATCCAGGTACCGCAGTTCCAAATATTGCCCCCCACAAGAATACCGGTTTCCCAGTCAACCTCGATATCAATGTTGAAACCGGCATCGGACATTTGTCGATCGATACGATCGCCCGCATTGTGTTCTCTAAAGTGGATACCGTTGGCATGGCGTTCCATGATTTCTTGCATGACCTCAGCGACGGTGGAGGAATACTTGTACGCTTCATCCACTTCAACAAAACGATCGTCTTTGGGGAAACGACGAGGCACCTTCTCTTCAAGAATACGATGACCGTCAGGAGCCAAGTGATAATAGTCTTGGATGGCTTGCATGAAGAACCATACTGAATCACGCGAATTGTAACGAGGATAACGAACCGAATCCAACAAGTTGGGGATCAAGCCGTGTTTGAGCGAACCTGCAAAGGCGATTATGTGTTCTTTGGCGACATCGAAACGACCCGTGACCATGATCAAACCACGCAAAGAGATAAATACGTCACGACCCCAGGTACGGAAAGGACCGTTGGTGAAGTGAGGTAAACCAGCGGCAAGCGAAGGACCTGCTTTCGTAGGATGAAGACCCGTGGAAGGCACCATACCATACATTTGAACACTGGTCATAGCCAAGCGGTGAAGGAAGGCATCCCCATTTTGGATAAGAGGTGACATGCGCGATAAGGCATGGGCGTACACCTTGTCGTAAGCGGTTTTAACTGTCATGGCAAAATATTTGGGAACCAAAAAGTCGGGCATTTCCCTGACCAACTCGAAGCGAGATTGGAACCAGTCGTGAAGCTTCTGCAAATGGGGGTAATGGGGCAAGTGACGTTGCAAGCGGTTCACCACGTAATCCAGAGCCCATGTGCCCTGACGCAAGTTATCGCAGAAGGGGTGGCCCAAATCGTTGGTCTCAATAATCGAGCGCAAGACCGAGATAAAACCTTGCAAGCCAGCATACACCAATTTGCCGTAATTGGGGATATTATACACCCCGTCGCCGTTGGTGGTATCCATTTCCTCGCCCTCGCAGCGGTAAAGAATGATATTGCAGTCCAATAAATCAAGATCCTGGACAACATCATCTTCCATGTAAGAAACCATATCTTGAGCTTTCTGGTAAGTATCGCCAATCGAGGTCTTGATCACTATAATTGAGCCAGGGACAAAGTGATCAGGAAGAATGACTTCAGTGAACTGACCGAGATGATCCTCCTTTTCTTCGAATCGTGGAGAGGGCAGTTCCTCGACGTGGCTAGGGAACCCATGCAAATATTGATTATCGTCGTTGCAGGTGACTGATTCGACCTTGAGCGAACCTCCAAACATGAAGGTGGCTTTGGTGCCGCGAAGTTTAATCGGGGCCAAACCGGTGTGTTGACCGGGGAAAGCGGTACGACTGATCAGGAGATAACCTCGTTGAGAACCTGGATGTTGTCGGTGAACGAGAAGGTAATCGTTTTCTTGGTGAACATGGACCTCGGTGAAACCCTTGAGTGTCATTTCCAGATGAAGATTCTGCAACTGATGCTTCATCTTGATGATGCCTTGATCGTAGTTGGGTTTGGGCTCATAGCATCGGGTCTCGTTGACGATATCGAGCAACTTTGGATAGATTTCATCGTAGCCTTTAACGCTGCCAATGGCGCAGTTGGAAAATGCTACAGCGGCAGCATTGGGCAATGCATCTTGTGGGGTCCGTTTTTGTGCAGGTGTTTCATTATCGTGAGTACAGTCCATGAACAGTGCACGTGGCATGCTGCCTTGGAGGATCGGGATTCGCAAGACTTGATCGTACTGATTGCCTTCATATTTAACCGTTTTCCAGATCATGGCTTCGTCCATGCTTCCGACCGGTTTTCCACCGTGGCGATGGACCAATCTCGATAACTCGTGAGGATCCCACGCTTGCATGGCTTCGCGGATGAGGGAGTGGATACCGAGATGCGACACGAACATGTTGTCCTTTTCAGGAGAACCGGTGAACAATTCTGCAACAACATAAAGGTCCGGACGGACTTGACGGGCTGCATCCAGCAAGTATTCGGCCACGTGAATGGGTGTGGAATGGCAGTTGTCAATGCGGATACCCTGGAACATGCTAGCAATCTGTTCGGTGTAGGTACGCATATGGTGCCAAAGCCAGGGATTCTCTTCTGGGGATTGACCGTAACGAAGCTTGACACAATCCCCCCACACGATCACTTCACGTCGAAGGTAAGCTGACGAATCGGGACCGGCAAAATCTTTGAGCGGGTCGGCATTCCAGATCCAGCCATTGTTGGCTAATTGCATGCTACCCTTGGGATGGGTGGTATCATCTTGGTTCAAGCGCGTAAAGTAGGTTTCTATAAGCGGATTACTTCATGCAAGAGAAAATGAAGCAGAAAGAAATAGGAGAGGTTAGATTCCATCCATGCTGCACCATTTGCTCAGATCACTGATTTTTTGATCCATCATCGCCTCCCTTCCTCATCTGCAAGTCATCCCCTGATTACACTCATGAATTTTTTACTTCTTCCCTGGATTCCACCTTTCAAGCCCCGCCAAACAGCGGGAACCATTGTCATGCACCCATCGTTTGGGAAAAAATAAATACAAAGAAAACGATCGTTTCACCTTCCTAAAACGGATTGTTGCACAGCTTTTCCCAGTCCATCTCATTCCCTGCTTTTCATCTCATCGGCTCCATTTCCGGGTCGCAGCATTTCCCGTTCCTCTTCGGTTTCCCCCCCCCCCAAATTCTCTCTTTTTTCCACTCGTTGGCCCAGTCTAACCCAATGAGAAAGAAAAAAAAAAAGAGATTTTACCTTTCACTGATTTCCCCTAACTTGGGTCCATTGGCATCCAGACGAGTATATGCCAACCGATTCTTGATATTGTCCAATGCTATCCTGACGTCTTCGTCATATTCCTTGTAATGAGGCAAGTTGTATTCATCCAAGAGACGTTGGAACAAGTCGGTTAATTGGTTCACATGGTCATTATTGACATCGTCGATAGACTGCAATCCAGCAATGGCCAAAACAATGGAAAGGGCACGAGACTGATCAACTGATCTATGGAAACGCGTACCGAGATGGCCGGGTTGAATAGCATCCTTGCCCAACAGCGCGGCCTGTTCCTTGAAAGAAAGTTGCTGCGCATGACCGTACTGCGTGGGGTCGCATTGGGTGCGTTCTTGCAGCGATTTTCTGAAAATCTCTGTTTGTTTCTGGACGTCGATGACCTTGTATTCGTACAATTTGAGTTCCTGAATGGTGTGATCCCGAATATAATTCATAATGGCGTCTATATCATGACCAGACTCCACTTTGGACTTTAGACCCAGTTCATGAAGTTTGCCAGATAATTTGATCAAAGCGGTATCCAATTCATACGCAGGGACAAGGTGGGGTGAATTATGGAGATTGTAGCCTAATTCACCAAATTACATGTTTCATTTCCGAATTAATAGTGTACTCATCAATCGGTGCATGCTATATGACGCGACGTCATTACCTGCTTCGGGATGTTCGTTCAAGAAAGCGGAGTCGAAACTGGTATGGTTCCACACGACATCGGAAAGACACAAGATGCCATGATCGGACTGAATGTGTTCAAGCATGTTCTGCATCAATTTGGTGAGTTCTTCGTTACTCTTGTTACGATCCTTCTCGTCAAACAGGTCGAGAGAAAAGGCGAGCTGATCGGCGATGGAGTAAGGTGAATTGGATCCACCACGTTGTTGCATGGGAACGAAATGAATCATGTTGTAGCCTTCGTATTCGATCATATCGATAAGCGATTGCCACTGTGATAAGGGACCCATCCATTTCGGCACCAGAGATAAAATCATTAAAGCGTCCAATGGCAAGAGTGCTTTTTCGGATGTGGCACCCTTTTTCACCCACAACCTCGGTTCGACCACGACATAGCCTGATTGGGAGCGATGCGTTTTCTGGCCAACTTGGTAATCGACATAATACTCGTAAGCGCCCGGGACCGTCAATGCAATATCACAATATGCATGCAGCAAATTGGGGTCTATAATGAAACTAATGGCAATGCGTAGATGACAGTCAGTTTCGAGATGCAATCTCATGCACTCGCTATCTTTGCTTACTTGACGGAATAGAACGTGCTTCGATCAAAGGATCTAATGTGGCCCAAAAAGAAAAAACAGGCAGATACTGTGAGAAAGAATTGATCCGCCTGACCATGGACAAAGTTCAAATCTTACCCTTGGATAGGATAATTGATGTGGAGCATTGCATGATTACCACTGGCGAGAGATCCTGGCTTCAAAACGAATCGCAACAAATCATCTTTCTCGGATAATGGAATCCGGACGTACTATGCAATATGCAATGTCAGCAACGGGCCATGGTAAATGCAATGCGTACATAAATGAGGGAAAATGAGCGAGCCCACACTTATTTTTGTTTTTTGCATCCTTTTTCCCTTCGTTGTGAAAAATCAACCATCCAAATATCAACATAACGCAAAAGGTCCAACAACGAAACGGTAACTTGCATTGTTGTGCATAAAGTGGTTCGATGAGCAACCCATTATCAATCTCTCACGTTTGTTGTTTGAAACTTGATATTTCCTTTCCCTCCCTCCTCCCCCTTTTTTCCCTTTTCCCTCACTGCAGTAACGGGCAAAAACGAAAAAAGAAAAAAACACCTACTGTTTTGTCTGGTTCCGGCGATCCATCGTCATCGAGTGTAAGGGCGTACAAATAAGGGACATCAGTCGAACGAGCCTTGGCGGGCGGAGCGAGTGAAGCAGACATTTCTTCTTTAATAGTGATGGTGACGGACGGTTGCAACCGGCAATGAACACGAATACATTTAGACAAAGTTATTTTTATTTCATGCACTCAAGTTGCAATGATACTTACATGGAAACGGAACAATAGTAATCGACGCACGTACCAAGGAGGTGTGATGTGATCAAAAAAAGGTAAGAAAAATTATTAACTGTAATAAAAAATAGAAAGCAAGCCTAGTCCTTTAATACGAACTTTAAAAAAAAAAAAGGTGGAAGAGTGGACAAGAAAAAAAGAGACCTTTTTTTCGTGATAAAAACAAGAAAAAGAAAAAGAAGGTGTGCGGGTCTCAGATAACGATCTTTTTTCCCTTCTCGGCTGAAAGTGACATGGCCCAATTTTTTTTTCCATTTTGACCGTCCAAAGGAGAGAAAATACGAAAAATAGCATTTTCAAACGCCGCCAACTCCATTCGGGAGGTAGATGTCTCATGCAGACACATGAAAAAAAAAAACCATCAGTGAGAACGCAGCATCGTTTCCTTAACGGCCATCTCCCCACTGTCTGTTGAATGAATAGTCAAATAGACATACGCAAAATGCCCCACAGAAAAACGGTATAGAATAGCTGCACAGAATTTGAGTATATAATACGGCCGAAGCATGGCATCCAATTCCTGGTTCTTCTTTTGTTTCCCTTGGTGCTTGAATTTCACTCTGTCGGTTTTTTCTTTGTTTTCATCGTTCCCAATCCTTCAGACTCTGAGGAAATGATCAACTCTGTGAGTATGAACATGGATGATCCCAACTACTTGACCCATGCACAAACGGTCTCCAAATTCCCAGTCTCCGCCTCATTCTTCAGTGAAAAATCCAATCCAACCATGGTATCCGTCAAAAGATCAAAATGGAAGGAGTCGTATTTGCGGGTGAAGTCTTGCCTACTCCGGCTGTTCATCAAATACTGGTTCTTGCTGGGCCTTGGAGTCGCCATCCTGTTATCCTGGAAATTTCCTAATGTAGCAAGACGAGGCGGTTATCTACGCGCAGAATGGACCATCAAATGGGGTAATTATCAATCAAATGATTCCTTTCTTTCTTTGCTGTTCTTCCCATTTCTGCGCATTGCATCTTTTTTTTTCTTTGTACCACCATAAGAAAAGAAAATTTTACCAGAGCTTGAGTTATCGATTGTTGATGATCGGATTTTAGGAGCGGTCATTGTAATATTTTTGATCTCCGGACTATCGCTGCGCACACGGATCCTCGCCCAGACCATCCTCCGTATCCGACTCCATTTTCTTGTCCAGTTCATCAACCTCGTCTTTATTCCTTTCTTCGTTTTCGGACTCGTCTTAATATTCTTCAAGTTTCATCTCCCTCTCAACTCTCAACTCCTGGTTGGCATCGTCATCGCCGCATCCACTCCGACAACAGTTTCATCGAATGTCGTCATGACCAAAAATGCAAAAGGCAACGAAGCCTCAGGTAACACCAACCGATGGCCATTTTCCTGTTGTACTCAATGCTCACACTGTTGTGCTTCCTTGTTTTTTTCGTTTTTTTTTCTCTCCTCGTCATTTCCAACAACTTGCCTCCTTTAATTTATCATCATCATCACCATCACAGCGCTGATGAATGCCGCTTTCGGAAATATTCTAGGTACGTCATCGAGAAACGCCGGACCAGGAAAAAAAAATCAGTTGCCGAAAAAGTCAATTAAAATTTTGGATGTTTTTTCTCTGTAGGCATTTTCGTCTCCCCTGCTCTGGTTTCCACGTTCCAGGGACCCTTATTGAACGCCACACCTGAACATGAACAAGTCGATAAAACGGGCGATGTGGTAGATTTTGTGTCTGTTTTGAAGCAGCTTGGTGTAACCGTGCTAGCGCCGTTGATCGTTGGCCAGATCGTCCAGTGGATGTTCACCGAACCGGTCGCGAAATTCAAAGTCAAATACCGATTATCGGACGTGAGCAGTGTGGCACTCCTGCTGATGGTGTGGTCGGTGTTTTCCGATGCCATTCACGCAGGTTCATTTTCCGCCGTCACCGTCCAGGATATCGTTGCAGTGGCCATCATTAACGCAGGATTGTATATCCTGTTTTCGCTGGTGTGTTTCGTGGCCGCATTTCTTCCTTGGCGTTCCACATCATCATCATGGGTGCAACGATGGCGATACTCACGTGAAGATACAGTGGCTGTCATGGTATGTTTGGCTCTATTTTTTTTTCTGTGTTATTTTTTGTTGTAGAAACACTGACGTTGCGTTATCTTTTGTGCACTGACAGTTCTGCGGGGCCACCAAAACGGTCGCCATGGGCGTGCCGCTCATCAATGTTCTGTATCAGAACGGCGATCCCGGAACTATTGGTGTTTTATCCACACCCTTACTCCTCTATCACGTTGAGCAACTTATCTTGGGAAATATTGAAGTCGAAATTCTCAAAAAATGGGTCATGCGTGGCCAATCCATTAAGGAATCATCTGTGGCACATGACGAAGAAAACCCGTCTTCTTCCTTTAAACATACCGACATTCAGCCCCCGTTCAGAGTCTACATCCCAGCCTCAGCATCTCCTTACATGTTTCCAAAGTAAGCATTTTACTGCATCTTTACGCTGCCACACTTTTTAGACACTCATGCGCGTCGCTCTTTCCTTTATTAGATCCGCCCTCGGCATCGTCGAGTGCAGCTCGTTCTATCGCAGCTTGCGCCGTGAATATGAATATCTATTCCTGTAGTTTTCCAGTAGCATACCGTTCTCCATTTGTAAAATACCCGCACCCAATGTTCACTTACATCCCATTCTCCCTTACGCCCGCATTGTATCATGTCTTTCTCATAAATAGTCGACCCTTCATCATGCATTCTAACCAAAAAATATCCCGCTATCACTCCAAAACCGAGATAATTCATCCTTTTGCATCCAATTTTAATCTTATCTGATTGTTTTTTGTATTTGTTTCGAATGGCTTGAATGGGCTTTCACTTTTGATTGGTCGTTTAATTTCGGCTGCTTAGAGGCCCGGTTTATGGCTAATTTCAGATCACCGATTGCGCAAGCTCGGAGTTGATAAGTTTTTCAGTCATTGTGATAGAAGCAAGTCATACTTGATATCCGCTCCTCGATTACTAATGTCCTTCCTTTCCCGAACTCTTCAAATCGGTCGACACTTATTCTCATCCTCACGTCCTTCCACTTCTACAATGACTGAAAAAGCCACATTTGCTGCCGGATGCTTCTGGTAAATTCCAAGGGATAACCAATGATGCAATCTTGGATATTAACGATCGCCATTTTTTAGGGGTGTAGAGCATCTCTACAATAAGCACTTTAAGAAAGACGGCATTGAAACCCGAGTAGGCTATATAGGTGGTCACACCGATAATCCCACCTATAAGGAGGTAAACTCTCACAGCAATCAGTAACTTGTATAGATCATGTCTAAATCGATTTGCGATGCAGGTTTGCACCAGCAACACCGATCACGCTGAAGCCGTGGAAATCAGCTTTGATCCGAAGCGAGTGTCTTATGACACACTTGTAGAATTTTTCTATAGAATTCATGGTAAATAAGCTTGGAGATTATGGTATCATATAATCGTGGATATTTAACGCTCTGGGTTATGTTAGATGCTACCACCGTCAATGCTCAAGGTCCTGATGTTGGTTCACAGTATCGTTCCGCTATCTTTTATCATTCTCCAGACCAGAAAGCTGTTGCCGAAAAGGTCACCCAAGAAGTCCAGGAAAAGCATTACAAGGATAAAAAAATCGTTACCAAGATTGAGCCAGCCAGCACTTTTTACGATGCTGAGACGTATCACCAGGTAAGTCGCTCTCGAGCCACAAGTTAAAAATTTTGGCAGCGCATTAACATACTCGGCAACCTATTTTAGCTTTATTTGGAAAAGAATCCTAGTGGCTATACTGTAAGTAACCATTTTTGAATGACTTTATAAATGCATGAAATACTCATTTATCCTTAGTGCCCCACTCACTTCTTGCGTTGGTAAAGGGTTTGCAACCGGTCTGCCGTAAAGTGATCGCAAAAGAAAGACAGATCATGTTTGACGGTGAACGCTTGCTCTAAATGAGTGAATCATTAAAGCATGTATATAACATTGGATGTATTGGGACATAGATGTTGGCAGTATAGACATATACGGGAATCACATTTGAAAAGTTAAAAACGTCCGTCGATTCCTTGAAGCTATGGTTTTTTTTTTTTTTTTTTTTTTTTTGGAAGGTGGCATTAATGGTTGCACAGACACGGATCGCTGATATGCAGGTCAAAGCAATGTGTGCATGACAATTCTCTGGCGTCAGGTGTCTCCACAGTAATCGATCTGTCAGGAACATGCAATTTTGCGAAGTGGAGAACTTTATTCCATCCGGGACTTTTACGTTTTTAAATAACGATATTTGAGTAACTTCTCCATGCAATAACAAAAGTTGCATTGCTGCAAATTAGCTTTTATATTCAGTGATCCATTATATGGTGGGTGGTCGTTCTTTCAATGACATATAACATGGTCCCGTTACGAAGAACAAAACCGCTTTTTGAAAAACCAAAAACTTACTCGTTGCGTTTGATTAAGATATCATTCAGAAAATCATTTTAACTCGGGGATCAGCTCAAAAATCGCTTCACCCCAGAAGTCTGTGCTCGGCTTCGCCTCGCTTTAATAAAACCTTTCATCTACATCAGTTTTTTACTATCAAGCCACATTTGTTTTTTTTTTTATGACCTATCTTGGTGAAACTGCTTCCAAACATGTCATATCATATTGGTACGTGAAAAATGCTCCAGGTCACACTGTCGGCTGCTTATATTTATCAATAGCACGATCTTACATAAGCTTCTATTTATTGATGACTGCTCTGAATAAATTTTGTTTGTAGGCAGCCGAAAAAAAAAACCATGTCTTTGCGACGAAGAATGGAGTCCAAATCCATTTCTTTATTTCATTTGGGAAATATTTTTGCGGTGCCTGAATGATACACAGTGCTGTCGCATTGTGAAACACTGAATGGCCGGCGTCGACCCGTATCGAGGTATACGAATGAAACCGACGTTTCTATAGTTAAATGAGTCAAACAACAAAATTACAAGCTAAGAGCAAAGCCTATTAGCAAAAGATCCAAAGTCATTCACAAATAACAAGAACTGATGGAATATGGGCATATGCATGTTGACATGCATTGCATAGGGAATTCTGGGATCTCCGCCCAAATGTTTTGACCATCAGCCATGATCCATTCATGTTCCTGGATTATGGTCGCTCGTTTCATGCCTGTATCGCTGTGAAAGAGGTATACGGAAGTGGCCGAGGCCAATGGGCTTAATTGGAGAATCAAAGCGTAACATTTCAAGAAGATGAACTTCAAATAACAATACAAGAGATATTTTTTATTTTGAATGGATATTTAGACAGTAGATGATGCAAGCAAGATAATGAAAGTTTAAAAAGAAATAACAGTATGGAATAGATAATAAGCATATAAAAAGATTCAGAGGATGATAAGTCAATACAAGTGTGGCGGAACGAAAACAAATGTGTACATAAATGTGTATAAGAATATGGTTGTGGATTGGTAAGTTGATATGGATGTGTATGTGTATGTAGATGTGGATATGGATATGGATATGGATGATGTGGATGGGTCGCAATATAAATTGTAGTGTCTTGGTTTTTTGTGATGGAGAATTGTGTAGCATATTTTTTTGTAGTTGAGGTTATCGATTGGCCTGAATTTGATGGATGGTACGGTTTCCGCGAAGGCGCCACATCTCGTTTCTTTTTTCTTTTTTTTTTTTTTTTTTGGCTTTTTTGCTTTTCTCGGACACCATTCGTCTTCGTCACACACACTTGCATCGAATGTCAAACTCCGGTTGTAATGCAGTACGTATGCTTGATTGGCTTGATTTGCTTGATTGGCTTGATTTGCTTGACTGGCTTGACTTCCTTGGCTGGCTTGATTTCCTTGGCTGGCTTGGTTTCCTTGGCTGGCTTGACTTCCTTGACTGGCTTGATTGTTCGTGACTGACTCGATTCGCCTGCTTTGGCTTGCTTGCTTTGGCCTCCTTTACAGTAAGGGCCTTACCAGCCCCGCGACGTCGGTGACCGACTGAGTGCGACGCAATTCAAGCCACTTACCAGCTCCAACCCCACTAGCTCATTTGCTCCGTTTCCCCAAGGCGCCCGCACCGCTCCACCCACACAACTGCTCCCCTCCATCCGCCGCCCTCCTTGCTTGGATCTCCAAGCAAACCATTACATTCAGTGAGAAAAAGAAAAAGAAAAGGGGAAAGGGAAGGGGAAGGAAAAAAACCAAGTTGCTGGTCGACGTGCCGAAAACGCCGAATTGTCGAGTTGCCGCAGTGCCGAATGTCGTAATGTCGAATTGCTGGAGATCGTCGTGTCGTGCTGAAATGTCGAAATGCTGGAAATCTTACCTGTCGTAATGCCGGATGTCGAGTTGCTGGATGCCGATTGCTGAATTGTCGAATCGTCGAATTGCCGGTGTGCTGGTCTTCGTCGATCGTCGTGTTGCTGGGTTGCCGGGACTTGGTACGAACGAAAAGAGAGGAGAGGGGGGGAAAAGAGGGAAATAAAAAATATGGGGGAAGGGAAAGGGTAAAGTAGAGAAAGAAAAAGGGGGGGGGGCCAAAAAGAAAAGGTTCCACTGAAAGGGTTTGCGAGTTCCAAGGCTCACTGGATGACTTTGGAGGAGAAAGAACAGCGGCGAGCAGAGACAGTACGAAGCAACCTCGGATCATGTGGGAGCTATCGCTAGCGAAGCCTTCACTGGCAGAGGTGACTTGAACCACGAACTGGAAAAGCAAACCACAAAGGGCTACTCTCCAGCCAAAGCGACACCCGAAGGCGCCACTTTGCACACCCAGCCGGTCGAAGCTTGCAATTCACTGGGTGACGGGACGCCTAATAAAAGAAAAATATGGTTAATATGACTATGTGACTCATATGCTGATGGCTGCTGGGCAACTTACCAGTCAAGGGGGGTGGCGGTGACGACGGGAACTATGGTGCAAATAAAAGAAGTCTTAGTTATACGTTGTAAAAAGCGCACTGAACAAATAAACTGACCAAAAGTTGTTCCCGGGATGCACATATTTGGCCCCTTCATGGACGAAGGGACCAGCCTCTGTGGCTCCTTGATTGGCGCCACCAATCTTAACTGAAGGAGCCACAGAGGCTCAGCTTTGACAACGCGTGCCAAGGGAACGGCGACCGACTTGCCCTTATTGAGGGTCTTTGCCTTCTTTGATGGTCGCTCCTCAAATGGAGCCTGGTCATCGTCGGCTGCCCATTGACGTTTCTTCGGGCAGGCCGACGGAGGAGGACGGACGACGACGGTGGGCTTACCCGCGACCAACTTTTGCTTTTTGGCCGCGGGAACTTGAACGGGTTTATCGTTTTCGGCTGCCCGCTGGTGCTTTTGCGGGCAGACCGAAGGAGAGCAGACAGCAGCCACGTCATTGGCCCGCTTTTGGGCTCTGGGAGGGTGGGCGGGAGGAATTCCCGTCGGCCACAGTTCTAAGTGCGTAAAAAGTTTTGGTGAGTTTTTATGAATTTTTTATTGCGCGGATGGTTCTTACTGGGCAACACCGGTTCGAAATGGGGAGGGCCCAGATGAACCTTGACCTTCTTGCTGGGCCGTTCGTCCGTCTTGCCGATTTCCACGGCGTACTGCTTTCGCTTTCTGGTACGCACGTCGGCGGCTTCTTCAACGTGCGAAAGCTCTACAGTATCAATAATTTGCGTTAAGTTTTCTTAGTTCTGAGACTTTTTCGTTGCGCGCATTGTCCTTACTAGGGAGCACAGGCTCAAAGAAAAACAGGTGGTGCTTCGTGACCGCCTTCGAAATTGCCACAACGTGGCGCTGGCGTCTTTTAAAAATTCGGTGCAACGGATGTTGGACACCCAAGGCACGGGCGCGGGAACAAGCGCGGGAACGAGAGAGAGATCGAGAGAGAGAATGAGGGAGAGAACGAGAGAGAGGACGAGAGAGAGAACGAGAGAGAGGACGAGAGAGAGAACGAGAGAAAGCGTTAAGAAGCATTTTAACTAAAAAGAAAACAGTGAGAAAATCAGGGCAACAAAGCGAGAAAAAAGTTACTGAGCTATACTTACGAGTAAGTCAAGGAATTCTGTAAACAATAAAGAAAAAGAAATTAAAAATTGTCGCGTTTGATTAGAATAAATACTCAAAGAGAAAAAAAAAACCACGTCCTGATTTCCTTTTCTTGAACAATAAAAAAAATTACACTCGAATTTCCTTTTTTGGGCCGCCATTTAACTTAGCGCCAGCACCCTGTAGATTTTCTACTGCCAGAGCAAGCAGTGCTGGCAGTGTGGAAAGCATCAATTTATTTTGTAGCGGTTATTTCGATCAAAATGGGCCAAAAGCGTGCTGTTTCGTGCTGCTACGTGACAATTGCTCCTGGTTACACGATCGCCTGCTTACATGTTTAAAAACATCATAACCGTGAAATAGTATCCTATCCATATTATTCCTCGTATTAGATGTTAGCTGGACTTCACCATCGTATTTCCAATAGATAGCTCGATATGTTGATTTGCATTGTCTCGTTCGGAAGTAACCTTAGTACCTGGATGTCATAATTTCGGGGTTGCACTGATGAAACACAAAGTTTACGGTCAAAGCGTCGATCCGCCCCTGCGTTGACATTTCCCAAAACGGCTATTTCTTGACAAACACGGAAATCAGGAGGCATAAGCGTTGCATCCACATCGTCGCTGTATATTTTCTTGTTCAGGATAAATAAATGGGTTTCTGATCATGACAAGTAAGTTTGTGATGGAAATATTCCATGTTTACATGCATAAATTGGCGGCGGATAATGATCTCAGTTCAAAATTTTAGGTGCCAGTCATGATCCCTCCACATTTTTAGAATCGCCATTTTCTGTTGTCCACATTGATTCGAGATCATTTGTGGAAAAAAAATTACTCAGTAGGACTATCGCATCATACATAAAACGATTCTTCAAAAATCACACGCTTTTTAATGTTTAAGGCAGACAGTACCTGCACCGGGATTACTCTCGAAAAATACCTGGAAACTTCGAAATTGTTAATTTAATTAAGCTTTCAACGTGATGTTAGCTATTTGACGTCTTTCCATATTGCAGGTAAAAAAAGGATTTTATTCTCGCTATCAACATTATCTGCTGGTAAGTTCACAACTAACTTTTCCCTTGCCCATGCCACAAGAAGCATTATAACACGCGAAACACGGAAGATTTGATCAGTCGGCCGAAATCATCGATGTACAGCATCCGTTTACATACGACCCTATCTCCGGCGTAGATGCGCCATGGTATTGGTATTCCGGCTCCATTCATTTTCATCCTTTCCACGATTCTCAACGAGCACAACAGCTTTTCGCCCCTAATTTATAAGAATTGCAACACCATGGTTACACGAACCCACCAAAAATACCTTCATGAATATGTGCTAAGAACAGCCGTACTTCCCCACAGTATCTTTCACCCAGCCTCTATGGCTGGTACGCGTACGACCGATATAAGATCCACTAGCTGTCATGAATAACAACAAATTTTGGGGTACGATATGTCGGCTATGATAGGCGTCGTAGATGGTCGCTGTAGTAGAGCTTCGGGGCCGTCACCGGAAGAATCGTATCAATATTGACAACGGCATGTTGAGTTTCCGGTTTCGGTTTCGTAAGTTGTACCCGAGCTTTCAATCGGTGTCCTACTAATGTTTGGATCTTCTGCATTGATGTACTCCGGAATATAATCCACCATGTCCCGAGAAAAGTTACCAAGCCGCAGAAGCAACCTTCTTTTCTATGCTTTCATTCCACGACCAACCCTACCAAGAAAGACATAAACAATTGTTTTCGTCATCCACACCTTACTGTTGTAGCGATCCATGTGAGACCATTTTGACCTTCTTTGCATGTCCCAATCGTAGAAAATCGCGCCATATTGCTGTTCCCGTCGAACGTTGCAATAACGAACCGTCTATAAGTCGTTCCTCCCTGTCCTAACAACGAAAATAGCGATTCTGTGAGCTGTAATTCTAGGTGAACAGCGTAGAATACCATCACAACAGTAGATGCCCCGAGTCCATAACAATACAATTTCCCCTTTGATACTTTCTCTGGCCACGGCAAATCTGATATATCGGCGGAGCTGCCTTCACGATGAATTCAGTTCATCTCGAGCAAAGGGTGTTTGACAAACTTTCCATTTACCTTTGGAAACGCGGACATTGTTCCGCTTTCCACATCGATCTTAAGATAAAACCGAACCCTATCCATAAATCCTCTCTGAATTCGACCTGCACACGATGGAGGCACCGCTTAAAACGTAAAACCGGATACGCGTCAGTAGATTCACAATTGACAGCTCCCCCATTCCCAATCTTGCTGCATTACTTTACCAAGATGGAATGATTTCCAGAGCTTCCTTTGGACCTTCGAATATTGCATCATTCTTAGCTTTTGGACGATATCAATGGCTGAAAGCAGTAGATCATGTCGAAGCAGTGCGACCACCCCATTTTCGACTTTACCAAATGGAAAAAATCTCGCCACGTCAAGTTCTGACTGATCGATTACAATCTCCGCTCTTCCCTTAAAAAGATCACACGGATTTTCCCCAATATCTCCTCTCGCTCGTTTTAACCAATCTTCATAATGAATTTTAGAATGTAGGACTTAAGAATAAAGCAAACAGTGTATTGTAATATATAGGTCATGTAAGAATTTGTTTTAGAGATATCAGCTTTCATGATGATAGACGAACAGGTAACATAGAAGAAGACAGATGAAGCCATAAATACGGCAAATTTGTCCTCGACACGAACCATAAAATGGAAACAAGGAAGCCAAGAGCAATTGTTACCAACGATACCTTTTTATCAGTCAATTGCAAGGTTTTTCTTGCTTTTTCCTCGTTCCTTGTTCTTCTTTCTTCTCGTATATGTACCGTATGTGTGTAATGCAATTCATACGTCTAAAGGTCGTGGGACAATCGTTTGTTCTTCGTCAAAGTTGGTTCGCTAGCGGTTGTAACCCTTGCTTCCTTCTTCATTCTCCCTTCCTTGCTTGTTGGCTTGCTGACTTAGCTTACTTGCTTCTTGCTTCTCTGCTTCCTAACTTTCTGGCTTCGTGCTTCGTGCTTCATGCTTCGTGCTTCTTGGACTCCCGGCTTTCTTGGTTTGAGCTTCCTTGCTTCTTGTTTCTTGCATTTTTTTTTCTTGCTTCCTGGCTTGAAGCTAGCGCTAGCGAAGCCTTCACTGGCAGAGTTGACCTGAACCACGAACTGGAAAAGCAAACCACAAAGGGCTACTCTCCACCCAAAGCGACACCCGAAGGCGCCACTTTGCACACCCAGTCGGTCGAAGCTTGCAATTCAGCGGGGTGCGAGACACCTAATGAAAGAAAAATATGGTTATATGACTTTGTGATTCTATGTTTTATATGCTGCTGGGACACTTACCAGTCAAGAAGGACGGCTGTGACCACGGGTACTACAGTATAGTCAAATAAAAATACTTTTTTAGTCATACGTTGTGAAAAGCACACTGAACACTGAACTGACCGAAAGGCTTGCCCGGTTTGCACAGATTGGGCACCTTCTTGAATGAAGGTACCGCCTTCTGTGGCTCCTTGTGGGTGGAGGCTTCCAAGCGCAAAAGAAGGAGCCACAGAGGCTCAGCGACGGCAACGTGTGCCTGAGGAGCGGCGACGGTTTTTCCTTTGTTCAGGGTCTTGGTCTTTTCTCGGTGGTTCTTCAGAGGGAGCGTCGTCGGCGACGGCGGCCCACTCACGCTTTTTGTGGACACGCCGAGGGGGGAAGGCTGACAAGAAAAGTGGGGCGCTTGTTGGCCACCGTCTGGCGCTTTGCCGACGGTTCGTCGTTGTCACAGTCTTCGTCGGTCTCCCGCTTGCGCTTCTGCTGGTTGACCGGAACAGGTGCAGGACGTTCTCCCTCAGTGGGCGTTGTCTTCTGTTTCTTCTGTGGTGGTTGGCAGAAGGTTCGTCGTCGTTGTTTTTCATCGTTCGCCCACTTTCGTTTGTCAGGGCAAAATTTGGCGGGCTCACCAAAACCCACAGAGAACAGCTCTATATCATTAATAGGTCCGTTTCTGACGCTTTCTTTAGCTAGAATTGCTCCTTACCGGAGTACACTCCTACGATCTGGGGAGGACTGGGGTAACACTTGATCCTCTTGGTCGGCTGGGCGGGCTGCTTGCGAACCTCCACTATGGGGACCTTGCGCTTGTTGGGACGATAGACGTCAGAAAGAGGCGAGAGAGGCGAGAAAAGAGGCTTTGAGAAATGCATTTAGGCTAGAGAAATAACAAGGTGAGAAATCAGAGTCGTGGTTAGGAAAATACTGCGCGGCATCCACCAATCAGTAAAAAAGTTCTGGAATATGAATCCAAAAAATCGCGCTCATTTGTCTTTTGTGACGTGGAATCTGTGCTAATGCGTTAATTAACAGTATTTCCGGGAGAGATTGAGTAAGCTGTTTTGTTTAATGACGATCTCTTTACTTCTTAGTTATACATGAAGAATCGCACCCAAAACGAGATACAAGTAATAGGTGTGAGAAATAGAATGGTTCACGTGCCAGGATGGCACTCAGTAGCGTTTGGTGAAATTCATCGTCAAGGATTCAGGAGCAGCATTCATGATCGATTTATAGACGAGGCCATTACGATGTATTGAATCTTCAGGAAGGTCCCAGTTGTATTTGCGTACTATTGTAAGTGCCGTGCAGTTAATGATCAAATCGCATACCTGACGAAAACACGAAGACACCTACGCAGCATAGCTAAACAGACGACTTGTTCCATCATGAAAAACTTGGCACCGATACATTTGCGTTCACCATTGCTAAAGGGAAGCCATGTCATGCCCTCGAGTTTATCATTTTCTCCACCCTTGGCAAATCGATCTGGCCTGAATTCACTCGGGTTATCCCAGATATCCGGATTATTTTGAATCGCATGGATATCGATGCTGATAGTTGTGCCTTTAGGGATCAAAGTGTTGCATAGATATAAATCTTTCCTAGTGGTGCGACCCCAAAGCAAATCGACTGTCGGTGCCAAACGCAATGTCTTTAAATAGTGATTATCAGCAAAAACGCAACGATTTGAAAAGATGATAAATTTACCTCCTTGATAACCATACGGAGGTACTCCATTCTTTCGCAGTTATTGTGTATGGGAAGCACGTCCTTTGCACCATCACCAAGTATATCGAGAACTTCTCGACGAGCATTGTCTTGGATGTCCTATGGGGAAAATGTCAAAGGGGGTCCACCTATCTGACAAAGCCGTAGCTGTATACACGGAAAACATACTTTGTGAATAGCCAAATAATATATACAGAGTGACATTACATGGCTTGGGATCTCATATCCTATGCAACACAAGGGAGATTATCCAGGGCAAATGATATATCATTGTAGGCTACAAGATCGTACCAGCTATGAAGGTGGATGCAATATTCTCCTAAAGCTATATAAATTACATATACTTTACATATGTTATTGATGATGACATACCTTTAATTCTCGACTGGAAAGAGTCCCATCATCTCTCATTAGTGCCTCGACCATAATTGTAAGAAGGTCCTTTCCAATTTCTGCACGCTCGATTCCGTCTCCCTGTTGTTGTGCCTCAAGCACTAGTCGCCGTTCTTCCGTCATATCGGCCAATAACTCACTCATACGACTAATGGCATCATTAGTGGTGCTCCGTTCTGGGAAAAACCATCTAGCAAGTAGACCGGATGAAGGAAACAGATACGCAAAAATATCGACCAGCGCTATGCGCATTTCTTGATATACCGTTGTCCATTCTAGTTCTCTTTCTTCCAAAGCTTTAAAATCGAGACCTTGAAAAAATTCGATGAGCCTTAGTTTCTCGTATACTATTTTAAAGGTGATGTACTCAACTTACCAAAGATGCCTAGACCAAATGTGGCCAAGCATACTTTGCGCATAAGATCCATAACTTGAACATCCTTCCCGTCATAGTCGTTTTCGATTGTTTGATATAGTCTGAGCATCACTGTCCCAAAAGCATCCACTGGCATAGCTCGATTAAAGGGCGGATTCATTAGCTAAAAAATAAAAACCATAGAAAAATAAGTGCTTTAGCAAAATTGATCGCGGAGATCCCACGCTCCTGTTTACCTTGGGTTGTCTTCTCCAGCCAGCTTCATGGCACAGCGCGAGACTGTGAGTACCAAAAAATTCGGAGATACGCACTGTGCCTTCAAACATATCCAAACTCGCTGGATCCTTTGGCATATCTTCTACGCAAAGCTGCCAATGTTAGTGTCGTGAGAAAATAGCTTAGACTGGAAGCCAAAACTTACTGGAAAGCAACAGAGATTTGACAGCGACTGGGTCGGCGATGTAAACGGTCCATTCAAAAGGCACTTTGTTCTAGAAAGCGACATGGCAGCTCTTAAGTGACACAAGTTTTCCAGCCTACTAGTTCCTGTAATGCGTTACCAAGTAAATTCCGTTGGACCGTCGTATCACTGGTAGGGTAAGTCGCTCCAGACGCATTTGCGGTGAATCCTTGGCTAGATAGGATTTGATCATGCGCCAATAAGGTACCGCAGGTATATGTCGTAAAGTAGCTGGGACATGGAACACTTTATACACCTTGTAAGCGAGGTACAGACTTATGGCAACGCTTATGTAGGACCATTTCCTTCGTTCGCCAACATATTCCATCAAAGGTGCTGCATTCATAAAGCAAAAAAACAAAAAGTGATTGCAGCGGGTAAAAAAAAAGAAGGGGTAGAAGACAAAGAAAAATGATGCAATTCTGATCAATGTTTCTATTTGGGAATTTGATTATGCACTATACAAATAAGAGATCACGTTTCCAAATTTTGGATATACTTGCTTTGCATATGCTCCTGTTGACTTTTTAAATGTGGTGCATATCACTGAAGGAAACTGATGCATGCCAAATAATGAAAATTTCAGAGCGTGAGAAAAAAAAAGTCCGCTTGGTATCACAGACATTATTAGTCAGTTTTCATGAAAAAGCGAGCGCTGAAATTTCGAGGATCACTGTATCAGTCAATAAACGAATAATCAATGTTGCCTGCAGCATAGTGTGCGTGTCAAGGAAAGAAAAACCAAGGATAAAAACCATGGCGATCGACAACCACGATGTTATTTCTGGGAAATGAATGAAGTTTGAAGTTTGAATATGTTTATACTGTAAATGTATGCAAGCAAATAAATAAAACGTTGATAGAATAAATTATGATAAAAAGTGAATAGCAGAAAGATGAAAGAATAATCGATACATCGGAAAGCAAGGAAGTGAAGTTAGGAATACAGGAATAAGAGAAGGTAATTACAATAGAATGTGATACATGAATATGGTTTTGCTTTTCTTTTTTCTTTTTTTTTGGCTAATGACGTTGATATGGAGGAACGGTACGTTCTTTGCAAAGCATATGATGCATGATCTTGATGATGTGAATGTATGTCTGTGTGTTTATGTGTTTGTATGCTTGTGTGTGCGTGTGTATGTGTATGTGTATATATATATATATATGCAATGTTCTGTATGTGGTATATATATATTTTTTTTTGGCAGATGATGGCAGTGCCATGTTGCCTTCTTCCTTTTTTTCTGGTCTTTTTTTCTTTTTATTTTCCCTTTTGCCCGTACTTCTCTTCCCGTAATCCTTGCTTGCTTCCTTCTTCATTATTTTCTTGATTGCTTGAGTGCTTGATACTTGTTTTCTTGCTGCTTTCGGTCTTGCTTGCTTGGCCAACGGTTGGCAAAAGGGGTACTTGAAACCGCGCCAGTGGTGGCCGACTGAGTGCGACGCAATTCAAGCCACTTACCAGCTCCAACCCCTCTAGCTCATTTGCTCCGTTTCTTCAAGGCGCCCGCACCGCTCCACCCACACATCTGCTCCCCTCCATCCGCCACCCTCCTTGCTTGGATCTCCAAGCAAACCATTTACATTCAGTGAGAAAAAGGAAATGGCAAATGGGAAGGGGAAGGGGGAAGGGAAAAAAACCAAGTTGCTGGTCGACGTGCCAAAAAAGCCGAATAAAACTATGGGGGAAGGGAAAGGGTAAAAAAGAGAGTAAAAACGGGGGCAAAAAAAAAAAGATTCTCACTGAAAAGGTTTGTGAGTTCCAAGGCTTACTGGATGATTTTGGACAGGAAAAAGAACAGCGATGAGCAGAGACAGTACGAAGCAACCTCGGATCGTGTGGAGCTAGACGCCTTCGAAGCCTTCACTGGCAGAGGTGACTTGAACTACGAACTGGAAAAGCAAACCACAAAGGGCTACTCCCCACCCAAAGCGACACCCGAAAGCGCCACTTTGCACAGCCGGTCGGTCGAAGCTTGCAATTCACTGGCTTGCGGGACGCCTAATAAAGAAAATATGGTTATATGACTTGACTGTAAATTGATGTGCGCTGGGGCACTTACCAGTCAAAGGGGTGGCGGTCACCACGGGAACTATGGTACAAATCAAAAAAAGCGTTAGTTATACGGTGGAAATCGCACTGAACAGTGAACTGACCGAAAGGGACACCTGGGATACACATGTTGGGTCCCTTCTCCCATGAAGGGACCAGCCTCTGTGGCTCCTTGATGGGCGCCCCAACCGCAGTTGAAGGAGCCACAGAGGCTCGGCTTGGGCGTCAAGCGCCGGACGAAGGGTAACGGATTTGCCCTTGTTGAGGGTCCTCTTCTTCTTTTTCGGTGGCTCCTCGTAAGGAGCATCGTCTCCGTCGGCGGTCCATTCCCGTTTTTTTGGACACGCCGACAGAGGAGGAACCACGACCACGGTGGGTTGAGCGCCAACCAACTTTTGCTTCTCGGCCGAGCATGTATCGGCGGAAACATTGTCTTCGGTTGCCCGCGAAAGCGCAAGCGGGCAAACCGAAGGGACGGAACAGGCAGCACTCACGTCATTGACCGCTTGGGGGCACGGGGTGGGTGAAGGGGAGGGCTCCCGACGGCCACAATCCTATGTGCGTAAAAAGTTTTGGTGAGCTTTATGAATTTGCTTTGAGCGGAGTGTACTTACTGGGGAGCGCGGGCTCAAAATGGGGAAGGCCCCGGTGAACCTTCACCTTTTTGTTGGGCTGTTCGCCCGACTTGCGGATCTCCACGCGATAATTCTTTCGCTTTTGCGCACGGCTGGTGGCAGGTTATTGGACGATTCAAGTGTCTACAGTATCAGTAGCGTTAACTTTTCAGTTCTGGGACTTTTTCTTTGCGCACATTGTCCTTACTGTTGAACATAGGTTCAAAGTGCGGAAGTTGGTACGCCTAGGCCTTTTTAGCAGTAGCTATGCCATCTTGGCAATTTTCACACCGTAGCGCTGGCGCTTTTCTGGATTCGGTGAAAGGGACGCTGAATACCCAAAGGACGAGTGAGAGAACGAGCGCGGGCGCGCGAGCGAGAGCGAGAGAAAGAGCGGGAGCGAGCGTTAAAAAGCATCTTGACTGAAAAAAAACAGAGTGAGAAAACCAGGGCAATAAAGCGAAAAAAAAAGGTTATTGAGTTATACTTACGAACAATAAGAAATTCTGTAAACAGTAAAAAAAAAAAAAAATTAAAAATTGTCGTGTTTGATCAGAATAATTACTCAAAGAGGAAAAAAAAACCACGTCCTGATTTCCTTTTTTTGAACAGTAAAAAAAAATTACACTCGAATTTCCTTTTTTGGGCCGTCATTTTAAACCTTCGGCCAGCACACTGTAGCTTTTTAACTGCCAGAGCAAGCAAGGCTGGCAGTGCGGAAGACATCAATACATCTCGTAGTGGTTATTTTGACGAAAATGGTCCAAAAGCGTGCTGTTTCGTGCTGCTACGTGACAACTGCTCCTGGTTACACGATCGCTTGCTTACATGTTTACAAGCATCATAACCGCGAAATAGTATCATCTTCATAATTACTGCTCGTATGGCTTTTAGTTGCAGCTCATATATTTGAATAAAATTTCACATAAAATGACATGATATGTTGATTTGCATCATTTCGTTCTGAAGTAATCTTGGTGCCTGGATGTCATAACTTCGGGGTTACACCGATGAAACAAAGTTTATGGTCAAAGCGTCGATCCGCCCCTGCGTTGACATTTCCCAAAATGGCAGTTTCTTGACAAACAAGGTAATCAGGAGGCATAAGCGTTGCCTTCACAACGCCGCTTGACCAGAATAAATAAATGGGTTTCTGATCGACAAGTATTTATGTAATGGAGTATACTCCATGGCTTACATGGATGAATTGGGGCGGATCCAGTGATCTCGGTTCAAAATTTAGGCACCAGCCACGATCCCTTTGCTTTCTGTTATCCATTTTTATTCTAGGTCATTTGTGAAAAATAAATTACTGAGTAGGACCATCGCACCATACCTATAACCTTCCTCAAAAAGCCCACTCTTGTTAATATTAAGGCTCGTCTCTGCACCGTAATTACTCTTGAAAAATAACAGGAAACTTAAACACTCTCATTTAAACTTTCAAGACGAGAAGTACCGGTTTGACGTCTTCCATTTTGCAGTTAAAATAAGATTTTAGCTTTGTTTTCATTTTTCCATTCTCATTTTTATTATCTGCTGATAAGTCCAGAACCAACCAACCTTTCGCCTGTCCATGCTGCGATAAAAATAATACACAGGGAACACGGAAGGTTTGATCAGTCCTCGAAATTATCAATGTGCTCTGCGCCACATGGTTCTCCAGCTCCATCATTTTCACCCTTGCCACGGTTCTCAGCAAAACAACAGCCTTTCCGCCTCTAACTTATAGAAATACGGCACTATCGCTATAGGAACCCACCAATAAATACCTTCATGAATATATGCGAGAAACAGCACCGTTTCCCCACCCCCGGAGTATCTTCGTCAAGATATTCATGGTTACTGTGCGACGATCGGCATCACCGGGGCCATCAGAAGCCATAGCTCTCACAGATGACATGTCAACTCCTTTGTTCGAATCATCAGGTACGTCAGGCTGCCGTAGACTATTGTCTTAATAAAGTTCCAGGGTCCAGGGTCACCAATAGAAGGATTCAATAAAAGTTGATAAATAGCGGGTTGACTAATAGCTCTGTAAGTATTACGTGAAATTCAGTATTTGCTTACTGGTACATCTTTCGCAAGCGGCAGTGTCGCTCCCATCGACTGCATAGTACGGCTGTGATTCGTTTCTTTCTATCCTTCGAACAGCGACAGCAGCGTAAAATACAACCGTTTCATCAAAATAGTATATGTCCCGGTCTGTACCAATCCACATTCCCTTTGATACTTGCCTTGTCCGCGACAAAACTTGACATACCGGCGAAGCTGCCTTCAACATGAGTTCGGTTGGATGTAAACTGTTGCAACTACCCTTGTCAACACGAAGGTTGTTCCTCTTACCACGTCAGGCGTAAAAAAAAACAGAACGTGTACATTAACTAACCTTTGAACTCGATACATTCGCGGTGGAGGCAACTTTTAAACCTAGGCCAGACACGCGTTATCCACAATTGACAGCTCACTCATTCACAAACTTGCTACTTACTTTAACAGTTAGGGGGATTCCCAGAGCTTCCTTTGAGGTATTGAACATTAGCATCATTCCTAGCTGTCGGACGACATCAATGACTGCAAGTAGCAGAATCGTATCAACCAGGAGCGTTCACCACAAATCTCGACTTTTTCCAAAATAGAAAAATCGTTACTGAGTTCTGACTGGTCGGTTGCAACCTCCGATGTCTCTCACAAAGGCAAACTGATTTTTCCCACTATGAGCCTCTCCTCGCAAACTTTCTCAGCCGGCAAGAACTTGCAAATCAAAATAATAGAATCGCTATCGTTAGATTTTATGACGTGGAATTTGTATCGATTTGTTGTTAATTATAATCAAAAGTGCAAGCTGCGGTGAGGACTAATTAATTCGATGTTGATCATCATTATTTTTCAAGCATGCCGTCACATGCTCGTGTGTGGCGATTCCTCGATATACGCTTTCGTTTGTCTAAATCCAACACCGTCATCATCTCCAATTAGTATTGTATTCATGGTTATTGCTCGTACTGTTTCTCTAAACGGCAAGTTGGCTAAAATCGCTCGATTTTATACTGGTGAAAGCCATATAACAACTTTGCATTATTTCGTTCAGAAATAACCTTGGTGCCTGAATGTCATAACTGCGTTGTCAGTGTCACACAAAACTTGGGTCATAGTGTCGACTCCTGTGAACATTTTCCAGAAATGGCGACTTGTGTCTAGGAAATCCTTGAAAGACTATGTTATATGATTCAACAATGTGCATTTTATTGAACGGCGCAATAATTTATTGTCTTGACAATCCATAGAAATATGATCTTATGTCATGATATGCATGTAACCTGCATGAATCGCAGTCTGTAAACTCCGTATAAAAATGAAGCCACTCAGATAGGCATCACACTCGTCTAGGTCAATGGATCCGCTCTTTGATCATTAATAGATACCAATATCTAGTCGCTAGGAGTTCACCGCTTCACACATCTTAAAGCTTGTCAGTAAGCTGCGGATGAACAACATCAAGATAACATAGCCATGATTTAATTCACTGACATTATACATCGAATAGTTGGTAAATGCTATAAACATATTCATACAGCTTTCGATGTTATGACATTTTAAGAAGTTGGAAATTGTTATCCAAATGGACGTCATAAACTGACAATTGCACAAGGACAGTTTACCAAAAAAAAAAAAAAAAAAAAAAAAAAAAAAGAATTGGCGGCGACACAGATAACAAGCAGGATGTATACAATCACGCGTTATCATTACTCCGGACCGCCACCATATAAACAAAGTGTAATGTCCTACAATAACGTAACTGTCATGGCTAGCATGTCGAGTGTGAGGCAGAGCATTGGCTGTTTAAGCCCACATCGTAAGTCGTGATGGCTACCTCGCTGTGCACAAGGTTTCAGTGTAAACTTCGCAATTCATACAATGGGGTGGAGAACGCATTAGCTAGTACATTTCAATTGGCAATGGCAGGGAATGTCATGATGACAAGTAGCCGATGTGGCCGGCATATGTAGAAAGAACCAGAAGTAGGGTTGGAAGCAGGGTGACAATTCCTGAGAGCGGAGCCAAGAATCAAATTTCAGTCGGCTCAGGCGAAGCCACCCTTGATGTGATTCGCCACACCTTGTCACCTTTTCTTATGCTATGCGTACCATTTCACTGGTGAATAGGCTAAAATGGTCGTATTCAGGCAATATGAATCCACACGCCCTTGCGCTAGGTGACGCCGACAATGACGGAGTATGTTTTGCTGACTTAGTGACGTTTGTAAAAAAGGTCCTCATTGCGAACTGTTCCTTCTGAAATAGGATAACGAATTTGTCATTGGCAATCTCAATGGCGATCTCGCCATTTTTAAAGGGGAATGTGCTGCTGGTCTCCCTACATTTGTCTGCCGTGGTTTAGGAACGGTAATGTTGTCAATAACGCTCTGTAGCCGCCCTGAATGCTGAAAGAGTCATACTACATAGATTACCTGTATTGCTATTGGCGATGTGAAGAATTGTGGCAAGGTTGCTTTGAAGTTTATAACGAAAACTTAACAGTAGTACTAATGTATGAGCATCAATTGATAGAATTCAATTATATGCATCAATGCCGAAGGACACGCGCATATTTTTGATATACCTTTGCTGGCTCAACCAGAAACAGGCCCTTTGACAGGCAGTGCCAATTATGCGCAACATCAAATGTCGGTCGATGAATATTTGCGCCACGGTCGTCGGTCCTCCGATACTGCCAGCATCCAAGCATTTCGACGAATGATGAGCGCCAATGCGGGCCATGCCTCGACGGATGATCCTTCGCGCCCTGTACCTGAATATGCCAAACCTTCGTCGACGCGAATTCATGATTTACAATCTCCCTCTTTCACGCTTAAAGTGCCTGTTAACGTCAATAAAATCCTCATTGCCGATATTGGTAAGCAAGCAGCAGCCGGATCAATGCGTACATCAAACATGTGCAATAATTGCTGATTATGATCTATGCGAAAAATTAGACGGAGACTCCTTGAATGAGATCATTCTAGCCCGCACGGATCGAATTCTTCATGCCTTTCAATTATTACGATCAGAAATCACGCCTTGTTTGGACCACATTCAAAAAAGCTTTGGTCCTTCCTCAGTCACTTCACCCTCTACATCTACATCCTCTACTAATATTGCCGGTCAATCAAATCAATATCACCATCAAAGCTATCTCCCATCAACGCTTCAATCATCTCTTTCCGCATTATCCGTCAGCAAAGAAAAGAATAGAATCAACTCCAAACGTGGATCGGTGGGCACCACTGATTCCAAAGAATCCAAGTCGAATGTTTTACGAAAAGGCATGGGATGGTCAAAATCAAGTAAATCTCTTTCCAAGGAACCTTCGAGAGAAGCTGAAGCACCGAAAAAGGCGGCAGTGACTCCAACGTATAAAGAGGAAGATGCTGTGTTTTTACTCCAAGACAAAGATATGTGGGTCTTTGATGGCCAGGTACGTCTTTCTTTTTACGGATCGTTTCATATTGGGTTATTGAACGCGTTGGAATTCGTCTCGTGAATAGATCACATCTCTGTCCACTACATGTCATCCGGAAAAACCGCATGAACCCATCTTACTCGTTGCACAACCAGGAAACACATTCATTATCATTGATAAAGACGGCAATCGATTTAACCAGGATTTCACCCCGCAATATGTACCTCGTACGTATTGCGGCAAAAATGCTCCTCAGAGACGTCCTCAACCTATGGTATTGCCAATGGACCCTAATCGGGAGGAAGTATCATCGAACCCTGATCCTGGTCCAACAACTGGGGATCGTCCTGAAGATGAAGTCGCTGATACATCCAAGGCTGACGATGGGCCGTTATCGAATCTCAAGAGAGCCACACGAACATTTCGGTCGTTCTTGCAACGCAACCAATCTCGCAATAATGCGACTGACTCCGACACCGATCCGGTGTTTTTGAGTACGGATGAAGATGGAATGGGGAAGATCATGGACATTGCTGGCAATGAAATCAAACGGTCCAACTATGTTGTTCAAAACTGGCCGGTAATGGATGGCGATGATATGGTGGGCGATGAGGACAACAGTGCCGTGGCGACGGAACTGGTGATCGGTAAACGACATCCACGTTCTTTTCCGGACACGCATCGCGAAACGATGGACATGGAAATTGGCATGCTCAGTATGGATGGTAGGTCAAACCCGCTGTGTGTGTGTGTGCTAGTCATTTGGCTGTGACGTTTTATTGATTTTTCATTCGTAGGCAAATTTAGTATTTATGATTTGCGTACCAAGACATCGTCTGTGCGAGACTTATTTGTCACACATAAGCTCTTCAGTTTAGCCACGCTTGATGTGTCCAGTACCACGGGTCTTTATTTTCGGCGGAATTCCTTGACAAGCAGCAAAGATATTCCAATACAGTTCGGAAATGGATCGTTGGATTCGCCTCAACTTCGATTCCATTCGCCGCTCGCTCGTGCTGACTCGCCTTCGTTCCCCCACGGTACAAAATTGGATCAATCCGACGCACCGTCGCCTGCTCTAAGTTCATTATCCAAACTGTCCGTCATGACATCCAATAACACGGATCGCGGTGAAGGCAAAGTGTCCAAAGATACCGAAAGCATTACGGTGACACCGACCAGTGTCACTTCTGATGCACACAACGTCCATGCCACGGCTGACCGAGAGATCAATCACGCGACGTTGGAAGAAGCAAGTGACATAATGGATAACATAGACACGAGCGAACAGCTTACGGTGCGTTCCAGTTCACAACGCAGTAGTCGGGCCAGTTCCAGTATTTACGAGAGTTCATGGAGCGAAGGAAGTGAAAACGAAGATGTACCGGAAAGTGAGCTATTTGTCGCTTGTGCGTGGAATGGTGTGACCTACCTTATCGACTGGAGTAAACGAGTGGAAGAAGATATCGACGCTCAAAGTAGAGCCAAATCCAAAATCAAGTTTCAGCTTGTCAAATTTGCATTTGAAGGACGTGTCTGTGCTTTCACAGCAGGTAAATGGACAGTAAGCATGTACCCTGGGGAGCAAAGATCATTCACACGTGCTTGTAGGCTCCTACGCAGTGACGCCGGGTCATAATGTACCATGCTTATTTTACGTCGACTTTGAAGATCAGATCTTTGTTTATTACGACGTTCATATCTCTCCTGGACCAGTTACTGGTTTTATCGATACAATTGACGATGATATCGAGGAATCATTGGAACGCATCATTGGTATTGAAAGTGGAATCAAGGTTCTTTCAGAACTGAATGAGGATAAGCATGCTGTATCGGGAGAGCACGATGTCAATATGACGGATCTTGGTGATGGTTGGAAAGGTATAGCGGACGGGGACGTCGTATACAATGCGGGCTATGACGATCAAAACGAAGAGCATCAGATTCTTAATCTCACCAATACCGAACTTGGTAAGCCTTATTTCTTCTCTTTATGCTTCATAAAAAAAAGGTATATTCAAAGTAATTGTGTTCCGTTAGATTTGGCGGATTTCATTCACGAGTGTTTGTATGGTTTCGAAGACCTTAAAGAACGATTGGAAACGGATCTCCTCAAGGTAACCAAGACAATAGATGCATGAAGTAACCAGTTAGTAATTGAATGAATGGTTGATAGGTTGAGCATCAGCGGCTCTCTCATCATCTTCCGGTTGGGGTGGATATTCGACGACTGTCGGATTTGAATATTACTATAGAACCGCCTCTAGAGCGTGAAGGATCCGATGAATCAGACGGTGAATTGAGCCACGCTTCCCAGTCCCCATCTCCGCGAAACAGTGCGAGTCGCGGCTCAAACGATTCCGTCGACCCGTTGCTGGCGTGGATGACAGAAACATTAAACAAGGAAATTTATCCGTAAACGTGAACTGAACCAACACGATAATTTCTCTCGAATTTTTTTGCATTTAAAGTTGATTGTATTTGAAGATGCATTGAGGAAAGGAAACCCTTTCACCAAAAAGAAATTAGATGAAAAAAATGTAAATGAGATAAATATACATGGAGAGAGAATAAGATAACAAAATTGAAAGATTGAATGCTACGGAACATAAAAAATTATGAGAGATTTAGTGCTTGTAAACACCCATCCAAAGGTGGACGCCTTGTTCCTCGAACAGATCGACGATACCCAAATAGTAGGCACCCAAACCGGCGAGATAAGCGGTGACACCAGAGACACGGATAAGAGGGATAAGGCTGAAGAGGGCACCAAAGCCTTCGAACAGCAGGGTCAAGAACACAAAGGATACACACCAAGTAAGCATGAAGTTACCACCTTGGACCTTGAGAGAGATACACACGTTCATCAACGAGAAGAAAGACCAGAAAAGCTTGTAAATGCCAGTTGCGATAGCAAGATCGTGGGCGGAACCATAAGCATCCAAAGTGCTGCTCACTGAGGGAAGCATCATGAGACCGGAACCAGCCCAGAAAGCACCGTAAGAAACAAACAAAGTACCACCGAAAGTGTTGTTACGGAACAAAGCCATGTAGCCAGCAATAAACTGAGCAAGACCACCAAAGACCAAAGCACTGGGGAGCATAATATGGTTAGGCTTGTCAGGCAAGAACAGGTTGAAAGTAGCCAACAGAACAGTGACAGTGGCGAAAGACCAAAGACCTGTAAACAATGAAGCAGATATTGTAAGCAAAACTGAACTCACAATTCACATTCAATAAAGTAATTACCGAGCGAATTAGGGTTGCTAAAGGTGGGCTTGGGAGGTTGAGGGACGGGGTGATAAGGTGTGGGTCCATGGTTCTTTTCTTCATCAAATTGATCATAGTGACGGCGAAGATAGAATTCGGGATCGATGTGTTCTTGGCTGTTGGACTCTTTCTGCTTCTCTTTGAAGTTGAGAAGGGTATGTTCGCTAGCAACCTGAGGGATTCTTTCGTCGGGAGAGGAGGACATGGTAGCTGCTAATGTAAGTCGGAAAGGAGCCGGATAAGCAAGAAAGTAACGTGAATATGAAGACGCATCCATGGTCTCCATTTTTTCATATTTATAGTAAATTCAAAGGGTTTGTTTCTCGTCATTTGTTTCATTTTACCGATTTTCTTTCTTTTTCGTCCCTTGCAATCAATGCAGAGCACGTTTTTTCTATCGATTATGAAAAGAAATCGATTCAATAATTCAAACACCGTGAAGAATTTGATAGGTCAGGGCGAAAAGCATCCCACCTTTTGCATTGACGATGTTATCTCTGATCAGTGCTTGGTTTTTTTTTTTCAATCTTCGAAAAATTAGCAACTCCTGGGCAGTTATATCTAGGAAAAATCCTCAGTAGAATGCCTTTACCATGTTCTCTCAATGATATGTAAGCTGGCGTAAGGATAAGCAATCGTGCCAGATATAACACGGTTGCATTAGGATTGGACGGGATCTGCTGTGATCTACTGTCAAAAGAATCTTGACGAATCCAGTTCCAAAAAAACCGAGAAAAAAATTTTTCTGAAAAAAAAATATCTGAGACATCCGAAATCGTGATTGTGTCCTATATCTTTTTTTGATCTGTTCTACATTACGATTAGTATTGTTCAACCAATGGGCACCTATTATACGTGGGCACATGCATTAAAGATCTTGCATGAACCCACAAACTTTGAATTTAAGCGGTCATTGTCAACTTTGACCCCTTTTGGGATCATGCAGCTGCATTTTTCTAATTTTCCCGTTTTCCTGGTAACCAATTAGGATTTGAGTGAAGAAAGACGTGTTTCATATGGATCAAAAAGACGTTCTTTTAGTGGAATCATGACTACTTGCATTGCGGCCTTGCGACAGTGACTCTCGATAGAGTGGGAGTATCAAACAAAAATAGTGATTTTGAACTTTTTCGTTAGGCAAGCCGGAAAGTAAGTTCATCCGTATTTATTTTCTATTTCCCTGTAATGAAATTTTCTCTCCAATGACTGTTGAGAGAAAGATCATGAATTGTTTCAAATCCATTCTGAGATGGTTATGTAAGCGGCAAAACATGTCGGTCCGTTGTGTTGGGTGTGATGATTTTCTCCGTTGAGGGATCGGCGTCGCGTGGATACGGAAAAATATGAAACTCTTCTACAAATCTTTTCTTGTGGGCACTTTCAATTCATTGAATCATTCTTTGGTTTTCCTTTTTTCAGTCGCATTCAGTTCACCACTACGCATCACACCCATTTTCACTGCAATATAATGTTACACAGTGGTTCTTAAAAGAGCATGTATACAACTACCTGCAACATAATGTGATAGTCTATGCGGGGCGCTTGCTTGGTAACTGGAAGTAACAAAAATCTCTGATTCCCGGCATCATACAGTGATTCATGCGAAACGGATGACCAGACAACTGGTTTTGCTAAATATATCTCGATGCTCTTCATAGTCAAAACACGATGGAAACGGGGTTGCCAAGTAACGTGAAATACAATGCCGTCTAAACGACTTGCATAAAAGCTCTGCAAAGATAAGCACTCTTCTCCACTTGCCCCTCAAACAATTCATCTTCGCCTGAAAATCGCAAAGTCGGCTCTGGCTCTGAGAAAAAAAAAATTTCTGTGTTGTCCGGGATGGGACCCAATTTAGCCGCTGCAAGCCTGATCATTCGGAGTCTGAACAGTCATGCAGGTCCTGAATTGAACTTTTTTTTTGGGGATTACCACGATTTTTTATTTAGCAACGCATCGTGCACTTGACAAATTCACCCTTGGAAATAGCAATGCGTACAGCTGTTGATAAATGAAGGATGTAATGGTAGCTTGATTGAGAAAATATAAAGAGACCTGTGTGATTTAGTTTCAAAAAATTGCGTTACACTACAAGCCACTCTGAAGGATTCCAATCCCCGGCTAGATGATTGCACAAATAGTGTTGATGGCTGTATTTGAAAAAGCTGGTCTTGCAAGAAAAAAATTTTCCCAAGAAAACTATAAAAGAGGTCTCGAATTGCGAACTTTTTGAAACCTTACAACATTAGTAGGAAAATGATCTGTTAGAGAGTGTTAAAAACACTACTCAACAAATGTTTTATTTTCCACATGATGAAATTATGGGTATTAGAATGAATCTTCTTGATTCGAAACCGCCCTGCGTGGAAACACCATTTCTGACCAACTTTTTCACTAATCCATCTTCTATACAAAATGAAAATGAAAAAAAAGAAGCTGCCAAACAGTACTTGCGCTTTTTACCATGGAGATACGTATCTATAGTATCTCGTGCTTGCTCGTCTACTTTGTTGCATCCTTCTGATACTGTGGGTACGTTGAGCCCCCAGTTCGTTGCTATTGCAGTAGCAAAGATTGCGAACAGGATTCATCAAGCTGCTCAGTTGCAAAATGTGGCTTAGAACAGGGTACACTGTAGTGTCCTGGTAAAAACGCACTCGTATTTTTCAGGTCATTCTTTAGAATATTCAGCAGCTCTCATGAATCAAGTGCCTACTTCTCCAAGTGTAAGACTATATAACAAGAATCCATATCTGCTTCACAAAGACCTTGTAAATTGGGTATGTAACTGTTGTCATGATTGACGAAATCAATTTACCCGCCCTTTTTGCGGATGGAAGTACGTATCACACTGTACCTTTTCCGACAAAAATATTTGAGTTTATGGAAAAGAGAAGGTGACCAAACACTTATCCAGAACAAGCAAAAGGGGAACGAAACGAGAAAAAAAAACCACAGCCGAGGCACCACCCACTTTCAAGTCAAATACCAGCAGATTTTCCTGCTAAGCTCGTCTTACTTGCAACTGGGCTTCTAGAGTTTCCTAGCTGGCGATATACGTTTTGGTGGGTTCCCTGCAATACTTACAATCAACAAATATCTAATCGTAGGGAGGTGTCCTTGAGAGAAACGTATCAAGGAGGGTAAATAACTATGGCGGAACAGATGGAATGTTGAGGAAAAAAAGAGACGTGCACAGGGTCATGTTTAGATTATCCGATCAAAAAGAAAAAAAAAAATGATAAGTTGGCTCAGCTGCAAAGGCGCGACTTGAAAACCCATTCATTCTCTTAATTTCACCACAGAAACTATTCGTGAAGAAGCTATTTTTATTCCACTTAACGTTGCAAACTCGTGTTTCTGGACGAGTTAGGGCTTGGTACGTTAATGAATTTGATAGATAATTACCTTGAAAAAAAAGAAGCACTCATTTTTTCAGCTCGAAAAACGTTTTCCCGCCTTATTGCGGTTTTAAATGATCTGTAGTGTTTAGTTATTGGACGTAGTACTGTTTACTGCGCATTTCTCGCTAATGATGGGAGCTGGACGGAGCAGGTAAGCGCCACGAATGGGCACTGCTACTATTGCGGTTCCAATATGTCAATATGATCATCCATCACCGTGATGTTTTATGACACAAAAGCTCGCTAGATGTCATCCATAGAATATCCTAGGAGCATCAAGATTAATATTGGCAACAGTTAAGCCACGGGTCCAATCTCTTTCCACTTTTCCGTAAAACTCAACCGAGCATGCGGTAGGGACTTGTAGGCTGTTAAAAGCGCAGGGAAGATATACATTGCAGCATTCAAAAGCATAAGAATAGTTGAGAGATAGTCGGATTTTATTCGCATTGAAAGTTTTTGTCTTCTGTGAAAGGAAATAAGATGAAGTACTCTGATCAATCATTGAAAATGTGCTGCCTTCGATTTTATGTCTTCTAGTGACAGCGGATTCCATCAAACAGCGTTATGTATAAGGTTGCAAACTGGATCTCTGCTTTAGAAAACACATTTGTAGATTAGCAAGGTCAACAAAATTGTTTTTAAGTTCCAGTTACTGCGAAATGCACGAATTGTAATGGACGCAGAGCCAAGACTGATTAGGAAGGTGGAACATATCTCGTCATATCAGACGTCAACCACATGCATCCAATTTACTAGAGGGCTCGGGAAAAAGTCGAGGGACGCCAGTAGCGCAAATCGATATTCCATACGTGCATCCTAATTGAAGTCATCCGACCATCATCTGCTTGGAAGGAAAGATGAGAGATATTGAGGATTAAAATCTATTTGGTTCAAGGAACAAGATGTACGCGCATAAAAATGTTCAGGATCAAGCAAGTCCACCATGCATGCTCAAGAACCACGATCGAAAAAAGGAAAAATGAGGAACGGATCCGATTCAGATGCAAGACATAAAATCATCCGAAATGGTCATTAATACACCAAGAAGGAAAGCAACTCGACCTGCAAGAACGTTTGTATATCGGTCTATATCACTACCAAAACTTGGAAGCAACTTAAAAGACACACAAGCGAACGCTGTCATTGCAGGTTCGATCGCTACGCCCAAAAATAGCTGCAAATGTATCCAACACAGGGTACGTTTCTTCACATGGGCGCCGACCAAAGACACCGACCCATCCAAGTACAAAGCGAACTTCGCGAAACAAATCCGATATGAAGAAGCGGATACCGAAACAGAAGATGGAACACCGAGACCGAAACGGAAATTGAAATGGCTATTCTTTCTAAAAATACTCGTCTAAATTTCTTCTTCCACGCTGCTTGCCATATATCTATAGACAACACAAAGTTTCTTTCGAGTTTTCTATGCTTCGTTCGCATCCAAATGCTTTTCAAGACGATGAAGATAATCCAAGCTTCCCCTTATATGGGTGGATGAGCGTTCCCATGACAACATTTTCAAATTCATGCTTTCATATATCGGAGTAAGGTGTTGCCAACAAGAAGTGCTAGGAAAAAAAAAAAAAAAAAAAAGCGACGCAATGAATCAGTTGGCATTTGTGCCCCAGGAACATCACCAAAAAAGCTTGACCTTTACGGAAAATGGGGCTGTATATTAAAAAAAATTACAACGATGCTCAGGATAGGACATTTAACGAATGAGAATTTACGGCAGCAGTTACTGTTACTGCATATGGCAAACGTACCGAAAGGTGGGGCATGCGGCAGATGAAATCGATCATGTGCCGCTTTCCCCTCGTTTGCCACTCGTCCAAAGGGATCCAACCACAAATTGTTTGATGGCCTCTTCCTTTTCGTTTCATGTATGCATGCATGTAAGTCACAATCGATTAGAAAGCATATCATGACTTATCACGATAAAGATTCATCCCAGACTTTGGCGACGGTGGATTGAGGAGAAGAAAAATAACAGAGTTGCACAAACACCATGACGGCAATTGCCAGCCGTGCTTCAAGTGGCGCATACACACGAAAAACACTATTTTCTGAGGCAGAAAAAAAAACGAGAGGGTGCCCGAGTAAAAAAAAAAAGATAAAATAAACTCGACGATTCCTGCTCCTTTACGTTTTCTCTTTCAGTTCCTTGATTTATGAGTGCACCAAAAATCTTTCTGTGATATCGATAATAAATAATTATCTCCAAGACGTCATACCTATCTTCACATTTCACGTCTGTATACAATACCCGGATTTCACAAAGAAACCCATTCAGTCCCACGTCACTGCTATAAATATCGATATATGCACCGATCTTCCTCATTCTTGCGATAATGGGAAATCATCATTCACGACTTGAACATCGCAGTGCAAGCACTGTTAGCCACGTCGACCCCGTACTAAAACAGCTCGAACCATGGCAACTATCCGAAGATAATCGATATCGCCGGCAGTATCCTTTACCGACAGTCAGTCAGGCGTCTCATGGAGGCAATCGGATCAAAATGCGTAAGCAATCCACCCCATCGCCCGTCACACCTCACATTAGAAAGCCATTAGCCCGGTTTCTCCCTTTTCGCTCCTACTCACGCTCTAATTCCGCCACAAGCACCGTGTCCGACGGCATGGTCCCTGTCTCTTCGGATCCACCACTCACCAGTCAACATCACTCCTCTTTTCCTCAGACCTCCGTGCACCCACTCGTCTCGGTGTCACGCACCCACAACAATCGAATAAGCTTGTGCCTTCAGAGCCCTTCTTCATCAGCCCTCGACGCCACCGATTACTGTGAAACGTTCCAGCAGCATCCGCAATGTCCGCCTCCCGAAAATACAGATCAAGCGGTGCATCCCACCGACAACAATGAATACGTCTGGATTTCCGGACGCAAGTTTCATAATACGCCAGGCTCAGCTTATCTGTTACCATGTGATGAGGAAGAAATTGATCGATTGCATTTGCAACATTTCATGGTCCGCTTTGCTATTCAAGGGTATAATTAAAGCCAATATGGGCTGGGCGAGAAAAAAAAAATCGTATTAACCTTTTATATTCCTGGGCTTCTGTTTTAGGAATTATTTGGCTCCCGTGAGCGACGTGCTACGGAAAGGCGGACGCGTTCTCGACGTAGGATGTGGTCCTGGATCTTGGACAATGGAAATCGCTGGCGAATATCCTCGATCCCAGATCGTCGGTATTGACATTACCCAAATGTTTCCACGTGATATCAAACCAGCCAATTGCATCTTCCGCCAATGCAATGTCCTTACGGGCCTTCCATTTGAGGAATGTACCTTTGATTACGTCTTCATGCGGTAAGCATCACGGATCGACATTGCATGTTTTCGCACCACGAATGCTGTGATCGATCGAATGATTAGCTAATCTTGGTTTTCTTTCTTTTTTTTTTCGGTGGATCTGCAGGTTTATATCAAAGGGTGTTGAAGTCGATCAATGGGGACCCTTAATTGCTGAATTGGTACGCGTTCTAAAACCAGGGGGATGGATCGAACTAGTGGAAGGTGATACCGAGCTACATCGTGCAGGCCCGATGACGCGCCAACATCATGAACGATTGATTGAACTGGTGGAATCCCGGTGCCTTGATCCGAACGCAGGCCGTCGATTAGGCGAACGGCTGCGAAATCATGGCGGCCTGTCCAACATTGCTACGACATTCATCTCGTGCCCCGGAGGATTATGGGCCGGCAAAGTAAGTTTTTTCTTTAGATAGTACTCCTGACTTTTGTAAACTAAATGTCAGCATTATTTTATTTATTCATCCTAGCTTGGACAATTGACATTGCAATCATGGAAAGCTTATAATTCAGCACTACGACCTCAGATCTGTCTGTCCGAAGGCATCACCACCGAACAATACGACGAACGGTTGCAACAGTGCTGGAAAGAGGCCGATGAATACAAAACGTTTGAAAACGTTCACTTTGCCTATGCTCAAAAGAAATCGCCGGTTTCATCGAAATAATGGGACAACACCTTCTTTTTTCCTTTTGCTGCACACGCTCCAGCTCTGCTCGAACGTACAAACCGACTCTTTTTCTCTCGCCATACTTTGTACATCGCTTTCTATACTTGCCGTACTGCCATCCTTTGTTTACTTTCTCATTCGGTCCTTTCAGTGGCTGATTCTGTTGTAATTCCTTATATTATTTACTACGCACACATTCTTACTGCACGCAGAACCTCGACACAACCGCGCGTACGAATCAATCCGCAACCTCGCAACACATATTCCACGCGAGCAGCCAAGATTTCCCGTATGCCTTTCTTCTAATATAGTTCCTCCCTTTTAGTTAATCCTACCAAGTAGCACACGTCGATATGATCTGAACTTAATACTTGCCCTGTTGCTGGTCGACCGTCCTCAACAGATCTTTTGCCAGACATATCCTAATGAACGGTATACTTCCTATCATATTTTGCTTTTTTTTTTTTAAAAAAAAAAAAAGGAACTTCCAACTAGCATAAGAGTTTTCTTATATTTTCGGGACGTTTCCCTTTTTGCGCGATAACAAGATAATGTAAAGTGTTGCGACGAAACTGCAAAAGAGACGATACAATACGTTTAGCCAAGTGTGGGATATCAATAAGCGCTTTGCTATTGCAAGCATGCATGCTCCGCCGTTTGATGCAAATGAGAAAAAAAGCAGATTTTTTTGGCCAGTAAGGTCATTATAATTAATGCGTCAGTCCGTCATTTGAAAGCGCCAAAGCGTCCACTGCGGCTTCGCATGTATTAGTCGCCACCATTTTGCTATCTGTTCGACCTTGTTTGTGTCTCCCATCTTCCGGTCCCACTCCCAATATAGTGGATGATCTCTGAAAATTTGCCAAAGATCGTAACGAACCACTCTGGCCATCGCTTCTGGCAGCATAACTGGCGCCCTGTGTTTCTCTTGTTATTGCATTTGACACGCTAATTCATCCCGACTCGCTTTGCTTTTCTCTGCTCCCGATACCAATTTGCTATGCTGGCACGTTCCATTGTCAGATTTGAGTACTCCTTTAGAGTTCAGTTTAAATCTGTAGTTTTTTTCATTCTTTATTTCTACCATAACATGGTCATATTTATATTTTCTATCAAGATCATTTTTATGTCTACAATCTTCAGGAAGGTTCTCGTCAACTTCCTGCACGGTTTTCTATTATTCCGAAACATAACCAATCAAGAAGTATTACGGACCACTTTAATGCTAAACGGATTCGGTCTATATTTCTTCCGTTTTCCAGGCAATACCTTTGGTATGCCTCGTTCATCCATTGGTCCTTCATACCTTCTCGAAGGTTCCTCCAGACATCGATCTGCGGACGAGCCAATGCGCTGTCTTCCGTATTTGCTAAACTTTGGTATAGCAAATCTAATCGGCGCAAAAGAAGAACCGGCGTAACTGACAATACCCCCCCTCTTGCCTGAAGTCCGTCCTCGGGCTTCGTTATCGAAAGAGGCATCCGAGTCAGAAAGGTGATACTGGTCAGGAGGTGGCACGGTAGAAAGATCCATAGGGGCATCGATGGGTTCGTCCAGCGTAGGATCTTGTTCCAACGGTTCATCCAATGAGGGTGCCATCTCGGTATCGTAGGGAGTCATTTCTTTGATCGGTTCTGTCGTCTGCAGTGGAACTTCGTTAACTGCCGTGGGTTCAACGGTGTCAGCTTCGTACATAGCGGGGACATCTTCAAGTTCGGTGGAAACCACGTCGTCAGTGATGTCGGGATCGTTCATGAAGTCCAAAGCGGGTTCATAATCCGAGCGGTCATGTTCGTTAGGGTCAATCGACTGAGACATTGGGGACATCGGGTCTGTCGATATATCAGTGTCGTCGAGATCTTCATCACAGATTGTATCCTCTTGATCGATTGTTGCGTCGGGTGAATCGATAACTTCGTCAGCCATAGAATTTTTGGAGTCATTTGGCAGGGCAGGTGTTTCGACGGCATCTTCAACCATGGGGTTTTCGGGAGCAACGATTTCTTGCGCATCGTGAGTGTTGGGCTCGTTCACGATGGCGTCAACCTTTTCGTGAAAGTCGTTAGATGGCGGCAAATCGCGTAATGCACCAGCAGGCCATTGGGAACGGGACGTTCGCACATCGAACCAGGGTCGCGTTTCGAGTAACTGTTCGACTGTGTTTGCTTGCTTCAGGCGATCGACATGTATCCAATCAGGTCGAACCACACCATCGAGACTTTCCAATAAATAAACATCGTTGTCGTCGTTCTTGCGTCGTACACGATAAGGTCCTTCCCATGAAAATTCCAATCCAACTTTCTGTTCCACACGCAACAAGACTAAGTCACCAATTTCGAACGTAATGGGCTTAACCGTAGCATCCCATCGAACTTTGTCACGTTCGGCTTGCGACTTCAGTTGTGTTTCGGCGTCTTGACGGGCTGATTCTAGCTTGTCCAGCTCTTCAGAAGGTCTGTTCGGGTCCACAGGAACATCAGGTCCAGCTAGATAAGGTCGTAATGGGTCACCAGGGAGCACAGGTTCTCGACCGTACACCAAGTAGAATGGGCTATGTCCAGTAGTAGCGTGTTTACGAACACGTAAGGCCCATACGGCTGCGTCCAAGTGTTGATCCCATTCATGAATTCGTCCACGCAAGTACTTGATGAGCATCGACTTCAGGGTTCCATTCAAGCGTTCGACTTTTCCGTTCGTTCGAGGATGATAAGCCGACGTAAATCGATGCGTTGCCTTGATTCGTTTCGTGTATCGCTGCAAGATTTGGGACATAAAGGCAGCACCACGATCCGAGAGAATCTCCTTGGGGCAACCAAAGCGCATGACGATTTCTTCGTACAAAAAGTCTGCTACCGCTGCTGCAGACGCCACTGGGACAGCTCGAGCAATTGGCCAATTCGTCAAATAATCCACGGCAACAATGATCCAACGATTGCCTTTACGAGTCGTAGGTAATTGACCAATGAAATCCAGATGCCATCGTCCAAACGGTTCCGGGACGTTAAGAGGATGCATCGGCGCTTTGCGAACAGATCTTTGAGGTTTACCGGCTAGTTGACACTCTTGACACTGCTGTAACCATTCTTCGATTTCCTTCTTCATCTGGGGCCACCATACACGGGGTTGTAATACGTGTAACATGGTTGATAATCCGGCATGTCCAACGGAATGGTGATAACGAGCAAGCAGGTCGGCACGTTCAATGTAAGGAACAAATCGGGTCCAGTGTTCATCGTTTCGGTGGTAGATTACGTCGTCCTTGATCATAAACGTATCGCGATTTTCCTTCAGCTGTTCTCGTACGGACTCAGGAATGGCTTCTTCGGCGTACATGTAATAAAGAGGCCAATCTGTATCATGCACCACAGGCATCACCGTGTCCATTAAGTATAAGTATTCGGGCACTACGGGCTTCTCATCATGGTCATCGTCAGGGTCTTGAACGATCCGAGAGAGTGCATCCGGTACTACTTGTTGTTTGCCTGGTCGATACTGAATATCGGGGTCGTACAGTTCCAGCTCGTTAATCCAGCGTACCAGCCTAGGGGTCGGAGTCTTCTGCGAACGTAGGTACCGAAGTGGCAAATGATCCGTGTATACCACATACTTGGTACCGTCCAAAAAACATCGCCACGTGCGCAAAGCATGAAGGATAGCAAATAATTCCCTTTCTTGAGCAGGATAATTTTGCTCAGTCTTGCTAAACTTCTTGCTCTCATAGGTGATCGGATGTTCCAAACCATCGTCGTCATCTTGAACCAGTACAGCACCACAAGCGAAATCTGAAGCGTCTGTATACACCTTGTACGGACGATCGAGTCGAGGAGCCACCAACACAGGAGCAGAGGCTAACTGTGTCTTCAATTCTTCGAAAGCAGCTTGACATTTCGGCGACCAAACGATCTTTCGGCGTTTCGGTCCAGCACCTTGCGTGAGGTCGGTCAATGGTGCGGCGATGTGGGCGTAATCCTTGATAAATCGGCGGTAATAACTTGCCAATCCAAGGAACTGTCGCACCTCCTGGACATTGGTGGGAGTGGGCCAAGTTTGCAGCTTCGCAATCTTCTTGTTATCCGGCAGGATACCGTTCTTAGTCACTCGAAATCCAACGAACACCAATTCGTCGACACCAAATTCGCATTTGTCCGGGTTCAGAAACAGCTTGTGTTCACGCAATTTTTCCAACACCATGTGCAAGTGCTTCTTGTGTTCTTCCTCGTTACGGCTGTACACCAGGATATCGTCGAGATAAACCAACACGAATCGATCGATATATTCTCCGAGAATTCGATTCATCATTGCTTGAAACGTTGGTGGAGCGTTCGTTAAACCAAAAGGTAACACCTTGAACTGATACTGTCCATATCGAGTGTTAAACGCAGTTTTCGGTCGATCCTCGTCACGTAATCGTACTTGATGATATCCGCTTTTGAGATCCAAAGAAGAGAAAATACGTGCGCCAGCCAAGCGATCCAAACATTCGTCAATTCGTGGCAATGGAGAAGTGTTTCGAACCGTCAGTTTGTTCAAAGCTCGATAGTCAACACACATACGCATGCTACCATCCTTCTTTCGTACGAACAATACTGGAGCACCCCACGGTGACTTGCTGGGTTCGATCAAGCCTTTGTCCAATAACGCCTTGATCTGTCGCTGAAGTTCATCTAGTTCACGCGGACTCATCTTGAAGGGGTTTTTCGATACGGGTGTTGCGTCGCCGACGTTGATCACATGCTGTACGTCGCGTTCTGGAGGCAAACCAGGTAACTCGTCTGAGAATAGGTCTTCGTATCCCTCGATCCACTTAGCAGCTTTCTTCGATAAATCGGACACCACCTTGATGTCGTTCTCGCTGTTGACCAACAACAGGGCTACTTCTTCTCGCTGCTTGATCGACTTGACCACTTGCCTCGGGCAACACACAAAATTCAGTTCGTCATCGTCCGTTCGTTCGTTAGGGGAGAGCACCATCTCGCCCTTTGCCGTCTGGATCCGCCATGTTTTCGTCTTCCAGTCTACGGACGGGTTAACCGTTTCAAGCCAATCCATGCCCAAAATGAGATCGAATCGACTGGGAATCACCAATGCCTCGATGTGATCTTCTTTCTCGACTTGTCCAAAGGAGAAAGGCACCTTGACCACCGTATCCACCATGATCGTCTTGTTACCAGCAGACTTAACTGGCAGAGCGCATTTCAACTTGCGTTGCGGCAAACCTTTTGCCAGACGTTTGGATACATAGTTCGCTGAGGCTCCCGAGTCGATAATAACTTGCATAGATTCTCCGGCGATATAACCTTTATATGTGGGCAAACCAATTGCACCACGTCCTTCGTTGGCCAAATGCTGTAATTCTTCCAAATGGTCGCGTTCCTTTTGCCAACGGTCGTGAGTTTCCTTGTCCTGGTACCACTTGAAAGGGGAAGAAGCTTTCGATTTCTTGACAC